TGTGGGAAAGGAAAGTGAATATAGGGAGTCCCGAGGGGACGCCGGCAGCTTGGGGAGTTTCGGCCTAATGTCGCGACTTGAGGTCAAGCGACTAGAGAAAACTTGAAGGCTGGGGGCGTCCGACTAAGTCTCACCGAAGCGATGGTGAGCTATGCTCAAACCTAAGGCTAGGGACAAGAAAGTATATTAGTTAGTAGGGTAAGAAAGAATACAAATGAGGGCTTACTGACCTAGGGACAAGAGGTCGAAACTGAGGTCCCTAGGGCAGCAGAGGCCGGCTTATATACATGGGTAGATTAGGGCAGGCTGTGCGCGTTGGTCCGTGCGCAGCTGGTCCGTGCGCAGCTGGTCCGTGCGCAGCATGCTGACGCGGCCCCGGGGGCCGGTGAGTCAGAGCGGCTGTGTCAGCGGAGCCCGAGCTGTGCCGTGCACTGCCGTCCTATCTAATCTAATCGTACAGTAGATAACGATGCGTCCATATCAGGCAGGTAGTACAGAGGTCGCGGGTTCAAGCCCGCGAAAAGGAAAAAATTAAAAAACGGCTAGACGCCGTGCCAACTCGTGACAAATATATCATCTTGTCCCTAGCCTTAGGTTTGAGCATCGCTCACCATCGCTTCAGTGAGAATCAGTCGGACGCCCCCAGCTTTTAGGTTTTCCCCAGTCGCTTGACCTCAAGTCGCGACAGTAGTAGTATGATTCTGCTAGTCGCTCACAGCTTGTAATTACAATCATTATTATTACCAATAAGAATGCAAATCTAAATTTATGCCCTGTGAGACCCAAAGAATCTGATAACGATGATCAATTGATTGATGGACAGTGACTACTGGTGCTATGGAGCCTACGAGCCTCGTGGTCTATGGTGCTACATAGCACTTTGCGAGATCAGGCGCATCTACATAGCACTACATAATCGGGGGGAAGTCTATGGCTCTATGCGGTCTACATGACCTACATAGAGCTATGTAGGTTCGGGCATTTTTCCTGATGGTGAGGCCATTCCTGTTTTGGAGGGTAAGCGCCCTTGCCAGAAATATGGGGGGGGGGCGCTTGAGGCATCACCCGAGGAGGGGGATGTTAGATCTCCGCTCCCGGGGGATGGTTCAGTCTCCGTAGAATCGTCCCCTCCTGTCCCCTCAGATGGGCGCGATTGTCATACATGAATGCAGCCTGCTATGCAGTAGTTATACCTGTGTAGGCGAGCGCTTTGCGTCCATACCGTGTGTATGTTGGACTCTCACTTCAAGCGCATCTTGTCATCAACAGGGGGATCATAGCGATCTGTCAACGTCGTTGTCCCGGATTCTGTATTATGCTGTCGCATCTCTACCCTCCGCCTCGCATCTATCATAACTCCACCCCTCACAAGCTTTCCTATAGAACCTCTCCAGTGCTGGCATTGCTACACGCCTCACAGGATAGCACTTGGCACTAGCGTATTGTACACACCGTCATGGTGCGTACGGCATCGCTACATTTCTGTATAACCTTGTTAAGATCTCGCTCATTATGTAGGCACCTCAGGCCTCCACCTCAGACCAGAGAGGTCTCCTAGGCTTGAATGAAGACGTCTTATCTCACATCATATCAGATCTCCCCACCCGCGATGCCCTCAACTTGTCTGTCACAGCACGCGGCATCCACCTCATTGCGAAGCGGCACGCTCTCTCTGTCGTGACGACGCGATCCAATGCGGCAACCATACGATTCTGCACACACATGCTTCGCGACATTCCCGGCCGTCTGCATTACGTTCGAGAACTTACTATCAACGTTGATTTTCGAAATATCTCGAATGCTGAGCGCAGTCCGATCCTGACTAGCGCATTGGGGTCCAAGTGGAAAGAGCGTCTTGGCGACTCGCCTGCTGCACGCCTTCTTGTGCCTCTCCTCGAGAATGCGATCAACCTCAGGTCGCTCTCACTAAGCCCCATGGACATTCTGCTACACGTGCAGCCCCGCATTGGCCCCGCCATCTCGGCTATCACCCAGCTGCGCTACCTGGACTTACAGTGTCTCATGGATGACGCGGAGACCTGTAGGATGCTGGAGGAGATGCGCAGCAGGCCGGAGGAGGTAGGACTGTCTGTGTACTACCATCCGAAGAGCATCAACAATATACTCTCCAGCATTCGAGGCATGCAGACCATCAAAAGCCTCACTTTGTCCCCTGACGGTGTCGCGGCGTCATGCGATGACCTGGACGACTGCCTTTGTTGGCCGTCAGTATCGACACTGACCATTCACCGGTCTTGTCTCCCGATCACTCTCGCCGCTCGTCTGTTTCCAAATGCGCGGAAGCTCCGAGTAGCATCATCATATGGACACCCTGAAGGTGCCTCATGGTCGAGCCTGGATTACCTAGATGCACCAGTGCTTTTCTTGCGGGACTGGTCGCTCCCATGTGCTGTTCACCATATATCGGTACATTCGGACTCGGGCCATTGCGATTCTGACATCTACCGCGACTTCAAGAGCGATTTCGCGGAACATATTGTTCGGATTCTACGGGAGACACGTCCAAAGGTGTTATCGCTGCCGGTCTTGCCTTGGCCCGATTTCAACCGAGCATTCTGGACGGACGTTGCGAAGGCTGTGCCCTCTCTGCGTAGCCTAGAAGTTGAGCTCTGCATTTTTCAAGACGAGACAGACTTGATCCCTCACCTCATTCGAGATATGGTGAGTGAGCGGCACGCTCTGCGATGACTGCGGTGTGTTCGCAGCTAAAACGATCGCAGGGAGCACTATCAGCTATAATTGGTAGCATCGACAGTCTGGTACACATAAGGATATCTGTGAGATGCTCGTTGATGAGAGAAATCACCTACCCCATCCGCTTTCCGACGATACCAGACCCATTCATTCCAACGGTACTAGAAGCAGATCAAATGGCGTCGGCGCTGATTAAACATATTCCCTCCCTCCGATATGTTACGTTCTTGTCGACCTACTCGACATCCGGCATCTCATTATCCTGGAACATCGGGTACTCTGAGGAACGTCGCTTATTGGTGCCTATACCGCGACACGTTGCAGAGGACATTAGAGCGCGAATCCATGCACTCGATTTCGACCCAGAGGTGGATCTCAACGGTGAGTGCCGCTTTCAAGCTCGACTGTACCAGAGGGGTTGTCCGCAATGCCTGTATCGACAATCAAATGTTGTTACGAGGACAGAGGCTTCCGGTGATGTGAGCCCTTGCCTCGCCTCGCGTCATACCCATACCTGTGCTCCGGCGAGGTTGATGATGTTCGTGTAACGCATGCTGACGTTCAATTACAGGAAAAGAAACTGGACCATGGCCCTCAACTTACAATCACGCTTGGTCGGTTGCCGTGGCAACCCAGACCGCGAGAGACATGATAAGACCACCTACGAACACACAGAAGGATTCTGAAGTCCAGGTTGTAGCAAGACGTGCTGAGGATGACATAGCAAAGCCTGTAAAATCAAGTGTTCGTTCGAAGATCTGGTCGCATTTGCAAAGGTACAGTTCCTGCCATATTGACTGCGAAGACTGTCTATCTGATGGGCTCATGATATTTCGCTACAACAGCTTCATATGCCTTGGAAGCAAGTCGGGAAAGACAAATGAGAGACCGGAGGCAGATCGATAAGCGACCGATCATGGAGGGCGCGTCGGCTAAAATGCATCCTCAGAATTGATAGCAGGCTTAAATGCGCGCTCTCTCATTTGTATAAGTACCTGTTCTGCAGCACGCTGTAGTGTTCGCGTAGGATCCGCTTAAAACTACATCGTCCGGTATGGTGCTCTCGAATTGGTCATCAAGCCGCAGCAGCACATACCGAAAGGAAGGGATCTGTCTGACATTCCGGGCTGTCAACGATATGTGTAACATGTCGAGTGGCTGTATATCCAGCATCATCGTAACCCCATCGTGCAGATATTTGTCTTGGGCCATGCCTGAGCTAATGGACAGGTGCGAGCTTTCATTGTGAATGACCTAAATAAACGTATAGTAGTCTATCATGGAGTCTCCTCCAGGTCGACCACACCTTCGGTCCTCGCAAGACGGCCGTACGGGATCCGAACCTCGTGCTGATGGTTCCAAGCCACTATCTTGTCGATATTCTTGCACTTATGCCATGTATTGAAATCTGGGAACGGGATGTCCTTGCCCTTGACCCAATCATAGGTGATGAAGCCCGTGTCGGCGTTGCATAGGAGCTGCTGTCGCAGAATGTCTACACAATGATCTGCAGATGACAATCATGGTTGTGTGATGAGCGCGAGGGTAAGGAGAACGAGGAACGAGGCGTGCCTAGGTGCATTCGGTACGACACGGGGTCTGCTTGCATGGCGACATCCGTTGCTTTGTAGTAATCATAGTCCAGATACTTGCGCAACATGTTCTAGGAAGCATGAACTTCAGTCCAGAGCGAAGATAGTCAAGCTCAGGGCAATAATTAACACACAAGGCAATGAAGGTGATGGGTGATCTCCATGGAGGCCAAATAGTCTCCGCCGTATTCACCAGGCAGCCGCGTGAGCGATGGCCGTTTATCCTTTCCCAATTTTGCTAGTGTCTCACTGCTTATCTGCAACGGCTTCACTAAAGTAAATTAATCAGTGACTATCAAAGTCAAGCTCGAGGAGAATTAACTGAACTGATAAAGATAATGCTGTTCCAAGCGGCATCAAGTTCGGGGCTCGGCTCTCCCTTGAATACAGACGGTTTGTGCAGAGTGCCATTGAATCTGACGTCCAAGTATTCAACAGCCTCTACCGCAGGTGCTGGTCCATGATCAGTCTTACGAGCTGCCATCGTGAAACGAGCACGAACGTACAGAATGCCGAGACTCGTCTTGCACAATGTTGGGCATCTCGAGCATACTGGAAGGATACCAAACAGAGCAACGCTGAGACGCCCAACAGCATTGCGTGCACCAACCATGGTAAAAGTCGACGACGTCTTTGTATCGCATGAGAGTTCTTCTCTTCATATAAATGATCCAGTTCCACAGTGTCCGTGTTTCTGAGAGACTCGTAAATGGGACGTGTCATGGTTAGAAAGATTGGAGGATATCGACCGCCAGCGCCACGAGAAGCGTCCTTGCGAGCATAATAACCTGCGAGTCGACGAATTGGTCTTCTACCAGGCCTGAGATGCGGCGTCATGACCAGTATAACTGATGGCATCAGTTCAAAGACTTGAGCGCACATTCTGTTTATAGATTGGCGCCCTCAACATGTCAGGACAACTTCTGCGCATAAGTATTTGTAGTCCGGCAGGAAGGAGTTCCGGATCCCTTTCAATAGCGCTACCTATCGGCCGCTCATGAGTAATGTGTTAGTCTGCAGTACCTCAAGCAACGACTCACGCTTTGGCTGTTGAAACGCAGCCCCGCGTGGTCAGGAACGAGCTCGCAAGCTCGGGCGCGCGAGTAGCCGGGGGCCGGAGGCCCCTATCGTAGTATAAAACGACCGCGCGCGATGTATGTACGCTACGCGATTGTCCCTTACGGGCATCGCTACGCCCGTGGACAAACGCGCCCCGCGCCGTTCGCACCGTCGTTCCAACATTGGCACCCCATAGCTCTCAATTGTACGAACTTTCAGACAATCAGTAACGTTAGCTGGGGTGGTAACACATGGTATACGGAATAAAATGTACCGTGATGCACTGCGGCTTGATTACTTCGTGGGAGCCGCTCTCATGGTAGGCAATACGTATCCAAGTGAATTTGCTAGAATGATGATGGGCGCATGCGAGCATAAGTCAAATTTGACACCTTGGATGCACCCAGGCTTGATCGGAAGCTCCTCTTCCGATGACCATCCTACAAATTATCACTAGGGGTCTCAAGTGAACAATAGTTAGTCGAGACCTCTGCATGGCTTTGACAGATTGGGGTGGTTTCCATGCGACTTCGCATGCAGAGTCCAGACCTTAGCACAGTTCTTCTCGGATGGGGTGTACACTGTTAATCAGAAGAGTCTGACATTAACTGGGAGGTATATAAAGCTGGAGGCCCGAGCCAAAGCTCACAAGTTACTCTGCTATTTCTGCACGCGATAAACATGCAGTTCTTACGTCTTTCTTACCTCGCGTTCTTCGGCTTCATTGTTCTTGGAGTAACGGCCATGCCCAAGCCAACACCTGGTAGGTGTCTCCCCTTCTCTATGCAAGCTTTTTCTCAGATTTTCGTAGCCCCGGTAGCTGTAGACCTTGGTTCGTGACACTTTGAACAAAACGTGTTGGACTCGGATAACCCGTAACTCCACAAGTAGATGAGGATGTGACTCCGGCTGAGGTCTTCGACATCAACTACTTTTCGCCGTGATCTACTGGAAGTGAGTTTTATGCCTCTCACTCAGTCTGAAAATGTTTCAGTAACACAATTTGGTTGACTTGCGCGCTAGCATTTGGCGATCAGATGGATGCCGTATTGGACAACAAGAGTATGCGATGTATATAATTGGGGGATTCTCGTGGGCCGGATTGTGGGAATGAAATGAAAGTCTGCATCCAGTCAGATAAAAGAAATGTCCGAGTATCAGAATTGTCTGTGTTTGCGCTGGAAGGAAGAATTTACCGTATACAATTTTGAACGTCTAATGAACGCTCAGCACGTGCTTCGTAAGTGAGGGCTCCGGCAGCATAGCCCAATCTCATTCCAGAGTTTATTCTGTCTTCTACTAAGTAATCCAAGCGGCATTGAGCGATAAGCGCCAAGTAGTTTCTACTTTCACTGGTCAGGTTGGGGCAGCGGTTAAGCCTCCTGATGAGCCCCGTCGCGTGGGCGAAACCTGTCCAACTGGCCACCGGTTCGACTCCCATCGAGTACACTTTTCCCTTTATCTTCGGAGACAGGGCACTGAGTCTCAATGCCGGACCGGGACGTACAGAAAGGGGAACGGAAAAATCCTGGCAGTCCGGGTGACTTGGCTGCCTAGGTCCGCTCTGTCTCGGGGAACTGGGGGGCAATCTCCGAGCGGACACACCCAACCTGCGTACTTGGCAGCCGTGCGGTCAACTCATTGGGCGCTCGATTGGACACTGGTGCCTCACTCGTTCCTCCTGAGAACCTACGTTCATTCAAACACACCCTTTCTGCCGAGATCCATGGCCGCTGCACATTACGTAACGAAAGGAATCACAACCGTACCGGCAGGTTGAGGCTTGATTTTGGCCTCACTTCGATCTTATGTGTAAACCATATGCCAATAATCTACTTCCTTGTGATGGCCCTTCCCTCAGCCGCCCTCAGCGCGTCGACAATGCCCGAGCAGTCGCCGATGGCAGACCGGGCTCCCTGGAGGCTGGCAGGCGTGACCCGCCGCCAATCACAGAGCAGGCTTCCGACCAGGTAGGCACTTAATATTCCAGGATTACTTGCTGATTCATTTCACTGATGAACTTTGCGCCACGCATGGAACCTGTTGCCCGCAGTCAGTATCCTCACGCTCAGCCGTGGCATGTGCGGCAGCTGACGTTATTACTGACATGGGGGAGAGGGGAGTGAAGACGTGAGCGGCATCAACGATAACAACAGGTCGACTGGAAATCTCGTGGTGACAGTAATACTAGAATTTCATCACTATTACCTAGGCCTTCAGGCCTGAGCGCTCGGCGACAGTGTGACCTTCTGAAGGGAGGGGAAAGGGGTAGCAGCCCATATCTGCAACTCCGGCGACAAGGCTTGCGGCGCTAAAATCCCTATTCGTACACTGTTTTCGGAGCTCTTTTACATTCTTGGGGTGCAGCGGCAATACGTCGGTGATCGTAATAAGGGGACTAGTCATCGATGTCCTTGAATCGCCTCTCCTGTCCATCCAGAATGGAATCGACTAATTTACACCACTAAACATCCTCTACGAGAGGTTTCCACCCATCAGGATGCTCTAAATCCACTTCGTCTCCAAATCTAGTGAGCCGTTCCCGTGGAAGATGCACTGAATTTTCCTCGTTCCACTCCCAGATCTTCTCAACGTTCCTGCACCTGTGCCAGTTAGAGAAATCCGGATACGGCGTATCGTACCCTTTGACCCAATCGTAGGTCACCAGCCCAACGTCTGCGTTGCACAGGACGTGCTGCCGTAACATATCCACGCAGTGGTCTACAGGCAAGAACGTCAGCAAATGCCGAGCGCAAAGGTGCTGACGAGATAATGTACCCAAGTGGTTTCGGTAAGCCCGAGGTCCCTCCAGGATCGCTGGTTCGGTATCCTTATAATAGTCGTAATAAGTGTGCTTGCGCAGCACGTTCTACGAGAAGCATAAATGATATTTGACATCACACCTCAGGAAATGAACGCACCAGACAATGAAGTTGATGAGTGAATTCCAGCGAGCCCAGGTAGCCGCCGCCATCCACGTCCATGAACCTGATAAGTGACGGGCGCTCTTCTTTGTGTAATTTCTTCAGCATTTCACTGGTAATTCTCGTGGGCTTAGCTGTGGATCAGCGTATCATTTACTGTGAGAACCGCGGAATAGGCACAACCACGAACAACGCTGCACTATCGCATTCCAAGCACCATCCAATTCCGGAGACGGCTTGCCCATGTATACCGAAGGGTTAAAGAGGGAACCGTTGAACTTTATATCATGATACTCGACGGACTCAATCAGGGAGGCTGCAACGGGTGTCAGTGCCCTAGACGTCGGCATGCTACGAAGATACGCACAATACGCAGATAGTCTTCTTGCACATTGGGAGTCGGATGGCTTCCGAAGAGACAGGAGGAACAGAGTAGCCGAAATCGATAAGAGCAATAAGTGCACGACCCAGGGGAGAATCCTGGCCCATCGTCGCCTGTGCCGCGGGTACTCTCCTTGAAAAAGACCATTACCTGCGTTGGGCTCCGACTGTACCAGCAATTGGTCAGTCGATTCGTCCTCTTTGTCATTCAGGAGCTGGTATGTGCTGGCGGGACCCGACATAACCTGGGGAACACGATGACACGAGTAAGGGGGGCGGGGCAGACTTGTCTTCGCCAAATATCGCTACCACGGGTATACCTAGAATTGTCAAGTGCCAAGGCGTACCTCACTCATTGTCCCTCGCAATAGACCCAAGGAGCAAAGGAAAATTCATGTCGTCAAAGGCAATGCCTTGACGTGAAGCCCCGACGTTTGCGGGACGCCTGCGGAGTCTGTTTATCGTCCCTGGATAGGTCCACGACAAAGGTAGGGTGTCCTACACGATGTAGATGACTCCTTTAGTTGGTCCGAGAATGTTGGGAGCAGTCAACGCCAATTGTGGCTGAGCGGAGAAACTCACCTGACATAACGCCGCAAACTCCATCGCGGTGCTGTCATTTAGAGATCATGAGATCAAACGTTGTCAATCCGCATGAAGTCGGCAATATCGCCGGTGTCATTGCTGAGAACGAGGGCCTACGAGACGCTCTGTTTGGCGCTTACCACAGGCGCCAATGTACACTCGCGAGTCCCAAGTTGTGCCGTAGAATGCTATATGAGTTTGTCAAAATGTCAAAGATGTTCTGATAGATCATTTGTCGTGGACATTCCCTTGTTTGCTGTCAACGCCGGTGGACTTTGGGGACCCTGAACGAACAGTGCATACTCCTCCGAACGAACTCCAGTTGGCTGGGCAGGTCACAATGACAAACTTTCGTCAAGGTTCGTAAATCGGAGGAATTTAGACTCACACAATATCCCCATTAAGAGCCTATATTGTCCCTGAACCATATGCAATGTCCGAGGAACGTCCAGACGGTATTTGGATGTGTTGTCTTAGAGGCAGGCGTCGAGTCAGTTATAAGTCGTGCTGAGTCCAGAGAATTTCAGCCCATCGCACGCAGCAAAAATATGCAGTTCCTTCGTCTCCTTGCAGCTCTGTTTCCCTTGACCATCCTTGGTGCGGCGGCGCTACCTAAACCGATCGCAGGTGAGCACTTTATGAGGTCTGAGGCCCTGACACCAGCTCTAACACACGTCTCCTTAGACGTCGCGGTTGTTGGTCCGTATCTAGCGATACATCTTATAATCAGGCGTCTGACAAATATTAACGCGTAGGCGAGGACGTTTCCGACGCCTCCAACAACATTTTATGGAGTTCAAAGGAACGTGAAGACTTTGTAACCGACGGCCAGAACAACAACGGCTGGAGTCGACGCGAGGACGATGTAACCGACGGCCAGAACAATAACGGCTGGAGCCGACGCGAGGACGACGTTACTGACGGCCAGAACAACAACGGCTGGAGTCGGCGCGACGACTATGTTACCGACGGTCAGGACAACAACGGCTGGACTCGCCGTGGGGATGCGTGAGCAGGAGACTTTAGTCCAATGGGTGATGTTGAAATATCGCGTGCCGATCTGCCAATGGCAGGGAACACCGTAGTCAGTATACCGTGTAGGTTTGGGTTGCCCCGGCGGTGCTCACCGGATGTATCATGGATTACATGTCCAGATTGGTGTTACGTTATGTGTACACGTCTTCCGCCTATGAAGAGGCCGAGGTTCGCACTTGTCCAGCCGAGAAGTGGTGTGAGCCACAAAGCATTTATCAGTATTTCATCGATTCATGATCTGTTAGCATTGCATTGCGTATGAGCGTAACATAACCGCCATCCATCGCAATTAGTGTTCCTAGACCGCGGGTAAATCGCCCACACATGATACGACGAATATTGATAAACTCTTGAACGTCGAATGGACTCTGTGTGACAATGCAAACTAACGAAGTCACCAACTCTTGGAGTCAATTGTGATATAGCTCCCCCGGAGCGTCCTTGCAGTTAGATCAATCGGGGATGCGCGAGATCGTGATTCTAGTCAGAGTAGTCCTCTACAACGAGTCAAGTTGCAAATATTCTACAATTGGGTGGGATGTAGATTGAGTGACGGAAACAGTAGCAAGAGGTTGCCTGCCTTCCATTAACATCTTCGGTAAGGCATATTGATGAGAAACGACCCTCACCTTCTCCATCGCTAGTCACAACTGCCATCACTTGGACCATCCTTCCAGCGCTCGTCCGTCTTCTCGATCGAACAATCAAACTTTGGCTTTCCCAACCGCTCATTGACGTCGTTATGTCTCTCGCAGAGCCACCTGCTCAGCGCAACCCTCCCACTCACGTTCGGTGGGTGGTCCCGGATATTCGAGTCCAAATGCGAGGCGCAGTGTGAGCACGGGTACAGGACCGGCAGTGAGCGCAAGAGAGTGAGCATATTCGCGCGCTGGTTAGGTGTCGGCTTCTCTGGATAGTACGCGGCCGTCGTGTGCAGGAATGTCCACGTCGCACGGCCTAGTTGTTCGACATCAGGCGGGCAATGCTCCGGGCGAACGTCGGGGTCAGGCGTCGAGGCGAAGCCCTTGCCAGACGCAAAGGCCGCCATCATCGCTGCTGTATTCTTCTTTCCACTCGATTTGTCGGCTTGCGCATTGTCATTCTGCGCGGTCGGCTTCCAAGAACGGAAAGCCGTACAGATTTTGCATGGCTTGCCGTCAGGACCAAGGACCATGCCCGGTGGCAGCGACGGCTTCGGGTCGGTTTGTTTGATCTCCCGCTTTGGCGCAACGTCTGGCATCGTAGTAAGACTTTTTTCAAGACCAGAAACCAAGTGTAGGTCGTGCAAATGACAAAGTAAGTGCTCACTACCCGAAGCGCTCTGTGACCTAATGCGAGCGCCGTTGCAGCGCCAAAAAGGACAACGCGCTCACGTGACCGCGACATGACGCGAAGTCGCGCCCCACGGGTTACTCAAAGTCACAACGACTGAGTATCTTGAGGCTGTCCACGTGTGATTTGGCAGGCACTCTATCCTGCCCTTCTCCCTGGAGCGTTCTCCGCGAGACGGATTGATCTTCAAACGTATCATAGCATTGAAAAGATCCTCTTTCGACGAGCATCAGACCTCGATTAAAGCCATCGACACCAGTGCATACTGCAAATCGTGCATAATATATAACACCTCTTATTCAGCCTCGTAGATGATGCAAAATTCTAACGAATGAACGAGGCAATGCACCCAATAACGCCCATTGGTGAGCCATCTCGCAGAAGCTTAGTTCTGGCTGCAACCGTAGCTGTTCCCGTTAGCCCAGCAAGTGTAGCCAGCCTAGAGTGCACAACTGCGTGAGCTCGGTTAGGACAGGACAATGCCAGCGAGGAGTATTATATCACAGGCGGTACCCGAAATACCGGTGTCTACCTGGCCGTTGGTGCAATGAGCAATGTCGCTGCCATAGCAAGTGCTGTCCATTCAAGGTTTATAACGTACAATACAGCAGAAGGAACGAAGACAACTTACTATCCCGTATAATTAGAGGGGCACTCGGAATCACGTCGTTCGAGATTTACGAGAGAGGCACCCATAGCGAAGGGCAAGAGGCCGGCAAGAACGAAGAGAGTGAAGAGCGCATTATGCTTGCTTAGTTAGTGTGCGACGTGAGGTAGACGAAATGCGAAGAAGACACTTCAGGTGAGGGTGCTTTTGAGCTGTGCGACCCGTTTTAATACTGCGAGAGCTTGAGACTACAACACCTGCCGAGCATATCTCAAACGTACGGTCGTGGTGAGCGGGAAGAGGGCCATCAGGAAGGCTTCAGCGACGAGTTTCAGACAAAAGACGCCAAAGAGATCCTGTGCCTTACCGAGCAGTTGGCAGACCTTCTACCTGATTGGCCGCCTAGGAGCAAAAATCGCGGATCGAACTGCGAACATCCCGAGAGATTCTGGGGATCCTGATCGCTGATTGGCGGCAAATCACGCCTGCCGACTTGAGGCGTCCGCCGACTGAACGAACCCGTACGGTCGGGATGTATAGCGCGCCGTGATTTGCGCGGGTCGGCTAGCCACGCTTGTGGTAGTGGCGCGTGGACTAGCAGATCGTTCGTGAACTACGCTTTTCGTAGTGCTGAACATGATACAAGGGAAGCAGTGTGCACTAGTGTACACTGCTTGTTACGCGCGTTCACTTAGCGCTCGATTGCGTCCAAGTGTGAAGCGATACCAAGATGCGGGATGTTGGGCGTCAAGCAGCAGAATGATTTGAAGACACGAGCGGATCACATCTGAGATAGATCACCGGTCACCAAGAAACAGTCCCGCCGTTACTCGCATCAGTTAGAGACCTTGGTGGGACTGCAAGGCCCGGCAATGCTTATCGCGCAAGAAGCTGCAAGTTCGGACCAAAATATGCTGGGGGCATTCATGACCAGCAAGGTCGGGGAAATATCCTTTGAAATGGTGATAGCTAGTATGCAGGCAACTCAGTTGGGACTGTTACTCATGGCGGTGGTGCTTAGCGATGAAGAAGTGAGTCAAAAGGCGTAAAGCTTGCTTACGTGTGTCACGTAGATATGGCACTGTGGTGATCGTCTGGGGTGTCGCGTTTGCGGCGACGTTTTGCAGTGCAGTATCATCACAGTCGATTGCAAACTTGCAACTGGCTATAAAGCATGCGTCTCGTTTCGAGGTAAATCAAATAGAGATGATCGAAACTGCAACTAGTATACAGACTATGATACAAACCCACAGCCTACAGAACACAATCGTAAGACTCACAACGGTCTGCTCCCACTGAGCGACTCGGCCATCTGCAAGGACCAAGACTGTATCTCTTCCGTTTGAAGCTGATTCCATTTGGCATGAACCTTGTATCGGGATAAGCAATGCAAATATGGATTGGCGGTCTTGCAAGAATCTAAGACCCTCGACTTACCTCATCAAGAATGTCCAACAATTTGGACGCCTCGGCATCGGCTTCCTCCCTCGCCTTGACATTGCTCTGCAATTGGCTCTGCAGTTCCAGGTTCTCGTTCTCCAGCTGTGACTCTATGTCAGTCGTATACAGAGAAATGCCGCGAGCGACATACTTCCTCGAGTTCTGCCCGTAGACGATCCCGTTCCTTCTCCAGTAAAGGGGTTGTTCGCGCTCTTACGGCAACACTTGGGTGTAGGTCTTCTCGCCATACGTCCTTGCCATCGTAATTTCCACTTTGTTTCCTTATACGCGCCTCTGTTACGACTGCGTGCAGATTGTCCAGGTTTTCTCGCACGTTGAATTGCTTCAAGAGTTCTTCGCAGTTCTCCTATAATGGACAAGTTGGACATCAACTGGATGGAATCAAACTCCTCCGCGCACGCACTGTGATCTGATCCTCCATATGTCTCGAGACTGTAGTAAAAATCCTGGGTGCGTTCTCCGGCTGCTCCTCACACCACAAAGAAAAACATTCGGTGAAGTCTTCGTACCTGAAGGGTACAGTCAACGAGCGCCCTTGGCGCGGCTATTGCAGCTCACTTACGTCCATTTGTGAGAAGAACGTTGTATGGCGAGCTGGAGAGCGGAGTGAAAGTATGCCCATCGTTTACTGGGAGGCTGAGCGGACGCGGCCGACTCGGACGCCATCGCGGTCGCGGTCAAGACGCGTCGCGGAGTTGACGCGCTTGTGGCGATCCGGCGCTTATGTCCTTTTTCTTCACACTGACTGACTGGCAACAATCTGGACATAGACTTGTCTGGTTATTTATCGCACTGGAAACTGACTACAGCTTAGATCACCCAGTGCTCATTCAAGAGTAACAACGTCGTTGAGAGCTGGCAGATATGTCTGCAAATCTCAAAGATGCCTCGCAGATGCGCCCGCTACCCTTCCGTCCAAAACCCTCGTCGATGTTATGGGGTCATCTGCTTTCGAATGACAAATCTATATCGCCCCTCCCATCTGCGAATCAAAACAAATCGCTGTCTTCCCTGGCACCAATTGCTCCTGTTGACAAGGCGGGGACCTCTCTACGTATTCTTCTTCACGACACCCAAGCAAACCTGGAGAAATTCTCTGATCGCGTAACAAAACTCACAGGAGGTATCGACGAGACGAAGAGGGAGATTGGACTGGTCAAGACTCTGTTTCATCAAGACCGCGAGAAGCTTCTTGATGAGACAGTTGACTTAGGTACGCGAGACAGCGCATATACCCATGCATAGTCGGTCCTAATGCTAATGCTACCTCGTTCGATCTCAGCTAACAGGTGTCAGAGCGAGATTCAACGTTCTCTGGGTACTCCGGCACAAGCAACCAGCATTGATGAGCTGCGTTCGGAGCTCAGCGCGGTCGATCGCAAGCTGGAATCGTTGGACAAGAAAATTCACATGATGTATATGGTCTGACAATTTATCCTGACGCGCTCTCGCTCTCGTGTAGCACCAGCTGACTCTTGACTAAGCTTAATCAGACCCAGTCGCAGGCACTGCAGACGCTTCAAGACCAGCAAGGCAAGATGCTTGTCGCACTTACGCCGGTCCTCCCCCTGTTGCAAGCTTTGCCTTTGCATATAGAAAGCGCGCGGAATCAAATAAAGGACGATATTCGGCAACTGCATTCCTCAATCATTCCAAAAAGAAGTCCACATGAGGTTCCAGCCGACTCGCCCAGTGGCGCATCTGTATCTTCCTCGCCCATGAACCATCGAGATAAGAGTCAACCTAACAAGAAACGCAAATTGGACCATAATGCTGCATCTCAGCATGATCGTTCGCCAATCGCGGATAGTAATGTTTTTCTAACTCGAACGCCTCTGGCTACCGTCCCTAAGTCCGGGGTTGCTTCTACGCCTTCTCGCGCGCATGATGTCCGAGAGCGATTGCCTCCGAGCAGCTATTACCACTCTTTGAGCCGTCGACCTACTGCCAGCGAACATCGTCGTAATCAATTTCAGACTCCTCGACGTGTGCCTCTCGCTGATCTCTTGCTACCGAACGAGTCTAGGCGGAGTCCTGCAGCTGTCTCTACTCCTGGTCTCGTCATGAACACTGGCGTCTCTTCCACGGCCCTCCAATCTCCTACCTGTGTTGACACTCTTAAGACATCCAGCTTGGCTGTATCTGATCCGAAGGCCACAAATCGCATCAATACTGGCGGGCCCCAGCCTCTGGAAACGCCCAAAAAAGTGGATTCGCTGGCGTCGAGCACAACTACGCTCTCGCAACGTTCCTCTGGCCCAGGTTGCGACGTCCAGGCCAAGGTGAATTGTTCCGACGCACGGGCCTCAAAGCACCCCCTTGGCGATGACCGAACCTCCAGCCCACTTAGCAGCGTATCTTCTCATAGTGCGACTTCTGGTCATAATCTCCTGTATGCTCTGCACACGACGCCTCAATATGCGTCATCTATGGCTACTGCTCGAGAACCAGTAATGAAACAAAGGTCTCCGCCAGTCACGCGATCTGTACCGCGCACGCCGGTATCTGGTAATCGATCTCAGCAGCAAGATCAGGCGATTACCACTTACGGCCTCTCTTCTATATCGCTGATTCCTTCCGGCGGCACTACTCCGGCCCCAAGCACGAAGCCGATGAGTTTGAAGGATAGGCGAGCAATGCACTCGACGCCTGCGTTGGTTCGTTTCCTACTTCAATCTCATTAGCACCTCTTCTGACATGTCACTGCGCAGCGCAATGAAGGGAAGCGATTCATCCCATTGGATGACGACGAGGATGGCGATCTCTTGATGCGATGACTGTTGTAGTTCTATTTTCCTTTGCGTGTACGATGCGTTGCTTTGATGGCCTGCGCTCTCGCGCTAGGCAAGTTATTACTTATTGTATGTTCTTACTTGCCCCCACTTTTAGACATGCCTGGTTTTCCCTTGTGAGAACAAGATGGAGACTCGGATAAGGCTGAAGCTTTGACGCTCGTGCCTTATATCTGAGTCGATCTGCCGGTTCCCCGAATGCAGATTGACGAGACGAGTGCAAACGGTGAGTTTGTATGTTGGCTTTCGATTTCGATTTCGGCCTTGAGTTTGTCGTGCGCATCGATCGTATTGGGGCCGACACCGAATACAAGACGTTGTCGTCCGGAAACACCGGCCCGGCCCTTGTACTCCACCCTTCAAAGCTTCAAGCTTCAACTGTAGCTTGACCGTACTGCCAGACCTTCCTTTGTACCGCTACCCCCACCATTATTTGCAAAGTAACTGAGAACGACCTGACCGCCAAATGCTCTATCTACCCTATTTTGTCTTCCCATACATCACCAACATTCCGCTTGAGCTCCTTGCACTCATCTTCACTTCCCTCGATGCTCGTAGTCTGTGCATTTGCAAGCAGGTGAGCGATGCATACTAACACATATCATATAGCTGTATCACATATACCCGTCATCCGCAGGTCTGTCGCTTCTTCCTGCATGTAATACAAGATACCCCAGCGCTGCAGTATATCACCGAGCTCGAACTAGCGGGTATGGTCGACGAACCGCTGTGCCCTCTTTCGACTGCCGAGAAGCTGGGACGATTGCGTCGCCTACAACACATGCGCTGTCACACAAAACTGGTTCGGGGACGTACTATTCCGTACTACTATCTCAAACCGTTCCAAGTCGCAGCTTGTGGGCTCCTTGTGCAATGCGATGACAAAGACGAGATCAATTTCTTCCAGTTCCCATGCCCGTTTCTGGGAAACGAGGAGCGCGAGTGGACGATTGACAGGACGAAGATAAACCTGCGAATTGAGGACTTGTGTGTCGATGCCTCACAAGATGTCCTTATCGTCGTAGGATATTCGCTAACATGTGACCTCACTGGGTAACGTCTGCAATCGTGAAACTTGATCAACGCTCATGCCCTTACAGCCACAAGCCTGCCATGTTTCGTATTCTGTCCATCTCCCAATATGGTTCCCCCCATCCTCTCGCCGCTCGCAGTCAAATTTTCCTCGATAATGGACAATCAAAAAGGGCCCAGATCAGAAGGTGACCTATTAGCACTGCTGATCACGACAGAGTTTAGAAAGCGATATGGTCGGATAGATGTATGGGACTGGAAAACGGGGGGTTGTCTTTGGGTGCGTACGCTGTTCCATTTTTTCGGCCCTAAATTGAGCCACTTGAATGTCAGACCCTGCAAACCGACTTGGGGTACATGGGCTTTGCCTCTTTCAACTTCCTCAACAACCACAATATTTATGCGCTGCTGGACGACTCAGTATACATGTTTGAGCTGCCCACAATTGTCAATCATACAGGCTCTCCGACCGTCCTCACTCTGGACGACGCGCCGTGTATATTATGCATGCCGGTGATCGATAAACAAACATGGGCGCATCTAAGCTCGGTCAACAGGTGTGACAGACCACGAAGGGATGCTCGGTATCCGTTCTACCCTTCTGCGAAGCGTGACCTCTTCACACCGTTGGTCTCAACAGAGGGAAGCTGGGCGGAAGCATTCGTAATTCCGATGCCGGTGATGCAATGCTGGCTCAAAGAGACGGACACAATGGAAGCGCAGGAATGGAGCCAGAGGTTCCCTCGGATTCATCGTGAGGGGCTTCCCTATTGCGCTTCAGCGCAGGGGATGCAGTTGACGGTTGCCAATGTTGAATACACCAAAGAAGGTCGCCCCGAGCTTCGGGTCGACTTTATGGACTACAGCCTTGGCTGGCGCCGATGGAACGGAGAATCGGCTCTTTGGGGTTGTGGATGGACGTACACGGCTCGGATCGAGGCGAGGCCGGCTCTCGAGGACTTTCGGGGTGGCGATTTAATCATCATCCCCGATCATGCGATCCTGCAGGAGGTATGTCTCAATGAACACTTATGCGGTGTGGTGCTCACGCAAATATATAGTATGTCTTGGAAGAGACGGAGGATCCTGCATGGCAGATCTACCACATGGTTCCGATTGACGCAAACTGATGGCCGCGGTGCGTCATACGCAAGTAGAGTTGTCAAGGCATAGGCCGGGGGGATGCGTACGGGGGTGCCTTGACCTGAGCAGCTCCGGGATCAAGGGCTATGACTAGTGAGGTAATGTGAGTCGGAGCATCAACACTGAGACGGAGACTACGCGAAAGACAGGTATCCAAGGGAGTGGGATTAGCTTTGCAGGAAATACATAGAATACACAAAGGAGGAAATATCGTCCCTGCGGGACATTGCTGTCAATTTTGAGTACGTTTCTTTGTCGAATTTGCTTTACCTCGTAAGCTATATTGTAGGTGATCACGGATGTAGGCTTGCATGCCGCAAAAACTGGTCGCATTCCTACAACCCCACGCTAACACGTGGATCGGCTGTAGTGTCAAGTCACCCATGCTGGAGAAGTATGTGGAGCGCGTAACGTTCAGCAGAGTGAACGCGGTGATACTTGATGCATGGTAAGCGACGCAAAGTGTGACCTCGTCCAGCAGGCGAGTCAGGCTCAACCGGTCAACGATTGAGCACATAACTTGACCGAATTCGATGACAACGTGACAGATCTAATCGTTGCAGACAGACTTTCCGATCGTACTCAATCGAGGGCGCGGCTGCTTCGCTCCTCATCCGCACCTTGACATTCCTTTCGAGAATACGCATCCTCTCACGGGAGGTTGATTAGTACTTACCTGCCCGTCGAGGCCCATCGTTGCTGCGGGACATCCTGAAAAATCACCAGTACTCCCTGGAAGTTTATCGACATCTAGGATCAAGGTACCTCTTAACAGCCGCGAGCTAAGCGTCTGGCCATCAGGTCTTCAGTCACAGGCTCCATTTGCCTTGTTCTCTGATCGCATTGCGGTGGTATTTTCTGCCATCGAGTTGTTGGCGCCACCCAAGGATATATTGCGCAGAGAGGATGTGCTACCATCTCATTACCATCACCTTTGTAGAGTCCGGCTGCACTTGCCAGCACCAGGCCATGAGACACTTTGTGAGTCGCGCGCGCCCTTGTCAGCGTCATTCATCATGCCCCACTGATAGATAGACTATAATGACGCCCACTGTCGGCTAAACAAGCTCCATAAGCTTGTCAAACGTCATTGCGTGAGCACAAAGATGCGAGTGCCCACCTGCTGGTAGACTTCGCGCAGTCGCTGATGTTATCGCGCAAAAGACCTCCCGACCAGTCGACCGTCTAGTATAGGAGTACCTATCCGTGTCGCGACTCTGGATTCGCAGCCTCCTCGAAAAAAATGACACGGAGTCAGATACAGAACCGGAAAGCGCAAAATGAAACGGGATACCTGCTAGAGCATTGGCGACCAGGACCTACTATAGTGACGTTACATGCGCTTGACTCGGAGTTCATGGGATGCATCCAGAACTACGCCGAACAGTCGACGTGACACTGGGTGTCAAAGCTTGCCGAACAGAATGCGCACAGTGAGTCTGTGGCATCGTGCTGGGCTCGGACAGCAGCGAAGCAGCTGGATACTATCGTCACATTCAGGAAAGGCAGAGCTTTCGAAGACTTCTAGGAGATTAAACAAGGTTTATCCGAAGCCCAGAAGATGAGGCAGCTCTAAATTTGATGGTAGCATGCAATAGACTATTATACACATGCAGAAGAATACAAGCAGATGCGCAAAATCAATGCAGTCCAAGAGGGTATTATAATGGCTCGATTTGCAGCCAAGAAGACGACTTGTGTTCCAGGAGAGACCTTTAATGCCGGCAGTAGCAGATGGTTGAGCCAGGGCCAAGAGACATACGCGAGCGAAAGCAGCACAAGAGATTGGAGTATGGGTGGGAGAGAGAGATCGGGGATCTCCGGCAATGCCGCTGAGCGCCACTGTGGCGGGGCGCCGGTACCCCACTCCCGATAGTCACCTCGTGCCTGCCAGCCTTGTGCTCACGCTCTCGAGACTCGCTCTCCCAACACACGGAGCGACATACGAATTATGTATGGTGCCACTGTCGGCATCATGGGGGCCGAGGAGTCGGCCTGACAGAGGATAGACTGACTCAGAGCTAGCTCATTTTTGCACTTCGGGTCCTACGACCACTCGCCCCATTTACAATCTGTAGCTCGGATCCAGATTTACGGTGTGTAATCAACCAAGAACACGCTACCCATTGGATATGGCCTTACGTGACGAGTGCATGGGGGCATAAGTCGTGAATCGTTGGACGCTGTTAGTGAGTCGTGCTATCTTCCGCACACAGCTGAATTGACGTCCGTGGCTAATCTGCAGCTTTGAAATTTGGTGCAGAGAAGGCGCGGGATATGAGGGGCCTGGGCATCGCGTGTCGCAATCGCAAGTTTCCCAGAAATGCATACCGGGCATGCCGAACCTTGTAAGGACTGGCATACGTCACGCGAATAAGTAACTCTTCAGCTTGGAGCTCTGGAGGTAGGAACCGAAATAATATGGTTGTTGCAGGACATGCTACGATGTTGTTTCATTGCAAAGGCTCACCGCTGTTCGGGACTTACCGTTCTCTTCCGTGTTCCAGACTTCGGCAGGAATCCCTCTGAGGCGTCCATTATCGATTGCAATCATGGAATAGTCTATACAGTCATCCAGGTATATATTATCCTAATCGTTATCTCCGGTGCACGATCCTTCCCTCTTCCTGTGTGCCGAGCACGTCCAGAGGCATTCCCTAGCGAGCAGAATTCTGCTTTCTCGGGGGTTCTCGATCGCGATACTGCTTCATACCCGAACCTCCCGTGATGGGTATGCACATGCCGCCCTTGTGGAGATGGATAGGAGTATGCTCAGTAAATATTATGTTGTCGTTGTGAGTAATGTTGCGTCAGTCTGTTTTTCAGGTGGCGCGCCAATGGGCGTGTCTGAGGGCTGACGTTGATTCGTACCCGGTAAAAGAAGTCGCAAGGAACAACCTCGCTGAAGTGTCGCTGTCGCATTGGCTACTTCAAACTTATAAACGGGTGGTCTTCAGCAGATACAGACTAGCGACAGAATGTTGTGCGTATACGTATCGCCGATGAGGATCGACGATTCACGCAGAAGGCCGCTGCCCTTAGAGGCTTGTGCATTGCATTGCGCCTCGCAGCCTACACTCTCGATCCTTTCTGCAGATGTCTAAGAATTCGAGACGTATATCCATTGTCATGTCAAGCTCCGTGGAGTAAAATCAAACTCTGCAGATTGAACGTGTCTTGAAAAGGGCTGCAGCTTCTTCACCACAGGTCACCATCATATTGTTCCCTGCTACTCCAATATATTTGATTTTCAAGCCTGTATAGTATTTACATGGAAGCCTCATAGCCTATGTCGGTGAAGCAGAACATTCAACATGCACACCGCACTATTATGATCGTCCTACTCGTATGAACAGGCTATAATATTTAAAGGTCTACCTAACGGGAGATGAACGCCGGTTTTCATGGTAAGAATGTGACGAGACGCGTCTGTAACGCAACCGTCACGCGCACGTGACAATTGTGCCCTTCATCAACGCGCACAACTGCTATGCGCAGAACGCGTAGTTCTTTACGCCGCCACCCTATCTTCTTGAACTCACGGCTAGATAGTCGCTATTCAATACGACTTCCACAATATAACTCTGCTCTTCGCTGCTGATTCTCTGCGACTCTCGAATACACACAAATTCGAAATGGAGGCTTTCGGAGGCATCACACACTTGGTTCCGCCACTTTTCAAGCGCGGCAAGAATGAGGACTTTACACGATCCCAAGGATTGTTGAACGTGAAAATGTCACCGTTGGACGATACCGTAGCTGTATATGCAGCGCTGAATGTATGTCCGTCTCACCATAGCTTATGCTGCTAACCTGAGCTCGACTGTCTCAGGGCGACCCACAAGGTTCGCGGCCACGAGATGCGACAACTTCGGACATCTATTTCGCGAAGGGACATATCGCTCCAGCATCAGAGAGGCGTGTTGTAAGTGCTTCCCCTTGAGTATTGGCAGCACCGCCGGCCACCGCCATGGGTGCCGCCTGTGACCCTTCAGGAAGCGAATATACGGCTTGCACAGGGTTAGATTCATGCACTTTCAGTTTCAACTCCTCCAGATATCACATATAGGATTGTGGTCCTGTATTATCTCGGCATCTCAGCTGACATGCTTCAGTTCATCGTAGACACCTCCGTGATATTCAGCGCGATGCAAAATCTCAAGCGGCATATCCCATCCAAAGGGGTAGAAATGTATAGGCTCATGACTTATAATTTTGTGCACCGCTGATGTATCGTCCAGACAAAGGGATCACACAGTAATGAGCGCACTGCACAAGCTCTCCTGCGACTACATCCTCTTCTGCAAGGAGTGCTGTTTACATTGCGTTGTGAGTACGTTCACATTTCCTGCGCAGGGGTGTTGCTGATGGACATAGCAACCGGCTCCCCTCGAGGCGACCCAACTGGATGCAGAGCACTACCGCAAGCTGTACTCATGTTGGGATCTGTTCAGTGTCCTGTACACGCCCGAGCAAAACGACATCCCCATGGGAGATGACCTCATGGAGTGGTTGAATACACATTATGTCGAGCCAACATCAGAGGAGGGCGACCACCTGAGCAATCTCGACCGGCCATGGGAGGACGAAGCGTTTTGGCCGTATCTCACAAGGTGATGCCGTTCTGGTCCTGCAACGTTATAACCCCAACTGACGCACTGGGAAGGGCCATAATGAGGGGGCTTGCGAAAGCTTCCACGTTCTTCCTCGAAGTTCTCTCGAAGCATTCATCAAGGCACCTTGCAAATTTTGCCCAGCAATTGAAGACATTGGTCGAGGAGCACCCGCGTTTAAATCAGTTCTCTGCTGAGCGTGATTTTTCTGTCAAATCGTGGAAGTGGCGCGACCAAATAAAGGCTCTACAACTAGAGCTTGCCACAGTCCCAGATGAAGAACGCCAAGACGAGTTCGAAAACTGGTGGGATCGCTTCAGTGGCATCGTCGGAGTGCTAGCGGGCCACGTCGATATGTCGATCAAAGTCTGCAGAGAAGTGGGTGCCGATTGGAGGGAAATGTGTGCCCTGTGGTGCATCTACGTGAACCCAACACTTCGCAGGTTGGATTTCACGTACGTCTGTGTGTTTTGGCCCTATCGACACTCGCTGACAGTCAGTGACAGACGCATCGCCACCACAATACTTGACGAGATGCCCGCAGACCCCACCAACTCTGAGGATCTAATTCACTCGGCCCTTTTTCTATGCGACGGGAAGGAGGCAATTTCCGAAGCTTTGCGAATGGATGTTTGGCTTGCGGTACATCTGGCTGACATGCTGGAGCCGCTGGACATCATAGACAAAGAACAGGACGAGTAGGTCGTCTTTCGCTCCTGCCCATAACATAAGCTGACCATAGCCGAAGTGCTGGACTTACTTTACGAGATCATTGCGTGCTGGCCTACGTCGACTATATGCGTTCGGACCCGACTCTCTGGCGGCATATTGTTGACTACCTATATACCTGCGGCGGCATTGGCGAGGGAATGGCTGATGAGATGTTGATGCGCGTGCCGCTAAGGCTACAACCACCGCGTGGCGGAACGGCCACCGAGGAGGAAAGTGCAAGAATCCGTGCGGGAACTCTTGCGGGCGTATTGAAGGAGGTGAGCGCAGCATGCGCTGAGCACGGGCGGGAGGCAACACGGAGGGCGATATGTCGCATCGCGGCGCAGACGTTCATGCAAGAGAAAGATTACGCGCTCGCGGTGTCATATTATGCGTCGGCTGAAGACTGGCCGGGCCTGGGTCGTGCAGTCAACCGTATATTGGACGAATATGTCGCGTCAGGTACAGTGCCATCTTGCTGTTCGCATGGACTGACTGAACTGACTGAGGGCGGACATGCTATAGGCAAGGAGAGATTCGGGAGTCTGGTTGCGAGGATTGCTCCTTCACTACAAGCTCTCCGCGCAAATGATAGCGCCAATGCGGTGTTCGTCTATCGACTGATGTTCGCAGTGCGGTTCGCACAATTTCACCAGAACTACGCGAGAGGATCGCTAAAGGCTGCGGCCAACGATGTGGTCTCGATGTTCCGGGAGGACCTCGTGCCGAAGTCGTGGTGGGCTGTGGTGCTCTCGGACGCTATTGATTTGTTGATGAATCGTAAGTGTACTGCAATTATCTATGTGCGATTATTGTCCTTACATTCTTTAACCAGTTGATCTGATGTTGTTCACATCGGAAGATGCAACTATGTTGCTCCACAGGCTGGAGGAGATCACCATACGGTCCGCGCAAGGCTTCAGCGATGACTATCTATCTGTGCTCGCGAAAGCGATCAAGAAGAACAGCGGGGAGCTACACGCACTGCAACGATTGCAGGTCGTGCAGTTGGCACTGACGAGATATCACGCGCGATGCGCAACAATGAGGGTTGGAGGGAAGACAATCATGACTGCCTTTCCCTAGGGTCACCTCGCACGCATTGTATTCGCATAGCTCATCATTCATATTTAGTGATAATGCATAGGCATGGGCTGGCTACACAGGGGATTCTACATAATATCTCGTTTCTCATGATGCATATGGACTTCGTGGGGTTGTTTGGGTGGATTATGCATTACAGCAGATCAGCGCGACTGAGCGCTGATAGCGTAGTTGCGACTGTGTATCAAAGGGTGCGTCCAACGAGCTATCTAATCATCTAAGCTATTGACTCCGTCATTCCTCCAGCATTCTCGACAGTCAGCGGCACGAACCAGGTCATTGTGTCCATTTCCGCCTACCGAGACATTGCAAAAATTGAACACGCTGATCAGCTAATCTTGTCTCCTAACGGCTACGCGACTTGGCGACGAGGTGCTTCAACTTCTGGAGTTTCAACGCGTCACCAATTTCAACATCCTCCTCGATACAGCATAAGATCGAACACCCAAATCCGACAATACGAGTGATCATTGCCCGTGCAGAATCTCCGGAAAGCGTACAACAAAACTATAAGTTACATTATACTGATACAGTAATCGAGAATACGCCAGAATACCCTAGACAGCTTAGGCACCGAAACCGTAGAGGGTCCGCCCTGACCGCTTGAGAGCGTAGACGACGTCGAGAGCAGTGACGGTTTTCCGCTTGGCATGCTCAGTGTATGTCACAGAATCGCGAATGACCTGGATAGCAACACGTCAGGAAGGCTTTGACCTAAGAAGGCCGTGGCACATACATTTTCGAGGAAGATCTTGAGAACACCGCGAGTCTCCTCGTAGATAAGACCAGAAATACGCTTGACACCCCCTCGACGAGCAAGCCGACGGATAGCGGGCTTTGTGATACCTGCAGGAAAGGTTAGGTTAATCGGCATATCACTATCTGAAAACCCTACCTTGGATGTTATCACGAAGAATCTTGCGGTGACGCTTGGCACCACCCTTTCCGAGACCCTATCGCAGAGACCATAAAACTTGAGAAATGTATCAAGTGATGTTACACAAAAACCTACCTTGCCACCTTTTCCACGACCAGACATTGTTATATGAGAATGATAAGAGGTTTGCGAGGTAGTAGGTTTGGTATTGCAAGTGCGGGGAACGTAAGTGGAGGTTTAGAGGCAGTAAGAAAGACTACTTATATATTGGACGCGCTTGTGGCGAGAAAGAGTGCCAGACGCGATCACGTGTCAAACCTTATTTTGTTGAACGCGATTCAACGCGGCTAATTCCACGTGTGCCCGATCGTGGCGCGTCAGGGCGAGACCGCATATAAGTGCCCTCCCCAACTTAACATCCGTCTATCGCCTTCCACCACATTCATCGCCACAAATTCTTCAAACAGCCCAAATTCAAATCAATCAGCAATGGCTCGTACTAAGCAAACTGCCCGCAAGTCTACTGGTGGTATGTGGCCTTCTCTGTTAGTTGCTATCCGGCGTAGTCTTAACATCGTCGCTATTCCAGGTAAGGCACCTCGTAAGCAAATTGCAGCTAAGGCAGCCCGTAAGACGGCCATGGTAAGTTTTTGAGCTTTGGATTTTTTCAAATATCAATTGCCTTAATCAATTGCCTTATTTTCTGCCTCTACTAGTCGTCGGCAACTGGCGGTGTGAAGAAGCCTCATCGGTTCCGTCCCGGAACAGTCGCCCTCCGGGAGATTCGTCGTTACCAAAAGTCAACTGAGCTCCTGATCCGCAAGCTCCCCTTCCAACGTCTGGTCCGTGAGATTGCTCAGGACTTCAAGGTATGTTTCTTTGGTGAGACTACATTAGCCACTGTCTCACTTCGCTGCTTTCAGACCGATCTCCGCTTCCAATCATCTGCTGTGATGGCTCTCCAAGAGGCATCAGAGGCATATCTTGTCTCACTCTTTGAGGACACCAACCTCGCTGCCATCCACGCCAAGCGTGTCACTATCCAACCAAAAGACCTTGCATTGGCGCGTCGACTTCGTGGCGAGCGATCATGATTGTATTTACATACTGTTATCTGTTGAGGATCTAGAGCTGTATAACAGGTGTATCATATGTACCGCACATTTCCCCTAATCTGACATTTTTACCGTTGTAACCGGTTTCGGCAATATGGACGTTAAGGCTATGCCATAATATAGTTACGAATCTCGTACAGGCGGTGCAGGTCATTCTGCTATGCTCATGTCGTTCTCGATGGTATTGTCCGTGGGTTCCAACGCTACGGTTTCTTCGCTAATTTTGTTAGTTGACCCAGAAGCCTTGGCCTTCTTTTGAAATGTATCTTGTCCTGCCATTGTAATATCTTCCTCGAAAATTCGAAGACTAAGAGCACTACGTGGTATGACAACATGAGCCTCGGAATGGCTTCATGCAAACGCGGTCAAGACGTACCTTTTTGCCCGTTTGTCGAGCATCAGTGTTATTGACTTGTTAGACTTCCATATAGGAAGCACAAATTCGTGCGTCAGCCTATGTGAAAGCGTGAGCGGTGCTCTTAAAAGATGCACAAGACGAGGGAAAGCTTACGTCACGTTGTCCGCTTGCCCCGGCCGGAAGCGCACGATATAACATCTACTGCTAGCTAGAGCCGTTGATAGCGATTAGAGACTGAATTCAGAGATGTCGAATGTGCACACCTTTCGACTGCAGCAAGCTCTTGAAGGGAGCCGGGAAGCTCGTACACAGCGGGTAGTATGACTCCATCATGACCCTGAGCGTCGCGACGTCCGCCTGTAGTATCGCCTCGGGCTCGATGTGCGGTAGCACGACAGGCAGGCCTTCGCTAAGCACGCGGAACTGCATCTCCGCGCCTTCCCGCTTCGCACCGGCGCCCTCTTGCTTCGCGAACACCTTCGTGCCGCACGTCATGAGGCGCATGCGCGTGTAGTCGTTGTGTAACACAATCTGCTTGACGATGTCGTTCGTCATGTAGAGCGAGCGCACGGGCTCGCCGCCGGGGTTACGCACAAGGATGTTGGAGGCGGGGAAGTCGGGCTTGAGGCGCAGCTGCGAGCTGTATGGTCGGTCAGCACCGTCGGGTGCAGGAGAAACATGGAGACATACATGCATGTCTGGAGGAGCGGGTCGTCAGGGGAGACGAAGGTGTATGGGTTTTCGTTAAAGTGTGTCCCGCCTCCGTCAGACCCCTTGCCCTTGCCCTTTTTCCCTCTCTGCTGCTGCTTGAACTGCGCAGGATCTGTTGATGAAGCGGGCGGTTGCAACGCGACGCCTGTGGTTGTGGCGGGCTCTTCCAGAACCTCGTCATCCTCGGCCTGATCACCATCGTCTGTTTGTTGTACAACATCTGTCTCTGTCGGCGTCGAAGAGATATCGAGCTTGAATTTCTTCACGCCAGACGTCTCGAGTCCCTCCACGGCGTCCGCCTGTCGCTTTCCCTCGCTATAGACTAGATGTCAGAGAAAGCCATGAACGATTAGAAGCTGAGACACGCACGATGAGCGGCTGACATCAGACTTTGGCGGGACTTTCTGAAGGACCGCAATGAAGAAGCCGCCAGTGTCCTGAAGATGAGGGTAGATCCGGATGCTAGAGTGTACTGATCGTCAGGTACTACCACAGAACAGTAGAATGTGTTGGCTGACCATCGTGTCAAGTTCAGGCTGTCGACTTCGCTGGCTGATGGCGGCCAGTGAGACTCGAGCATCTTGCTTTCCGCGCGTTTGTCCTCTGGTAGAGACTTGACATAGTCATCGTACGTCACGAAATCTGTCGTGATGTTACGATCTACGGTTGGCGTCCAAGTCGTCAGACCGGGACGGTGTTTGAGACGAGGTAAGTGATTTGACATGTTAATGAGTTCGAAGCCTATTGGCCGTAAAGCAGTAAGACATCAGCTTCAGTAAATGTCAAACAGAAAACACGTTTATTCACCCGGAATAGACATCAAAGCGGTCGCAATGACAGCCTCGTTTTCCACCGGGTTCAGAGAGCAAGTAGAGTAAACAATGCGTCCGCCTTTCTTAAGCATTCGCATAGCTCGCTGGAGAATGCGGAGCTGAAGACTGGAATATCATGAGCATTCACCTATTGAATTTGTTGCAGCGTAGCTTACCAATGAAGACCATTGCCATCCATGGGCTGCCAGTGCTTCCAAATCCCGAGGTTCTTCCTTAATGTCCCATCCCCACTGCACGGCACGTCGCAGAGGATACGGTCGAACAGAAGCTGATACTGCTTTTTCGCTGCGACGCGTGGCTTCGTGCTCGATGGGAACGTCGTCTGCTCCGATGGGATTTTGATTGCGGGAAAGATGGATGCGTCATGATTCGTCACCATGAGTGCAGGAGAGGGAAGGCGGGCCGACTGGTGGATCAGCATGTGCGTCCGCTTGTGATCGCTGTCGTTGGCGATGAGGAGACCGGTGGGGTAGGATGATGAGGTGATTGAGTCGTGCGCGTGGAGGGCTTCAAGAAGTTGTGCCGTCTTCACTTGCGCTGATAAGTATAAACGGGAGTCTCGAGCACGAGCATCCTACCTTAGAGCCCGGGGCCGCACACATGTCAATGACCTAGAATTCCGTGTGAGTTCTTAGCTGCTATGCAAGGTGAACAGCACACACCCTATGATGGGGCTCGACCTCGAGATATAGCGGGGGCAGCATACTCACGGCTTCTTGACGGGAGACATTGCCCTACTAACACATGAGAAACGTGTCTATTCGCCATCAAAGTATACCAGGCATACCACTTCCGTCTCGAAGACAAGGAAATTGTGGAACTTCTTAAATTCCGGGGACTTGCGTAGCACTTTTTTGGGCACATCAAATTGCCAGGCCAGACCTTCGGGATACCTAGCCCTATATCAAGCTTTTGATATTCCTATGCAGTGTGGGCGACGCACCATGATAATTGTACAGGCGGCGAGACTGATTCTCCTTCGAAGACGACATCGGCGAGATGGGGGACGTATGTGTCCCTGATGGTGTCGTTCAGAAGCCTGGCCGCCCTGAGACGGTGTAGTGTAACTCAATGAAGTGCCTTGTCGTAAAAAGTGTTAGACATACTGTCGGCTTCCAGCAACACGGAATGTAGTCGGCAACGGTTTCCGCAAGGATTCCATGAACGGCTCCCACTCCTCGTCAGAGACGATCTTCTGTGCCTTGTAATACTTCTCAAAACGCTCATTGTGCATGTCATCGCTTTTTATTACGCTAGACCTGTATGCGTCGTCCGTGCGGTCTCCCATGTTTACATCGCCCCCGGTTGCTCTCCAGGCTCGTCCTCGGCGAGCTGCTTTCTGTTTTGGTGTTTAGTGACAAGGTGCGTGAGCAGCGGTATTATACCGACCTTGGTCCTAGTCATTTTGTTGTGCAAAGGGTAGGAGAGTTGAGGTCGAGTAACCGAGATAGCAGAGCCAGACGCGTCTCAGCATCAGAATATCATGAAATTCTTCGCGTCGGCTTCTGAGGGGCACGTGCTTGGACGCGCCCTAGAACGTGACGAGACGCGTCTAAGTGGCTGGCCCTCTCTTGAATCTTCCGACTTTACCTGACGTTGCCTCGCGCATATAAGGTGTGAAACTCTCATGTACAATACACAGACACAGGACCGACACCCAGATCTGACAATACACCATTGGACGAGGCTGGATGACGACTTGGCATCCTCACAGCACCTACTTGAAGCTGGTCGTCGGCTGTACAATGCAGCAACCGATATTGCAGTTTGGTATGAGCCAAAATACTCATCAGATACTGCGCAATTAAGTCAGCTCGGTCACTGATATTCAATTATATACTTACAAGTCGTTCTGTACAGGCAACCATGGGTCGTGCTTCGTGTATTCCAAGCCACCTCCCAGAGTTGCGTCAGATTCGTCATGGCATGGGCATATACACTATCCTGAGCTTAAAGAGTGGGGCGCTGCCGTTGATGAAGAAGAGCTCTTTCTAACCAGTGAACTGGAAGAGTTCGAAGACATTAGCGTTGATAGCGTATGGAAGGAAGGTTATCAGCCACCGCGCCTGCCGGCGCGAGATATTGCAGAGGATAACCATATAGTGAGACCGGCTCCGGCTGTCGAGACTGTAAAGAGGCGAGCGAGTACTGACTTGGGCAAGCCTCTTGTGGAGACCGAAGAACCTCCGAGGAAACGTCGACGGCTCGACGATGATAGCCTCTACACAGCGCTCCCTCAAGTGAGTATGGTGCACTTCTTGTATACCATGCCTCAACGCATTCACACTATGTAGCCACACTTCTTACCCTCGCCCTCCAAGCTGCGCTCATTGCAGACCCCTATTGTTGATTCCGCGGGCCTCAATGCGCCGAGGAAAACTCGGCCCATCTCGCCACACTCGGCTGGGTCTCTGAAAGATTACCTCGAGGACCCATATGCTCGAGCTGCGTGGATTGTCCCTGTGCGTGGATTCCTGCCATGGGACTGTTCCTCTGCTTGTATGCTCAGTACAAAAGTGGCGCAAGGCGAACCCGAACAACATAAAGACCAACAATTGCTATTGCCCTGTCCGCTTGGCGGTGGCTGTGACGACATGAACGTCGAAGGTAGATCTGATATAACATGGACCGCCGACGCGCTGGCCGCCTTCTGGAATTTTCTGCTCTCTCTTCGGTCGGCGTGTACGCTGGGGCCTCTGTCTCTGTCCTTCCACGCAGCATCCGCGTCCCACACTGGTCGGTCTGCGTCCTCGTTTCCCTCAGCTGGGCATGCCCAGGATACCCACTCGTCTGGCGCACACTCACGAAATACGGGAACTGCTACCGACGCACGACCGCACAACCTACTCTCCGTGGACCATATCAAGGTGTATCACGACGCGCCATACTCAACACAGATCAGGAACGTGCTCGCTGCGTGGCGGTACACGTATTCGTGCTCTCGCGGTGCAGCCGCCTCGGATTCAGCTCAGCTCAATGGATTGGACATAGATAACCACGATTCCAACACAATGCACTCCCCAGAGCGCGCGGTGGCTGGACATACCGGACGCATTCGTTTGTTCAAGGGTGCCAAGCTAGTGCTGGTGAATGAGAGGTCCAAGGGTATCTTGATCTCATGATCGACAATTGGCTTGGCTATCCCACCTGGTCCCAGGGCCCGCTGACTCAGACGAACACCTCATTTCAATGTTCGGTCAGTCTGACTACAGTGCGCAAGCACCCCTCGGCTCGGCCAAGACAAGGCGCAGTCGACCTTGACTAAGGAGCACCAAGTAAGACATCTGGGACCTAGCATCTCCTCTCTAAAGCCTCTTTGGCTAGCTTGTGAGCATGATATGGGAATTAACGCGGCTTGACCTGTGGTCTCCGGATGTGGCAACCCCCTTGCAGTACCTTAGGGCTTATCACCACCGCTGCTGCACCAGATTGGTCAGGTCTATCATGAATGCAGTAAGTCTTGTTAATATATCAATGTACATTCTCATTGACCAGATGAAAAATCAGATTAAGATGTACAGCATGTAGACGCTGCTAGGTTGCAAACGTCTCCTATTTTCGAGCTCGGTATGACTGTACCACTGGATGACACAGCTAGAGTGAGTAATTCATGACATATCTTACGAAGAGACTCCGGAAGGTGGTGTCGAACAGCCAGGGGTTTGGAATTACACGGTGGTAAACGATCTGTGAAGCACAGCTATGACGTCTCGAATTTGCAATTTGGGCATGATGACTTAACTCGAGGTCGACGCCACATCGCAAACTGACGTTTATATACCCCACGGACACAAACACACTACACCTTTCTACCCGGCCCTCCCCCTTTTAGCTTCGACGACCATAGACTCAAAATAACACCTAACGTAAGTCCCGCGTCGCCACAGCTGCGCGAACTGCGGATTGCTGCGCCTGGACCGCAGTCTGAACTGGGATGCCATAAATGGCAATTTGCCGAGATGCCGGCCGGGATTGTGGGACGATTGTGGCGGGGATCGTATGGGGGAAAAGGGCGGTGCATAGGGTTGGAAGTGTTCTTGTTTCACGAGGTGCAGGTCACTAGCTCATAGCCTGCGTGCTTGGCTGTTTTGCGTTTCGTCTTCCGCTTTCCTCGCTCGCTCTTGCAGGCAAGCCCTTCTCGCCGGCCTCAGTCCCGTGCATCCTCATCTCCGTCAGTGCCGACGTTGCCGGCTTGCAGTGCGGGTTCGCGCATCATTTCGGCCGTGGCTCCAGGCTGTGACGACTGCCTACGGACTTTTGGGATTTCCTGACCGCTCAAGGCGCAGCGCGCAGTGTCCTCTTGTCTTTGCACCCGTCATTCCAGCTTTCTCTTTCTCTCCTTCTGGACCGTCGCTCACTCGGCACGCTCAGCCTTTTAATCCGATACCCTAGTCACGCCAACTCACCGCCATAACAATGCATCTCATCCCCCTTTCCCTTGCAGTCTCATGTCTGCTGTCTCTCCTTCCCGACTCTCTGGCTGCGCCCGCTCCATATGTCATTTCAACCAAGTCTATCGGTCTCTCGCGCAGGGCGCCCCAACGTCGCAGCATGTCAGATCTAGGCGCGTCGCTCAGGAGACGGAAATTGGCGCTGGAGGCCAAGTATGGCATTGGACATGCGAAGAATAAGAAGCGGGCGAGCGGAATGAACTTGTGAGTTGCTATGCCTTATTTTACTTGTTCTTGTTGATCAGTTGCCACTCAGGATCACTAATGAAGATGCGGACTCAACGTGCGTTCGCGTTTATGTTTGAACCGTTCATATTTGACGTGTTCTATTCAGTTTCTTCGGCTCTCTTGCCGTGGGGACACCGCCTGTTTCATTTGATATCATCCTCGATACGGGTTCTTCGTAAGTATTTTTCATAACATAGCTGCAGGGAAATGTTCATGTGCTGCGCAGAGACTTGTGGCTCGCATCTGAGACCACCAGCGGCACCTCTGATATTCCCAATGGCATAACCACGTTCAATCCCTCCTCTTCCTCCACCTTCAAGGACCTCAACAAGACGTTCTCGATTACCTACGATTCGGGCGAGGCCGAGGGGACCCTCGCACAAGACACTGTACAAATGGCCGGCTTCAAAGTCACCTCGCAGACGTTCGCGACCGTGAACGAAGTGTCGAACAACGTGTTGTCCGCACCCGTGTCAGGTCTGATGGGTCTCGCATGGCAGCAGATCGCGTCCTCGGGCGCGACGCCGTTTTGGGAGGCCCTCGCGTCGTCGAATGATACGCTCACGCAGCCTCTGTTCGCGTTCCAGCTGACACGGTACAACAACGACTCGAGCGTGCAGACCCTGGAGCCCGGAGGCACGTTCACTATTGGCGCAACGAACGCGAGCTTGTTCACGGGCGACATTGACTACCAAGATATTCCTTCAGGCCAAGTCGGCTACTGGATACAGCAGCTGAGTGGTGAGTGATGCAATAGTCTTTGAGAAATTTGTGGAAGCCTAAACAATATTTTGATTGTTGCAGCCATCACAGTCCAAGGCAACTCTGTCACTTTGCCATCGGGCTCTTCGTCGTACGCCGCCATTGACACGGGCACGACGCTCGTTGGCGGGCCTCAGAGCGTGATTTCCGAGATTTACGCGCAGATTCCGGGCAGTGCGGCAGGTACAGGCGATCTCGAGGGGTACTACACGTACCCCTGCTCGAACACCGTGGAGGTAACGCTGAAGTTCGGATCAAGCTCGATAGCCTGGCCCATCTCGGCCGCGGACTTCGAGTTCACGTCAACAACCGACGGTCAGACGTGCATTGGCGCCTTCTTTGAGGTCGACAATTCGGGCACAACAGCGCCTCCGTGGATTGTCGGCGACACATTCCTCGTGAGTATCTTCCCTGCGCCAGTTCATACGTATCGATCGTGCTGATCTCTGCGTGCAGAAAAATGTGTACTCAGTTTTCAGCTACAACCCTCCTGCGGTCGGCTTCGCCCGACTCTCCGATACGGCCCTTGCCATGAACGGGAAGGCCGCTGCCGCACCTAGCCCGACTATCGGGTCTGTGGCTGCAGCCGTCAGCGCGACGAGTGTGAGCACCGGCACAGACCGCGTGTCTGGCGCTGCTGTGCCGTCTCTCAGTCGCCCTTGCATCTCGCTGATCAGCGTTTTTGCTGCTGCGATCATGGGCGCATTCCTGCTCTGATGTTGTCGCATCTCGCTTGGTTATTATAATGGTGGTGCTCATGACGGATACATGCTCGCCTTGATGGACGGACTGCGGTGGTGGAACCCAGACAATCGTAACTAATGCGTTCGATCTTCGCTGTGCTATCGTTGTCGTGCTGCGACTGCGTGGACATTGTAACATAGGGTAATGCTTGGTACGGGATTATTGGTTGTGCTTGAAGGACATTGAGTTAATCCCGTTCAAGGGGTTGTGTTTAGGAAGGTAACGTCAAAATATGACTGAGTGTCGAGTGCCTGAAGCAAATGGGCCATTAGGTTTGACTCACTTCGTGTAACTTGCGCTGTTAAAACCATCCCCATTTCATTTGGTCCCAAACGTGCGATTCGGCACTGCCTTGACATGCCGGGTTTGATTATCCACTGTATCCTGGTCCTTAGAGGTGAAGGTCGGAACGAAGCGAAGGCTACATTTGTGAGCATTTGTCGCGCCCTAAGAGCTTCCCTTTATGCAGCCTTCTTGATCTTGAGACTTGCCATAAAAGGAAGGTGTGTAACCCAATCTGGAAAGGTGTGATACTACTTACTTAGCGCTGAAGTACCGTCATCTCACTCTTCGACGTTCAAATTGGTACGTTGTGTGTTGATAGGTACCTGTTAGTGAAAACCCGACTTGCAGAAGCTCAGGCTTGCTGTGCGTACAGCTTGATGACGTAATCGTCGGATTCCATTCAAAACCGTCCTGTTTGAACCGGATCGTCAAGGACCAAGAACGTCCAACCCCGGTTTTCCGACGTGTCACTACCGAAGAGGTGGACTAACTGACGTCGCCGACGTTCAGTAAGCAAGCCAAGGCATGGACGAGCATAAACATTTGCTTCCGCGCGGAAACACCGTTTTGAGAGTCCTCTCCGCACTTTGGTCTTGCATCCTCGCGACAATGTCTGTCCGGCTTCGGAACTGCCACAGGCCGATTCCCGCAAACCCGCTATGCCATATATTCACGACAGCGCGACGTACAACACTTTCTCTCTCCTACATCCTCAACCCCCCATCAACATAAGCGCATCTTCGCTCAAGCATGAGTCACGTCAGCGGAACGCTCATGCCCACAGGCCTCTTACATTCGTCTCTTGGCGGGATGTACTTTGGCGTAATGATTCAATCAGTGTAGGTTGGCTTCGCCGGTTTCTGTATCTTGAGTTATTGAACTGCCGAGCAGGACATATGGAATGGCCACAACTCTGACCTTTCGCTACCTAAGAAGATATCAAGGTGACAGGAAGTCACTAAGAGCAACGGTGGGTGCAAATATACCGTCGGTTGTTATCAGCACTGACATGATGATTCTCCTGACAGACGTTCATCGCTTGGTAGTTCACGTCTGCAAAATCGGATGCGATCGCAACGAGGCTAATTGTATTATTGAACCCGCAGGGTACTCTGCACTTCTTGCCTAGCCGTTTCAATACACGCTCTCTATTTCTACACTATTTCGAATTACCCGAATTCCGCCGCGTTAGAAACAAGCCCATGGTAAGCACTGTCTACATCTTCCAAGCCGTTCGCTTTACTGATCATGCCCTTAGGAGTGTTTGCGTATGTTTGACACTAATCTGACATCCTACTACACCCATGCTGACTCCTCACTTCAGCTATTTTCTACGATAATAGTGTGTCAAATTTCACCCGTAATGGCGTGCCACTAACGAAGGGGCTAGGGCCTTGTTGTCAATCTCGTACGGCTGTAAGTTTGCTCATCGATCCAGCTTATGCGCTAGCTAAATGTCTATGATAGAATGTTTTTGGACCGCGTGCGCAGGCGTAAGTCCCACACTCGTCCACAATACGTTTTGCTAAAAGGACACGACGGCCTAGTGTACCGATCTAAACATGAGCTCAACTTGCTCCTCAAGGCATTATTAGTCTTAACTGTTTGTACAATTTACCTTAAGATATCACGGCACTGACGGTCTCTGCGCTTTAGGTAGCACTTATACTCGTGGATTTCGGTGGGCCATTTAGTTGACAGCACACAAATTTGTCTCACATTTACCCGCATCACAGCGGGAGGTCTCGGTATGTGACATCACGCTCGTTATAAGCCTGATCCTGCTGACGCTCTCCTGTAGTTATCACCGTACAATTGTACGTCCATGCCATAGATTTCGAGTTGGCGTTCCTCAGGCTCACTCGCAGTCTACAGGTTTATAGGTCTCAATCGTCCAGGAAGGCCCCCCGTTCGGGTATGTCAACGCGTTGAATCTAACTTCCGTGAGAGCGCTAATTCAGATCTGTTATTCGCTTGCAGCGCATTTGGATTGCTATGTTCGCGCTCGGCACTGCGGCAGATGTGCTGCTTGTGGCCATGCTTGTGGCCTGCTTGAATAATTCCAGGACAGGTATGCAACGGTATGTGCTTCCTGCAGTTTCGTCGCACGGTTCCATTTAAGGCATGCGCGGAAATTATAGGACAAACTCGGTGATAAACCTGCTCATCCTGTACTCTGTCAACACTGGTGCGTGCGCGATAGCTGCGGAATTTCATCTTTTATCAATGACTAATGTTACTTGCAGCTCTCTTCCCAACGTGAGTATTAAATATCGATCGTTCATGTCATATATCTCACAAGTCGCTCATGGCGCGCGATGCAGAGTTATTGGCATCGTCTGTTTAATAGTGGTGAGTGGTCCGCCATGCCGGCGAAATATCATCTCCTGACGATCGGGAAGTTTCTCGCAATGCCGAATTCGCTGCTTTACATACCCTTCTACATACAAATCGCCAATTGTAAGTCCTCTTTCAATGGTTACGTCAGGCGCTGCTCATAATTCTGCCATCAGTGTACCTAGTATCTCTCGTTGCATCGTGCGTTACCTTACGAATCCTAGGCAATATCCGATTGGCAACTCATTCATTTCCGTAACAGCCTCAATCATCGCGAAGTAGTTCTAGAGCAGATGAAGAAGCCGCTTACACTCGATTATTCTGCCTTCGGTCGCTGCGGGCGCGGAATACATCCGAGAACTGGCGACACGCCTACCGACTCCCAGTCATGGCTCTCGTTCCCGCGAGAGCTTCCTATCCAAACCGAGTCGAGCGCAGGGTGGACAGCGATTTACGCATCCACGAATACGACCTCGGTAAGTCTTCGCAGAGTAATATAACAGGATCACGCTGATGGATACCGTTTCAGACATCAAGCATGCCAATTACTCCATCGGAAAAGAGCACTTATGGCGATCAGTTATCATCTGTCGTCGAACTTGTGGTGGGTTATCTCTGTACCCTCCCGTCACACTCTTATAAACTCAATCCCAGGATATCGAGTCCGGTGATAGGCACGAGGAGCGATTGAAATAACAGAAGCTAGAATACATATAGAAATGTTGGACGCTATACGAGCACTTGTATGAGTACCTGTACCATAGCCCAAGCATAAGCATGCACATACATCCATGCCGTTGAACCGTATCGTACACATGATTGACAAAGTATGGAAGGAATGATGCGGCCGTTTTTGCGTGTCCATATCCGTACATGCATTTCGTGATTATTCCACGCGTCGTTCCTCAGTAAAAGTCTTCCATATCGGCCACCCCTTCACCGATGACGACGGCTCGCACACCGGTTGACCCACTTGCGTTTTCCTGCACCTCGTCGACACTCATCTCGACGTCTTCATTGCTACCCTCCTCCACACCCTCGGCGGCCTCGTCCAGGAAGTCGAGACACCCTCGTCCACATCCCCTCCACCTCACGGGCACGCCGTCCACGCCGTCCGCCGAGCCAATGTCCACGCCCGCGACAACACGTTCCCACGTGAAGCGCTCCTCCGCGTGCTGCACAAAGACAGGCACCCGTCCGCCCACCCACTCCCCTTGCGCTGTACGATGCAGAGGGGACGGGCATACGCCAATGCTGGGCGGCGTATCCTCATCGTCAATGGTGCTGTCCTGCAAGCCAGACACCGCAGGGTGCTCCGGCCTATGCACGGAGCCCGTCCCGTCTCTGCGCGCCTTTTTTGCGGGAGACGTCGTCGCCTGAGCCGGTTTCGCGACGGCAGCTGGGAGACACGCGCGTAGAACCTCCATGACCGACGTCGGGTACGCACCCGTGCCTGAGAGCGGGAGCGAGTAGTAGGCCTCGAGAACAGTCTGGGGACGCGCGTTGGAGTACGCCGGTGCGGCAGGCGCGAGGAGAACGCGATAGCAGAGCTCAGTCAGTGAGGGTACCGTGAACCGCACGTCCGTGCGCGAAACCTTTCTGCCGGCGGTGCCCTGCTTGACATGCTCTGTCGTCGCATCAGGGGACACTTCCTGGAAGTCATTAGGCTTCAGCCATGGATTGGGGCTCAGCGATAGCTCCATTAGATGCATGTCGAGCATCTCTGCTGGAAGCCAGCGCAGTCTGTTAGAACCCAGGTGTAGAATCCGAAGATTTGCCAACTGCACGATTTGCGGAGGTATGACTGACAATCTGTTTTGGCCTGCAAGACATACTATCAGCGGCTCTTCACACACATAGTGTATGGGCGCAACATTCATCATGAAACCTCCACATGACCATCGTATTTAGAAAGGGAAGATCATGGGCTGTCTGAGCTTCTGTGCTATGCTACTACTGCCTCCGCCAGAGAGCAACCCCAAAAGCATGGCGTTCATGTAGTGGATGACTTACGCAGTATTAGGCTGGCCGTCCTCGTGAGTTGGAATAGCTCGGCCGGAAGTGTCTTGAACAGATGACCACCAAGCCGTAGATGTAACGCCCCCAGTCCGGCTGGTGGCGGGGACGCCAGCCCGGCAGACGAAGCAGCCTTAACGAGCGACTGGCCTTGCTGCGACGATGCAGCACGATCGAGAAAAGGCCTAGAATGTTCAGAGAAAGCAGGCGCGGTCGTAGAGCGGATGAAAGGACGATCGCGATTGTAGGGTGGGGGCGTCCCGTTCTGCTGGTCATTCCGAGTGAGAACTACGAGGCTGGCAAGGTCCGCAATAGAAGGCGGAATATATGTAAGTTGTGTGGCGAGAAGTCCATAATTCCTGCCACGCAATGAAAGAGACCGTGAACATTCAGCGTATTCGACGTGCGAGTAGTAACGTACCCAATTTCGAAGTTACCATCTGCTCTGTCAATTGCCTGTGTGATCGCATTGTCCCATAAACTCAGCTCGAAGCTATGAGCGACGGATCCGGCAGGAGCAGCATGGGTAATGTTCACTGGTACTGCGTCCACTGACGTTGTTTCAACATCAGTCAGCGATCCCGTGGACTGCCGATGGAGCTTTCCGCTGTCTGAGCTCCCTAACGTCGATGTTGACGGGATGTTGCTCCTGGACGGCGTGCGCGAGTATGACTTCTCGGCACGGGCCGCCTTCCAACCACCCTTCGCAGACGCCGCAAACGGATGGACGATCTGGGACGACGTACGCGTGTACACATTATGTTTGCGCGTCGAGCTTACAGGGGAGCATGTGCTCCCAGACGCATGACTAGGCGACTGGTCGTCTCTGAAGATGTCGCAGCCCTCCCCATCGGAATGGTCGTGTGCACCGACACGGCTTGCCGTAGACTTTGTCCGGCCCCACCCCAATGTATCGTAGCGCTTCTCATACCTCGGAGGATGCTTCACGCCCTTGGTAGACCCTGCGTACGGGTGTGCGAGCCCTGGAGACTCGGGGGGTGTCGAGACGGGTCCGATGCTTGGGGACGACAGCGGGGACGAATCGGCTGCCCCTGGTGAGGGAGACGAGGGTGAGGAAGAGTCAGAAAGCATAAAATCGTTGTCAAGCTCCATGTCAGACATTACGAAGCGAAATATTGAAAGAAAGAGAGAAGAAAGGGAAGAAAGGGAATGGCTGCACACCCGGCGCACGCCTCGGCTACGCGATCGCCTCATGTGATCGCGTGCATCATTTCTCTCATGAATTCAAATTCGTCAAGGCATCGTCAAAACTCGTCAAATTCAATGTTCAACTTCTCGTATCCTTACTTCCTAACCTGACAATTCTCACAACATGACCGGAAAACTCGGGATACTCGCTCGCTTCTCTCTGTGTCTATTGCTAGCATTTGACTTGATGTCCAACACGAAGGCACATTCACATTTCCAACGGAGTTCTCTGACCACTCGCTCAGACTCCCAATGCCAACCGTTCCAAAGCAACTTGGGCCCCTCTAGTGTATCTAGCGATGGCAGTAAAGACTTTGTTGCAATAAGCCCGAGCGGCTCGTATAGTACTTCTGGGAGTGGACTGGAGCTCTATCTCAAGAAGCCAAAAGGAGCCATCACAACCAAGGACGGGGTGAACGACAAGATCGGTGACGGTGCCACTATCAACTCTACGTTCACCCTCCGGTCTGTCCATATGATTGCCTGAAGCGCGGGATTTCCTTGACATCCACTCACACTGGGGCGTGTCGTGACAAAACAACAGGTACGGGAAGGTCACGATCGCGATGTCTGGACCTGCAGTTTCAGGAGTGGTCACTGCAGCAATTCTCATTGGTGAGTTTCCAAATATGTACCGCTATATAAACATGTGAATCCATATCCTCATCTTAGCCGACCAAAACGATGAGATAGATGTTGAGCTTGTTGGCGGGGACCCCACGCACTGGCAGACTAATGTCTATGCTCCGAGTCCAGAAGACACGCAACCGCTCTGGGGCGCCTTCGGCGAGATTGAAGACTATCCTAACGGAGGAACTCTTGATGAGTATCATCAATATACAATTGACTGGAATGCGGAGCGCATCGTCTGGAGTGTCGATAGCACGGACGTACGCACTCTCAGGAAAGGTGGAGTTTGGTCAGCCCTACAAGGTCTCTTTGTTAACACACGCCTACACCGTTGCATAGATCAGACGCAGAAGAACGGTGCGCTTCATTTCCCCTCACACGCGACACGCATCCAACTCGGGATCTGGGACGCAAGCTCTCCCGCCGGAACCGCACAGTGGGCGAAGGGACCCATCGATTGGACTACGGCACCATCCAAAATGACGGCCAACTTCAAGAGCATCGTCGTGGAGTGCCCCTACTAAGAACGTCTTGTGCCTAGGCAACTACTCTGGACTTCAGGCAACCCCACCGGTGTCAGCTTCTGTGTTCGGTGTCAGCTGTATGGACCTCTGTCGTGTCCCCTGTCTTGTTGTGTCTCACCTACGTGTCTTACTGGCTTTTGTACCGAGATTCCCACCGTAAAAATGTATGGTGACTCTATGTGGCATAATAGAAACCAACATGTGCGATTGCATATGTTTTGGTTCGCCCGCCTTTAAGCAAAATCCACGTTGTCCAGCCGGCTATCAATTTTATTCGCTTGCAGCGTGCATTCCAGTCGCTCCCGCGACGTAAATAAGTACTTCTAAGAGACAATGCAAACGACCATGAGCGAAGAGATAGACACCATTATACAGTGAAATATCGGTATAATCACAAAATATCATGATTTAGTGACTGCCCAGCAGAAATGCCCACACCCTGCGGCACAGGGATGTCCGTGCATGGCTTGTCTGAGGGTCGGCACGTCGTTGTCCGTCAAATCGCCGCCGCTGGTCGTGCTTCCACCCATACCGTGGCTGTCGTCTGAGCTACCATCACTATCAATGCCAGTGGCGGATCTGCTCCTTGAAGGGGCACGTCCGCTCTTCTTCGGAACGGTTCCCAAGTCTGGGATTGAGATAGTGCTTAGGCGAGGGCGGCGGGACTCCGGCGGCTCAGGCCCAGCTAGCTCGACCAATGGTCGCCGCGTGTAGTAGTTACGGTAGCACTCCTGGTGGCCTCCGTGCATGCATACCGGACACTTGAAGAGGAGGGCTCGGACGGGCAGATGGCTACAGTCAAATATTCCCTGTATTAGTGTTGGAAGACACATTGCGCAAACGCACTGACCATATGGTACATGTAGTGATATTGTTTCGACAGGCGACGCAGTATGCGTAGCTTCCTGACGGCTTACCGGAGGGGTGCATTTGCGTCGCGGGCGCAAGGATGGGCTTGCGGCAGCGACTACAAGCCGTATAAATCACTGTCTGCAACTGAACACATGGTCAGACATCTTCTGAGTGCAATCGTCTCGTTCTGGGTTTCTCACTGTAGTTGTCGCACGGATTTCCTCCTCATCCACGAATTTACGCATGTAAGCTGCTGGCGTGTGCAAGCGCAGGCGGCTCAATATATCTGCAAAGTGTAGTCAGTAGCTCGTTCACATTTACTTCAGAGGCCAACCTATGTAACTCTGTATGAGTCGTAACCTCCGTTCTTTTGACACCTTCAATTGCTGGGGGGCTACAATCGCGAGGAATGCGCATAGCTGTACCCTGCCCTGGACGATATATCAACATAGAGACAGAAACATGATATCAGAATCACTGACTGTATCAGCGAAGGATTCGAAAGCTTCTCTAAGTGATGCCCATCCGAGCTCGCGATATCTAGACTCAGCGTCTCGTATGGCTTGACAGTACTCAACATCCACGACTGTGCCTCCGTCGAGGGGTGCAACCGCATCGTCGCTAACATAATGGTCCATATCAGGGAAGAATTCACTGGAAATTGCCTGAGATCTAACACGACGATGATGCGGAGATGCAACAGTGGGCGTTGACACCTTTCTCCGGACCTGTACGGTATCAACGCTCCGCACGATGTCGTTGTCGTCGAAATCTTGATCAACGTTGACCGCGGTCACCGTTTGGATGCTGCTATTTGAGTCCCGCCTGATGAACATTCTACGGGAGGAAGGGGATACGACCAAGGATGCGACTGTTGAGCTGCGACTGCGCGTTCTGCTCCGCGTTGTGCTCCGTTTGCCGCGCCTGCTTGCTGTGCGTCTGGATGATGAAAGGCCTGAGTCCGAGTCGCTTGTGGATGCTGGAGATGGGGAGTCCTCGTCCTCTTTCTCATCCTCTGTCCAGGAATGCGCATCGGCAACCTGTGAGAGCGGGCTCGGATGGGGCGTGTTCGCGCGTGAGTGAAGGTGTGACGGTGTGCGACCGTGGACCTCGTCTTCGTTTTCATTTTTGGTCTTCAATGCGTCGCCTGCGGTCGCCCCTTGGTTACCCTCACTGTCGGAGTCGGAGTCTTCGAGGGCACCATCTCCGACTCCCTTGTGACTGCCTCGGCTACGAGAACTGTCGGTGGGTGAGTCGCTGTGAGCACTATAAGTGCTCTGCGCGAAAGAGGATCTGCGAAGGGACGAGGGCATGCGCGGACGCATAAGCGGTGTCAGTCCGGCGTTCGACTCACGACGGGCAAGCAGCGTTGCTGGCAATTGAGGGAGAGCACTGGATGTATGATGGGGAGACGAGGTTGTGGAGGACGACGGCGTGAGTCTCTGCGGAGACTGCTTTGACGAACCGGGCCTATCATCACTGTTCTTGGACAGAGACCCGGGGCTTTTGTCCTTATGCTTGATGGTGGAATCGTGATTTGTGGACATGGACCGCTGTGGATGTGGCGTGATGGGCTGGATCGACGTTAGTGTAGGGATAGCAGCAGGTGCGGATATTGAGTGTGAAAGTGCAGGAGCAGCTTGGTGCACCGATGTCGGTGGTGGGGACGGAGGGACGAGGTCTGTGAGCAAATTTTCGAGGAGGAACCACGTCTGAGCTGCTTCTATTTTCCCTGCATCCATGGACGCCTATCCAGTCCGATAAAATTTATTATTTATAACACAACCTGCATGAAGTCAGACTTGCCTTGGCATTGTGCGCACAAATATTCGTCTTGGTGTTACCTTCATAGATGTACTCCCGCGCGAGCTTGACAAAGGCGTCCAAGTCGTCACAATCACCATAAACAACGGTACCCATATTCTGAGACACAGGGACGAAGGGGCTGTCTCCAGGCTTTTTCGCGCTGCCCTGCCAGCCCTGCATGGTCGCTGCGCTTTCGGAATCGCTAGGGCGGGATAGAATTGTCAGTTTGCCGTTCTGGGAGCACGCCGTGTAAGCACATACAGGTCATCGTAAGGTATTTCCCACCGCCTCGGTCGGTCGGTCACGAACGCAAGCGATCCCGCCGCGTCCCATGTGGCCGCGACGCGGGGGATAGCGTCTAGCGGCTTGTGCGAGTAGCGTAGGTCCAGCTGGGAGAACGCACCGGTGGAGTGCTGCGCCCACATTGCGTGAGAGTCGGCGAACGCTACGTCTAGAAGAGAGCACATAAACTACCCTCATTCACACAGTGAACAGGACGAACCAGTTACTCCGCCCTCTCCGACAGCGTCGTTGACCGACCACTTGGCGATGTACCCTCTGCGGACATCCCATATTTCGACTGGGTCGTTGACATTTGACGATCCGGCCTGGGACCCGTCTTCGATGCTGTTGATGCTCTGTATGATGTTGAGGGATGTTGCGCCTAATAGAGGGCTGGACATGGCGCTAAATAACCCTGGAGCACTACCAACTGCAGTAGATGGGCTTGCGGTGGGATTGTGCATGTCTGTGGTGGAGCCGAGATCAGTGTTTGAGACGATGGCCAGCTCACAGTCATATCCGGGTCGCCAAGCCACACGCCGCACGGGGTAGGATGTTCTCAGCGTGTATGCTGGCTGGTGATGAATGTGATAACGTCCAGGAGGCGTTGTCAAGTCCCACACCTGTGCGACCAAGTAAGCATCGTCACGCAACGCCAAGGAAGCGGGGTGATAGAATGACCTTCACGCATCGGTCCAGCCCTCCGCTCGCAAGCCATCCCAAGCCTGCACCATCCCCTTCCCTGGCACCAGAGCCTTTCGACACACCGCCTGACCCGGGGATGATATCGTCCAGCAGCCCCAGTGCCGACCCGGAACTGCTGTACCAAGAATTTGGCGTGCTTTGCTGGGCGGGTGAAGGGGAAGCGGACGTCGAGGACCAGTCAAGCGCGAGAATGGGCCCCGAATGGGCGGCAGGTATGCGGTCTAATTGTCCTCGCTGCCCTACGTTGAGATCCCACCTAGGATATCATTAGTAAACGCAGTGCGAGTATATCATGCGTGTACCAGCCTGTATATGCTACCGTTTTCGAGAGCGGTGATGGCATGCAGAGGCTGCCAGGCTACTGGGGATAGTACGACCGCTCGCACGGGGGATGGATGTCGGATCCACATGATGGATTTTGAGAGGTCACGCAGATCCTGTGTAATTGCCAAGCAGATGTGCCGCTCGTCAGATGCAATGGCAACGCAACAATGACGATGACAGCTAAGACGCACCCAGACGCGTAAATCACCGTCAGCAGAGCCAGTGAGGCAATAGTACGTGAGTATTGGAGAATAGGCGAGGGCGTGAATGGAACGAGAATGGTCTCGTGTTCTGCGTTCTATGGGCGTAGAATATTCAGCGGTCTGGTTATCTAATCCCAAACCACATGCGACAGGGTGTCCCCATGGAAGATGAAACCCATAAGAACCAGCTCTCACCGTATTTTGACGGTCCGGACTTGTTCAAATCCCACATGATGAGTTCACCATTACGCGCACTCGTCAATATTTTATTGCTGAATGCTTGGAAAGGACTACAGTTACATACATAATAGTAGAATGGAGAACCTGACGCACTGTTATGACCCCATACTACATCGGTGCTTGCGCTCTCCACATGCAGCCCACTCCCATCCCAGAAGTTGCGGGATGCTTCGACGCGATATCCGCCTCTTCCAGTTGCATGTTTGTGTTCCGCGGGATGCGCAGAACCCACAGTTGACGGCGCGGCGAAGCGTAGAATCCGGAGTGCTATTACAGTGCATCAAAGCGACTGTCGGAACGAGGCAGAAAACCGGATGCGCGTACATTCTCTTCCGGCGACGACGCATCTGCTTTCATCTTCGCCCTTCGCTATCGCACCACCTCCCCTGGATGTCGCGCGCGATAGGCGAACATGTCGCGTCGGACCCTTGGGGCCATGCGTACGGGAATCGGAATACGCATCCGGCGGGACGGTGAGCAGCGAAGCTGGGCCGATGTGCTGTATAGATGGACGCTGAGAGACCGATGGAGTTGCTAGAGGCATGTTGACAGGGTAAAAGCCGCGTATATCTTGCTAACGCGACGTATGCACGTCCATTACCACAGGCACCTGCCCGAAGTGAGCTTGAAGGTGTGCTGAAACAATAATCTGCTTCTGTGGGATCAAGAGACCACGACTAGACTCGAGATTATCAGCTGGACAATGTTCACCTAGCGCATATTGCTACTCACTGAGCTCGACTTTGCATGAAAATGGACTGGAGCAAGCGGTAATAAGGCACGTAACAGATTGACGTTACGGTCGAACCAATCTCTGACAAACCGCCTCCCGCGCGCGTGCCGTATTTGGCTCACCTGCCTATCTTGGCGGCTGCTGGCACCTCTCATGTCCCGTCGCTGATGTTGCTTAGCACAACCGTTCGCGCTTTTTTTTGCCTTATGGTAATCTGTATTTTTGAAACCCCACCCGAATCTCAGAGCACAGGCATACTACATCTATGTTGGGACTTGGGACTGTGACGAGCGCATGCCATCGTATTTGGCATTGCTTGTAATACCTCGCAGACTTTGCGCCAGCTTTTTGTACGTTCCTTATGAGCTGAGACGTACACGATATATCTTTGTCGATCGTTCTCGCTTAGGTCTCAGATAGACTTCAACATTTCATCCATATCTTGCTCACATTGGCCATCGGACCTATAGCTGTTGATACTCGGACTCACGTCTCTTAGGCCAGGTAGCCCACATAGCATCCTATTTTCCGTATTATAGCCAAGTTTATCAAGACTTAAGCAAGCTATGCCTGAATGTCCGAGTAGAGTAGGGTTGCTGAGATCATATAGTGCGGCGTGCCATATCTTATGAGTTAGATCCTATTGACTGAGCTGCATAGCCTGTCCATTGGAACAATGTCACACCATGATCTGGTGCATGCTTTCAATAATATCTGCTATATCATTGTTTATTAGCTCTGCTGCACTTGCCACTGTTGAGGTTCAGCCGCCTTCAATCGCCGGTTACTAGGATAGGCAAGTAAGCCAAACAGGGCACGCGCTGGGTGGTACAAGCTGAAGGTATGTTCTCACACTGCATTTGCTCACAAACTAGTAGAACCGGCTATGCGAGACAAGATCGAGGCGCGCTTTATTCGGAGCACATACATGTAAAGATTGACCTTCTCGCTCAAAAGATTAGATTTAAATCAGATTACAAGTGAATAGCGCATATTGATCTTACCAAAGAAGAGATTGAATGAAACCCAAGGAAAGATTGAATGAAACAATAGGATACTGATTACATAATCAAATCACCTCGATCTTGATTAAATTTTTCTTCCATATTGGGCGCCAGAATACCGATCAGGCGGATCCACTGTTCATACATTGTCATTCAACCTTTTGTATCAGGTCAAAAGGTTAATCAATAATGCATGCATTGAGCAGTGTTGAACAGGAAACACTTGTTCAGGGTAGGTGTGTACATATCAGGCACACAATGGCGAGTGTGCGCGGACGATCTACTTCTGCCAACAACATAAAGAAGTAATATCCATCAATACCTCGCCTTATATGTACAAATGGACGATCTCGAATGTAACTGCATGAGACAGTGTGAAATCGACGAACTAATCACGGGAGAACTTGACTAGCTCACAAAAACTTTCGTAGGCGTAACATGCAGAAATTCTATGTCAACGGAGACCTTTACTACTTGAAGTGCTGTAACTGAGTCATTCTACTTGTCGCCAGCCATTCTGCGTTGCCGGAGCTAGCCGAGCGGACATCGAAACGTATGTCGCGCTCCAGGGTAGTGAGTTTCGCTAGGGGGGTGCAGATAATCCACTCGCGACTACCTACACCCACCACGAAGGACGCAAAATTTTTATCGGCGCCGTAAGACTAGCGTCATTCATCTGCTTTTTTGTGGGGGACACGGGGCCAACAGCCACACACTGACAGCTCCGCGTCGCCTTCTGGCGGTTACCTACTTTCCCCCCGCCCTGTCATTATCAAATCTCGCCAGCTATGTCGGCCTGGCGTCCTCCGTGGTGTAGCCACACATAGTGTCACCCACAGCTAAACCGTCTGAAACCGAGATGTATTGTCTGCAAGGCCCATACACTCGGCGACCAGCCAGACACGTTCCTTGTGACACCATGCCAAGGCCATGGAATTTATCGAAGCAGGTCGAAACGACGAAATGACAACTCACGATTGAACAGAGATGCATTCGCGATCTATAGTTTGTTGCAGACTCGGAGATCCTGGAGCCAATCTATCGTTCGCGGGCGTCTGCCAGAAGTAGCGGGAGAAACAGCCCAGTCATTCACGGACTGTCTCCGGAGGCCTAGGCTGTCGCCATCCGTTGTAGCAATGGTGTATTTTTGAAGTGGACTTCATGCACTAACCAGCATTTAGTGATCCGCATGAGACGAGGATAAGCGGCTAGCGTACAGGACGACTTACCTGTAAGTCCTCAAACGTATGTGGCATACTGTTTCTGTAGCATCATTCCTGATTGCTGGTCGGTCTCAACACTCCTGCCCTGTGGTAGCCCTCTTACTTGGTCATGGTCGCCGGAGAACAGAGAGTTCAAATGCTCCATACCTGCAAACATCAGTGTGCAGGGTTTATGAAGAGCCTTCGTGCGGAGGGACATCTTAGCTCATCCGATGCCTGCGTGTAATCTGTGGCTCAGACCGGCCAGCTGAAATTGATGGTGACCTAGAGCCGGATTGGTCGCCTTCTACAGGAGATGCACTGACCGCAAAGTCCACCCATCACATAATAGCGCCAGAGACGAGCATAGAGGACTCGGAGGTATCAAAGGCATTCGGATAGTGAAAGCCACTCAACAGATCCTGTTGATTTGAATATCCTGCGGAAAGGTGTGTTGCCGTCACGGTCTTGCTGCCCAGATGACGTCGAGCGTGCTCACCTAGCTCTGAGCGCAAGACCCGGAGTTGTGTAGGCTACGACAGAGGCCAATTATAACTCATATTCCGGACGAGAGAAAGTCAAGATGGTTTGCGGTCTTGAGCACGCCTAGAAGACTGGTCAGTGCATGCCGTTGCGTACCATCTCGCTTACCTCGATCTAAATGCAAGGCCGCAGGCGAGGATGGCATGATGTCAATATGCATGGACAATCAGTTTCTTTGGCGAAACAACCCGGTGCCTTTAAGAGATATTCAAGCTCGCATCGAATAGGGCATCTCGACCGAGTGGTTGCCCATAATCACCTGAACATGTCCTGCCTAGAAGTGCGCGTCACCAATTGATGAGTCCGTCCAGCAGAGTCTTCTCCCATGGATGCTAGCGGACGTCGATGCAGGAACATGTGGAAGGTGTGCGACGAACATACACTGTTGCAGTAAGTGTGAGAAGTGACATTTCGGGTACTCGCCCGTTCTGATCTTCGGTTGAGTCTCAGTTCGCTTTCACCGCTTCCACGTGGACTTTGCCATCGTATCGCCGTTGTGCGCGAGAATTCGAGCGGCCTCTGCTCTCTCCCGTGGACAAGTCACCCAGCCGACAATGTTCTAGCGCGTGACGGCACCTAGACTAAACCTTCCTCTCCTCCGACGTCCGCGCTTCCTCGAAATCCATCTCATCATCGTCCCGTAGGGCTGGGTCCGCCGAACCCTTTCTCGCCCGCTTAAGCTCTCCAGAGTTCCCAGCGATTCAGAGTATCATTCTACACCGCGGATCGCTCTCAAGAGTGGCTCCACATGTTCCACTCCATGGACGATGAGCACGATAGGAAGGTGACCGACAGCTGTGCGTTTTGGTAGACGGGTTTCTATGAGCTGACGGCATCGGGCCATTTGCCCGCTGAAAGCACGACGTGTCTAGCAATGGTAGTAAACCTCTCCGGAAAACGAGTCGCCGTACTTGGAGAGCACGGTATGGAAGGGCTGGTCCTGCCAGCTGGCAAGCGTTATACCTCGTGTGTTTGGGTAGGTTTACCCAGTTGACAGTTCGCCCCCAAGACGTGATTCCGATAGACAATGTCACGCCTAAGTCCAAAGCCTCTTTCTGCCTATCCTACCAGTTCTCCTGCCTTTAGTAGATTAAATTCAGAATCAATCACGCCCTCAAAGAAGACGTGATCCAGCCCGAATTAGCGCGAATACAACACCTTCGTACAATGGATGAACATTTGCAGATACGTTGCGTAATCGTACACGGCACTGATAAACTACGCGTAACTCTCATTTGTCGGTCTCTACAGGAACATGCTAATGGGTACGTGAATGTTGGTTGGTCAAGTCCATACCATGCATTTGCCTCTTGTCTTTGTCTAGCGGACATTCAGGAAGTACTGTCACTCTCATCGCCTTCTACCCCTGTATTGCCATCGCCATCGTTATGGTTAGCCGGCGCATTGTGTGCGCCGTTCATTGAGGTTGGCTCGGTTTGTCCAAGGCACGTATGACAGCGGCCCTGTCGGACCTCCATCACGAGTGCCTGGTCGGGGAGGATTCTGAGTACAGGCCAATAAGTACTGTCGGTGTTGCAGTTGGCTACCACACCTACATCGCAGTGCACTGCTGCATGCAGTCGTGCTCGGTCGGGTTGTGGAGCCTGCTCAGCCTACACGTCCACTGGTTGCAGTCGATCTGTGCGCATGCACACCCATCATTCGTGTTCGGTGCACGCCATGTTTGGTAATGTCATGTGTCGTACGCGTGTTCAGCGAGCAGAGAACTTACATAGTGCCGCTGGTCCGGAACCTGGTGCGAACACGCATACTCTATGTGGGTGACGAGGTGATAGCACATCTCCCTGGTGCTACGGAGTAGGCGCAGATAACAGTGCAAGTCTCGCGGAGGGGTCGTTCGTGCAGGAATGGCGACGAGTATGGACGCGTTGGCGCGTTTATATCGCGTCAAAGAACGCGGTCCTGGACATGCAGGGACACCGGCGACCTTCTAGCAAAATGGCAGCGCGGGGCGAGGCGTGTCGCAATTTCGCGGGGGATTTGGAGGCCAGCGGGACGTGTCAATGTCTTCGGGCAGGCTACATTGGGGCTTACGGTGGCTGCACCTGCCGCCGGAGTTACATTGATAGCCTGCACCATCCAACCGCAATCGTCAGAAAACGAGGTGCGCAATCGGAGATCTATCGAATATAGGCTATGACGATATCATCATACCTCATACAGCCTGCCCGAAAATCCATAATGCGACATTCAGATTAAGGTGGAATCTCGCGACCTCGGTGCGGAGCACTATTGTATAGGAAGCGAGGGATACGAACGTCAGCGCTCCGAGAACGGATATTCTTGGCGAGAGCATTCAGGTCTCAGACGTCGGTGGGCCGCGTGATGGCAGCTGAAGGGAGATAACCGTGGAAACCCTTGGAAACAGACCGTGCATGTCGCTGGATAACAGTGGGACCTCAGGCAGCATGCACAGGTCAAATAACGTTGCGGATTCGGACAGTATAGACGGTGAAGAGCCAAGTACCGGGAACAAGGCTGTTACAAAAGAAAATGATTCGTGTCGTATAGGTGCATGGGCGGCACGAGCCATTCAGACCGACTGTTCGAGCCTTGGGTCGAGAGCGTGTGCGACAGGCGGACGCCCCGCGTTCGTCCCCAGAAGAGAATGCTTACTACTATCACCTCAGCTGCAGATGTCAAGCGCACGGAGACAGTGGTGATTCTCCGGCGGGCCCGGGTAACTACGGCGCGACAATGAGTATGATTCTTGAATAAACTGCACAATATGGACGAAATGGACTCAGAAGCTGGTCATTCGAAGGATGTACGACTCAGGGTACGAGATATCGCCGAACTACGTAGACATCTGACAAAGCCAATGGTCGCCTTCAACCATGCTTCTGCGAAAAGAGACTCAGAGGCTCGCAATGAAATCGATAACAGAGCTGCAGAAGCAGTGATGTGCCAGTCACTGACTATTGATGGTAAATGACTTGAATGGCGGTGACTTTACCCACGGTCTGAGGTCTTTGCCCACAGTCAGGTGCGATTTCCACTCTTGGAAACAGGCAGATGGCTGCAGTCACTGTCATCCGTGTCCGTATATAGTTAGTAACGTAGACTAGCATCTGGCGATCCTGAGATATCATAAGAGGAAATATGACCTCGACCACCGTTGTGTTAGAGGACCCTCGGAGTCATGACTTTCCCAGGGTCAGTGGCAAGTCAGTGGCAAGTCAGCGGTCAGTGACTATGCCGGATGACTATAGACACTGACCGCACATCACTGTGCAGAAGGCAAATGCGACACTGAGGCGGGAGAAGGAAGGATTGAAGTCCGCGATTCAATATGGCTTAGCATTTACAAGGATGATTATATCAGCAAAAAGGCAGATAATCCCAAATCAGAAACGTAACAAATTGTGGTGAATTGTACAGAGTAAAAAACGATTGCATAGTCTTGTGAGCGATGTACATGTGAACGTCAGATATTGCTAGCCATTTCCCTCATTTACGTTGCACGGCCAAATCTAGGATCTATGGTCACAAACCAGATATAACCTCGTAGATCCTAGATCTGGCCACGCAACTCGACAGCTGCAGGGCTTTCGCCGATTGATGAGAGTTCAGGCGCTCCGTCAGCCGCCGTGTCCTAATTAGGTCTCACTTCTAAATATCCGAGCTCGTAGACAGTGGCGACGTCTTTGACGATCAACTTGAACATAACACTAGGTCTCCTTATCCCCGGCTTTAGCGGAAGGTCCAAGAAGCAAAGTTTTTGAGAACTTCCGACACAGTTCAGTGGGTGTGGGGCCTGCTCAATGAATACATTCAGAGCATGAGGGACAACGAACCTGCTCAACGGTGCCCCCCTCGAAGCGATCAGCCTCGCGCAGGATGCGTGGAGCATACTCGAGCAGGTTTCAGCAAGTAACACCTGTGATCGTGTGTGCTTGACGTAGGCGAACACCAGGTCACGGCTAAGTCCATTGCGGGTAGCAGTCTATCGCGCGGCCGTATCGACTACGCTTGAAGCTCGGCACTGATTAGCGCTGCTTCCTGCAGCAGACATATACCCGTCCAAGACAGGCCTCGCCAGGAATGTGGTGCACTCACTTATGACGGAATCCTGCGCAAGCATCTTTTCATCCAGGAAATAGCGTCATCGGCGCAGCGTGCCAGTGCTTCTGGGGGGCGTGGGGGAGTAGGCAAGATGCGAAGTCGCTCCCACCTTCATCCACGGAGCGGCGAGCACGGCAATATATCGCATCCCTCTCCATCCACCAAGCCTGCTGAGGCATCTTGTGGATAATACCAGCCGTCGTGGTGCTTAGGTGAGCCCCACAGCCTTGCTGAGCGATCGCGCCTCAAGGCCTTACAGGTCATGCAAGGAAGTCCACCAATGCTAGGTGTGACCCTACAGCTGCGTAGGCCCCATGATGGGTGTCAAATGTGGGTGGCATATCCTTCCCCCCCGCTCGGAGACAGAACTCCCAGGAAAGTTTGACTGTACTCACGTCCACCACGAATTTTTCAAGTAGCAGGCCAGGAGAGGACAGACAGCGGTACGCCCAACTGCGATTAGTTGTTGGTCGACTGCGCCTCACCGGCTTCCGCTCACTCGAAGCACCCGCCTAGACGCGATATACACGAACGCAAATCGCAGAAGCGATCGTAATCACATCCGTCTCAACCACTGTCCACCCCAGATCCCACAAATCTCTGGTCCGCTGACGCCAGATCTACCACGTCAATCCCCCATATCCTCTACGCGGGAAAGGATGAACGTTCTTTTCGAAACTCTCCGTTGACTGGCTATGACCATCCAGCAATACGGCTGGCCTAGCTGCGTTCTGATTATTCCTCAGGGGAATCTGACAATCTGATAATCTCACGCAGCCTATTCTGCGACGTTACCCATTTTTCAGGGCCTGACTCAGTGTGCGCATATCCACACCAAGAGGGAGATAGCCTCGCTTGAAGCGAGTCAGGCCCTGGAATTGGGCTACACCCTGCAAGCGCCCCCTGAATGATCCGCTAGATTGGATCCGTGGGCGACATGCCCCGGATCACACCGCAGATCGTGTGGGTTGACTAGCCGATCTACGCTGCGTCCTCCGACGCAAGATCCTACGGTGCGTTGTCTGCTACCTTTGGGTGGATGTATGGACTTCTGAAGCAGCTCGATGGAACCTCTTGCGCAATGAATTGCTGATGGATAGCAGGAAACGCTGAATCTCTTTGCCGGATTGTTACGGTTTTCGTTTTTCAAAATCCGGAAGTCTCTTCGATTAGAGGACCCGGGCCCGGGTTCTCAAGATCAAGCCTTTGCTCAGCAAGCAAACTACCAACTAACAGCCACTACAGTGTCTCCAAGATTCAAACGGTCCGTGATATAGAAGGGAGAACGTCTACCATCTGCCGTCTGCAGCACTGGTCCGAGTCGCACAAACCGTTTAGATCCCCATGTGTTATGTCACGAACCAACGATTTGGTATAGCGCCACCGTGACATCGTGACGGGGATACTTAGGCCACAAATGAAGGTGATCGGGACAATGGACGTCGTGTGAGGTTTAGGACATGCGCTGCATGCACATTGTTGTGAGGTAAGCACTACTTGACACTGGGCACCGCTCCAATTTGCACTCCATGTATTCGTACTACTACAGGTCGGTCTATCTAGAATACATAATCTTACAATCCAAAGAGTCCACGAGTCTCCATAGCGCTAGCATCATCGTAGACCCTCGAACGGCGCTGGAGCACCTTTTCCTGCAAGAATCATGTCATCCATGATCTCGTCGTGCTCCATGCGCTTGTACGTGCGAATGGTTTCGCCGAAGTCCGAGATGTCGTAGATGCGAACACGGCGGTCGAATCCCACCCTGCCATAGCCAGAGTATGACCTACGCCCCGCGTGAGTGAATAGGTCTGCGTGTGAATAGAAGGCCTGTCCAGACTCACCCTCCGCCTCCGAAGCACAACCACACGCCCTTGAGACGCTTGCAGTTCTCCGTCACTGACGCATTCGACGTCAGCGACAGTGCGGCTCGGGGAACAAAGTGGGACGCTTACAATGACAGTGACCATTCGAAACGACCTTCACCTCGTGCGCGTTCCCGCCAGCGCGGTGGTCGCTCTCCATTGCTTGCAAAATGCCCTTGTGGAAAAACCCGTCTTGCTTCTTGGCTGAACCTTGGCCCTCAAGGTCGTGCATACCGACATCGAGCGGCTTCGAGGTGACTGGATCGACGTCAGCGGCCGCGTAGCTCTCCTGCCTGTACACGTCACGAGAAGTTAAGAACCAACTGTTCTGATCTGAGCTAAGGGAATGTCACACACAGTGGAATGTGGAAAAACATCAATGCGTTGGGCTTCGCAAGGCGCTTGGCGCCCGGTGTGATTTGGTCGGCTGCCTGACGCTTCCAGACATCGCCGAGATCCTTTCCGCTGTCTGGGGTAAAAGGCCGCTCGATAGGATCAACCCATGCTGATTATATGAAAGCTTGTCAGCGGGGAATTGTGAGTCTTATCAGTATCAGTTGAGCCTACAAGATTGTTGAAGGAACCAGTTAATTTGGTCCTGAAAGGCAGTATCATTGTCGCGATGAGATAGAGACGAGACTCATTTGAAAAGCAAACGTGCCTGGTGTATCCAGTCATACTCTGTAGGAACGAAGAACCCGAACCAATCCCAGAAGCCCGTGGAATATGCTCCCGAGTCCAGGAAGTACAGGGTCAGAAGTTGCGTCATGGACCTATGCAATCATGTCAACCAAACATGTGCGCTCTGCACCCAGTAAGACTTACGCATCCGCACTCTTCACTTTCAACACGTAGTTCCCGACCCCATGCAGGTCTTTCGGGCCCGCCTGCACAAGGCTGTATGGGAGCCCTTGCATATACTTGACCTGCGCCTCTCTGCTTTCCCCGTCTTCGTCGTCGTGATTACCAAATACCGCTGCCCAGGGAATGCCCCTGTCAGTCACTGCACGCGCAAACTTTGCGAGGACGGATCGCGCGTCCCATGACGAGCCCTGGCCATTCAGCTGGTCGCCCGAGAACACGACAAGGTCCGGGCGCTCCGCGTCGAGCCAGCGCCCGAGCAGTGTCGCGGTCAGGTTGTCCCCCGCGCATGGCACAAGCGGCGTGTCCCGGCAGCTCCCTGAAGATACCGAGAAGTGCAGGTCCGCGATCTGCATAATCTTGAAGCGCCCGTCGTGCGAAAAGTGCAGCGGGGGAGCGCGGGGTGCCGCTAGAAGTTTGTCATTAGCATCTTGACGTAGGCAGGTGATAACGGGACGTACGGTGAACGCCTCTGCGGTATGTGATCCAGACGGCTTCGCGCCTCACGATAGGCTTGGCCTCGAGAACTGGCCGTTCGAGCCGCTCGAACCCGTACCATGGCTGGTCGTCGCCGAAGAGCACGTCGAGCTCGGTCACGAGGTCGTTCTGCCGCTCTGCCGTCGTCATTTGCAGAAGTGTCTTCTCTGTCCTATACCAGAGATAAAGCTTCTCGCCCGATGGGCTGACCATGTGCGAGACTTTGTGCCAGTCCGCGGTGAACGGGATCGGCGTCTCGCGGTCGGGCAGGATGCGCAGATCAGTGACGACAGGGATGTCGCGGCGACGCGTCCGGCGGTAGTAAATGTTCTGTGCACGCAGCCGTCAAATGTATGGTCCTTCGCTAGTGGAAAACATTCTCTTACCAAACTCATCATTCCAGACTGTACGTTCAAGTTGCGCGGGACGCGGACCCACTTGCCCTTGTACGCGTCATCCTCTTTCGTCGTTGCCGGCGCGCATACATCGCTGCGGAGGGTCTCCGCATACCATGGATCAATGAAACAAGTTGTTATATCGATCTCGGACACTGAGATGGTCAGGTCAGCACTGTCCTGTGTGCCCGACATTCACTCTGAAACGCTGCAAAGACCCAAGCGGAGGACGGGTTCAACGCCCAGCCCTGTCATGAGCCGTACCGCATACAAGGCCCTCTGCCCGGGCAGCCCAACGCTGGACATGGTGATTGCGACGGCGCTCCAGGTTCGAGAATAAAACCCCATATTCTTCCTGTGTAAAACGCTGGGGGGCATAAACCGGTCCTTCCTTCGGGACATGGACAGGGCCGAGACAGAGGGTCTTGTCCGCGGTGCGAGAGACTCAAGTGCCTCACGTTTTATCGCTCAAGCTTAGTGAATCGTATCCATACACTACATACAAAGACCCATTTCTTTGGACGTGTCGGTGATGGTGCATTGCACGGGAAGGCAGACGTTGAACGGCATCCCATTCTCCCGGCGCAGATACGACTGGAAGCAGGTTGTAGAACTACTCACATCCTGTATCATGAGGCAAGAGCGGGTCCCATACATCAAGCGGCAAGCTCGCGGAGTCGACGTTCTGCGTGTCCTGCGAGGTGACATTCCACCAATCCGTGCCTTCAGCCTGAGACGGTGTCCCGACGGTCCCCGCGCCTGTACTTGCATCCACAGAGCCGTTCACGTTGCTCCCCGACACTGATGTTTCACCGACGGCTTCCCATGCTTGCCAGCCGACGCGTTGCTTGGCCCCAGGCCCCGCATTAGGCTGATAGAGGAGGAAGTAGAAAGTAAGCAAGCACGAGAAGCCGATGAAGGTCGCCGCTGGAGAGAATATAGAGCGTAGAAAGCGTCCGAAACGAAACAAGGAGAACGCCATGCCGAGGAGAGCGTTGCGATGAAGAGAGTGAGGAGCCTGCAAGAACGAGCAGTCTGCGCACGTTCGAGTGCGATGGGGAAGCAGGAACACAGGAGACGCCACAGCACAAATACCGGTAAGCATCATTTCCATAAAAGGAAACCCATCCCACCCTCTTGGTAAAACGGAATTTTGCGTCACAGATTGAATGCGTAAGTGTATCGAGAGTGCCTTTATGTGTAGAAGCGCAAACTAGACTGCTGCAAAGCCTTGAATTTATGGCTTCAATCCAAAGATGGATGTTGGAAGGAAGCCGAGATACTGGTTAGCGCCTGGATCAACAAGCACAAATAGCTGGTATGGAATTGCTCGCTGTCGTTAGCAGCGAGAGCGTTCATGCTGCTCGCGACGATGCAGCAGTGCTTCCGTCGCCTTTATGCCACCATACCTGATGCTGCCGCGGTAGCACGTACTGCGTCCACTCCTCGCGCTGTGCGTCTCCGCCGACTCCGAATTCGCAAGACAAAACACCCAGAATTCCCCGCCGAGTCCGATGCAACACCCGAAGGCCTCACTCCCACCGAGCTTTCCCGGTACAAGCGCGAGCTGGCCAAGGGAAGTCTCATGCGCAGCGACGGGACCGACGTCAGCGAGAAAGAGTGGCTGGACCGGCTGAACGCGCGCCGGAGCCGCCTGCGCGGTGTGCGCGAGGTCGTAAAGGAGGACGGTACGACGGAGGCGCAAATTGTCGGTCAGAAGGTGTACCTACCAAACATCGTCTTCCGGCTTGTACGCAACCACACGCCGCCAGGCCAGCCGTACAATCCGTACGAGGCGACCTTCCGCATCCCGCAGTCGGTCACTAAAACGGATGTGCGCTCGTATCTGCTTGCGGCGTACGGCGTGCAGACAACGTATATTCGCACGGACAATTACCTTGCGCCTGTGACCCGCAACCCGTCGGACTTGTCAATCACGCTGCGCAAGCGGCACAAGACGTACAAGCGCGCGGTTGTCGGGCTTGTCGAGCCGTTCTACTACCCTCTGGCAGTCGAGGACATGCCGCGGGCCGAGCGCGAGAAGCGGCAGGAGTGGCTCGAGACGAGCTTCCGGGCGAAGGCGTTCGACGAGCAGCGCAAGAAGGAGCTGTTGCGGGTGAGCAGAATGGGGAGCAAGGACTGGAAGTGGCGGACGGGTGTGACGGCGAGCAGGGGTAACATCCTGCGGCTCATCGCCGAGCGGCGTGCAGCGAGGGAGCTGGCGGTCCAGGATGCGAAAAAGCGGATACAGGAGAGCAGGAAGGCTCCCGAGGAGGTTGCCACCGCATAGTGAATGCTGCAAAGTACTACTTTCTGTCACTAATGACCTCTCGTCGATGCACATCATGTTCTGGCAACGTATGCTTTGTCCGTGGACGGTCTTCGCTGCCGTTTGACCTGCTTTTTGGCAAGTAAATGTTTGAGAAATGAGAGGCGCCTGAGGTGTGCCACCGGCATAGGCGACGCGGCGCTGCATGCAGACATGCTCTCGTCTCTACGCCCACCACTCCGCTGGCCAGCATGTCGAATATCATCTCGACATTTCTCTTTCACTCGTCTGAAGCGCTCCGAACCAATAGCACCCAGTAATCTGCAGCCTGGAAACCTCCCATGGTTCACCTCCTTTCCTTCGTTCCAACAGCAGCTTGCACGGACTAGCAAGCTGCCGTCTTTTTCTGACAGCGTGCGTCGTCCGTCTGTGAGGACGCAGGTGCTAGTATGTGGTGTGTGCTCTACGGTCTCACAGACAGACTGAATGGCAATGCAGTTCTTCGCATGCGGCTCCCTCGTTGCTCTATTCGTCGGTGCGCGGCTCACAAACACGGAGACGTACGAATGGTCAAATCGACTTTGTTCCTCTGCGCCTGCATGGCGGGACCGTCCGCCCACGAACGATGAGATGCGACGAGCGCGATACTACGCCTTTGGCAAGGTGCGCTCCTCCTCTTTTCCTTTTATTGGCGCTCCCGCTGACGCCACGGCCGTGATAGGACCTGCAAGATAGCCTCGCGGTCATGAAGGACGCCATCGAGGACTGGCCTATGTCGATTAAGAACGTGCTCATCTGGACGTACATCCAGGTCGCGCAGCCGGTCCTCGACACGACCGAGACGCGGCGCCTGGCGTGGGTCGTGGGCGCGTTCAACGGGCTGCTCTACTTCATGTGGCAGTCCCCGCGCACGCGACTGCTCATGCAGACGCATTTCATGCACAGTCCGCTCTCGGGGCGGTCATATACGATGTTAACGAGTCTGTTCAGCCATAGACGGTTTGTACACCTCTGGCTGTGTTCTGCAGCGGCTGCAGCATTCGGTGAGTCGTCAGCTTGGAGCTTGTGTGTGTTCGCTGATCGTGCCCTTTTATAGGCTCCGCCGCCGCTCAGTACCTATTTGAAGAGCGCAACCACGATCCAGACAACCTGCGCGAGGCAACGCCAAAGTGGCATTTCCTTGCGTTCTTCATTTCAGGTCTGTCATCCGTCCATTCAGTGTGCTCAAGTCAGAATACTCATACTCGAGATCTACCCACAGCGGGCCTCTTTTCCAATCTCGTCTCGCACGTTGCCGCATCCCGCATCAGCTTTCCCCGCCTTGTTGCCCGCTTGCGCTCCTCAGCGGCGTCCGCCCCTCATCCTTCATCATCTGCAGCAGCCTCAAAACCCAAGGCAGGCTTCTTCGCACGCCTTCGCCTCAAGCGAACAGCCTCCCCGGAGGACATACCCTCCTTCGTTGGTGCGTCCGGAGCAGTCTACAGCGCCTTCACCGTCGTCGCCCTTGCGTACCCCGATACGGACCTAGCGCTGAAAATTCCGCCAACATTCCCATTATCCATCGAGTGGGGTCTCGGCATGCTACTTGCGCTGGACGTCATCGGTGTCTTGCGTGGCTGGAGGTCAGTACATCCCGGCTGACTCCGTTCTATGATACCGCAGAGCTGATGAGAGCCCGCCCGCAGACTGTTCAATCATTGGGCGCATCTGGGCGGGGCGGCATTCGGGGCATTTTATTGGGAGTACGGGCCGTTCATTTGGGAGGTTTGCAGGTTGTTGACGCTGGGGTCTCTGCCGCCTATATTGTGTGATGTACCGGACGAGCAGGAGGAGCAATAGATACTGAAATCATTCTGTTCGCTGTGGACTGTCTAAGTTCGGTGATCGCAGCCAGTATTCACACAGCGCTTATATAGTATACTGCCTTCAGCTTCGGCCGTCAGTCTTACCTGCTGCGCGCATCACATCACTGTAATAATGTCCTGTCGCACTGCAACCCGTCCCCGCCAGGAGCAGTGCAGATGCGGATGCGCAGCGCACTGGCCAAGCGCCCGCACTGAGACCGTATTCAAGACATCATGTACACTGATCAATGAAGCATACTTCTCTTTCCCCGCTCATCTTACTGTTGGGAAAATCTTTATTACACCTCGAAAGCCGCACATATTTCGTGATTGCGGGACCAGCACATGAGTTTGGATAAGAACCTGTTTACGCTCAATGTCTCGCCTAGGCCAGACGACCCGGACATCGTTGAGCTCATAGACCCTTTGGGTACTATACACTATCGCAAACAGAGAGTGCAGGGGACTACTTATGCGGTTGACGTTTATGGTGAGCACGCCTCGAGGATATTGAGCGCATGCAGGCTCTGCTGCCGTCCAGGATTCTGAGCGCTGATTGCATCTGCGGGGTACTTGATGCAGACCCAGTCGCAGAAAGCAAGCTGATAACAGCTACCGCCCCCAATGCTACGAGCAAACACAAGACGCTGCAGCTCTACAACCCTGACGCCGTCGTAGAATTCAAGTACACAGGCACGATCTCGTTCAAATGGGCATTCAAGTGGGAGGAGTGGGTGATACTTCGCCACAATGCAATGCGCGAAATGCTTATGCGGCTTTTAGCCATGACTTTGAATGGAGGCGGGAGGAATGCTACATGCTGCGCAAACCTGACCCTGCCGTCCTGGTAGCGGTCACAAAAGAGCCAGCCGGACGCCTGAAAACCACCTCTGTCCAGATCCTGGACTATAATCTCAACCGGTAGGTCCCCATTGTACGTATAAACCGCCAGTATGCATTAACTCCAGCTTGCAGGTTTGACATAGACGACCGGAAGGGCCTCGAGATCGTTATGCTCACCACTCTCCTCACATTACATGATGCAAATGATGCATCCCATGCCCCACGCCCGACTGAGAACGCCGGTACAGCGTCAGGCTCACCTGCGGCTCTCTCAGGCCTGCTCAACCTCCGCACCCGACGCCCATCATCCACAGACCCCACACAAGCCGCTACCCGGAATGCGTCCGAGAGCTCCCTACCTGGGATGAGCGGTACCACACCTCCACCGATCCCGCCGAGACCTCCTCCACGCATGGGCATCGAGCGCATCCAAGAGCTGCACATGCTGCGGAACTTGCAGGGCGAGGGCGCAGCAAATGAAATTGAGGTGGGCGAGGAAGGCGCCGCCGAGGACTATGCGGAACACGCGTTCTCACTGCTGAAGGTTCGTCGCAGTGTGCTTCGTGACCCTATATGTCAGGCTGACACTCTCAGGACGAGGCAATGCTTATGATCACGATTAGCTCTGCATCACCAGTAGAGGTGCCCAAGGTCTTGCGGGTCGTCGAGGAGACCAAGAGACTGCGGCACAAGGCCGGTGAGTCCGTCTCGCGCATGTCCAGGCTGTGGCATTACCCGCTCATCGCGCTGCAGGCATGGATGACGAAGAAGCGCTATTCCAATATGTCACATATGGATCCATGGGCCCAGGCCGGAAGGGGCCACGGCGTATCAACCTTAACGACCCGGAGCCCAAACACAAAGGGCCGCCAAGCACATATGCGCCGCCAAGCAGCATCATGGTACACTTGAGCAAGTTCGACATGCCGGAGCTTCGGCCAAAGCCCGAGGTGAAGGATCCTGGGCCGGAGCTGGGATGGATCGTAGACGGCGGCGCGAGCTCTAGCACGGCGCACACAGCTGGCAAGAGCGAAGACAAGGAGAAGTCGAAATCGAAAGGCAAGGAGAAGGAGAAGGAGAAGCTCCCGAGCAGAGCCGAGGCCGAGTTGCAACGCGAACTGGAGAAGGCTCAGAAGCGTGCGGATAGAGAACTCAAAAAAACTGGGAAAGGACACAAGAAGAAAGGTATGTCTCGTCCATTTGCTCTCCATGAACAGCCCGCTGATGGAATATTGGAGGCTCACCTGTAGGTCCCGAGCCCAATCGCGACACAAAGCAGAGTGCGCCGAACACGACGTACCATGTCCCAGCACACCAAGCACACCCATATCAGCCGACGCCGACGCCGAGCCAGATCAATAATCCCTTCATATACGCGGCGCCTCCCCCTCAGTTGCCGCGACCCTCGTCACAATATGGTGTGCCCCCTCCAGCGGCACCGTTTCCCCCTCTAGGTTGGGCGGGATATCCTGCGCCGCCTCCTGCGCCGCAGTCGACCAATCCGTTTCACTGGCGACGATGATGACACCCGGACTGTTATTTATTTGTAGAGCATGCTGTACGTAACTTATAGACTGAAGATCTGATGGTACAGTGCAGTATCAAACTTGCATGGTCTATGTTGTATATATCACGACTAACGCTACATATCGTGAATCTAGAACAAGGTCAATAAAGACAATGATTACTACGGGATGAGGTAGGAGTCTGGCCGAGCCCTTTGGTCTGCAGAGAGCGCAGGCGAGGATAAAAAAACACCCAGCATGTGGAAAAATGTATTGCAATTACTCACGTCGTAGTATCTAGTACTTTTCGGCCTTCATACTTGGGCCGCTTTCAAGACAAATTCTCTTCTTGTCAGGTCCACCTCGCCGTTGAGATCTTAAATCACCTGCTTGGAGCTGCACTCGGTGAACATGGCCAGTGGCCACAACTGTTCCTATCGGCCGCCCGTTGAATTATCACGCAACGCGATCTGGAACGATTCATTGGTCTGCCATTCATGGACATAAGTTACATAGTTGGCACTACGCCTCCGAGGACTCGTCAGTAGTAATGTAGTAGACCTGCCACATCGACCGCCCCTCTTCATCCTCGTACTGTGAACTCGGGTTAGTACTATGTAGCTCGAAGATTCGTCAAGACGCACCTCCTGTAGCACCGCATGATCCGGTATAAGAACTAGCGCGCCACCGCCGACCGCCTGTAAAATTGCCTCGGTATATGCTGTGTGAGTCTTCTCGCAAGTCGAGAGAACGCAAGTCTGATCATCAACCCACTGGCGCCACACGGAACTGTAGTCCATAGAGTCGACTCGGAGCCTAAGGCGATCTTTCCTTGCACGCTCCACATTGACGTATGTAAGCAGCTTTCCTTGAACATCGGCGTAGAAACTGAGCCCGTCGTGACGTGTTGGGGGACATCGCGGAATCCAATTTTCCTTTTCCACAAGATTACGATCTCTGATCCATGACCGGATCATCGACGTAGGAATCGCGTGTGATTCTGACCACCCACGGCGGGACGCTTTAACAATCAGTACTATGAGGTCTCGTTTGGAAGTAGGGTAGAACGGATGTTGCGAGTCCCTTTGTGACTGACCGCATCTATGACCTGTGGTGAAAGATATGTCAAGGGCGCCTGGTCGACGCGGTGTACAAAGTAAAGTCCTAGCATCTTCATGATAAAGAATTGTCGGAGAATTCATTTTTTTCTCGGGTTCGGGTTGCAATTCGAACATGTCCATGCAATCATCGTCCGCCAGACCAAGAACACAGCCACTGTCGAGAAATTGGAACGTGGTGAAAGCGGCATCTGCCTCATGGCTTCGCAGAGACTAAGTGTCAATTGTGGCTCAGTCGAATTTTGAAAGACGTCGAGCGAAGCACTCACCCAAAGGAATTCCCCCGTTTTCCAACTCCGTATGTCAATATGGCCGTACAGAAACGATTCCGGTATGCCAACGAGGTTCCCCACAAGGTCACCCTCAATGTGCATCAACCGTGAGTCGACATTTTGCATCACAATTCGACTTTGGGCGGCGAGAGAATGTGGATCACCATCTTGAGACAATGATAGGATAAGCATTAGTCCGCCGTGGTGTCTGTATCCACATGAGTAATGCCCAGCGACTGCAGAGCGCGTGAACCCACCCCGAGACATCTGGTATGGACGGGAGTCCTACTAGGATGAGGAGATCTTGTGAGCGATCCACACAAATGTCTTGAATCACGACGCCAAGGCTGGCTGCATCGATTGTCCACCTGCGCTCTTCATTGCCGAGTATAGTGCTAGGGAATTGACAAAATTCAATCCCATCCCTATCGTTGCATTGTATAAGAAGGCCTGGGCTCGTCTTGAAAGGCTTCATCCTATTGTACGGTATACTTGGTCCCCGCACTAACTTCATGTGTCGGCGCATGTGTTGTAAAGAGCGTAGTCGTGCCAACTTTTCCGCAGTTAATAGAGGACACAATGGTTCATCTACCATTCCGGCAAGCTCAAGCTCGATAATATACTGCAAGGCTGGCACGCTTTGGATCGTCATCGAGAAATACCGACTGACCTACACGCAGTGAATGGACAAGGTCAGTATGTAAGACTCAGGCTGTACTTTCTGCACACTTACTGTCTTGCAGATGCATAAATCATGTGCGTCCAGCAGTGACAAAACGTTTGTGAAGAGCTCGGGTGGTAATGCGGTTACATGAGGATGGCCGGTGGCCATGGTGAATTTGTCTGTGACCGAGTTGCTCCCACTTCTGCCACAACCACTGGGTATTTAAGATAAAATCGAGAACAATAGAAGACTCGAACACACGTGTCAATAGCATGGAAGAAGGATGCACAAAAGCGTTCCGGTCCCAGAGGCCCCTGTTCAGGCGAAGTCTCGAACGACGGGTGAAGATCTACGCTGGTTGTCCCCAAGCAACCACAATACGATCATTTTACCAGTGGATGCCCCCCCCCTCTGGATGGCCAGGTTTGTGGTGGTGCAACAACCAGGCACCCCACTGCCCTCAAAATTATATGGACACTTATGTTTTCGTATGCCTGCTCTCACCTCCAACTTGAATCAGAGCGAACCAATGAGTCGTTGAGAAGTCCCTTCTTTCGAGGGATTTGATGGCGATGTCACGCCCGAGAATGCGATGGCCACGAGGGACTCGAGCGGAACCAGAAAATGGACCTGTCGATCGCCATGGAGCCACACGCCACTGAGCAAGAGTTCAGCCCCCGGCCCTGAGAGCCGAGCGGACCTTTAAGTCGGCACCGTCACATTGATGTGACGAAGTGTTACCTGACCATCAAGGGGGAGGGCCATCCACTGGTATGCTGGAACGTCTCATGGTTTAGGTATCAGACAAACAACCGAGGTCTGTACTCGCACAACTTGTGAATCACGAAGTCGGTATTTTTCATGGGGCTAGACGGCTGAGCATTTGTCAGTATACTACAGGACACGCCCGTCAGTGAGTTGCTCGCCTTATGAAGCATTTGTAGTGCTGCACACAGACACAATGGCCAGCAATTGTCAGGTCGACATCATTTCAAAGATACGAGAGCGCTATATGGCACTAGGGCATAAGGTGTAAGTATAGAGTACATATCAAGGTCAAACGAATTATAAAGCTGCAAATGCAGCATGAATCGAACTAGAGTCAGATCAAATGGAGAAGCATGGTCCGACCCAGTTGTAGGAAGCCTTCCAAAACAATCTATGTGTACTCAAGCTCAGCGCTTCAGCCTTGAGCAGGATCGTGTGCAGGAGCGACTTACAGACGACGTGCTGTTCATCATGCTGAAGCCTTGCGCCGTAGCTGGAACTCCTTCCAGCGTTTCCCCTTCACCTTGTTATCGTTAGCGTTCGCTTTGTTGACGCCGTTCATATTGGTGTTGCCCACTGCAGTACTCATAACCCCCCTCGGAGCGCTTATTCTTGCTCTTGCTCTTGGCTCTGAGAGTCCCAGCATCTGTTTCTTCAGCAACATGCTTTCTCTTGGAACCATTACGCCTGGACTTTTCGGAAGCCGCAATAGTCACAGGATTCGACGACGAAGGTTCATCGGCATCAATATTCAGTGCTGCAGGGCCGCCGGATGCAGAGTCACGTCGATCGTCGTTGCGGTCTCGTGACGTCGAGGGGTCCTCTTGAGACACGACCTTTGGATGGTAGTCCACGAGTAGTAGATCCAGCAACTCCTTGCTGTAGCCAACGCACTGAATCCCGACGCAGGCGACGGCGACGTTGCCATACTTGTACTCTTTATGAACTCGGGACCTAAAGTGTGAGGGAACACCATCGCTCATAGTTACTCTTGTCAGAGCTTTCAGGATCTATGCAAGTTAATTTGAAATTTATACCTTTGTTGTGGGTGACTCACAGATGGATCTAGCGCCCTCGCCTGTTTACGCAGCAACACGGGAAACTGTGTGAATTTGTACCTCCCGGCATATCTCCAATCTCCACCTTCTTGGTCTTGCACGAATACTTCGCGAATCTGATCGATCCAGTTCTGCCATTCCGGCGTCCTCTTGACACACGAGGAAGTCGAGGAATCGTATTTGTACAGAGGTTCCACCACTATTACATGTTGATCTGTTATCCAAACGTAGCGTTCACGAATGGCGGCCATGCCTGGATAACTAGGCGCCAGTCGTGAGATGTCGTACTTCAAGTAAGACTTCAGACATACCGAAGGGCCTTCATCGCCTGTAGCCAAATTGTCCCTAAGTAGGGCACCTTTACGACGTGAGATGCACATACCTCAACTCCCAGCGTAGGTACATCGTGCATACAAGGCACGAGATGTGCGTTTTCCGGACGATCAAATATCGGCACCCAACCCTTCATGTAATGATAGTACTTCCGGTACTCTCCCTGTGATTGGTTGTCAACCATCAAGTCTTGAATACTAGGTAGCCACGACGTCGGAATGTCGATGACTTGAGCCAACCAAATGAGAAATCGCTCACTTAAACATCGTTGAGGGACATCTCGCGTAATACGTCGATGATGTTTTTCGCATCACCGTTGCCGAGTTTCTGATGAATACTTATGAGCCGTCTGTGACATTTGATGTAAGCAATAAACAGTACCTCGTTGAGTCTGTCTTTTTGTTTCTGAACCGTCTTCAATTGGGACGTTAGAGAAACACAATTCTAACGCAACACTTTCATTCATGACCTATGGCAGCATCGTGATGAATGGTCACCTCTTTGGCCTTCTCAAGTTAAGCCAGAGCTTCATCCAGTTCCTGAGAGATACAATGGTCAGTCTCCCCTTTGTTCTGACGGCCGATACTATGCTCCATACATTCCGTAAGTCCTTCTTCGCTTCTTTGGCCTTTGAATATTTGTTGCGCAACTTCTCTACCTCATCCTGTGAGCATGTGAGTGTATCCGTGATAAACCTGTGAGGGAGCGGACGGCTTCGGCTACTCGTGGACTCACGTTAGCCTTCCCCAGTCGCATATTCCCGTCTTTCAGGTGTTTAATCTTTACTCGTCCTGTTGTCTGCAAATTATGTCTCAGCCAGATGAAACGATTGTGAGGCCGGGACGACGCGCCATACGCTCAAACAGCTCTTCTGCTCGCTCGTCCTCCACTATCCACAACATTGATGAGTGGTCTTTGTATGCACTCCCATTGAAGTCTGCTCAGCTATAACTTACTGTTACCGTTTGAGTTGTAAGGTAGAATTCCACTGTCAGCCGTACAGCTGTGATGACCGGTGCAAATCAAAGGAGAATGCTTCTTGTGACGCGCGTCCAGCGTCTTGCCAGCGCAGCATTTACGTAGACATCGACGGGCAGTGACAACTCGCTATGGCCCATTTAGTTAGTAGCGAGCGTAACATAAGGGTTCATGCACGTGTCTGTGACGCGACGCGATGCGGAGTTCAAGGGCAGCAAGGCTCAAGCCAACTCGTTTGCAACACCCCAGACACCGTGCAGGCAGAGGTTTAACCTGCGGCTCCAGATGCATCACTCGTCTCCGATGAACAAACTGGGTGCCATCTTGCGCCAAACTTCATCGTCGGCAGGGGCGTCACACTATAATTTCAGCCGTACAATACAATTCGAGTCATATACCTGTGTTCTCTAGGAGCTCTGATCGGGCTTGGCTTGTACCAATCCGAACCATACAGGAATCTGATCCCAAACCTCCAGCCTCGCCTTTGAGACCGACTCGGCGAAATCCATCTTGCACGCTACACACATCTTCAGTCCACATTGCTTGACGCCATCAGAGAAGTCGGTTCGGGATAGCATCTCCACCGCTTGCACGAGGCTGAACATGGGGTCTGCATCACGACCGCATGCGATGCCGCCCACCGATCGTAGGATGTTGAGCATGATGAAATAGAACGACTCGCGGCAGACGCGTCCGCTGTCGTGGGTCTGGTTGGTGCAAGCGGCAGATATGCTTCGCGAGTTGAGCTCTTTGTCGATGAAAGCAGCGAGATAACGCTGGCCCGCCTCGCGACCGACGAGGGTTGTGTATAGCTCTTCGTGGGATAGGGTGATGCGCACGGGTTCTTCCGAAGGCTTAGGAAGCGAGGTCGTTGGCCAGCCTGGGATCACAGGCAGAGTTCGCTGGGGCGCGGTAGTTCCGGCGACGATTTTACGAGGTCCATAGCGAGAGACATCATAGAAAGCAGCAGGAAGCAATTCGTCGAGAGCGAGCTCGCGTGCCAGTTGGATGACGAGAATGGGATGAGGAAAGCTCTCGCGAGGAATGTAGCGTCCAAAGCAGTCCGTAGCTTGCTTCTCGCGATTGTCCCAGCCGACCAGGGTGGAAGGCCAGTCTAGCTGTAAGCGCGCCAGACAACGTTGGCGGAGGTGCTCTATCATGTACTTGGTAGAGAGACGCAAGACACCGGCAATAGCAGGGAAAGCCACAGCAGATGACTTGGTGAAATAGCTGTGAGTTTCGACGTTGAGTCAGCTCCCTTCCGGCTGAGCATGGCGAAGAGTGCATTACTTACAGACCGTCATACAACGCGCTGAGCAGATTTAGGACGTCATATGGAGAGTCGTGCAACTCGACCCAGGGACAACCGTCAATTAACTCCTCATCCGGCGGTTGTGGGATTGAAAAGAGGTCGCGGAAAACCTCCGAGTGGCGCTGTAGTTGACCACAGTGGACCTTAAAAGCCGCATGCTCTGCAACAAGAACGATGTTGCCATCTGCAAACCAGAAATCAGTTCGCGTGAGCTCGTCCAGCTTCGTCCGACTCCCTCGGAAGCTGTCCATGACTAGCCAATTAGACGAAGGAAAGCTCGAGGAAAGCAGACAGACGACTAAGGAAGGAAGCCCGTTGTTGCGGTCAGCCCAGGCTTTTATGATCAGCTATTCCAATTTGGACTAGAGGCTGGTGAAGTCAATCGGCGAACAATACCACCGGGGATATCATAGCCTGGTCGAAACTGAAACGACTGACATTGAAGGAGAGACAATAAGTGATAGTAAATACTGTTGTCCCATATTATAACAAAATGTGCGGATTCCTACAGCGCGGTTTGAGCGGTACCTGTTGCCAGCACAAGTCTGAGCGCTGAACGCTGAACGCCCAGGTGCACTCATGACTTTGCCATGCTAGTATCGCCCGCATTAGAAAGCGGGCCTGTTGAGGACATGCTGGAGAATTGAATTGCGGTCGGCGGGTGCGAGACAGGAGGTGGGGATAAATGCCGCATCATCACCGGTGAGCCGGCCGGCACCATATACATCTGGATAGGGCTCTTGCCATCGAGGTCGCCCATAAGGCCGTTCAAAGACGAGATATGGGGCAAATGAGGAGATCCAACAGGAGATGGGAATAGGAACACGGGTTGTGCGCCGTTGTTGCTGAAGTGCGACTGTCTGCGCCCGTGAGACGACACCGGAGACGACATGGCATGACTGCGCGAGCTGCCTGTGTGCCTCCTCTGGCGGCGCGCCGACGGGCAGCTGCTCTCTCCGTGTGACAGCGCCGAAGGGGTCCGCGGCCGCCGCAGCGAATGGTCATCGTAGCTGCGTGGGATCTCTGCTTTGCGGGTCGCTGGGGTCTCGAGCAGGTCGAGTTGCTGATGTTCCCGCGTCGTGTACCATGAACCCGACTTCACCTTCGGGTCGCGCGCGCGCGGCGACTTTTCGGGATAGTAGTCGATCGTAACGCGCGGCGAGAACCACGGCAGGTTCTTCAGGTCGACAAGGAAATTATGGATGCGCGTGATGTGCGCGCTGAACGAGTCGTCGGGCGGCGCGGTGCGCACGGGCGATTCCATCTTAGCGTAGTCGGCGGTGAGTCGTGGCTCGACAGGGACGGGGCTGCCTAGCGGAGCCGGCGCAGGTATGCCATTGTGGGATGGGATGTGTTCCTCGCTATGAGGATTGTCGAGGTGGACATCGGTGAATTGCTCATCATTGGGATCCGCGTACGAGACTGGGTCAGACATCGGCGGCCCCGACGGCATGTTCATGGCGTCTACGTATTGCACATTCGACGGCCCAGGTTGCCCAGGACCTTCGTAACGCGGTGCAGGGTCATCTAAATTGTAAAGGACAGTGGGCCCCTTCCTGAGCGTTTTGCGTTCGCGCAGCGGGTTTCGAGTGATTGCTTTGGGTAGGTTCTTGAGCTGGGTGACGAAACCACCGACGAAGCCCATCTTGCTCTTCTGTTGCTGGCCCGCCTCAATATCTCCAGCAGTGAAGTCCATGTGCTCCGCACTCTGCTCCGTGTACTCCTGATCTTGATACTCCTGCTCCTGATCTTGATACCGCGGCTCCTGGTCTTGGTCCTGATACTGGAAAGAATGTGGCTCCTGGTAGTATTCCTCTGGGGTCTGCACGGAGACGGGTTCCATGACCTGCGAGGAGGGCTGCTGAGACGTGCTGACCGACCTGCCTTGCGAAGGCGGTGGGGATTGCACGGGCATGTATGTTGGCATAGGTGTTTGGGGTGTGAGGAATGCCGGGTTCGGCGGAGGAAAGAAGTTGGAATTCCAGCTGGGCTGGACACTCGGGTTGCTCGCATGAGATCGTTGACGAGGGCGAGGACGGGGGCTTGTCGGGTAACGTCCTGCGTCGTCTACATACAGGAGGCTTGGGTCCTGTTCTTGCATTCGAGAGTAGTCTGACATGGTTGCAGTCGGCTTGAGATTACAGAGGATGGACGAGTGGCGGCGAGCGAATGCGACGGCGTGCTGCGTCCACCAGCTAATATAAAAAGAGTATATTCGCGCACGAGGCCCCAACGAGGCCTCGAAGATGCTCGGAAGGAATGCCGTGTCTAAACGAAAATAGGTCGCCGGGCGCTCTCTGCATACTAAGTAAATGAAACGCACATGAAACTTGGACAGCCAGTGTGAAAGTATGAAACGAAAGACTGGCATTGAGAACATTTCTGCTATGACTCGACTGAACTCACCTGCCTGTCTCGGCAGTGTGCAACCAATTCATATTCAACACGACCAACGAGGGTGTTAGCCTGCATGGCTCGTGCATTACACCTCGCGCGTGGCCCGAGGCAGAGATAGGTCGTGTAGCCAGCGAGAAACCGCACTGAATGCAAGGAGGGACGCGTCGCGCAATCCACGAAGAATCTTTTGTGGTCTTCGGAAACTCGAGCTACTATTCTGAACAAAAACCTTAGGTTCTGAAGCTTGGCCAACCACTCAAAGCAGGAATGAAAACAACACTAATTCCAGTCTGTCGAAGCTGAGGCGCCGGTGCTTTTAAAACCCATCAACACGATGCCAGTATGGTTGCCATAGAGTAGTCACCAGTCAGTAGCCACAGCAGTACGATACAGGAGATGCGTTTTTGAGTTGCGTTTTTGGATCGTAGCATGGCAGATCAGTGTTTGCTGAATAGTACAAGAGAGAAATGCGAGATGCTTAGACGCCCGCTGCCATGTCTCGATGAGTAGGGCCGACCAACTTCATCGTTACTTCGACCAACAAAGCGACGACGGCACAGAGCGAAACTCACCGAGATATCTGCTTGCGGCCAGCTGGATTCAATGACTTTCATGGCCGCATATACCCCGAGTCAGCAACACCGATCGCCGTGCTAAACATCCCTGGCTTGTGCCATGGCGTCTCGCGATCCTTCAAGTCTTTCCCGGGACGAGGAACTCTTTCCATCTTCGCCAGCAACTCCCAGACCATCTGAGAAAGCACACGGTTTGCTAGAGATACTCCCGGACAAGATTGACATCGAAGAGGAGGCCCGTTTGTACGATGAGCTCTGCGATGTGAGAGCATGTGCGTCTGCTTGTTCGCCTATTCTCATGGCCAAAACTAGTCGCCGGTACAGACTCCATCGTCTCGTTCGCATTCTCCAGTCCAGGCACCCTCAGTATTCTCACGAGACATATGGTTAGCCGACAACACAGGCGAGAGTCAGGCCTTTGCTCGTGAAGTCGAGGTCGTAGGGTGGACGAGCGTCGGCGACAAGCGTGGTGGAGCTTACATCGGTGTGCACGGATCACTCTTGATTTTTAATTGGAAAACTGACAGTATGCCAAGTATATGACTGCGCCATCAAGACAAAGGAGGTGCTTTCGCTTCTTGCAGTGCGAAGACAGTATACTGACTAATCCCAGGGCACCATGATCCACGTGCATAAGCGGTACAGTGCCTTCGCTGAGCTCTATGCAAGGCTACGCGCTACATTACCTGTGAGCACTGTTGTCAAGGTCGCAAAATACACTCGCTAACACCTCGTTGTAACATCACAGGAGGACCAGCATCACTCCGTACCCCACCTCCCGCCCAAGACCCCTTGGGCGAAATTCCGACCTACCTTCCTCGACCACCGAAGGCGATTGCTGCAGCACTGGCTGTCAGCTGTACTCCTGCATCCAGAAATTGGCGGATGTCAGGCCATCAGAGAGTGGGTCATGAATTGACCTAGGATGTGTCAGAGCGCTCATCGACTATGTATGGACAACATTGCCAATGCTTTTTGAGTTGATAATGTACAACATGTATAAGAGCAGTCTCCTACCCAGTCCTCGGTGGGAGGTTCAGGGGCTTCAATCTAGAAGTTTGGAAAACGCTATGTTTCAGAACATGTGCTGTATATAGCAACTGTATCATGTCACGTGATTAGACGTCCGCCACCCGATCAACCTTATTCCCCTCAACTGCCCACCGAGGACTGGGTGATACGAGACTGGCAAAACTCATTCACAGAGGGTTATAGACATGGCTTGTAGGAGGTTTACCACATGACGTCCTGCTACAACAAAAGCTAATGTCCTGGAGGGGCCCAACCGGGAATTGAACCCGGGACCTCGCGCACGCGGACGAAAAACCCGAAGCGCGAATCATACTACTAGACCATTGGGCCGACGTTCACTTGGCGTATTATCAGCATTATGACTAGCTGCGGATACAGCAGGGGCTGCCGAGCGGCAAATCAGGTGACTAAACACGCCTGCCGCGACGGGCGGAATCAGCGTGCAGCTTCAATGCAGCTGAAGCTACCGCGACACTAATTCTTTCTGCGGAACCAGGAGCAACCTCTCAAATCCTGAATCCTGCTCTCGCCTCAAAAGGACATTTGATAGATGACAGAACATTCCCTCCCCCAATCCGGGGTACCTCACGCCAACCACCGACATCGCAAAATGACACCGGAAAGAGCGAAGGCGAACTATGTCCGTGAGAGCATCCTTTCACTTATGCCTTTGAATGCAATCTGACTACAAAGGCTGATCCGAACACTTCTTCTCTTGTACGGACTGTCATTAGCTATCTGGACAATTGCGCCTGCGCCTGCAGTACGCAAGACTGAAGGTCGAGCACGGATGGGTGTGTACACATGACACAGATCTCTTGCTACGCACGCTTATAACCTTCGTATATAGCAACGACAGAACCTGAACGAAGTGGAGAACCTGTACTTTCGCCATACCCATATGCATCGACCACCGCCGATCATCCCTGCCGGCGGACGTCGAACCGCAGGATTGAGCTTGGCGTCAGCATCATCTACGTCGAATACCCTCTCACCCGTGAACGAGCCCAGGCTGAATCCTCCCGCACATGCCATCCTGCCTGATTCTCAGTTTACAGGAACCGCCGGCCAGGGCACCGATCCTTTTCCTCCCCAGGCCTCAGGTTAGTTGTCACCTACCACTCCAAATATGTGCTGACTTCATGCTACTTCTCACAGTGTCTCTGGCACCTATCTACCAATCCCATACACAACTACGTACGGTGGGGGCGGCTCAGATTGGCGGGCCTTCGATCGGGACTGGTAGTAACGGACATTTTGTGGCGCACGCCCAAAGTGTGGCTACGCCCTCAACACCAAGTTCATCTGCTGCAGCATTTCAGCTGGCTGCCCCTCCACCATTTGGGTACCCTCCCGCAATGCCCCCTCAGAGCTTCGCCTACGCCCACCCTTCGCATACTCCCAGTAGCATGCCTCCGACAATCCCATATTCCCCTCCGCCCACTGCACCACCCAACGGTCCCAACTCACGACACACTGTATCACCACATCTACCAGAACCACCGCAGCAGCCACAACAGTCGCCACACGCACAGCAGGGACAACAGCAGCGGCGACGCCGGCGGCAGCCCCAAGCACCCGGGCAGCACCCGCAGTTCCGGCCCATCGCGCCCGCGACCACACGCCCACAGGGATCGCCCGCACCTGCACCCGCGCCCGCGCCGCCATCTCCGGCGCCGGCTCCCGCGATGCTTAACTTCCCGCCGACGCAGGGCTCGGGCATGACATACGACACGTTCTGGTCGTCGCACTCATCGCTCTCGGCGCAGACGTTCCGGAACGTCATCCTCAACTCGGCCGCTTTGTTCGCGCCGCCGCCACAGGGCGAGCAGATGCAGCCACAGGGTATGGGCGAGCCCACGGACTCCCAGCTCGGTGCTGCGTATCCGAACTCCGCGATGCACAGCGACGCCCTGAACTTGAATGGGATGACATGGCCGAGCTGAGCCATGCGCTGCAGGCCGCATCTTCACTTGTCTCTCTTGATTACACCGTGCTGGTTGCCGTATGATTATCGGGTTGTGTTGCTTATTCTGCTATGTTTTGCCGTGCAACGGTGATATTTACGTACAATTGCATGGTAATGCTAACTGACGGTTTCCTCTTGTATGGACACACGGCGTACCACGCTACGAGAGAATAGTCCCCATTCACGGAGGCCGGAAAGTGGGACAAAGTTTATCAGGTCTTTAGAATGCAGCACACATACGGAACATGCTTATGGTCCTTATAACCTCTGCGGACGCCCCCGACGATTAGAGTGTTCGAGACAGGGGAATGGGCTACACCACCTTTCGCACACGGATTCACACCACCAACGACTGCGGTCTGCACCTGATAATATCCTGGATCTGGGGCTGACATTGAATTGTGATGCGAACATAAGAGTCTGTCCAGCTGAACTTGGCTGATGTCAATCTGACATGTAGTCCTGTAGTCCAACAGTGGGACGGGAACGCCGGTCACCGTCCGTCGCTAGAAACATACGCAATCTGCTGATGTTTCGTGATGTTTCGGCGAGCAACCATCCGTGACGTTGTGGGTAGAACAGTCGAGCTCGAGAGCCGCAGATAACCTGCGATCGTATGGTCGAGGCGAGGTGTCCATGGCGCGAGAGCAACGACCATGCGCTACTTGGTGAGCAGACCATGAGTGAACATCGTAGGTTTTCTTTACCAGCTGAAGCCGATCACAGTCGTAGTGGCTGAGTGACGACCTATCCGACTAGCCTAGCTTGCCCTCCGGTGAGCAGTAGGCACTGTCGCGACTAGGCAAAGTTGTCCGCCACAACGAGTAGCGAAGAGCGAAAAGCAGGTGAAGACAGGCGCCTCGCCACATGCCTGATCGGCTGCCAGGGCGACGGACTGAAAGCGGAAGGGTTCCCATTGTTACGGCCGCTGTTGTTCCTCGCGCTTTGTCGGCAAACTCTGCCACCTGCTTGCCATTTGCTTTTGACAGTCTTATTCTTGGAATTGTATTCGACAGCCAAAGCCAATCACGGGTAACAGCCACCCGTTCCAAGCCACCATTGTCTGCGCAATCCCAATGCATCGCGATCCGCTGACACGGTGGCCCCCATGGCCCATCTGTTCTTGCGTATATAAAGGTCCGTAGGCCGAGCTCCTTCCCCCACTCACCTCTTCTCTCTCCAACCGACGTTGCACGCCTCTCCCGAGCTGCGCTCGTGCCTACTTTCCCTCTCGGCTTCACTCATTCATAGCCTTTCCCCTCATCTCGGAGTTGCTTCCTCACTCTCTGTCCTTGCATTTCCACAGCATCTCCAGTCTTTCCTCGAGCCCATTCCAACACTTCATAATGGTTCAGCTCTCCACCAAGTTCCTCATTGCCGTCTCCGTGGCTGCCGTCCATGTGCACGGTTTGCCCTTCACGAAGCGCATCGCCCAGACGATCGCAGATTCGACGACCAAGTGGGTCGCTGCATGTGTATGTCCCAACTGCCTCCTCTCCGCGCTTGCCTTAACCGTTTCTTCCAACCACAGGAAACCGCCGGCGGAGGCTCCCAGTGCAACACGGTCTCCGTGAACGCGTTTGAGACGCTACTCATCGCCGCGGGCGTCTGCGACCAGCAGAACGCCGCCGACTCTATGGTCGACCTTGCCAAGCAGCTCAACAACAACCAGGACATGATCACGCTCGCGCAGATATTCGTGCAGCAGCCGCGCAACACGCCCAACTCCCTCGCGGTGCCCTACTGCCAGCAGGCACCCAACAACACCGAGCTGAACGGCCTGTACCAGTGCCAGTTCCAGAGCGCGAACCAGAACCAGTTCGTCGGTGGCCTCGCGGTCGGCGCAGCAGGCACGATTCCCTTCGGCCTCAGCGCGCCCTTGTCCCCTCTCGGCTCCTGCCCCGCGAACCCGTCGGGGCCCATCACCGATAGCGCGCAGCTCGTCGACATCACGCAGAACCCGGGTACCGGCACGACCTCCACGAACACGGGCAGTAACGCCGCGAGCGCCACCGCAACCGGGACGGCGTCTGCAGTCTCTGCGTCTGCCTCCGCCACCGGCGACGATGGCGACGACACTGACGACAACTCGTGCGGTGCCGCGTCCGCCACCGGCGGCGAGGCCATCGCTACTTCTGTCGCCACCTCAGCCGCCGCTAGCTCCACCGCCTCCACGTCTTCTTCCGGCTTCAAGCTCTCGAACGGCCAGGCCGCGCAGAAGCTGAACGCGCAGTTCGCGAGCCTCACGGCGGGCTCGTCGTGCACCTCGGGCACGGACGCGTGCGTCGGCGGGGCCTTTGCGCAGTGCGTCGACGGCGCGTACGTGACGCAGAGCTGCGGGACGGGTGTCTCGTGCTTCGCGCTGCCGCTCGTGAACAGCCCAGGCACGTCTATCACCTGCGCGACGGAGGCCGACGCGACGTCGCGCATCGCGGCCACGGGCGCGACGGGCGGCCTCACAGGCAGCAACTAGGCACTGAACTCGCTTGTCGCGTTGGACTGGAGGGAGTGTGGTTCGGGAGCCACGCCTAGTACCCACGGTCCATTTGTTTCTCTCGCATTGCATTGATCTGCATACATGATTCACGTTCACGTTCACGGGCATTCGCACTCGCAGCAATGTTTGTAGCTCTAGTCTCACTCGCATTACGGTTCTTGACGGAATGCTGGCGCTATGTTTTGTAGCATCACGAAGTCAATAGGTTATGTTTCTTTTTAAACGGTGTGATGCTAGGCCTTTGAGTTGTCATGGTGGTAGTCCTCGTCGCCACTGTTTGTCTGAATGAGAATGATTTCCCTGAGCGCATTGCACAACATACTTGCAGTCATCGTTCCCGCCTTCGCCCGTGATCGCCACGGTCATGTGGCAGCGAGGTGGCGGGGAGGGGTTGTAAGCGCCGGATACATCGACTCTGTCTTTCTGTCTGCGAACGGTGCTTGCTTTATCTCGACCGCCCTAGATCTAGAGCACCTGCGGTCGCCCTAATGCTCAGACTGAAGCCCCGCTTGCCCCGGCTACAGCCTCCTCACCGCCATGCATCCACGTCCTCAGTAACCCCTTCTGCCCGCTCGCCCCCCTCCTCGCTGCGTACCGGTCTGTACGCCTCTGCGCTCCTCCTCTCCACCGGTGTCTTCGCCGCGTACTACTTCGACTCGCGCGCCGCGCTGCACAGATACGTCGTCACCCCCGTCCTCCGGCACACCCTCGACCCGGAGACCGCGCACCGGCTCGCCGTGCGCGTCCTCGCGAGCGGGTGGGCGCCGCGCGACACCCGGCCGGACGACGAGGTGCTCAGGACCGAGGTGCGTCCCCGCGCGGCCTCTGCATGCGGCGCCGCTGCTGACCTGCTGATCTGCTGATCTGCTGTGCTGGCAGCTCTGGGGCGAGGAGCTCGCGAACCCGGTCGGCCTCGCGGCGGGCTTCGACAAGCACGGCGAGGCTGTCGACGGTGAGCGTGAATGTCCTCCGGGCGTGCAGGCTTGATGTGAAGGCGCAGCGCTGTCGCAGGGCTCTTTGATCTCGGGTTTGGCTGGGTGGAGATCGGGAGCATAACCCCGAAGCCGCAGGTGAGCTCTACATGTTTGTCCATACGGTCGAGGAGCGAAGCGGCGCTCGTCAGTGTTGTGGTATTGGGCCTATGAGAGAGTGCGAGTACCAGCCTACCGGTCTGTGCTTTCTCGTAGGCTGTTAGGGCACGTGCACACATTTCAGGGTCAGTGGAGGCCGAGAGCGGCCTTGTCCTGGAGCAAAGGGGTTTTTTGTCGCAATGTTGTAGGCAAGAAGCCTCCTCTCAATACCTCATGGAGCTGGGTTGTTTTCTACGAGGTCGAGTCGGCGTATAAACCAGCGTTGACACACTAGTCCGTCAACTTTGTGACGTCCAACCCAAAGCCAACGTTTTGCTGACTAGAATGTTGTACGTGCTGCGTACTTCCCGGTGTATGCGCGTTATGTCCCTCCTCAGAGCGTCGTGCGCTGTACCCGTGCCATATTCTTTCATGCCCAGGCTTTGTAGGCTGGCTCCTGATCGCGCCACTACTGGGTATGAGACGTAAGATGGAGACGCTGTCTTGGTGGCCTCGAGTTATCTTTGGAACCGGTATGTTTCACTATAGATTACCACGCTACATGCGGGTACACACGGTCGTCCACTTCCGTAGGTGTTCTTTGCGGCACCCTTCGAATCAATTAGAGCGAGATGCATGCTGCGCAAAAGTTCTCTCACACCCGTATTCCGCGCGGTACCGCGGTGTCTACATCCGTTGATACTCTTCGTGGCGCACTCTCCCACTCGGTCTCAACTCTAAAAATTATGAGACAAACGCTGCTAGAAGCTCTTTCATTGCCGGAGTCTCATCGCGTGTGTTCTAGTACGCTTCTGGTTGCGTAACGTGGCGACAGTGCATATGCACCTTCCTATTTGCGCATGCTGTATAAACCTGCACATGCTCCCTTAAATGATTCCGGCTTCATCAAAAGCCCATGCTTCTAGTCAAAAGGTTGTGCGGGATCATTCCTGATACCAAATTAGGCTCTCCCTTTCTACTCTGTTTGTTGCCCCACTTTCCTTTTCCACGTGCTCCTTCCGCCTCGTGCACATACTGAATCCGTCTCCGCTTGCAGCCCGGCAATCCGCGCCCGCGCATGTTCCACCTCGCGAGCGACGATGCAGTGATTAACCGATACGGTTTCCCATCGGACGGACACACGCTGGTGCTCGCACGACTGCGCGCGCGCATCTCGCCGTTCATACAGCCTGACGCAGCGTCACATGCCTCGCTCCGCCCGGGCGCGCTCCTAGCGGTGAACCTTGGCAAGAACAAGACGTCCCCCGCAGACTCAGCCGCCGACTTCGTCGCGGGCGTGCATGCGTTCGCACCGTACGCGGACGTGCTCGTCGTCAACGTCTCGAGCCCGAACACCCCCGGACTTCGGTGAGTGCTTCGTTCCATCTCATCCTATTCCCGTCGCGCGCGCTATCTTTCTCGTATCACCGGAGATTGCGCCTCCATGTGCGCTCACGCCCAAGGCTCCCACGAGACATTCGCGCTCGTCTGGCCGCTCATGATCAGCGGCGCCGGGCTGTCTTCTTTCGGCATGCAGATAACGACGCGCTCATGCTTCCAAGCTCACGCTCGCGATCACTCCGTGGCGCGTGCCTGTAGCTCACAATCGGTCACCTATTTTGACAGATCACTCCAGGGGCGCGAACAACTGCAGACGCTGCTCGACAGCGTCACGCGCGCGCGTGACGAGGTCGTCGCGTCCGCGTCGGCCTCGGGCGAGCCAGTTCGCCGCCCGCGCCTGTTGCTCAAGATCGCGCCGGACCTCGAGGAGGCAGAGGTCGCAGACATCGCCGCGGTCGTGCGCAACAGCGCTGTCGACGGCGTCATCGTGAGCAACACGACCGTGCGCCGGCCGGACAACCTCATAGACCGTGCGTAGCCGTCGTCCGTGCTGTGTCCGCCAGCCACTAACACCCGGCACAGCGAACAAGGCGGAGGCGGGCGGATTGTCGGGGGCGCCGCTGAAGCCGTACGCGCTCGCGACGCTGCGTGCGCTGCGCCGCGCGCTGCCCGCGCGCGTGCCGGTCGTGGGCTGCGGAGGCATCGCGAGCGGCGCGGACGCGCTGGAGTTTGCGCGCGCGGGCGCGGCGGCGGTGCAGGTGTACACGAGCTTCGGGTACGACGGGCCCGGCGCGGTGCGGCGGATCAAGGACGAGCTCGCTGCGGCGCTGCGGCGGGAGGGCACGACGTGGGACGCGGTGGTGCGGGAGGCGGTGGAGAGGCTCAGTCTGCCGGAGGGGGAGGGGAAGGTGGAGGGGAAGGGGACGATCAGGCAGCTAACGGAGGAGGCGGAGGAGCTGATGCGGCTGGTCGACGGGCTGGCGGCACAAGCCAGCAGGGTGGTGGAGGAGGCGGCGGAGACGGCGTTGCCGCCTGAGGTCGCGGTGATCCCTGCGGTTGTGGATACCGCGTAGGCGTTTGGTGGATGACAGGCGGTCAGGTTCCGATAATCTTGGGACCGGTGTAAAAATCACTCATTATTTAGTCGGTGTTTGCGCACTGCTAGCAAAACACGGCCGTTGGGAGGTAATATGTGACCGACCAGCATCAAAGGCAGGTCGACTCCGGTATATGCGTCGATTGACCAGGTTTCGATATCCGCTATGGGCATACAGCTTGGAAATCTACTGGTGTCATGAGGGACCGGGGCGCCACCAGAGAGACGGTGCTGCCTGACTGTGGCATTTTGTCTTTGAACCTCCACTCAAAACGCCGTCGGGAGAAGGAAGGCTCGCCAGCCACCACGACCGGATTGTGCCTCTGATGCAAAGCTATAAGAATATACGGTAGGTATACAGAGTGGTACCTGACACTGATATTTTCTGGATAGGCACATATCCAGTGGCGTCGGATTCCGCCATTGTGCGAAGCGGCCTAACACTGTCAGATAAGTCCGGGTATTATGGTTCTAGCAATGAATGGTGCCCCTATAGATCGCCAAGTTTGAGACGGTGCAACAACCAAGCACTCCGCTGCCCTCAAAATTATATGAAGTCCTATGTTCTCATATGCCTACTTACCTTCAGGGCGAACGGACGACTCGCTGAGGAGTCTCTTCTCCCAAGCGATCTGAAGGCAATGTCGTGCCCGAGACGGCCTGTGAGCCATAGCCCACTGGGCAAGAGCTCGTCCCCTGGCCCTGCGTGGATCTTTAAATCGGCACTGTTACATTGATGTGACAAGGTGCTACCTGACCACCATATAAGAGCACATAAGGGGGGTCATCCGCTAGTCAAACATAGAATGTGCCTGTATTTCGGCAAGTACGCTGGCAGCCCATAGTCGGCTTCTGCATCAAGAGATAGCGCTGTACTAACATGTACGCGCATCAGTGGGTCGATCGGTTCGAGACGGCGGCCTGCGCCCGTTTGGGGCGGTCGGCGGCCAGTGGGCCTCTCTGGCCCTTCTGCCGGATCATCATTGAGTGATACGGTATGTCCGATGCGGCATGTCGCAGTTGGATGAGAGTGAGTGTGCGTGAAGCTTGCTGTGAGAGCCTGAGACCTTCGACAAGTCTGAGTCTCGGTTGGCAGGCGAGATACGGACGCGAAGCAGCCGAGACAACGACAACCAGAGCACCGCGAGGGCAAAGTTTGAGGGTTGCTGATAGAATGGAATATGATGCGGAATGTTGAAACGAGCAGTAGCTGCTGTTGCCCATCATCGCGAAGTGCGTTGCGCGAATCAGCGACCTCGACCTACCGTAGCTTGGCGGAGGCGTCTTCCATGCACGTCGCCCTTATTACCCTTTTGTCTTTCCGCCTAATCCCATCTCGACGGGAGGGATATGATATCTGCTATCGAATTCGAGCGATTACCGCAAGTAAGGTACCGTTAGCACCGTTGTCGTTTACCATATGCGGCGCCGACGCAAGCAGAGAGGATACCTACCCAACCTGACTCAGCGAGCCGTTGCCATGCATCGGTCGTGCGCACATCTGTGTGTTCTTAGTATTAGTGATGGCGAGACGGTCCATGAGGGAAAGTATGTTTGCTCGCGGACTTGGAATGATGTGTCATTTCTTTTTTGGGACGCGCTACATCGTAGATCCGAAGCATACATATGACAGTTCAAAGGCTAGGAACATACCCAACATGAAAGATTCACAATACACATAACGAAGTGGGTGCTATGTCCACATCTGAGGTCGCAGAATCATATTCTATAGCTTCGAACAGTGCATACATTGACAGACTGCAAGGCCGAACCTGGACGTTTGAACCTGAAACGGGAGACGGTCGCGTGCTAGAGGTGGTCGCGGCGCCGCCGTTACCAGGGCATTCGATCCAGGCATTTTCGCCGTCAGAGGATCGTTTGGAAGCTCGCAACATCTGGAGGCGTCGGTCTCGTGCATCGAGATCAGACCTGGTCAGATGCGATGGAAGAGCGTGATGGAAGACAGCGACTCGCGATTCGCCATTCTAACTATTCCTGTGCGCGATCTTATCTGATTACTGCGTGATATGCGTAAACTGATCGCGGGAGCTTCTTGATCGTGGAACGGCGGGAGGGAGGACGGGCGGGTGGAGGCATAGAGAATTGTTTGCTGGGAGAATGCATACGAGGGCTCGCTTCCATGCATGCAGGTCGCGTGCATGGGCGGGGAGAGCCAGCCGTCACTAGTGTGCGTCACATTCCGTGCACATGCGTGACATTGACGAAAGGTGGTAAATGTCAATACAGAAACGTGTCTTCCTGCTTTGGCCGAATTTGAAACAATGACGCCGTTGACAAGGGATCCGTCAGAGGCGATGCCCAGCGTTGGGATGACGCAGTGCACCCGCCTTCCATTTGCAGTCTTGGAAGACGTCTCGTCGGGATCCGTCGATCGTCAGCTTCTATTTCCTTCTTGCCTGTCTAAGCATGAGTATAAATACAAGGAGCTCTCGCTGAGAGCTTTGAATTCACCCTCCCCCCACTTGCTTGCTTGCGCCCATGATGCCTCTCGTCTCGCTGTCGTGATACGTTACTTTCGCAAGCCGCCATCCAGTGTCACGTCTGTCACACAGGACGCTAATAAAGATTCTGCGCTAAATAAATCCTGACCGCTGGGCGCTCTGGGTGCTCGGCTATTCTGTTACAGCTGAGTGTATGCGGGGAAGGATGGAGCGAATGCCAAGCGGCTAGGCGCAGAGCAATGCGGCCGTGGGCGTCGTCGCTGTGAGCCCGTCGACTGCCAGCGAGTGCGCCCAGGGTGATGCGCTGCTATGCTCCGTGGGATGGCCAAAGGCGAATGGGCTGCAGAAGGACGCCGGGAGGGCCCGAGAAGCAGGTCTCTCGAAGCATTCTTGACTAGACGCCGGACACTACTGTGGGAGAGCATGCGGCACCGATCATATGCACGGGCTTCGCGCGACTGGTGCATATCGCCATGTCAGGAACTCAGGAACGACTCAAATGGCTCTGCGATTAGCACCTCCCCTCCCCGTGATTCCGTCTGTCTCTACGCGTTGCTACTTATCTCCCGCCGTCCTCAGGCGGCCTCTGGCTTTCCCTCTTTCCCGACCGTGCTGATCTTCCAGTCGCGCCCCGCTCGCCATGCCCATGGACCATGAGCTCGCGCCCGTCGGCCCCCGCGACGCCGCTCAGTACATCGCCCAGCTAGACCGTAGCGACCTCGCTCGCTACGCCGCGGACAAGTCAGACTTCCTCGACGGCTCTCACTACCCCTCCGAGGAGAAGCTCCATGACCTCGCCTCTGTCACTACTGGCAGTCAGTACCGCTTCGGCCAAGAGTTCCAGCTCGAGGGCCAAAACCGCTACTTCCCCCAGCCTGATGGTGAAATCGAGGAAGACAAGGTCCTCGAGACTGCCGAGGACTTTTCGCGTGCCCTCGTCAGCTCCGAGGACGACCCAAACTTGCCTATCCACACATTCCGCATGTGGTTCACCGGTCTGGGCCTCGCGGTCTTCGGCGCCGTGCTCGGAATGCTCTTCGTGAGTGGTCGTGTGCCGTCTGTACTGCAGCACCGGCTCATGCTTCCCTTAGCAATTCCGACCGCAGGTCATCTCTGTCTCAGCGTTGTTCCTCCAGCTGCTGGCGTATATGCTCGGTCGTTTCTTTGAGGCCGCCATCCCCGGGCCTCACAGCCGCTGGCATCGTGATAACTGGTTCTGGAACTGGCTCAACCCAGGCCCCTTCAGTGAGTACTAGTTCAACATCGTTTGTTCCGTCGCCAAGTTCGGGCATACACCTCCTACGCGCTTACCATGGCGCACTATTTCCCCATCTGTTCTTCCCCCGAGCAGAACTTTCTCACCCGTATTTTGCTGAATGATCCTAATCATCTCTTTCGCCCACCAGATCTAAAGGAGCATGTTGCTGCACAGATCATGGCCAATACCGCTGCGTATGTACCTTCCTCATAGTTGTCCCTTTGTTCAGTCAGTTAAATATCTGCTTGACGCTAAGAGCGTGGAGCTGGTCTACCGTCCGCACGTATTAGCGCTCATAGGAATGGGCATGGGCGCGCTTCGCGGAGCGACGCCAGTTCCCCCACTATTGGGCGATACGCGCTCAATCATGCATTCGATGAGCCACTGCTCCGGCGCTGTGTTTGCATCGATTGACGCAAATCGATCAACCTCTTTTTCCCTCTGATACTTTCGATTGAATATCACACCAACACTTTCTTTATTAGGACTGCCGCTCAGGCATGCTTCGTCTTTGCCTCTGACGATCTCTTCTACGGCATCACGGTCAATGTGAGTCGCGTGCCATTTTCTCTGGACGTGTGCATCCATTAATATCCGCGCGCCGCAGCCCGCAAATGCTATCTTCACACTCCTTGCATCCCAACTGATTGGCTATGGCTTCGCCGGCCTCTTCCGTACGTCGCATCCGTGCACGTACCCGTTCTCCCACTGACATTTGCGCATGTAGGGGCGTTCCTGGTGTACCCCACCGTCATGCTGTACCCGCACAACCTAATCTACGTCGGACTCTTTGACGTACTGCACCGGTACAAGGGTGAGATGTTGCAGGGCAAACGGCTGCGGTTCTTCTGGGTCGTGACGGGCGCGGTGTTCGTGTGGGAGTGGTTCCCGGAGTGGATAGCGCCGCTGCTTGGCTCGTTCAACATTGTGTGCCTGTGCGCGCGCAACTCAGACTGGGTGTCGTACATCTTCGGCGGCGCCGAGGCAAACGAGGGCATGGGTCTGCTTGGCTTTGGCGTCGACTGGGCGAACATCACGAGCAGCCCATTCTACACGCCACTGTCCACGCAGCTCTCGAACTACGTTGGTTGGATGATCAACTACTTCCTCCTGCCTGCGATTTTTGCCGCGAACGTATGGCACTCCCAGAATTTCCCATTCATCTCGCAAAACCTGTGAGTCCGGGATCCTTCCACGGGGCCTGCTTGCTTGACACTGACGCTTCCATTCCTTCAGGTTCTGTAAGTGACCATGTACGCTGAGTAGAAGTCTACACGAGTCTCACTACGATGTCGTCCACAGTCGAGAACGGCACTGTCTACAATCAAACCCTTATTCTTAACCCGTTAGTGTCTCCGCGGCTCACTCAATGTGTATTATCTCACCGACAGTCCCACAGGGATCAGTCGCTCAACCACACCGCAGTCGCGATTTACGGCACGCCGTGGCTTAGCGGATCGACTGTCGTACGCTCACTTCATTCATGTCCGCCCAGATATGCGCTCATGCCGTCGGGTCGTTGCAGATCTATAACCTTGGCGTCAATATGTCCATTGGCGCGTGCTTCATGCACATCGCATTGTGGTACGGCAAAGATGTGCGTTTGACGTCTCAACCTTATCTCGTCTTGTTGACGCTGACAGCGGATTCTTTCACGTGCGCACAGATTGCAGGTGCCTTCCTAGATTAGTACGTTACATCTCGGCGCTGTGTAGCCCTGGAGGCTGCGAGACTCACAGCGCGTTCCAGCTTCCGTCGCAAGCCGATAGATGATTTGCACTACCAGAGGATGCGGGTGAGTGCGACCTCCCTTCATCAGCGCGAATAAGTTGCTTATGACCTTGCATAGATGTACAAAGAGGGTGCGTAACCTTGCGTTTACTTCTGCGTTTCGCGGCTCATGTCCCTACGTAGTGCCCATGTGGTGGTATGGTGCCGTCATCATTGGAGGTGTGTTACCTAGTCACATCGCCTACTTTCTGTCTTTCTGACCACCACTCCTCGGCAGCATTCATAACAGCAAGTGCGTTCGTCACTCCGACCGCATGCGTTACAGGCATTTCTTAACATTTCGCACAGTGGTCTGCTCGTACACCGAGGATTCTGGGTGTGTTGTGTCCCTATTCCTACATTGGGACACCAGTTCGCTCATGCAGTGTTGCCCCCTGCGTGCAGTCTCCCATGGTGGGCACTCATCGTAGCACTCCTCGTCGCAGGCATATGCCTGCCGTTCTACGGCGCGATGTGGGCCATTGCCGCGTAAGTCGTCGGCTCGCACTGTCTGTCGTTTCACTGGGGACTAACATCAATTAGGTTCACGCCCGTCATTGCGGAGATGTTCCAGATGCTCGGCTCGGCGCTGATTCCCGGCTCCTCGCAGGCGAACATGGTATGCGCTTTCACGCTTGTGTAGAATTTAATGTGCTTATTTATGCCATGGAAAGTACTTCGAGCTCTACTCTAGCCAGACGCTTGTCCAGGCAGCAAGCATGCTTGGCGACCTGAAGCTCGGTCAATATACCAAACGTAAGTCTGATTGCCAGTCTTTGCTTTGACTGATGGCTGATCATGTTTCCTTAGTCCCTCCCAGGGTGAGTGTCTTGAAGATGACCGTCTGATAAATCGGAAGAAACTGACAGCATGTTACAGACAACGTTCGCTGTACAAATGTCAGGGGCGATTGTCGGCTCATTGCTTAACTGTGCGTCTTACCGAATCTCATCCTGTGATGCTACGCAATGCTTACCTGACTAATAGACGTCATTATGCAGTCCGTGGTCAAGAATGAACGTGCGATTTTGGTATGTTCTACGCGAGGCTGGTACTCTGGCGATAGCGTCTCATGAGCGTTGCAGCTGGCCAACGAGGGTACACGTCTATGGAGCGGACAGCAAGTGCAGTCGTACAATGCGAACGGTACGTGTTTTGTAGCATCTAGTATTGCTCCGCATCGTCTCATGCGCACGTGTACGTAGCTATCCTCTGGGGCGCTTTCGGAAGGGAAATGTGTACGTGGAGTGTCACCAATGTCCATCTGACTTTCCTAACGAGGGCCGTGCAGTTGGTCCTCATGGGCCGTACTTCATTGTTCCCCTCGGTGTCCTCATCGGCCTTGCTCTGCCCATCGTCCCCTGGGTTCTGTACAAGCGCTACCGCTGGGAGTGGCTAAAGCTCATCAACATGTCCGTGCTGGCCTGTACGTTTTGCCTAGTATGCTCCATTGCGTCGTCTCACGTCTGTTGCCCCTAAGACAACGTCGGTGATCTTGCCGGTGGCACAAATGGCTACGTCAACACAATCATGGTTGTCGGACTGGCCTCGCACTTCTATATCCGTAAATTCCGTGCAGGGTGGTTCCGGAAGTACAATGTAGGTTTTCATGCATGTCCTTTGGACTGCGCTAACAGCAGCACTCTGTAGTACCTCTTCGGAGCCGCTGTGGACGGCGGCGCGCAGATCTTCGTCTTCATTTTCTCTGTGCGTCCAATCTCAACCTGTGAATTTGATGGTCACTTATGCATCATTTTAGTTCGCTCTTGCGGGTGCCGGGGGCCTAACAGTAGCGTTCCCCAACTGGGCTCTGAATCCTGCTGGAAATGCGGTAAGTATCCGATACGTAGATACAGGGGCATCACGCTGACGGATGTTTCATGCTAGGACTACTGCAAAGTGACGTCTTGAATTTCTGTAGCTTACCGTGACAATTTGGCCGCCTTGTGTACGAGTGTTGTACTGCGTAGCATGAGGCCATGTAATTGCTAGATTTTAGTTATGTAGGAGGTTATACCGCATGTTGTGTTGTCATTTGTCTCCGTAGAAATGCGCCACCACGGCATGGCGTATGAGAAAACATCGAGCAGTGCCCTCAGAGTAGGGTGAGCGAATGCCGCAGTGCAAATTATACATTATACACTGCAAACCAACACAGAACCAGGTCCAGGCCTCAGCCTGACCTGCTCTGCAAATACGCTTTACCATTGGTCAGCGAAAAACCCGGAGTATAATAAGTAATTGTAAGAGATCTACGACAGCAGGACAAAATGATACATTATGCATATCAAGCATGATGAGAGTGGGATTCGAACCCACGCCCTTTCGGACCAGATTTCGGCAACCTTAGTCTGGCGCCTTAGACCGCTCGGCCATCTCACCTGACAGCGTTTATCAAAATAGTTTTTTAATTATATGTACCAAGGTTGTGCACTGCATACACTATGTGTTTACTGTCTGCCATTTGTTTACCTTGGAGTCGTAAACATGAACTAAACAGTTGGAGCCTCTGCTGTGTTGAAGCTCACTCTCTATAATTTAAACCAGTCTGCATAGTGATCTGTGAAGTGATTATCATATGAATGGGGATTTTTACTTGTCACCATTGACAATCCAGTCTCATCAATATTGTGAGCTGGTGTCGGAATGCATTTGAGAAGGGGCTACAATGGAATGTCACTATATGCATACCCACATCATATGCAATACACCGCCGAGAATTATGGTGAGATGGCCGAGCGGTCTAAGGCGCCAGACTAAGGTTGCCGAAATCTGGTCCGAAAGGGCGTGGGTTCGAATCCCACTCTCATCATGCATGCCACGTCTCTGTATGCTTTTGCTGTCGTAGATCTCTTACAATGCAAGGGCTTACTTATCCTACTCTCACCATGGAGGAGGGTTGACAGCTTGTATTTTTGTGAGGCTAGATAACGCAAAGCAACCTTTCCTATCTTTATGGTACATGCACACCGCACATTGGACACAGCATGACGACGCTTGTTGTACTTGTGGTCTTCACACCTGTTAAGCATATACACTGAATGATGGTCGCAACGTATCATGAACTTATACCAAACGAGATTACGCAATCTATTAGCGCACTACATGTCCATATCATACAGCCTCCGGGTTAACTACGAAGTACAAAGGTAATCCCAGTGCCAAGTAACTCAACCTTCTTGATCTGTCACTTTACAATAATCCTGTGGGAGAGCGACGTGAGTTTCGTGGATCGCAGCAACGAGGGAGCTACCTACTGCGTTGCCTACAGGGTTGAGAGCCCAATTCGGGAAGTTCACAGTGACGCCGCCCGCGCCAGCAAGAGCGAACTGACACAGACAATCAGACATGTCAAGGCAGTATTTGAGGGACCGTGCGCTTACAGAGAAGATGAAGACGAAGATTTGAGCCCCTCCGTCGACGGCGGCACCAAAGAGGTACTATCAAGGGCATGTCGTGAGCAACGTGCAGGCGACAAGCTATAGCGAGACGCACGTTGTACTTCCTGAACCATCCCGCACGGTACTTGCGGATGTAGAAGTGCGAGGTGAGACCGATCGCCATCCACGTGTTGATGTAGCCGTTGGTTCCGCCAGCAAGATCACCGATGTTGTCTGCGGAGGCGACATGCTCAGCTGACACTAGACACCGCACAGGTACGCGATACGCACATGACAGCACGGACATGTTAACGAGCTTGAGCCACTCCCACTTGGTCTTCTTGTACAACAGCCATGGGATGAAGGGCAGGGCAAGGCCAATGACGATCCCAAGGGGCACGACGAAGTACGGACCTTTGGGGCCATCTAGAAATGACGTATGAGCTTACACGGCAATATAAGTGTGGATGGGCCGCACAGATTTCCTTTCCGAGAGCACCCCAGAGAATCGCTGCAAGACTCGTCAGGCTTAATGCTCAAGGGAGTATAAGACAAAACAAAATACCATTGGCGTTGTACGACTGGACCTGCTGTCCACTCCATACGCGAGTACCCTCGTCGCTTAGCTGACGAATACGTGAGCCGTAGTATGTCAGCCGCAACTGATAAATTACTTACAAGAATGCTGCGCTCATTGGAGACAACATCCTGCATGATGACGTCTATGGGCTGCGTCAATGACTTCCTCAAGAGTAAACATAGAGAAGAACTAACAGTTCAGCAGTGCTCCAACAACCGTGCCGGCTATCTGCACGGAGAACGTGGTCTATACAACAACTATTAGCTAAGCGCACTCCGTACTTCCATGTTACAACATACCCTAGGAGGGACTGTGTGACGAGAGTCAGAACCTGGCATTGATAACACAAAAACATAAACTTACGCTTCGTGTATTGGCCAAGCTTCAGGTCGCCAAGCATGCTGGCGGCTTGGACGAGCGTCTGGCTGGAGTAGAGCTCGAAGTACTGGATACAGCCATAAGCCACTTTCGATCCGGAACGGACAAAGCTGCGCATACCATGTTGGCCTGTGATGATCCCGGGATGAGAGCGGATGCGAGCATCTGGAACATGTTCGAGATGACAGGCGTAAACCTGGAAGCACATGGCCGTCAGACAAATACACGAGGAGCAAGAGCAATGCAACATACGCCGCGATCGCCCACATGGCGCCGTAGAAGGGGAGGCAAAGGGCGGCGATAATGAGGCCGACGATGAGAGCCCACCATGGGAGGCTGCGCAGAAGCACTTAGCATCGACCTCTGCTCTCATCCAATCACACAGGACGTACCCAGACTTCTCCGTGTATGCGCACACCACTGTTGCACACGGTCAATGCCAGAACTTTACCACGATGCTCGCGGAACACGTACTTGCGGTGATGAAAGCTACCGATCATATATTTTAACACCGTCTGCATATTAGAATATAGTAGACGATAACGCACCACCAAGCGTGACGGCACCATACCACCACATGGGCACTGTGCAACCCTGAGTGTACAATAGCGCACTAAGTGAGAATATCACGCACCTTCCTTGTAGACGGCCATGCGCTTGTAGTGATGATCGTCAATGGGTCTGCGGTGGACGCTGTATCTATGGTGAGATCTCTGGTATTGGAACGGCGGAGCAGGGATCACTCACTAGTCCATGAACGCCGTCCAGATCTAAGGGCGTGTCAGCACATACACCAGAACTGGCTATATGCATGGATGAGACGTACATCCTGCCCGTACCACAACGCGATGTGCACAATGCATGCGCCAATTGACATGTTTATGCCCAGGTTGTAAATCTACGAAAGGGGCAGGATAAGCACATAGATGAGTATGGCAGAAGGAGGATGCATACGTACCACTGTGGAGCCACTCTGCCAAGGCTGGCCGTAGATCTCGTACGCGGTCTTGTTGAGAGACTGGTCGCTATTAGAACGTGCGTCAGAACAAAGATGCCGTACATGAATCTCAGTGATGCCTACGGGTTGAGAATGAGACTCTGATCGTAGATCGAGCCGTTCTCGACTGGAATGCAGTTCATCGTAAGTACTTAGATCAGTAGTGGGCTACCATTACGCACAGAATCTATCAATAGGTTGTTATGAGCATTTATACTCTTGAATAAGATCCAAAATGACGTACAGGTTCTGGGAGATGAACGGGAAGTTCTGGGAGTGCCACACGTTCGTGGCAAAGATGGCGGGAAGCAGGAAGTAGTTCACCGCCCAGCCGACGTAGTTCGAGATCTGCGTCGACAGCGGCGTGTAGAACGGTGCGCTCGTGATGTTCGCCCAGTCGACGCCAAAGCCGAGCAGGCCCATGCCCTCGTTCGCCTCCGCGCCGCCGAAGATGTACGACACCCAGTCCGAGTTGCGCGCGCACAGGCACACGATGTTGAACGAGCCCAGCAGCGGCGCGATGTACTCCGGGAACCACTCGTACACAAAGATGGCGAGCGTAACGAGCCAGAAGAAGCGCAGACGCTTCCCCTGCAGCATCTCGCCCTTCGAACGATGGAGCACATCGAACAAGTTGACGTAAATCAGGTTCTGCGGGTACAGCATGACCGTGGGGTATACGAGGAAGGCGCCTGCATGGCCGGAGGGCGCTGTGTCAGTCGATTAGAGGAATATATGCGCCCTTTACTCACGGAACAGGCCCGCAAATCCATAACCGATCAACTGGGATGCAAGCAGGGTGAAGATGGCGTTGCCAGGCTGCCGAAAAATCAAGTCAGCATATTGACGCGCATATAGTCACCGAATGTCACTGACGTTGACCGTAATGCCATAGAAGAGGTCGTCAGATGCGAACACGAAACATGCCTGTGCTGCGGTCCTGTCGATCACACCCGATCAGATCGACGCGCACATACGGGACGATAGGCGCGACGTACGCAGCAGTGTTGGCCATGATCTGGGCGGCGACATGCTCCTTGAGGTCTGTCGACGGTCAGCTTCACGTTCACGTCGGTCGACACGAGTACAATAAGACGCACTGAACGGGCCCGGATTCATGAAATTCCAGAACCAATTGCCGGTGTGCAAGCGGCTACCTGGGCCGGGGATGATGACCTCAAAGAGGCGACCAAGCATGTACGCCAGCAGCTGGAGGAACAGCGCCGACACGAGAATGACCTGTGGTCGGAATTGGAAGAGCATGCCCAGCACGGCACCGAAGACGGCGAGGCCGAGGCCGGTGAACCACATGCGGAACGTGTGGATGGGCAGGTTCGGGTCGTCGTCGTCGCTCACAAGGGCACGCGAGAAATCCTCGGCAGTCTCGAGGACCTTGTCGCGGCCGCGGCCGTCGTAGAGCTTGTCGTCGACCTCGACCTCGTCGGCGGACTGGCTGGCGATGGAGCCCATCTTCTCGTCGAGCTTCTCATTGCTCGCCGTCTTCTCCGGGTACTGGGGAAGAGACTCCAAGAGGTCTGCGGCGGTATGGGCGTCGACGGGGCCGAGCTCGTGGTCGATGCGCGTCATGGCGGGCAGACGGGGGTGCTGCGACTAGGGAAGCAGAGCGAGGAAGACACGGCGGACGAGGAAGCGGGGTAGATAAAGCGACCGGGGAGTAGACGCCGTCAGAGGCATCATGGGCCCAGCGTGCCAGAGACAGGCTGTCGTTCCTGGAAGATGTTGCGAAAAGGTGGAATTGTAGATAGCATATGGAGACATCTTACCTGCACCGCATGCTCACCCTGTCATCTTCCTTTATGGGCGTCTCAATATTACTCCGCCGATACGATCCCGGCCCTCCCGTCTTGCCCGGCTTCCCTGGGCTGCAGCACCAGTACTTACCGCGGGGCTGCACGCTGGTGAGCGCTGTTGCTCGTTCCTACTGCGGACGAATAGTTCTGATATGATCGAGTTTATCAAAATCACGGCCACCGCCGGCAATATGCATTGCAACCAGAAGTCCACCAGCCTGTGAAACTAGCTTCGAACCATACCGTTGCATCAGGTAGTCTGCGTGCGCGGGGGATGGCATCAAAGGCCAAGCTTGACGAAACCCCGCTCTGGGTGCCGTGCTCGTCGTCCCAGGCAGCATATGTAAATGCGCCACCGTGAACGCAGGACTCCCGTTTGGGGTCGTGTGCTGAGATAAGATCCTCTACCCGATCCGCGATATTTGCGCACCACAAACGATCGTCGACAATTGGCTCCGGCAACTCGCCGGGGTCCTCGCCGTCTATTAATATGCCGTGACAAAATCTGGACGGTTTGTAAATGTAAACCGGACTCTGAAATGGACCCGCTAGAGGGTGGACAAAGTCAGTAACAAGCGACGAACGAGGGCGGGAATGAATGAGGTAACCAACGAGGAAAGAGCGGGGCTTGATGTGACAGTCCAGACTCTTTAGCGTCTAATCTAGTTAGACCGGCCGCCTGGCCGACGAAATAGAGAGGTCGATTCTATTCTGCAGTCGCGTCCAGACCGGAAAGGTATCCACTATGCTGCGAAATTCCTGAATAGCGGATCTGAAGATGGAATGAATATCAACATGCAGGCTGCCATGGGGCATGTGCAAAATTTCAGCGAACTAGGAGATGGAAGGAGAAGTCCAGCGTGCAAGTGACCGAGTAGCTCAAGATGACTAAGTATAGTAACCCGTGGAACAGAATTAAGGCAAACCTCGGTCTATAGTCATATTGGCGCCCATTGGCGTCACACAACGTGTCGCGGTGCCAGATCTGACGTGAGGACCCCAGGACACTATTCTCTTCCCCAGCTGGACAGCTCCTCGAACCTCGTCCGGCGCCGCATGCTCCCGCTCTTTCGCGCCAGACAAGCTCCTGCCGTTGCTTATCGCGCATTTGCTTGAGCGCCAGCCAGCCTGCATTGATGCAACGATTTATTCTTGCCAGCGGCGTTTCACCCTCGTCTGGTACCTACAGGCTTTGCTAGGTTCCCGCCGACCCTCCAGGGCAGCCGAAAGTCGCAGCCGAAACGCTGAATCTGTTCCTTGGCAGCACAACTGCAACAAATCTCATGAGAATTTTCGACGTTTCCCGTGACTAGCTCGCTGTCCAGTATCCCCTGACGCTGGCCGCCATTATCATTCCAGTTCTGCCCGGCATCGAGCACCATTGCTGTGCGTTCCTGGATGGGCATGTCCCTGTCTCACGCACACGACCCAGCCGACATCACACGGCAGGTCCGCGACTCTGGAATGCGCCACGGTTCGTCACCGACGCGACGACGGTCTCCTGTCACACGAGCTCTTCCATGTGCTCGGCCCTGAGCCTCATCGTGCAGCAGGCAACAATCGTCAACGTTGCCCTTGGCCACGAATGCGTTTGAATGACACCATGCCTTGGAGGCCACGAAACACATCTCCATCGCCACTCGAGCGCGACATGGCGCAATTGCACGCGGACCATTGGCTGTCATCGATGGGATCGTGCACGCCCGCCCTCGAGCATGTCCGGCCTTATTCCAGAAGCCGCGCCACCCATACGATGTCCGCCGGAGCATGGTGCCGAACTCGGTCCCACGAAGCATCATCGTGCCCTCTTCCGGACGACCAGTTTGCAAATTGCGAAACAAACTCTCCGAGTGGCGGCAAACACGTCAGGCACGCCTTTAGCTTCCTTATCGCTCCTTCACCCATTCGGAGACGCCATTTGGCAGGACGCTCGCGAGCCTCGTAAAACCATCGCTGCATACCATTTAAGCTTACTCCCAGGCACGCACAATCATGACATCTTTGTGATCTGTGACGCGACTGCACGGTCTCCCAGAGTCCCCGGCTGTCCGGACCCGGCGCGCGTAGTCGCAGGTCGCAGGTCAGCTGGAGCTGTCTGCCAACAAACATGGGTCGGCAAACCCGTGACATGCTGGCATGACATTTTCGAGCGGTAAGTCAAAGCCCCTGAGCCTATTATTGTGCCTCTGCACATGCAAAAGATACCATTTATATTGGCACCTCCCCCACAAACCTAATTTTAGTCTGGGAGCAGGTTCCTCAATGCCCCGTTTCATGACGCGATTGGATTAGAAGTAGCTACTGATAAATCTTCGATCAGGTACGCCAGAGATTAGTGCTTTTGCATAGCTAATCATGTCTATTCTTAGACAGTCCAAGCCTGCTTATCTGTTCTCCTTCGCTAGGCTTCGGTCCCTGCAAGACATAAAAATACGACCTCTACCTACATACGTGGAAACGTATCTAGAAGTCAACTGCGCTCAGCTAGGAGAGTATGCCAACGAGATAGGGGAAGACTTGGCGTCTGTCCCGGGGTAGTTGCTTACTGAAAAGGCAAAGTTGGCACCGAGAACTCAAGACCGAGTTCTTCGGTGAGAGCGACACTAAGAATAGTGCGTCCCGCGCTCCCGTTTATTTTCGTATGCTTCCCACCCTGCGCTCTTCGATGCTGCTCGTTCGTCATGGTCAAGGTGTCTTGCGGTTCCGATGGAATGTAAAGCGTCGAGGTGCCCAATGTTCAAGCGCGCGTTGTTCCTGCACGCAGCGTATAAAATCAGCAGCGAGTCTCACATACGCTTTCCTTGTCGTTTACAGTTGAGCCCATTGCATGCCATGCTCTGATATTCTTCAATTCACGCAGGATGCGTCTGCACAGCTCCTCGTACACCACATGCAGGCCACTGTCATCGTCTATCATATGTGCCAGCGTCACGACTGGCGCGCAACGAACAGCGCGCAAATTGTGCGCCCAGAATCCGGTCATTACCCTGTCTAGTGGGCAGGCTGCCCGGGCTGTCATCGAATTGGCTGCTAATGGAATGCCGTGTGTGCACGCGTGCATTCTTACTGCGACATCTGGCATGTCGCATTGATCAAGAGTTCGTTCCGGATCAACTCGGCTGAAGCGGGGCGCGGTTCAATCCCAACGAGCAGCCTCACCGGAGGCCGGGGATGCAGTACATATCAGAGGAACAATGTGTCCGTTTTCGCTGGCGATCCAAGCTTCATCTGATTCGTCGCATCCCCGGAAGGATGTATGGCATACGCCCTTGCGTTGTGCAACGCTCGAGCTGACAACCGAAGCAAAAGGAAGCCCTTCCAGCGCGGCCTTATGTAATGCGCCGTGCTTCCTGCAACGGAGTGACATGCCACTCTCTTGTGCACCCGTATGCTTGATGCAATTGTCAATGAACGTTGAACGTTAACGTTCGTGCTTTACCGGATTGAGAAGCCCGCTGTCTGCCAGCGGCTTGGCAAGAAGGCAAGACGGCCATATGCTCGTTGACATCTTGTTCTTAATCTATATGCAACTGTTATCGCGCGGTGATTCGGCCACATTACCCATATTGCGCTGGCGATGTCTGTCGTATTGATGAATTTCAGTGATCTGACGCAGCTTTGAGTGTGAGGACATTATGTTACATACAAATGATGAAGGCGAGGCTTGCGGATTTTTACGTCAAAGGTGGCAGGCTCATCAAGGGTTGCGCATTGACGAAGGGTCTATGCGCATGTGGACAAAATTACATCTGCGAGGCCCTTTGTATGTAATCTACGTTCTGTCTGCCTGAGATAAGCATCGCTTTACACACGCCTGTCGTTTCCACACGGCGACCTATACTCATACATAGCCAGCGACAAATGCAGTGTGGGAGTGCTGCGCACGTCCGAGTAGGAAATATATATATGCTGCAGCACCGAAAAGGTGGGCGCTTTGCGAACGAACGAGCGAGCGGTAAGAGTCGAGCAGCCCCACTTGCAAGCTGCTGCGATCAGCAAGATCGAGTCCTCGATCGCTCATGAGATCTGCATCCGGGGCGATCGAGGCCTGACATGGCACCAGAGCCGCGGGCTCTGGCAGTCGTTCATTATAATCTCCTGTATATTCAAGGCTACTTGGTTCAAGATGAATCAGTCGGAATACTCCTGAACACGCGGGGACACATGTAGCCCCGCCACTTTGGGGTGAATCCCGTGTAGCAGTACTCTGTGCACGGAATGACATCATCTTACTTCTATAATTATGAACACAGACCCTGACAGTGGATAAGAATACTCGACATTTACATTAATTAATACATTCATGTTCATTGGGGGACGGATCGGGGGATGGTTGCATAGATAGGCCGTCTCGCCCAGCGAAGGGATAGGACTCACAGAACTCTCCACGCCTTTACGCTGGCGCGCCACGGGATGACTCGCATTCTCCTATGCATCAGCCACCCAAACGGAACCACGACGGCACCTGCTTCCATATCCGCTCGCGCTCGCGTGCCGCCCACATCTCCAGTGCGCGCGCGCACGCGTGGCATTCTGAGAACTCTGCGCTCTTCAGCTGCCCGAGCTCCTCCGCGACGTACAGCGGGTCCGCGCATCCGCGCTCGCGGTCGAACAGGTAGTGCTGCGTCGCGAGCGCAACGAGCTCCTCAAAGTCCTTCCGGCACGCCGCCGGTGTCGCGCACACGCGCTCGGAGGATGCGCGCCGGTAGTGCGACGCTGCGCATGCAAGCATGCTGTTTCGGTGCTCACGCGGCTGCGAGGCGTGCATCATCCCCTGGATGAGGCCAGATACCGCATGCTGGGATGCCTCCTTGCCGAGGGTCAGTTGCTGGATGTCGTCTGCGCACAGTGTGGGTGTGCGCGACGCCGGGCCGAGGGGCTCGTCCTCGCCGGGCTCGAATATTTGCAGGTAGTGATATCGGGAGAGGTCGTAGAAAGCGGAAGGTAGCAGCTCAGGTACGTAGACCTCTCTTGCTAGGTTTATCACATCCTGAAACCGGATTGAACGTCAGGAACATGACAACAGTTACAATGGAATTGCTTACAACCGGGGACGGGAAGCGGAATCCACGGTGCATTCCAGTCTCGAGCTCATAGATCCGAGCTAGATCTTCTCGAGCGTCCCAATCCGCGAGGCTCAATGGCCAAGCCACACGCAGATGTGCAATGGCCGTTTTGCGGAGCGATTCAAGGACATATTTGTCGGCCAGCCGAAGAATTCCCGAGACCATGCGGAAATCCTGCCGATCATTATTTCCAAACCAACTGCACGACAGTATGTCAATATGTACAGGCGCCAGGATGAAACACCACACCACTCACGGACCGTCATACAGTGCCTTCAGAAGGTGAGCGAGATCTTCCGCTGAATCATGCATCACCAGGAGCGGGCAACCCTCGAACATTTCCGCATTTGGTAAGCTGGCAGCAGGAACGGGCGAGTCGGCCTGTGCTGGGGGCTGGGACAGAGAGAAGAGGTCGCGGAAGAACGTGGACTTGCGAGACAGCTGCGATATGTGCACGCGAAAGAGCGTGTTCTCAGCGCGAAGAACGACTGAGCCGTCCGAGAACCAGAATTCGTGATGTCGCGTGAGAGCGAGAGTGACATCGGCGGGGCTCTCCAAGATGATGTCTTGAGCAATCTGGTCTGACGAGCTTGACGCACGCGCCATATCTGAGGAACCCATATGGGTGTCGGTATCTTGTATGGCGGAAGGCGTGGGGATGCCAGGCAAGCTTGATGTTGGCTTAATTTCTGACATTGTGCACGAAGGAGAAGGAAGAGAGCAAATGCATAGGACCTGCGCACTAGTATATGCGGTGTCTATGTAATGATTGTTGTCGGAACAAGGTCATCATGTTGACCCTCTGCTAATGAGTTAACACCGTACAGCCTCAATCAGGCGGACACCACAGTTGCCACTAGAGCGCAGGTCGCCTGCCAAGAGTCCGGGCACACAAACTAGCTGAGAAGCTAGCGCAAGCACGGAAATAATAATAAGAGGTCAAAGAAGGGGGAGCCGGACAAGGACGCTGGGTGGGAAAGTGACCAGCACGTGGACGGCAATACTCGGTCACGTGTATAAAACAAGGCGCGTCAAGACACGCGCGACTCAATCAACGCAGGCTTTTGTGCTGAAACGAGTCGACCAACCTTCAAAACTATACGTGATATGACATTCTCAAGCTGGATCGCAAGAGAAGTTTACACACAGATTTACATAATCATTCGTGAGCAGAATTGCACGATACATTACACACGCAAGTTGTGGTGTAACATTATGCTCAACTTGGAAACATCGAAATACAAGAACACTAGAGTGTTCAGTCCAGATGGTTCAATACCTCCTTCGCCTTCCGAACGTACAGCTCAAAGCGTTCCTCGAAGCGATCGCATATCCTTCGGGCGACGCCCTGTGTCGAAGGCACCAGATCGGCTGCAACCGCGATTGACAGGCCACCGGCGTATGAGATGATGCCCATACCAATCGTACCTAATGACCTTGAGAAAACGAGGCTCATGATGCTTCTTAGATGAGCTGCTCACCTTTGCCTGCTTGAGGCGGAAGAGCAGTCCAGGTAAGGACTTCGGCGCCTTCGAGAGTAATCCGCTTCTTCGGCCCAGGAACGCTGCACATAATGTGTAAGCAAGGGTGCGGTGTACATGACATGCAGTAGCTCACTTTGTGAGGATGACGGGAACTGCGACATATTAATCTTTCAACCGCAGTAGTGGTAAATGCACATGAGGGATCAACGTACAGGATTGTAGGACCAGATCATACAGCGGCTTGCTGATGTGCCTGGTAATCCAATCCTTGACTCGACGAGTGGGGTTCGCCAGCAAGGATATGCGCAACAGCACGGGTGCTTGTCCCGTCAATTGCACGATGTAAAATGATATCTTTGGAAGGAGGCTGTGCTTCAAAAGCGATAGCTCCGCACGACACTCGTGTATGTGTTTGTGCATTTCATGCACGGACGGATCTACGGACGCGTCCTTGGTCGGATTTAGGTAGACAAGGGCGCCGGTGGATAGATTACGCATTGACCAGTCGCCCGGGGAACGAATGCTCATGGGACTGGTCGGGCTCCAATCAGCCTTTAAAGTATGCAGGACCATGCAACGCTCACATAAAAAATCCAATAGGTGATGGTAAAGCATCTTGCAGCCATTGTTTAGTGCCCTCCCAAGGATCATCGAGTCTAGGCTTGACAGCGAGTTCAGCACCGAGCACGTCCGCCATAACAGCGCAGACAACATCGTTTAGTGTCACATGTCCGGCTTTATGCTTGACGTCGTCGCGTTTCTCCTTTGGCACTCCTTTAACCGAACTGCCCGGCCTGGGACCCGAGAATGCTTGCTGGCACAACTTGACATCATCGATGCTAAATGCACGAGAGCTCGAGAATTCGCGCTGTGTAACACGAGGTCCGAGTTGAGGGCCCGTGAGCATTTCGACGCGCCAGAACGTGATAAGAAAAAGTGTCGCTTGGCGTATGGCGGGATATATGCTCCAGAGAAAGCTCACGCATGTAGACACGATGAGCGCAAACCAGAAGGCAGATGCCAGGGATAAATGGAGAATTGGAGCGGTAAATTCGTTTTCGCAGAGTGGGTCGAGGAAACGCAGAGCACGGTGGATCTTGGAGGGGGGCAGTCGTCCACGCTTGACGGCGTGTATCTTCTCGGCAGTTGAGTTCATAGCCTCTACCAGAATGTCGTGATACGAAGTAATGAAGAGTTGACTTATGACGAAGCCTATTCCAGTATTTTAGTTTAAGATCACATAAATCAACGCACATCTCGGACTGACCTTGGCCATCGGCCAGCGAGTGGTGCCTAATACTCGATTGTTCAACACACGAATGGACCCACATGAGACGCATACTGACCCTCGTGTAATGACGGCGCATTCGCTACCGTTCTCATCGTGATAGTTCTCGACCAGGACCATTTCCCATAGTGGCCGACGCAAATCCCAATCTTGTGCAATGAATTTGCCCATCTGCACTCAAAATATAGCTCATAATGTACGGGTGACAAAATTTAACCCACTTACCAAGTCGTCAAGCTCTCGCTTGCCGGCCGGTTCGGGCAAAGTCACGGCATGGATGTGCTTGCTCATATCAAAGTCTGGATCATTTTCGAATCGAGCGCCATGAAATCTACGCCCAACTGACGTGACTCGCTGTCTATACTTTGGGAATTTCTCTGCCTGTCGCTCTGCAGACTGAATGTCATGCATCAGCTGAATAGAACCACAAGAGAGGCAAAGGCGACGTACATGGTACAGTTGCTCAAGAGAGAGCTTATCGCGAAGTGTGTACGTACATGCGCATACCTTCAGCAGCCGTGAGTGCCGCGTGACCCACGGTCGCAACAGCACAAATAGCTATGGAGAGAACGCACCGGGTTGAAATCCGCAGCCTCTGACAAAAGGAGCCACATGTTGTCAATTCCCCCGATTGCCTGGCGTCTCTCTTCAAGTTCTCTATCGATCCAGTCTCCAGCCAAGAGCATGTATCTGGCGATCCAACCGGTGAATCCCCCGGCGCGCTCTAGGTCAGCCAGAGAAAGCTGAAGCTCGTGCTCAATTTGAAGAGGTACATTCTCTGTGACTCCGAGATCGTCCTCGTAGCTTCCTGGTATATGCATATACTGGCCGTTGGACATGCTTTGTGGTCGGCTTTGTTGCTGTGGACCTTGCTAAGAAGATGGTCGTTAAATGCAGGCTGGACGCGTCGCGTCGCGTCTAAGTGCGCCCCGCATAACGGCGCCTTTGCCCGTGATCGTGACGTCGGTGGCTACAGCAGCCGGGCATACTTCGGAGAAGGGCAACATGCATTTCAAATTCATACAACTCAACGACGTTATAACTGAGGTACTGGTGGTATCTCGCAAATTAGCAAGGACAACACGACGGACAATCTATGCGGACAGAAGAAGGAAAGCAACTGGAGTAAAACAAGATGAGACTGACGATGGCATGGTGATCCTACAACTTCTGATAATCGACGAAACAAAACCAATTCCCAAATTCCAACTGGCGATTTACCAGTACTGTGTTTTCCTCGACAGCCCGATCTCATGCGCTGGCAACCCAGATACCCAGACCCGCCGCTTGCACCTTGTTCGGGTCCTCGCGGTTCAGGATTTGAATCAGTTCGATGAGTTGCGCGCGAGTATCCGACTGGATCTGCTCGGGGTTATTGGGGTCCATCACGTATGCTATGATAGCCAGGAGGCGGTCCATGTACGGCTGGAGGACCGGGGGGTTGGTCCGGAACAGGTGGAAGATGGTGTTGAACACCGCTGTGTTCTCGAGATGGTCATGTTTGAGGGGCAGAGCGTCGAAGAAGACGGGTAGGACCTGGTCAAGCGGCACCGCAGCGGTATTCTTCACGATTATCCGGGCGACCGCGCCGACTGCGTTGTCACGGGCGTTAAACCTGGCCGTAGGTCCATCCTCGGTAATGACAAACAACGGTCGCAAGGCCGCAAGAACATTTAGGTAGTGAGCCGACAGGTCCACCTCGGAGTGCTCGATCAAGAGACCGATCGCAAATGCTGAGTTGCACTGAACCTCGGCATCATCATCCGACAGGGCACGGAAGAAGAGTTCGAGGAGCGGCTGCGTCATCGGGGTAACAGCGAACTTTATTCCGGCAATGATCTCCGACAAGCAACCGATTGCAGAGGAGCGGTCACTGAGGGAGCGGCTCTTTTTCTGACGGCGTGCTGTGTATAAGCAACTCAATCACAAGGCTCGAGGGTATCCCCACTTACGTAGTACTTGGCAATGAGCGGGAAGTATCGCGGGAAGGCCCCAGCGAAGTCGGGTCCGAGGGCACTAGCAATCGCTGCAACAAGATCACCCGCGGCAGAAATCAGCATGGAGTCATACTCGGCCTGGTCCTCAGGAGCCTCGTCGTTCTCGTCTTGATCAGGATCTTGCTGGCAGATAGCCTTCTGATCCAGGATCTGCGTAGCGATCGTGCCGAGCTCATCAACACCTGCAGCACGGTCAGCGAGAGACAATCAAACGTGAGATCGCGTGACACTCACGTCCTTCGAGGAACGCAGGCCCGATCTTGTTGACCGTCTCCGCAAGGCCAACACATAAGGCAGACACCACTTTCCTGTGTTGGAGGTAGCGAGATCAACAACAGCATAGTGGTCTGCAAAGGGAGGTACGTACTTGTTATCCTCAGTCTCGTACATCTCCAATAGAGGTGCCCAGATGTGGCTGATGAGTGACTGCACCTGGGGCTGGAGAGGGACACTCTGGATGGGGCATAAATCAACATGTCGGATCTCATATTCAATGGTATACTAACCGGAACAGAACCAGGCTGCCACTCCTCAGGATTGCTCAGGTCGTAGAATGTCCTGATGATCTCCAACAGAGAGTCCACTGCAGACTTCCTGATGCCGTCATAGTAGTGCGGGAGTAGAGCGATCAACTCGATCGTGGACTGCTCAACGTAGGGCAGGAAGTGTTGGCGAGTTGCAGCGAAGATGGTGCCAATGGTGTCGGCAGCAATCTCTTTCTCGATGCAAATGGTGCTGTTGACATCGAGCATTTTGTCAACGTCAACGTCCTCAAGCTCGATGGAACCATTAGCGTCGTCGGTGACCGTGATGGCGTTAGCAGGGGAGGAGCCGGATGCGAAGTTAATAGAGGCCTCGGAGGTCGAGACTGACCGAAATGTCAGGTTGTGTAAAAAGCTTCAGATGAAGACATAACCACGTACCGGTGAAGCCTTCCTCGCCGTGCTCATGCTGCTTGCAGCTCTGGATAAGAGCAGGCACAACGTTCGGCAGGTACGGTGCGAACTCATCCTCAAACACTCGTGACATCACGCTAAAGAACAGGAAGCTGCACTCGCGCAGGCGCGCGCTCCCCATCTGGATACCCTCGAACGCCTGCTGCATCATGTCCCCAAAGTACGGCCGGAAGTGGTCCTTCCCGATAGCCTCTGCGAATGTACCGACGGCGTCCATCGTGATCCCGCGAAGCTCTTGCTCCTCGCCCTCGCCTCTGAGCACAAGGAAGTGCTTGAAGCGTTCCATCGTCGGCTGGAAGTACGGCAAGAACTTCTCGTGCGAAGCGTGCGCTGCGCTACCAATTGCACCGATCACAACCGACTTCACAGCGATCGGCGCAGTCTCAAGCAGCCCGACAAGACGCTCCATGATCAGGGGCAGGTACGCCTCAATCTTGTCGCCGAGGATCTCCAGCACAGCGTCCAGCGACGTGCACGCGGAGCGCTGGGTGACGGGGTCGTTGACCAGCTGCATGAGGGTCTACAAGCATCATCGTAGTCAGACAAGACAGACCGCCCACGTCAGGACAGCAGACTCACTGGAACGAGAACGGTGTGCCTGCTGGCGCATTCCTCCTCGAGCCACTCGCACAGACAACTGACGGCGACGCAGCTAGCCTTACGCACAGTCGCGTCGGGGTCGTTCAGCCCGACCTCGATCAGGGGCCACACCTGGGGCATCAGCGGCGTCATAAATTCACTGCAGCCCTCGACGCTGACGCCCAGCGCTAACATAGCGCCGCGACGGTAGTTTGCATCGGGCGACGTAAAGTATTGTTGAATGAGCGTGCGTAGCGCAGGGAACACCTGCGTCGGAGGTAGGCTCGTCGCGAGGCAGTCAATGATACGTAGCGCCGACCTTGACGGTGCGTCGTCGTCGAGGTCCTCCGGTTCGGGCTCAGTCGAAATCGGCATCAAACCTTCCAGGATTGCAGGGGCAAGGCCGTGAGCCTGCACCTTTGATTTTTTGCTGCGACCAACATCAGGAATGGAAGAACAATATTTATGCGGAACTTACTATTGCACGGTCCAGTTGAGCGCGTTGAGCGACAGCACCCGCAGATCGTCTTCGAATCCCCGGTTCGATCCGCATTGCAAGAGGAACTGCACGAGCTGGGGTATATGCTGCCCAAGGAGCGGGATTTCCTGTAGGTCATTACGTCAGTATGCAAAAAGTATGGGCAGATGCAGGAACGCGAACCAGAATAAGCAACGTCTCCAGGACATCAAACAACTGACGCGCGCCCGTCTCGTTGCCAGCCTCAACGCATTGGCCAATCGTGGTAATCATGCCAGGGAGCAGATCTTGGAATTGTTTCTGACAACCGCATTAGCGAAACACTAATACATTAATGGACACCAACTTACAATGGCCTGTTTGTCGTCCGAGTCAATGTACTGCGCAATCACACCGAGCGCTCTGCACGCTGTACATCAACAATGCACAAGACGCGAGAGTACATCGGACATACCTGACGGTAGTAATCCTGACTTCTGCGCTCTCGGGATCGTTCAGGAGCACTGCAAACAGCTTGAAGAAGCTCGGCAGGTGGTTTTCGAATCCCTCCACAATCGTTTCCAGAACCGTGTACAGGATATAGACACCGACTTCACGGTGTATGGCCGTCGGTGATTGGCATGTCTGCTCGAGGAACGGTAACAGCTGGTTCCAGCTGTTCATCGGCAGCTCGATGTAGGCGATGGCTGCAATCACACGCGCAGTAGAATGGCGAACGAGGTTACTGAATTCAACATGAATATGGTGGGTTTGTAATTTACTAAACGGTGATGCGCACCTCTGCTCGGAGACGACCAGTTCAGGCAGCTTAGCTTTGATCTGTTCCCGCTCGTCCTGCGGGAGCTGCAGCCACTGATCCCCACTGCTCTGGCTGACACGCTTGCGCATTTCGACTGCCGCCAGTTGACGGACCTACATGCGAGGGTGGGTCGATACAGTGACGATCGCGTGGGTGATGTGACATACCGCTTGGTCGGGCGAGCTCGCAATGATGCTCGTCAGCGCAGGGATGCATGCTGGATTTTTGTAGTACTCCCGGTTCAACTGGGCGGTGGCCTGAATCTTTCGTCAGCGTCTAGATCCCGGTTACGATGCCACCTTCGTCTGTCGCAGCATGCCGCAGGCACGATAGAAGCGAGCCCCAGCCGATGCTTTCTGCAGACAAGACTGCGCAATTCATGCTCAATACGAGAGAAACCCGTGGCATCTCAAGTGAATTATGTGGCCTCCTCAGATACACTGAATGCTATGAGCACTTGAGCGCCACTGTGCACAATTGGAGCAGCCCCAGCAACCACCACGCCAGGCGTGTCCACCAACCTGCATGCGGTATTTGCCTATGGGTGGCGGCGCCTCCGGTTAGCCTTCGGAACACGGGTGGTAAACTCGAAGCGAGCTTCCTCGACCTGGGAAGGGCATGCGATCGGTAAGTGCAAATGTGCCCTTAGCGTCACGTTGATACTGAATGTATGCAGCGGTGCACCAGCAGGAGCGTACGATCGAGATCTGGTCGCGCGTCGCGGATTCCACGCTTAGGTATGTCCTCTCGGGGTGGACAAGACGCGTGAACTCCCAGTGGGCTGAAGAGAGAATTCACTGGGCACACGGAAGAGCATAGAGAGGCGTGAAAGACACGTCCTCTGAAGACCAAAGAGGCAACGACGAAGTGAAGAGACTGAAATGCTCACCGCCTTGAGCTGAACTGTATCATTTGAGGTTGACTGGACAAGGAGACTGTGCAAGCCTTGCACAAAGCTGGGCTGGAGAAACGATCAGAACACATTTTCGTGATTGCAGACGGTCAACGCACATCCATCGTTATGGAAGGAAAGAACGATGGTGAAAGAGGGAGGGAGGATGGGCGAGAGGCAAGACTTCAAAATTTTGGCGGAGTTGAGAATACTGCAATGTGATAACCACGTGCTTATGATCGATCATTTTGACAATGACGAGCGCTACGTCGGTTACTACCTTTGGTAACAATCAAAACAACGATGAAAAGTCGCAAAACCGCACCTATCTGCACAATCGAATTACAAGACAAGCTGTCCGGGACGACATGTCATACATGAATCCAAACCTTTAAGATCAATCAGCGATTTGGAGAAGAGCTTAAGACGGCCTTAATCATGGAATGGAGAGCCTTGCTACAACGAACGAGGGATGTGTACCGGGAACAAAATACCAGTACGAGCATGTCTATCTCCTACGCAGTGACGAGGCAACAAAAGATGCTGGGAAGATTACGGACTCAACAGTTCATGTTACAAAAGGAAACATTAGTTTATTATCGTCAAAACAATCACATTGAACGACTCAGAGCTACAATTCTTTTATACGCTGGCAAGTACTGGGTACATGTGATGTCCTGACACAACGTCAACCAAGGTCCTGTTCGCATGCATGTCTATCAACTTGTGTAACTTCCTATTGTCTTGACGTCAGCGAGCTTGTATCCAGAGCATCAGATTCTTCGACACATAATCGCGTTTCTCAGGGTGTACGTTATCATCAGACAGCTCGGGCATCTGGTGGATACTCTGTCAAGCTATGTACTTCAGAAGGTTGCTCATTACAACTGCTCAGTGATCACTTGCCCCAGGTGAGTCCGCGGGAGTCCGCATGGTTAGGCCTCTGAAGTCGAGCTCGGATCAATCAGCCACGCAAGTAGATTGAGTTGGACTAGAGCCTCGATGCAATATTTCCCGTATGACACTTTATAGCAATCCTTCTACGGCTAAAAACCAGAGTCAGGATCAATAGGGGTGATGCGCCAGAGCCACTGTCGAGGCCTCCACTTAGGTTCGAGCGAGACGGAGTAGGCTCGCTCGACAATGGGGTCTTTCAGGTTGGCAGTGAAGAGATCGACGACTTCGACCTGAGAGACGATAATGAATGTTTGCAATCATAGAGGATTCGCAGATGACCTGTTCTACCTGAGTCCCCTCCTTACCCCCCGGCAGAGTCCACACCATGCGGGGCTATCCTCGTACGGCAATCCTACCAAGTAAATTCAGCCCGCGGAGTCAAATAGGAGAACAACGTCTACAATTTCCACTCACATATATATTCCGTTAATTTCTGTGTAATCAGGGGACGTCCCCTCTCGGACAGTAGACAGTATTTCCCACTCGATATTACCGTTGCCTGGTACAGACGGGGCCTTCTGGTCTTCATTAGTGGGGATGCGCTCGGCATAGAGGAGATTGTTAAATGCAATGGCTTTCCGTGTCGTAGTTGTTGGGCCTCCAGGTATGAGAACGTGAAAGGCGCCACTATCCTGTTTCTCGAGGATGAACTGCGTGCATAAATGCGAGCGCGATGTATCAGCCGTTCACGGTATGCATACCGAAGGCGGCAGAGCACCGTGTGGAGATACGGAGACCGGAGTGAGTAAGTCGCTCGTCGTGAGTAATGCAGAGTTATCATCTGGCGCAACGACGTCGAAACAGTAGTTGGTGATTTGGTACTTGGCGGACTGCTTGCCGGGCATCGTTTCAATAGGTTGTAAACGTAGGAACAATTGTTGGTATAGAAAAGGAGAGGGGGCTCCCGGTGACAAGTTACGAGGTCCTGCGTAGATATGGTCCCACGGAAAGAACAGGACCCTATGCTTTCTGCCTACTCTGCAAATGGAGTGGACAAAAACAAACGAGATACGGAGAACCTTGATAAGCTGTGCACCGTGCAAAGGTGGCCTTCGAAGTGTAATGGAGTAAATTGTGAGCGGCAATACATATTACGTATCAATAGAACTTATGACATACACGTTCTCTGCCACTGTTATCACTTGTTCTCGGCTTCTGGGAGCGGTAGGACCAATGAATCCCTCCTAGAACGCTGCCGAAGAAACACAGAACATAGAGGTAATGTTTAGAACAACACATGTGCGGCCCGCGCTTGAAGGAGGCCGCCTATCTAAGTTATGAATTGGGAAGTATACATCACCTCATGGCCCGGCTTCGATGAGGGCGATGAGCCACAGAGGAATGGGAAAATGCCCAGAGAAAGCTCACGAAGAAGAGATACCGCGTCTCCCATGACCCACGGAATGAACCACATCCGATATACCTATATCCTCAGATGCGAAGGGACGCCGCAGCTAGTTGCATTTACACGCGTGTTTATGTCATCAAGACGGAAGAGACTCGCAAGAAAAGGCGACGTATCGGGAGTACTGCTCAATAGGTCAGGCGTGTTATCTCATATGATGCATATATCCCGGAACGCACACACCTACTGGTCTACGATCACGATGTCAATGTGGATCGGGTAAATTATGTCGAAAATGATGGACCGACCTAGTAATCTTATGTTGACCCTCAATAGTCAGCATGTCTTGATGCCGCCCTGATGATTCGAGCAGTCATAGTAACATAGAGTCAGGAGGTTACTCAGCCGTAAAAATATCACTGAATGGACTACTTCGAAAAACAGGCCACCTTGACCACATACATTATTCGAAGTGTTCGGATATGTGAGAAGCCTGACATCAAAGACGCTGGTAGAATTGAGATGATTCATGATACTGCGTTCGCTTGATCACTGTGTCATTCCGTCCGTTTTAAATCAGATCTATCAAATAGAATAGAGGTGGAAATAGGAAAAAGGAATTTAGATGCCTACAAAAGCAGGACTGCTTATTTGTAGAGCGGAGTATAGGTGCAGTTCACAGTACGGATTCCAAAGCGGATTTCAGCTTAGATTCCGCGCCTCGGTCAATGACTGAGGACATGCTGCTCGAAGGTTTCCATAATGGGAATATATGTTTGAAATTACCCCCGCTTTTTCGCAAAAGACATGGGCGCTACGCAAGTTCCCACAGCGAATTCCGTGAGATTCCGTGTCTCTTGCTCACTATCGGCCCAATTTAGTAGTGTCGGGGATTTGCACGGCTGCGCTTGCGATTGAAGAACACCACCGTATGTCGGGCCACGTTAGCGAGCAAGGGTATCGACCGGCGAAGTCAACATTGTTTTCTCGCTGCTGTGATGAGTTCAGCTATTCTCATGTTAAGCTACCATTCTTCCCGTCCGCCTGACGGCGCCGCGCGCCTCTTTCTTTTCCTCGCCTAGCAAAGTGAAAGCCCTTTTCGAAGCTTACATTCATCCTGTCTACCAACGTAGAACATGTGGATGCGCACCTGTGAGCCTGCCCGACGACGTAGATAAGAAGTGGCTGGCCTGGTACGTTCTTCCTTTATTCATGCAGTACGGCGCAACTCCTCGTGTACTCCAAGGGTTCGGCTCCTTCGATTGAACTGTCAAAGGTCTCTGCCCAAATGCTTCCGACTTCCAATTTCGAGACTCCCTTCCAATGTCGCGCAAAGTTCACTCACCTTGATCCCCGCAGCGAGCAGCTGACTGAGATACAGGATAAAGGAATGTTATTGCCACGGTCCCCGACGGGTCCACGCCGCGCCATATCCGCGAAGGGGAACTCCAAAGAAGCACATTTGAGACCCTGCAGTGAGCGCTGTGAACAATACGCGAAGCTAGGCCGACTGACTCCAGACTTGAATCGGTTGATATTCTTCCATTGACCCAGAACTATTGGTAATTGGAACGATCAACGGACATCACATTTGGAGGTCATAGGAGTCTCACCCCAAACTTTACACTCCGTTCGTTTTGTGTAATGATTCATCTAACATGTTCTGCAGGAAGCGAATCTTATAAATCATTGTATCCATGCGATGGTCTACCGACAGTCTGTCCGCAGTCACCCATATCCTTTTACACTGTCATCAAAGTCCGCATTACTCAATCACAACTCACCTACGATATGCCCTCCTACAACGTCACGAATACGAACACTAAGTCGTCGCATCGCATTGTTTATGCGCATCCTGAGTTCACTGACCATGCAATCGCTGCATGGTTTCTCGGCCCCAAGGTGGAGAACCATGATGTCCTCGAAGACCAGCTGCGGAAGATTGTCAAATATCTCAAGCATGGACGTGCTACGTACTTCCCAGACGATTCCGTATGTATCATATTGCACTTCATTCGTGCAACAATCAATCACGCTGCGGTTGTTCAGAACTTCATCACTCAAGACATGATCCAGTCAAATACATACCGCAAGGCCGTAGACAAGCTCGATCAAGTCGTCGAATATCTTTCCATTCTGTTAGCCAACCATTCCGTACCATTCTCCTCTCCTCGATATGCCGCCCACGTCGCTGGGGACACGACCCTGCCTGCCGTCGTGGGCTACGCGCTTGGCATGTTGTACAATCAGAATAACGTTACGCCGGAGGCCAGTCCCCTCACTTCCGTCATCGAGTACGTTGTTGGACAAGATTTCTGTCGAATGCTTGGTTTCCATACTGCAGATGAGCGGCGGGGCCGTCCTGATGACCCGCTGACGATTGGCTGGGGCCATGTAACCTGCGATGGCTCAGTTGCCAATTACGAATCTATGTGGTATGTCTTTCTGAAAACTATGCGAGTCTAGTCTCATATCGTATTTTACAGGGTCGGTGAGTACTCAGCCTATTGGATAAATGTGTTCGGCTTCTGACGTCATCCCTTGAAGCGCGAAGCCTCAAGTTCTATCCTCTGTCGCTCCAACTCGCTATTATTGAGGGCGACCTCGGCTTCGTAAAGGACACATTCATGGTGACGACCACAAGTCGCGTCGAAAAGCGCTACAAAGACTGCTCTGCATGGGAGCTGCTCAATCTGAAGCAGGACGTCATTCTCGGTCTAGGTGACAAGTTGACGGAGCAGTTTGGCGTCTCCAGCGACTACCTCGAGGGTGCTATGAGGCCCTATCTCGCGCAGATCATGGGAAAGGACAAGATCGAGAAGCGCTTCGGTATCAAATTGCCACAGTATTTCTGCTCCATTACCAAGCATTATTCATTCAACAAGGGTGCAAGTATGTGCATGCCGCGAAATGTCTTGCATGGCCAGCACTGCTGACACCGTATTGAACCTTATAGATATTCTCGGAATAGGCGAAAGCAACCTTGTTGATGTCGATATCGACATGCACGCGCGCATGGATGCGGACGACCTTAAGCAAAAGCTCGTGGATGCCATACAAGCGGAGATCCCCATATATGCTGTTGTCGCCATAATGGGCACCACCGAGCACGGTGCAGTTGACCCGTTGGATAAAATACTTCGCATCCGTTCCGAACTAGAGAAAAGCCATGGTGTCTCCTTTCTTGTGCATTGCGACGCTGCGTGGGGCGGATACTTTACCTCCATCCTACGCGACCTCCCAAGCGATTGGACAGGGCCTGCAGTTGACTCCGCCTTCCTGAAGAAGCCCCTACTCCGCTACACCAAGGTGCAGCTTGACGCGATGAGGCATGTTGACTCGGTAACCATCGACAGCCACAAATCGGGCTACTGCCCGTACCCGGCGGGTGGGCTGTGCTACCGTGATGAGCGCATGCGCTTCTTAATCACGACCACGAGCCCGTATATCAATACTACGGGCGAGGGCGTTGAAGCCATGGGGACGTACGGTCTCGAGGGAAGATGAAATATTCCCCGAACCCCTCTACATCAACCCAAAGAGCTCATAGCTGTCGTTTTGTAGTAAGCCCGGAGCATCCCCCCTGGCTGTGTGGGTCTCCAACATGGTCCTTGGTCTTCATATGGGCGGATACGGCACTCTCTTGAGTCAATCAATTTTCAGCGGGGTCAGGGCATGTTCTCGGTCTTCCCCACGCAATTATATCTGTTCACTCACTGTGTGCTAATTAGTACTATACTCTGTGGTGCAATGTGGCAGAAACGTCCAAGCTGCTCTACGTTGTCCCTTTCAACGTCCTTCCCATCGAGAAGGACAAGGCTCGAAAGACAATAGGGGAAATCGAAGGGGAGAAGGAGAGGCTCGCGGACAGCATCCTCCGGCGCTCGTTCGCGGACGTGATTAAGGACAAGAACGCGCTGGACGACATCGAATCTATTGGGTCGGACCTCATGATCAATACGTTTTCGTGCAACTTTAAGCTGGAGAATGGCGAGCTCAACAAAGACGTTACCGAGGCCAATTTTCTCAACCAACGCATTTACGACCGCCTTTCTATCCGCCGTATCACCGACGACATTAACCAAGTGCCGGTCTTGCTCGTTGGGACGGTCTGGGAGCAGAAGTTGTACAAGAGTTGCCTCACACAGTTCAAGAGTCGCCTTGGCCTCGACTCAGCCGATCCGACCGATCTGCATGCGTATTCTAGTGTGGCAATGTCTCCTTTCGTGATGGACAACCTCATACAGGTCGTCGGCGATGCATTCCTAAAAGTTGCAGAGGAAGAAGCACAGGTATGTTCCACCTTCACGACGACAACACCATCGTTCAACATTACATAGCGTTGTCGGGAGCGGATCGCAATCAAGCCGGCTTACCACGGTTTCGTCATGCAAGGCACAGACACGCTCTACCTTGCGTACTTACCCATGCTTAATGTTGGGCGCCATCGCCAGCAGCTTGTCGTTACTGCGAAGCTCCCACAAGATGCTATGGAGGTGTATATCAAAGCGAGGGCGGATAACCCCAGGGAAACATTCACCCTCCATACGTCGAAGATGATGCTTCTGCAGGATATACTTGACACGCGCAGCTGCGAGGCTAATCTAATCGCGGGTCTTCCGCAAGTTCTTGGGTCAGCGTCGTTCATGCCATTATATATCTAGATTGACTTATCAAACTTATCACACAGTACCACGTTCGGCAACCTTGTCACCAAGATCAAGCTAACTGATATCACCGTCGTCAAACATCATTCGCTGGCCCCAAAAATGCTTAGCTCAGATTACCCCACGGCGATGATGTTCTACCTCTACGGTACCAGGAAGCAGCAGCACATCGAGCACATCGTGATCAAAGCGCCCAATGCGCAGCTCGCCTCCAGTCAAGTCACAGTCGAGCTTGACCAGATGCCCTCAGATGTCCAGCTTGCAGCGGGTGTGATTGCGGTAATGGACGAGCGATACGAGGCCGCCATGCAGCCTTTTTCCGACTCACACAAGCCTGGCTTTTTCAGGACGGGAGTCGCCTCACGAGTCTCCGTCTATACCGACCCGTATAAGTACAACACGGACTCGAACATCGCTATCCGGGACATCTGGAAGAAGATCCGGGAGAGCAAGCCCATTGCCAAGGGTACGCTGACCATAGGGAAGGAGGCATTCGTCGATGCGGCCCACATCAATCAGGAGACCCTTGCGCAAGTGGAGTTTGTTCCGCACAACAGAGCTGCATCGCCGAAGCTTCATGGACATCATATCAATGGCCTCCTGGACAATTTCCGGGCCGTGCTAAAGGGCCCTGAGGTCGTAAGCGCGTACGACATCGAAGATGCAGTGTCCCGGCGTAGCGCTACATTAGGGGATTACTATCTCGCTTCCGCTGAACACACGCCTGGCGCTCCCAGCATCAGTAGGTATGCCATGCAGCTCCCGACAGATGCCTTGACGGCGCGAGTCTCGCTGCGCAAAGATTGGCATGCTGCGCTCACCAGCATCCAGGGTTCTCCGCTTGGTTCGAGCCACACCTAAAGCGTTGCCCACACCGATACCATGATAGTAACTTGTACGTAGCTGAAAGTGGGGGAGAATCCGCGCCTGTCAATTATCATCCCGTCTCAGCGCCATCCATACTTGTACACATGTATCGTCAGACTCGCCAATGATCTGCAAAGACGGCGCTTATTGATGTATCTAGACCGATCCCTGAATGAATGTATGCCCGACGCAGCGTGCACATTAAGCATACATTCGTCGGTATGACGATTTGCCGAGACTCCTCAGGTACCAAGAAGCCGGCATTGGAACCCAACGATGAGGGTGAAAGTTGGTTATTATGTCAGTTCACCACGGGTGGTGCATCAAATAGTTGATTCGCTCACCGATGTTGAAGGGAAATTTGAGACTTCATCCGGAACGTTGGCCGGTTTGCCTTCAAAAACGGCTTTGTTATCGGCATATAACACCAGAAGGACAAGGTACTTCCAAACCAGGGTTCATCCGCTGCAGACACCAACGATACGTAGCTGCGGTAGGTCTTGGGCTCGTCATCTCCTGCGAGAATGTTTTCGCGTAAGGTGTGGGGATACGCAAGGATTGGCGCAATCCCTGTGGATACCCGCGGAGAGAGTGGGCCTGCCACCGCGTCGTGCCAAGCACTAGCCAAAGCCGGGAGTGACTGAACATTGCTTTAAGGAAACAGGTGCGCCACATAACAGAGGATAACAACCTCAGGGTTAGACGGGAGCAAATGAGGAAGGTCAAACACATGCAAAGGTTTCATGTGCATGTTTGTTCAATGTCAGCGTATAACGTGAGGAATTATTCGCATGACCATACAATGAAAATTAATGGAATTCGCAAGGCAGCTAGCCCCTCGGATGTGACGGTGGTATACAAAGATTAGGATAACTCGATAATCCGTGACAGCCCACTTTGCGTATGCATCTGGTTTGAACCAGTCGCTGCAGAGCTCTGGATAGCCGAGCGGCCATCAGGTAGTGCGATGCCTTCTCGAGCTACAGCATTAGCGCGAGCGGCTGTCTCCTCTGCCAGCGCGCGCAACAGCAACGGCGGAGCGCTCACGATGTGAGCGGCGTAGAACGTCAGCTTGTGCGTGACGTGGTTTGTTTTTGCCGTACTTGTGGTTGTCTTGGAGGACGAGCTCGACGGACTGGACTTCGTACTTTGACTAAGCAGGTCATCGCCGGAAAGAGCAGAGAGGTCGGAGAGAGCGCGAAGGACATTCGTGTTTGGGTGGCTTTCAAGCTCGGGGTATGAGCCGTCGGAGCGCGGATCGCCACTCACGGAAAATAAGACTTCTACGACTGTCGAGGGTCGTAGGAGTGCTGCGGCATCATGCAGGAGAAGGGAGAAGAATGGTGAGGTCATTTCACCCTATTATAGACAAATAAGTGAACGCGATAAGTCTGAAAGAATAGTGTCGCACAGAATCGAAGCGAGACCACAGATCTGTGACCACACTCGACAGAGTTGGATGTATAGTCTTGGACTTGCGATCCGTCAAGAATGGCACAAGTTTTGAGATGATGCGGAAAGCATCAGCGCGGTCAGGATCACTAGGTGGGAACTTTGTAAGGGGTGATGTCGCGAAATGACGCGTGACGTATGTGTAAGCTATACTAAATACGCAAGTGCTTGAGCGTCTTACTGCGCGCGTAAGCGAAGCAGGCCTACCATAGCGCACAGATGTTGTACAGCAGGAGAGGCGTCTTTCCAGCGACGGGTGGTGAGACCATAGACGCGGGTATAACCATAAGCTTAGGTTTTGTGCCGAACGTCTTGGCTTGTAGAAGACTTGATCGATTGGAGGGCGTGCTACTTTCCGCGACTTGCACATCGGTTTCTAAGTCCATAGGTGCCTCCCACCAAGGTTCTGTGCGCACATTTCCCAGCTCATCGCTCGCCAGGAGCTGTTGAGCCATATCACTAGTCGGATCACCTAATGCTTTCTTGAATTTCTCGTGCTCTGCTGGTGTTAATGCGTCCCAGATTTGATCATACGAAGCAGATTCTGTGACCCCAGGCGATTATTCGAGGTCAATCGGGACATGGGATGAGGTTAACATACCAATATCAAGCCCACCAAGCCGCTCAGCTAGATCAACGCCGTCTCCTTCATCGTCGTCGTCATCATCATTGTCAGGTCCCATGATGGCGTCATCCATTGTATTCTCCTCGAATTGTTTCAATAACTCGAGCATCTGGCGCTTCTCCTCAGTGGATTTACTGGGCGCGCTGTGAACATCCGACTCAAGCTCCTTGCGATAGAATGTCTCTGAGCAATCGGAGTGTGCCTTGAGAAGTGGTAACAGTTAGTTTATCGCGCCCTTGAAGTTCGCCAAAGAAACATGCCTCGGATCGGAAACAAACAAGAGAACAATATGGGATGTTGCATTGCGGACATGCGTACCTCGAGAACTGTCTCTGACAGCTACAGTTTCATCAGCTCTGCGTTTAGACATGATTGGTCAGCTCTTACATTGCACAAGGTATGGTACTGACTGCTTCTGAAGCCCTGACCGAAATCTGTGCGTCTTCTGACATTTGGATCTTGTTGATTGAGTGCTTAGTTGCTGATCAACAATGCAGAAATATTATACGCTGTTCGTGAAAATCCGTGTTTCTAGCTGAGTAGCCTGAACGTCGTGAGGACAAAGAATTTGAATGAAAGAGTCTTCGAATCCTGCGCGGGAGACGCGACGCGCACGTCACGTGCACTGCATGATCGATCCAAAAAAGGAAGGTCCTTTCAGAAATTTCGGGAGCGCTCGCCAGTGTCTGCAGCCGCCAGTGTCCTTCGCCTTGTTTTTATCTTGCAGCAGCTATGCCGGACGCACGCTTAGTAGACTCGAAGGCATCTTTCTCCTCATTCTCTCATATACTCGATGCACGTATTTTGCGCTCGCTGGCCGACATGGGCTTTGCAAGACCGACCCTCGTCCAAACTAAGGCCATACCACTCGCTCTTGAAAATCGGGATATTCTAGCTCGCGCGCGGACCGGGAGTGGGAAGACTGCCGCATATTGTATACCTGTGGCACAAAAGATTCTCAATGCAAAGGCTGTGGGTATAAGTTATGGATTTCGTTTGTCGGGAAGCCCAGATTGATCACTCCCTCGGCCAAGTTCGAGGCATTGTCTGAGTGATATTTTGGTCGAAATGTTCCCCTGTACTGCTAGCACTGCAAATGGATAATTAATTTCGTTTCATTGCTGTAGAACCTACCCATGGAGGAGCCCTCGAGACAGGTCACCCGCGCGCTGATACTTGTACCGACACGAGAGCTAGCAGAACAAGTATCATCGCACCTGGCCAGTCTTCTGACATATTGTGACAAAGATGTCACTACTGCGAACGCTTCCGCAGGAACATCAACTCAACTGCAGAGGTACCGTCAACATCCCATTGTATGTCAAGTGTGTTCGCTCACCTCGCAAGATTATGTACAGGACATTATTATCGGACCGCCCTGATATCGTCATTGCGACACCATCACGGGCACTCAATCTGCTGCAGTCTAAGGTGCCTTTTTGCGGTGATATCATATAATGTGCACTGTTGACATCGATTGCTCATTCTAGACATTATTACTTGAACATGTGGAAACACTCGTGATCGACGAGGCAGACCTCATCCTTTCGTACGGACATGACGAGGATGTACGAGCAATATTCAACTCAGGGTACCTGCCCAAAGTCTTCCAGTCATTCCTCATGAGTGCGACGATGACAGAGGACGTGGAAGCGCTCAAAGGTCTTGCATTGCGCAGTCCCGTGAGTCAACTCGCATCCATGCATATACCGTATCTCATGTCATCTTTCAGGTAATTCTCAAGTTGGAAGAAGATGAGGACGAGGCGGCTAATCTGACCCAGTACTCCGTTCGGTATGTCCACAACATATTCCTCGATGGTTGTGCGCGCAGTTGACACGCCGCGACGTGCAGTTGTTCAGAAGTCGATAAGTTCCTTCTGACGTACGTGATCCTCAAGTTGAAACTGGTCAAGGGCAAATGTATCCTCTTCGTCAACGACGTCGACCGTTGCTATCGCCTCAAACTTTTCTTGGAGCAATTTTCCATCAAGAGCTGCGTTCTTAATTCCGAATTGCCGCTGAACTCTAGGTATTTGCCCGTTGTTGACTTTGACAAGTTTCCGTCGCTGACAGGGCGGTAGGTATCACACAGTGCAGGAGTTTAACAAGGGCGTGTATGACTACATTATTGCTTCGGACGAGAGTGCAGGTCGTGCAGAACAGGACTCAGAGGATGAAGAGAATGAAGAGGAGGAAGAGGAAGGAGCAGAAAACGAGCAGAAGGAGGACGATGATGAGTGTACGCAGTGTCGCCGCTTCTGCCATTGCTGCTTTCCACTCATACATTCCCACAGTCACCAGTACACAGCGAGAACCCGCTGCAGCGTCAGATGATTATCCATCCTCTCATCCCTCCCTCAAACGCAAACGGCGCGCAGAGTCGCCCGCTCCAGAAGCCAGCTCGTCCAAATCGGCCTTAAAATCCAACAAGCGCAAGCAGCGCCGGCGTAATACCGATGCCGAGTACGGCGTTTCTCGCGGGGTGGACTTTGTCGACGTCTCCTGTGTGATCAACTTCGACCTTCCCACGTCTGCTCGCGCATACACGCATCGCGTCGGACGCACCGCACGTGCAGGGCGCACGGGGATGGCGCTCTCATTTGTCGTTCCGCGAGAGCAATGGGGCAAGAACCGCGTGATCGGATGCGTCCAGAGCGCGAAGGCAGACGAGCGCGTGTTTGCACGCATTTCGCGCGAGCAAGCCGCGCGGGGGAGCCAGCTCAAGGAGTACAAGTTCGACATGAAGCAGGTAGAGGCATTTCGGTACCGTATGGAGGACGCGCTGCGTGCAGTGACGCGGAGCGCGATCAAAGAGGCGCGGATTAAGGAGCTAAAGGCGGAGATTTTGAACTCGGATAAGCTCAAGGTGAGTGATGTTTTCGGCTTACGGCGCCACCGGTGCTGATGGATGTTGCAGGCGCATTTTGAAGACAATCCGAACGACTTGGAGTACCTGCGCCATGACAAGCCCTTGCACCCGACCCGGATACAGTCACACATGAAGCATATCCCAAAGTACCTTCTGCCTCATATTGCTCCTGTACAAGGTACAGAAGAAGTCGGTCCACAGGCCGAAACAATTAATGCGAATGGCGACGCCGGTTTCGTGCCATTCAACAAAAATTTCGCGCGTGGACGTGGACGCGGGCGCGGCAGAGGTCGTGGAGGACGAGGGGGCAGTGCAGGGAGAGGCAAGAAAAAATCCGATCCACTAAAGAAGTTCGGCCGATAGATTGTCGTCAAAACCATTCTGTTTATTCTTACACTATGCGATCACATTGTTGGGACCAGTGGCGAGGTATTGCGAGTGATGACATGGACAGATTATACTGCCTGCTATTGAGACAAGCTTGGGGATACATACAATACAGCGTCGCTAGCTTGTGGCTACACAGTATATAAGTTAGTGGGAGTCTCTGAGCGCCGTCGCAAGCTTCCGCAGGCGACGCTCGATGCCTATAATATCTTCTATAAGGCGTCCATGTCGCCTCTCAAAGTCATCAAGTGAATCGTGAGTAAAGGGTAGACTAAGGTCATGCTCGGCCTCATGTACTTCGGGTATTGAGGCCGGCAAACTGGGCTGGGTGAGAACCGAAGATAACGAAGAGGATCTCCTCCTGCCCCCACTGAGCTGCACCCCGCGGAGATTGAAGCTCGAGGCTGTTGGTGTTTGAGATCTCCACGACATCATCGACATTGCTGAACCCGGTCGGGGGCTCGGACTCGGACTTGCCGGGAGATCGGTGTCCGCACTGGAGAAACTCGTGTCTAGATCCGGCACGAGGAGTTCCTGTGTGCGCGATAACATGCTGCCCGTCATAGATGCTGCTACTGAGTTTGACGCAGACGCGGATGCGGACATCAGTGATGCGCCGAACGTGTCCTCCGACTGCGACGTAGAAGCGGTAGTCGCGTCGAGCTTATAGGAGATGCCGCCATCGCCTACTATAGCGATAGAGGTATCGAAGCGCAGCTCCTTGAGCGCGGAAGAGCGGCTGAAAGACGTGAGCACGCGTGGCTTCCGCCCGCTCTCGAGCACACGCTTGCGGGCACTCATGCCAACGCAGTCAACGAGCTGCTTCATAGCTTCGCGGTCGGAGACAATCCGACGCTGTGCGGTGCGGCGAATCGTACTCGCGCGAGGCAGTGTTTGAAATGGTGTCATTGCGTTCGGGCGGATAGGGGTCGCAAAGGGGTAGCGCTGTGCATGGGGAGTGCCAAAAACTGGATTGGACACCACACGGGGAAATGGAGTGGACGGAACGGAAAGACGCTGCAGGGGGCGCGGGGTATTGATACCACCCTGAGGCGGAGAAGGCGACTTCGTCTTCTTGGAGAACGCATCCTTAGGTGGTCCCCAAGAAAAGCCGATGAACGAAGCCACTGGCAACTCGCGTAGAATGGAACGTCCGCTGTTCTGGGATGGTGTCGCCTGCCGGATGGAGCTGGTGAGGGGTGAAGACTGGAACAAACCAGAGAAGGCAAAGGGCCGAGATTCGGACATATCATTCTGTGAGTTTGAAGTTGGCTGTGGTATTTCGCCTGCTTCCACTGGTGTTGAATAGGTGAATTGCGGGACGTGTAAATCAGAGGGCCTTTGTTCTAGGGGGGCCGATTAACAAAAATCCAGAATGGTGAAGCGAGATGCTTCCTTACGGTCAGTCAGATTTGACCATTTAGTGCCGCTGAAAAACGGATGCTTCTTAATCTCGGCTGTGCTCTCACGGCCAAGGCGAAGTTCGGCACTTGTCAGTAACCTGTGCTCGATTCAGTGCCTGCTGCGCGTCTATACCCATCATTGATTGAACAGACCTACGCAATAGGTCTTGTAGATCCAATGATATGGGAATAGATTTGTTAAATTTCAGACTGTTCTGTATTATGATGTCAGAATTAGCCCGTCGGTGAATGTACTTGAAAGCCTACATAATGATCAGTAATTTTCACGTACGTCTGACGTATATCTTTGGCGAAGAAAGGCGCCACTCCGTACGCCATTTCATACAACATGGCACCCATGCTCCACCAGTCAGTCTCGCGGCCATAGCCTCCACCACCGCTGTTTGTCAACAGCTCCTCTCCATCCTCGGACATCTCTAGAGCGACAAGCGCCTCTTCGTGAGCTTGCAGGATCTCCGGAGAGATATAATCGCACGTGCCACAAGGCACAAGACAATACTGCTTTGGTACCCGTTGACTCCCATCGGGGGCAGGTTGGAGCAATGGTGCAGCCGAACCGAAGTCGATCAAAAGAAGCCGTGAAGTGGGTGTGAGTACGAAGTTATGCGGTTTAATATCTCTGCAATATACCGATTACGATTCCAAGACCACTCGCAGAAGGATCAGACATACCTGTGGACGAAATCCTGCGAATGGCACCAGTGGATCGCGCTGACGACTTGCGGCATCCACCATCGCAAGTCGGATTCGAGAACCCTACCGTCATGTGGGCTGGATTCCAGGACATCCCATAATGTACCTCCCTCTGCGTAGTCCATCACGAGGTTTATGTGGGTGGGTGTGTGGAATGCACACAAGAGATGTGGCGCCCAATCACAGTCAGTCTTGCGTGCACGTAGTAGGATGTCGCGCTCATGTTGAGGGAAGCATTGCTACAGAGGGGGGATGAGCTTTATCTAACACGATAGCAAGACATATACATGCATCATGAGTCCTGAGAGCGAACCGTTTCTCGGTTGACTTGCGGACGTATACAGCACCGTCAAACTTGCATGTAACAACATCAATCTTAGATAGTCCCATCAGTTTGATGCAATCAATGAAAAGTCGGGTTGTTTACCACCCCATATTGACCGTACTCCAGTGTCCCGACTACATTCAGATCTTTGTCAGAGAAACGCAACGCGTCCACTTCTGTTGTCTTTGCTGCACCGATACATTATGATACACACTCGCCACCCAGTCAGTGTGAGGTGAGACTTACACGTCTTCCCAATCACACTCTGTCCATGCAGAATACGGTCAAGGGCGAGAGCTTCCGCGTCTTCGTCTCCGTCACTGTTCAGTAGACTGCTCAGGCGAGTTTTGCGGTTTTTCCATGTTTGAGACATTCAGAGACATTGAAAATGTAAACACGGCTCAAGAGATCGAGAAAGCGGTGAGAGTCATTTTAATAAGAGATCACCATGATGCCGGTCAGCCCAACCCGCGTTGCATTGTGGTTTGAACAAAACGCGGTCACGTGCTCAAGCGTGCGTAGAATTACAGACTCAGCAGGGTTTTAGATTCGCATACATTGAGGAAGACATGTATTCAAAATCTACGATCGCTGAGTATATCGTACACAAGCTAGCTGAGGTGGATTCGAGCTGGACTAGTTCATATCTACCCTGATCTAGCAAACCATACGTCTGCTCTATGCTCTACATCTCCGTCAGTCTTCGGCTTCCTTCTAGGGTCAAATATCACGTCCAGGATGCCAAATCCTACCACGCCGTCGCGCACCAGGAACTCCACGGGGACCTCCATGTCTCCTAGTTGACGGTATGCGAACGGCGCATGATTAGTCCCATACCCCTCCGGAAACAGGTATGAGTGGGACAAGAGGAATACATCCTTCGAGTGCTGCCTTAAACGAATGTGGGACGACCACATCCGCGGCCATGCGCCATATAGGGCTGAACCATCTTCCACGAGCTCAGAGCAAGCGGCGTATGCAGCGATGACATCCTGGCCGTCTGTAGAGTGTGTACTTTGTGTATAAAAAGTAATGCTTCCATAGGCAGCGTGAGTGTATGTTCCAGCATATTGTTCAAGGGGAAGTGACGCAGGGACTCGTGACTCCTGTTGTGTACCCTGAGCTCCTAAGCCTGGCGTAGTCGGGACTTCAAGTAGTGCATATGAGGCGCGTTCCAGTGACAGTAGCTCCTCGATTGCTCGTGAGACTATGGCTCGTGCCGCAGTCTGTTGGTCGCGGCTAGTATTGGAAAGCGCCACGAAACCAAGACCCTCTGAAGGCAGAAAGGCCACATGCGATGAGAAGCCAGGGATTCCGCCGCTGTGCGACACAACCTGGGAACCGAAAACAGCCAGGCAGTTAGCCATGTCCACGGTTGCTCGCTATATGCTGCAGCCGCATACCTCGTGTCCCAGATACGAATAGCGCACCCAGCCCATGCCAAAGCCTCGTATCGACGTATGCTCATCAGGACCGGTTGCATCTGTGATGCAATGGGCAATGGTGACTTCCTCTAAGACATCACGCGGAACGACGATGTCGCTCGTGTTAGGGTTCAGGCCGTGGTTCAACAGCATCGCAATCCATTTTGCCTATTGTATTGTGGACATGCAGCGTCTGAGTCATAATCGTCCACGCTGAGGAAATTGTTTACATACCATGTCAGTGACACTGGAGATCACTCCGCCTGCGGGGGCGATCGTTTCTTCCCCCTGACCTCTGAACCAGTATGGAACGCGTCGTCCGTTTGAGATCCACGCGTGACTAAGCTTTCCCGATTCCTTGGCTTCCGTTCCAGAACAAGTGGTAGAATACATGCCCAGGGGCTCAAAGATGCGCTTCTTGAGAAAGGCGGTGAACGGCATTCCGGAGTACGTTGCGACGATATGTGCCGCTAACATGTACATCTAGCGTTTGAAAATGTTAATATACGCAGAGTAGGTGAACAGTGGCGCATGCCTGATTATTATACGAAGCGCGCGTCCTGAACTCATATGTGGGCTTGAGATAGCGCATGCGTCGCATCACTGCGGATGCCCCGTCCGTGTCACTGTAGGCAAGATCATGTCTGCATAGCATTGTCACATTAAGGAGCGGATTAAAAAATCAAGAATGCTGACCCTCCCATTCCGGTCTGATGCGTCAATATATCACGTATGTTTGTCTTTGCGCTGGCCCAAGGGTCAGCGAGTAACCAATCAGATTCGCCTGGGAAAAGATCTTGAACTTTCGTATCCCAATTGAAACTTTGTAGGCCTGCTGGTAAGGGGACAACGCTACGGCCGTTGGCGAAGTCATCCATCAAAATACCGATGGACACAGCTGTGAACGCCTTGGAGCAGGATCCGGTGGAGTAAAGAGTCTATAGTATGTGTGTTTGAGATCGGTCCAAGACCACTCTGAGCCACCGACCTCGGCATTGGACTTGTCGCCGTGTTCAGTCGCTTTGCCCCACCCTGCGAACTCTGTCCGGACCTCGCCAGACTCATTTACTCGGGCTATGCCTAAGGATAAACCTGGCGTATCCCATCTGGTGAGAGCCCTTTCTGCATAGAGCGAGATGTCTTGTGTAATCATCCTCCCCATCTTGCGAAGAATGTTCCTCTCGACCGCTAACGAATGCATGATTGAGCAAAAGATGATCATATTCGATCAGATTACGCACGGTGCTGATTTTCCGCTGAAAAATGGAAGAGACGGGAGTTCAGACGATAGTTGAACTGTCTTTTGAGCCTGGGGAGATCTGGCGCTTCGCCCGAATCACTAGCATCACACTTCTGTCAGACCACTGAGTGCGAGACAACACACAGGGGGACATCTCATTCGATCAGCATCGCTGCCCCTAAGTGCACAGCTCTATCGCAGAAATGCCGTAAAGATAATCAGGTCGACTGTCAGTGGTATCAACAACTAATGGTCTTATACAGTGTGGTAGCAGTTTCTTTCACGGTATGCATTATTGAAGGTGGGAACGGTCAGAGCGCCTGTGTATCTCCCGATCATCGCGGGAAGCTCGGACCTGAGTCGTGGGGGCAATCAGGGACGAATATACACAGGTCCCCCTAGACGGGAAGACCCTCCCGACGCAACTTCTACTACAGTGTACATTTGAAGCTTAATAAATGAGGCTTTTAAGTGGAGAGAATTGAGCGTCAGACCGACGCCAGCAGGAATACTGACCTCGATTTCGGCGTCCTTCACGTGCAAGGCTGCGAGATTATAGGACCTGTGTATCAGCAAAGAGTAAACAGGACAAGCTGTATTCGAACACGTGGCACCAGGACCCCGGCAAATCCCCCAAGAGCTCTGATCCCGAAAACCCCGAAAAGGGGGCCTCTGGAGCCAAAATCTTACATCTCAAACCCCCGAAACGGGGCCCGGACGGCGGTCAGGTTATGTGCCAGGTTGCCCCGAAACCAGGCGTCCAGGGCGAGGTATGATCCTCGACCCCCGAACATAAGGTCCATCCGGCCTCGGAACGGGTGCCGAAATGTGCCGGAAAGGTACGATGATACCGGTGACGTCTCACTCGATTGCTTCTTGATACCGCTTCGTCGCTATGTTACTTTACTTATCGGTTCTCGATACCAAACTTCATGTAAGTAGGAATTTATAGGTCTAATGATCTTGTGCAAATACAAACATCCGAAGTAGAGAGATTAGTACCACGTCAATCAGTGGCCTCAGTGTAGTAGTCGGTACTTCTAAATCTATGTACGGCCTTGTGACAATGGTACAATCGCGCGCGCGATTTTTTGCAATTTCTCGCCTTTTTTGCAATGTTTAGACGTTAGATCCCATTTACCCCCAAAACTGACCGGAATCAGGCGAGGTTATGTGAAGTTCCCCCGAAATCGACCATGGGCTGACCCCCGGAGGGGGGTCCGCGCGGGATCAGAGCTCTTGGGGGATTCGCCGGGGTCCTGTGGCACCTAAGGGCGTCGTCACATTGGGGAACATATACGACGCTGCGGCGCACATTTCATCCGCACCTACATCGCGTGGCTGTGGTCCAGTGATGGGGACCGAAAGTGATAGTCCTCTGCTTGCATTATTGTAAATGAAGAGCACGATGGAAGAGTGGCTACATCCATTCATGGGTTGCATTGTTCGGTTAGTGACCCGCGGTCGTCACAGATCCAACACATCGACGTCACACTATCTATTGTAAACGATTAGCTGTGATCAGTTCGAGTGGCTTCGTCTAATGTGGAAGAAGCTCACCAACGTGGCCTGATCTGCGATGCGCGTGTTGTGTTTCGTGGCTCGACTGCCCAGGGCAAAGGAACAAAGGGCTGCTACAGGCGCCTGCTGGACTGCAAGGTATAAATTGTACCGTCAGCTCTCCCTTTTTCGACCATCTCTCTCCTATCTTGAACTCACTCCTTCCGAAGACAGTCTCCTCATAGAAGTGAGTATAATATTGCTTCCCTTGCGATGAGGTGAGCGCTGATAGAGCTGTGCTTTTTCAGACATTAAGTTTTCCCTTTGTTCAGAAGATATGTCGGAAACACGTACAGGCATGCAGGAAGCATCGTGCGCCTGGGAAGAGGGCTCAGAACACTCCCTCTCGTCCGTATACTCGTTCCACGCCTATGAAGGCTTCCATAACACCGCTTTTTGTGGTCACACCCAACATGAGAACGCTAGCGTCGTCGAAAGCCTAGACCAAACATTCCAGGGGGGACGACAGAAATGGGCTGGTGGACACGTATCATTTGCTGTCCAAACGAACTCTTCTTCGCATGAATCTCTTACTGACTCAAATGGTCGGGGGTCCTTGGAGTATCCATGCAACACAATCGACATCGCAGCCGGTCGAATGGAGGATAGACAGGCCCAGCTGCAGGCCAGCAACGCAATCTTGAATAGGCATCTAGACTACTCTAACAGAGGATTCCGAGCCCAATCATCTGTGCAGATTGAGCTCTGCCCTGCGCCAATGCAAGGCTCAACGTCATCGCAAGTGGCGTCTGTGTTATATGAAGCGCCTTTGCCCGCTGGTGATGGACCTTACTCGATGCTCATAAATAGTGATCGTGCAATCACTGTTGAGGGCTACGCCACAGGTGCAGACCAACAGTTTTTGCCAAATGGTACCTGGGAACAGGATCGTCCGGATCTGGCCGCAAGCTGCCCTCGCCCCGATTGGCCTATGTGTCCGGTCCCGTCGCAACATAGCCAACCCTATGCGGGATCATCAGCCTATGGCATAGGCTTGCATGAGGACACAATTCACGGCGAAAGCCTCTATGCGGGTCGATACCAATACCAACCGCGCTTGGGTGACCGCGTACCCAGCGCATTTCTACCTGGCCTACAGATCGTAGGGCAGATAAGAAACAACACCAGTTACAACAACTTTCCCGAAGGCGACGCGGTCTCTCACGGAAATGTCGACCAAGTTTCCAACACCGGCTTCAAGTACCAGGCCGTGACGACAATCGGACACGAGCGAAGCCACGCACCTATTCCCGGCTCGCTCTCCACCTGTCCCTCCGCCACGAGCAAGCCTCGCAAGGGGAAGCAGACCAAGCGCAAACCGGAAGTTTCAGCGTCTTGCAGCGTCTGCTATAAGGTCTTCGATCGCGCTGGCGATTGTAACCGCCACCAGAGAACCACTAAATGTGCTGGAGGCGCACGAACGCGATTCTCGTGTAGTAAATGCGGGAGGCCATTTACACGGTCTGACAATTTGCTGATGCATATGGACAAATTCCACAATTTGTAAGTGCGGCGACAGCGATAATGGGTGTGAAGTGGCAAAGTTCGGGGAGGAGTTGAGAGGGGCCCACCGTCTTCCACATTCTGTTTTCATGAATAGACAACTTCTACAATCCTTTCCTTTCAATGTGGCATGTGCGCCTTCTGTGCAGTGGAATATAGCATTTTGATGGTCAATGTTGAGCTTGAAAGGGCACGAGGATATGGGCAAGGTAGAAGGAGCGCTCATTTGAACACCAACGAAGCGGCAGGTCAGGCGTACGATAGCGGTGATGCTGAGATCACAATAGCAGGTTCATTGAATCAGAAATAAGAACAGGGTGAAGTCGAGGTTGAGAAGGAAGCGCTTGATCCTGCCATCACATCAAGCGATCATTCCGCTGTGGCGCGCGCTGTGAGCGCTTTCAACGAAGACGTGGACACCATCATAGAATGGTATTACGTTTACCAGGATTCCTTTTAACAGGCAACCATTATCGTACCCAAGACCAATGATTTGCCTCCAGCGACTCCCCGCGCTATAATAAAAAAGGAGCAAATTAGTCACAATGAGATCACAGTACATAGGCGGAGAACAACAACCTACTTCAGGCAAGATAATGGGAGGTATTATGAACCAGCGTACACAGCTATGAATCTGTGAGTTCCGGAAATGCCGTAGTAAAGGGAAAACTTCACCTGGCGTAGTCATAAGCATGGGAATAACGCTTGAAAGAACCGCGAAGCCAAGGATTTCAAGGTAAGAAAGTTGCGAGAACTGCATGCTTATTGCCTTTGGTGAAGCTGACGATTCGATGATTAGTTGCCGAAGGTGGCCACAGCTCTGAGTCAAGGCCAAACCTCTTATGAACTTGCTGGACGATAGCGAGTTATCATTGACATGTCGTACGCATACCGTACGAGTCATGTGTCGTTCACGGCGATCTAGTGCACGGCGGGGCCGAGAGTGACCCGTTGCGGAGCTCACCGCTCGCGTCCGAAACCATACCAGCGCATCAGCGCATACCTTATCATTGGTGAGAGGCATGGACATCCCGGTTCTCAACTCTCATACATGGCATAGACGTTCATGAGCGACCTTCGAGTTCGTTTATCTCTGGCCAGACTGTCGCGTTACCAACATCAAATTTCTCGATGGACTGTCTGCCTAGATCTCGGCGTGTTCCTGTTCATAACTGAGGCCAGGGCGCGCGACCGTCGTTGTTCAGGTCCACAGATCGAGACGGATACAAATATACCATGTTGGTCTCGTTATCTACTGCCTGTGATAGAGTTTCTTCGCGAAGTTCACAAACTTGATCGGTACGATGTCTGGGTATAGCTCGCGGACATCCAATGCTCCCAACGCTTTAGCGTTCTCTAGGGAATTCTCGCCGAGGAAGTGCCCGCTAATGTAATACTCAGAGCTCACCCGTCCAATATGGGCAGCCTCGTTCGGCGATTGTAGGTACTCTTCCTTATAACGTGTAGCACGTTGCTGCATTTCCTTGAACGACACCTGTGCGTGCGTGACAGACCATATAAGCAACGACCCTCGGATGAATGAGTATGTGGCATACATAGACGCGCCTCAATTTCAATAGTTCTTCCTCACCGGATTGCTGCTCACAGATTATCATCGCCTCCAATAGGGTCAGTTCGTCCTCCCATATCATCACATACTGGTTCAGAGTCCTCTCGTTAGCGATGATTCTTGCCACGTATTTCCCGATGGCATCGGGTTCAGTCAATATAATCTTTCTGTCACCAGAGCCGTAGATCTCGTACGACTGGGGACCGAACCATGACGGCGAGTGGGTACCCTCAGGACAGACTAGATGCATCCACCAGCCCACATCGATGAACGTATACCCAAGGCCGAGCTCCTTGATGTAGTCGTGCACGGCAAGTTCTAGCATTTCAACAAAAGAGTCTCAGCACGTCCTTCTCACAGTCATCCAGGAGCTTGCGCACCTCGTCATGAAGCTGTCGAACACCTCTTGCGCCCGGCGTAGCAAAGTCGGAGGGGATGACGAGCTTGACGCCCGCCTCCTTGGCAGCAGCGAACAACCTTTTCTGAGCGAGGGTCACTTCATAGCGGACGACGCTAATCAGGATGTCTACGCCTGCGAGCACGGCCTTGAGCTGTTCCACACTGTCTGACTTGAGGTCTGCGACGCGAATCTCGACTCCCTTCGCGCGGAGCTCGTTCACGTCTGGCTTAGAGAGGGAAGAAGGTCGCGAAGTAGCGGCGACTCTCTGGTAAGGGCATTGATGAAACGTCAGTGGCGTCCATGACAACTCGCAAAATTACTCACGAAGTTACCCAAAGTTACCGCTCTCGAGCAAAGCGGGGACGATGGACTTGCCCGTGTAGCCACTCGCACCAGCGATGAGAACGAGTAGTTTCAATGCCATTGCTTTGAGATCTGAGTGTAGGGACGTTTCAAATGGAATCTGGGGGACTTCGTGGGTCAGTCTGGTATATGTCCTGGGCTCGTTGGGCCCTTGAAGTACCCTCAACTTCTGTTTCCCATCGTATTTGAGAATGCCCATCTGACTGCATAATGCACCGATGAATCATTGAATATTACGTAGCCTTCTAAACGCCGCCTTCTTCTGAGACGGGGAGTCTATTGTTGAATCAGCAGAAGCTGCTGGGATGGTGATCGTCAATAAAGCTTCGAGCGGCATAGAAAGGTCTGACCTATACTGTGTTACCAAAACCTTAGTCATGTGTCCTTGCGCGGGAACTGATGACAGAAGGTATTAGCACACCGAACTTACGTAGATCCAGGAGATGCTCCGAACACCTCAAGGGCGTCCTTAGTGGTCCAGCCACGCCTTCGTAAATCGCGAATGTTCCTACTCAATCCATTTACACCGGGAATGACGTTATCACTTCTCGCTCTGCACCAATATCTGCGCATACCACCAGATGCATGAGCGCCATGACCTCTGCTAGCGTCCTTGCGCTCATTGCCCAGCTCGTGGGTGCACGCGGCCATTGCAGGACATACATTCCCAGGATGTGAATACACGCGAGAACGTGATGTATGGTACCGTGCCATTGTCAACAACACAGAAGCATAGTCCCACCGCGTCGACAGACAATTGGGAGCGATAGTCCAAGCATTTTCACATATATTCCCGGTGTCGTTATAGAGGCCATGCCGCGGCAGACGGCGTCAAGCAGGGCGATTCACGGTAACGACAAAGGCATATCAGACACCTTTTCAGAAGACGGAATGCGAGGCTCCTGGATCAGACGCCAAGCATAATGACACAAAGGGTCGATTCATATTGCAAATGTGGGCAATGCAATCAAAACCATCTCAGGGGAGGCCTTGACAGGGCTTTGAAGTCTCGACAGGGCATCATATGATATCTTTCCATAGATCGCGTGCGGTAGATAACATACCCAGCGAACTCGACTCTGGCCTACAGACCGTTTGGGCAGACCGCTCGCAAGACAGGGCATGACAGCTCTCTTAGCGAAAGCAAAAGCGTGATTTTTGAACATTTCATGGAGATGTTTCTGAACTATTCAGCATCGGCTTCCAGTATTGCATGACAACAAGAATTGCATATGGGCGATGTGGCGCAACTGTTCTAAAATCGCTCTATGCTCATGCCTTTGCATAGGCTGGTCATATTGTCAACTTCCGCGAGGCAAGATCAACACCTTCTCAGCTGCTACGGTCTGCCAGATGATGGCCAAGTCGTCCGAGTGAGATGACTCGCTCAAGTTGAGCTAATTGATCCCATCATGTCTCGATTCGATCACGATCGGGGCAACGTGGAAGAGACGGAGACCACTTGAAGACCGTCTCCATCTCATCCTGACAACAGTCGCAGCGAAAGGACGTTCACGAATTTGCATAAGAGCTGTCTCTATGCACAATTTACTCGTCAGTATAACGAAACCTCGTTCAATGACCAAACTTCAACTGATACGAGGGTATGTCAACGTCTCCCACCACGACTCGGCAGGTAAGATAATACATACGCTAATGCCATAAATATGATCCAAACTCATATTCACGATACTAGCATAAGGCGATTAATATATGCAACCGAGCGCCTTGGTGAACTTCTCATGCCCGACTTCGCATCTCCGGAACGCAAAGCTGTCGCCTTGAATATGCGATTCAGCTTCCGCTCCTCTTTCGTGCGCCTGCAGTCAAGTCTTACAGGAATGGAAGGGCAGAACTAACGATCTACAGATCAGGGAGTGCTCGACCTTGCGCCTAGTCATGTATCTAGTCCGAAATGTTTTCACCAGTAACCACGGCCCTTCATTTGCCATGTACAGTACGCCCTGCGATGAAACATATCTTGTCCTAAGTCGCAAACGTACCTGTCCTGCTACCCAACTGCCGATCGTTCACCCAAATGCCCTCCACCTCTGCGCAGATCGTCTGGCACGTACTATACCCCATACCAGGTGATATACTCTCCCTGGAGATCTAGAACTGCGCTCAAACCTACGGATGCCTCTCCTGCAGAACGCGGGTGCGAAATGGGACGACCTCGCTATATAACTATGTATGCAGACCAACAATGGAGCTGATTCACGGCTTCATAGTACGAAACATTGGCATTCCGCCAATGCAAGAACATTGTAAGCGCTCCATTCAACCTCGATCGCTCAATTATTAGGCTGATATAAACGCGGGGGGTCAACTATAAGTACGACATGCATATTCGATCATCGGTTCAACAGCATCATGAGGCTACTGAACAGATGTTCTTCACCATCTCCGTGTCGTATTCAGTCGCCCAGATTAATCTCCCCGTCTCCGGGTGGCTCGAATTCACGGCTGAGTTCTAAATCCTCGCCTTTGTTCTGCTTTTGCCCACTGATCTCTCATGGCTCGTGACACCTGTGATGCCGCTGTTCCGTGACAGTTCGAGTTGAATTCCCGTGGCTGCGACGCCCCATACCATACCAGACCTCTTTCCGTTCACCCACCTCATTACTGTTTCCTTCCTCGATTACTTCACTGACTATGGAGAACCGCAATAATCAGTATGTAGTAACAGACTACTTGAGATCTCCTTGCTGACGTGCTGAGAATAGACCTGCTCCCAGCGTGGGCACCGAGTCGTCGGACATCGAGCACCTGTCCTCTGGCAATGCGAGCCAACTCCCATCTCCAGCTACTGATAATACGCAAGACACCAGCCAGCTCGGTGCGCGACCGGGACGCGCGATGCACATCAACGCACTTCCGAATGAGATCCTCGAGGAGATTTTCTTCCACAACATGCTCAGCCACAAAAGAAACGATGAGCCAGAGGATTTCATGTAGGTCCACCATATGCCCGTTTATGCACGACAAGGACCTCAACGGTCGCCACGTCCCCATGTCTACGCCTGGACAATGTCAATAGGGGTTTGCAAGCGATGGAGATCGGTCATGTCCTGCTATTCACAACTCTGGACTCACGTAGATGCCATACCATCTGTCAGGTGGATGGCGATCGTCCTGGAGCGAGCGCGCACACAGCCGTTGGATGTAGTCATCGATGCTAGCCACGACGACAACATTATTACTTCGGCGGAACTCCTATTGTACAACCTGTACAGGATTCGATCACTGAAGTTGGTCGCCTGCCCAGCGGATTTAGCCATCTTCGACACATATGTCGGCGACTGTACCTCAGTCCCTCTACTGCAATCACTCTGCATAGAGGGATTCATGCCATTCCCCGAGCGTGTCTTACTGATGCCGATGCCACGGCTAATTGGCTACTGGACTCGCCGTCTTTGCAGACTCGAGTGCAACGACATTCCATTTCCTTGGCACATCGTGAGATCGCCCTTCACGGAGTTGGAAGAGCTGTGTCTAGCTGGCGAGTGTGTCCTGCCCCCATATCTCATCGTTGTCATGCATTCGCTCCGACAACTGAAACAACTCAAAGTCCTGAAGACCTGGAATATCCTCCCGCACCAGCTCAACTTTCCTTCCAATGTTGTGCGTGAAATACCACCTGTCTCGTGGCCCCACCTGCGTTGGCTGGAACTTGCGGAAAATGCCACAGCGGTTGCCATTTTCCTATCCCATGTGCAAATTCCGAAGGACATACCAATTGCCATCAACGCTGCCACAGCCTCGAGGGGTATCATAGGAGACCAAGTGCGGGCCCTGAACTGTCTGGACCGCCACCTGTCCCTAGGTCCAGACGAAATCGAGACGTTGCATATCGAGCAAGATACGCAACACTGATTTAGAACCTACATAGGTATTAGCTGCGTAACGACCTACTCCCGCTTGAACCATCTTGCCAAGAAAGGAGCCCACAGGCGCTTACGTCTACTTTTGCCGCGAAGGTTGAGCGCTTGAGCGTCCTTCCGGCTTCCTTAGAGGCTCGCGCTCACGATCAACTCAACACTCAATGCAGGTTCAAAATTACGTCCTGTTCACAGGAGAACAGCTTGAGATGTTTTTCCGGTTCACGTGTTTGTAATGCGAGCTCGGAGCAGAGAAGACGAGCCTGTCAAGGTCTGGGACTCGAGACAACATTCCCTGTGGCAGTAGGATGTATCGACGCTCTATGACACGGTTGTCTCCGGGCCCCGGCGCAACTCCAGTTTTCTTTTGCAAGTATCTTATCATTACCAGCTGCTTGCCCTCCTCTAGGTTTTCTCAGGGCGTGACGGAACCAGCTTGAACTCACGATACGTGTCCGCCCCAGTCAGACTAAAATATTATGTGCTAACTGGACGAGCTGTTGCCAAATAGCTGACACTCTTCTCAAGCTCAACAGGTGGATGGACGGCGACCCATGTCGTACAATATGCGACCATATTAAGGACAAAAAATATACGTGAACAAGACCGTCGATTCTGTGTACAATGCAATGAGTTGACATCCGTGTCAACGCTGCCGAACGAGATTCCGTCTGAGATATTACTCGACCATCGTGACGCTGGGCTACGTAATCCCCCGAAGTTGCAAAAGATTCTATGGCCTTTGCTATATGGATACAACCTGAAAGCCAGGAACAGCGACCATGCTATTGTTGTATGGATATCGCGCATGTTTTCAGGCGATGGTGAGCGATCGTCATCGCCTATCCCCTCCTGTGGAGCCCTTCTTCGAGCAAATGGCTGTCGATCACACTTCCGAGACCTCGCGAGTAACTCCCCGATGTTACGATCGGCGGGGCTCGCTATGATGACATTTACAACATAGGCTCCATTCTCCTGAGGATGAGCGAATACGTTACCTTCCCTACATCTCCCCTCTCGAAAAACTAGCAGAGATCACCAGCGTCATTAGCACCTCGACCCTGCTTTTGATATCTCTTAGCATTAGATATCGACAGAGATTCAACGCCAGCGAGCTGTCCAGACGATGGTTGGCGCTCCGATCGCTCTATGACTGGACCCACCGTATCCGGAGAGTCGTTGAAGTTGTAGGCCATATATTCGTTGCTTATCAAGCTACGCCCGCTACGGTGAAAGAAATTCTACACACGCTGGGCTTGCGTCTCTAACTCGTCCATCTCTCCCTTTCACGAGACGTTTACATTATGGTAGACGCTTCCTCCACCGCGTGTCGCGAAGGATGGCTACCTCGTTAAATTCCAGAGTTCAACATCAAAGAATCACAGATGGACCTAGCTGGCGCAATTTATCCAAGCTCGCGCTGCAGTGCTGCTTCGATACTGATCCATTCTCGTTCGATTACTTTCTACTCCTAAAACCTCTGCACGGCGCGTTGACCAGCATGAAGAACGTGAAGGTATAAAATGCACTGACATAAGCACGCCATCTACTGCTTGTGATAAAACTTCTTCGCAAAGTCAACAAACTTGACCGGCACAATGTCCGGATACAACTCGCGGGCATCCAGCGCTCCTAGCGCTTTCGCGTTTTCCAAAGAATTCTCCCCAAGAATGTGCATGCTGATGGCGTACTCTGAGCTTACCCATCCTATGTGCGCGAGGAAGTTCGGCGACCGCAGGTATTCTTCCTTTGAATGTGCAGCGCGCTGCTTCAGCTCCTCGTATGATAACTGCGTGGGACCGCCGATGACTAGTCAGCATCAGTATTCAATGGAGCGTGGACAACGTACAGTGGTGCGCTTCGATCTCAGCAGATCTTCCTCGCCAGATTGCTGCTCACAGATAGCCTTCACCTCCAGCCATGTCAGTTCATCTTCCCAGACGATGACATATTGGTTCAGTGTCCTCTCGTCTGCAAGGATCCTCGCGACAAACTTCCCGATGTTATTGAGATCGGTCAACAGCAGCTTCTTGTCGCCGGTGCCGTAGATCTCGTAGGATGCGGGTCCCAACATTGATGGCGAGTGGGTGCCCGCCGATGTGCTGAGCTGCATCCACCAGCCCACATCGATGAATGTGTACCCAACGCCGAGTTCTTTGATGTAGTCGCGGACCGCAAGTTTCTAGCATTCAAAAATCAGCACATCGTTCTCGTTGTCAGACACATCCAGAATTTTACAGACCTCATCATGAAGCTGGCGAGCTCCCTTTGCGCCCGGCGTGGCGAAGTCGCATGGTATGACGCGCTTAACGCCCGCCTCCTTGGCAGCAGCGAACAAAGATTTCTGCGCGAGGACCACGTCGAAATGGACGACGCTGAGCAAGATGTCTACTCCTGTGAGCACGGTTTTCAGCTGTTCCACGCTGTCTGAACCGATCTCTGCAGGGCGGATCTCGACTCCCTTCGCGCGGAGCTCGTTCACGTCCGGCTTGGAGAGAGAGGACGGTCGCGAAGTGGCGGCAACTCTCTGCACGGACGCACAGCATAAGCAAGCAGTATCCGTGATAATCCACGATGTTACCACTTACAAAGTTGCCACTCTCGAGCAGAGCGGGGATGACTGATTTACCCGTATTACCGCTAGCGCCGACGACGAGAACAAGAGGTTTCAATGCCATTGCTGTGTGAGACTAATTCGGGGAGGGGCTGAGGCTTCGTGGGTGTATCTGCGATACTCTCATGGGCCCCCGGCCTTTATACATATGTTGCAATTCCCGTTTCCCGTCATAGTCGGGAAGTGCCTGCTGAATAATGGCTGGGGCCCACTGACGCAAAATATTGGCTCGGCAGAAGCCGATGGAATAGCGAATGGCGTCGAGTAATAGACTGGACGGCCCAGAGCGAATGCCGAGATGATGGTAAACATAACCTAGCACGCGTATCGACGAAGGTGTGGGCACAACGAACTCACATACAGATACACAATCAGTGATCAGTACTTGTGCGGCCACGTCTACTCTCCAAACACCTCTAGTGCATCATCAGTGATCCCCCTGTCGCCATGAGCGTCCCCGTTCACTCCGCTCGTGCCCACAACTGTGTCGTCAATCTCGCCCTCCGCATCTGCATCTGCACGCGACAACAGATACATCGGGTCCATAACCTCCGCGAGCGCCTCCTCGCGCTCGTTCTCCTCTTCAGGACTCATCTGCGCATGCGTAATCTTGATAATGTCCCATTTGTCGCCACCGTACGCCTCGTATGCCTGAGATGCAGATGCGCACTGAGAGAGTGACACGCGTATATATAGTCGCGCACTCACGTTCTGGCGTTTCTTCTTGAGCAGCATTTTCCGCTCAATGTTCTTGTAGTACGCCCCTTTCACCCGGGGTTTCTGCGGTTTCACATCTTCATCCTTGACATCCTCCAGTTTCGCGTCGCCATCGTCGATGACGAGTAGGAACTCGTTCGGCACCTCCTGCTCAACCTTGACTGTCTCGTAGTCTCGCGCAAATTGGAAGGGCGTCGGCTAATCCCCCGGTATGAACACCAACAACTCGAATTCATCAAGAGAAAAAGTACCTCGTCTTCTTCTGGGGCGTCTGGTGACCGCGCTAGCCGGTTCTGCTTGAATTCGAGTGCAGTCTCATCATCCTTCGTCAGGTAGTAGGCCAAAAAGTGATCCCCATCGGACTCCATGGGGCGCAGAATAGCACAATCGAGTCGCGGGTCCTCTACCTACAACCTCAAGCATAAGGACGCCCCACACCAGCGACAACGAACACAAAATACGTACATCTGATGGGCGCTCACCAGGCCGCTCAGAGAATCGGAACAGGTCGTACGCGTTCGCCCAGATTTCTGCGTCAGGGAAGATCTCATACGAGTCGACCGCCGTAACCCCAGGCTTGTTCGGGTGTTTGAGCGCGCCGAGGTCGAAACTATCAGTCACGGCGAAGGATGCCTCAATGTCGCGTATTTGCGCTGAACGTGAAATGTCGACAGGAGCGTCCATGCTCGGTCTCCTGCACGGTCAAGCGTTTGATTCTGCGTCACTCGGGATAAGGAAGCAGACGTACGCATCTTGTGTGGAAGTAGGTCGCGCCCCACCCTCACGGCTGAGATACTCCGTTCTCCGGAGCCATGGCACATGGGGCATTACTGGCTGTGATGATGATGGCATGGGCCCTGAGGCATGCCCATTGCCAAGGAATGGCGTAGATGAAGCAGGGTCCGACAATAGGAACTGGTCCTTAGGGTCGAGTTTGGGAAGATTGTTTGGGTCAGGGTTGAGGTCTACAAGTGGGAGCAGTGTATGAATATGAGACATGGCCGAATGACTACTGCCAGAGCAATGACATAGGGTGTTGAGTATACGTACCTGAGTCGTCGAGGTTCTCCCCCCATAGGCACTCCCACCGCGACAAGTCGATTGGCATGCCAAGGTCTCCGTCCACAATCATGGGCAGCGGCGTGTCGGCCGCTATGTCATCGAGGAACTCAGGACGCGCATAGCGCATAGGGTCAGTGGGTATGTCGAGGAGTTTGGGCGGACATGGTGGTGCCGGCAGCGGATTTGAGTATCGGACACGGACAAGCAGATCAAGCTTGCTTTAGAATTGGTTACAGTCAGAACTTTCGCATTCCAGAAGCTAAAGCAACACACCTCTTCTTGAAGCTCATGGCGCAGTGGGGGGACTAGTTTCCCTGTCGTGCTCAATATGATTGTATCGTTGTCAAACAAGGGCACATAAAGCGCTTGAGGGGGACAATACCACGGCTGATATTTGGGAATTTGCGGTTGTACGCAAGCCACAGCAGGAGGGTGAGTGTAAGAGGCAGAGACTCGAGAGGCATAACCGAACTCATCCACGTGACGCGATGTTATGAATCGATCCAGTTCGCTGATTATAGGTGCCATATTTTATCAGATAAGCTGCGCTTAGCGAGGTTGGCTAGACCGCCAGCGGTTTCCGTGGGTTCTCCTGAGTTCTATCCTCTCGTTGCAACCACCATGTCTGAACCCGAGCCCACCGCAACGACCACAGCCGCTCCTCCAGAACCAGAGGTCGCCGCGTCCGTGCCTATTCCTGACACGCCGGCAGCTGAGAGTGAGTCGCACGAAGGTTCGACCGCTCATCGTCGCCGACGATCTGGTATCCAGATGCCCCTGCAGAGAAGGACGAAGAGGCGCAGAATGCACTGACCAGGAAGTTCACCGAGGACGAATGGAAAGCCGTGAAGGAGCTCCGGGTGGGTGTCCGCACTGTTCCCGCTGCCTCCACCCACGCCTCTATGCCTCCACGTCTGACCACGGCCGCCTCCAGGTGCGGCTCCCACACATTTTCGCGGAGGCGTACGCACAGAAGGAGGACAAGACGGCGCCCATTACGCTCTGGGGCGTTAGTATTGACCCGGCGAATGCCAAAGACGCACGCGTGAGCGTCATACTCGCCAAATTCGTGCGCGCAAGGTTTGTGGTGGGAAGGATTTTCCGCATGAACTCTAATTGACTGCATGATCTCTACCCCAGAAACCTGAACGTCGATGATGCGGAGAAGATGCTCATCGCGACGCTCAAGTGGCGAGACGAGTTCAACGTCAACGAGGTCGTCAACGAGCAGTTTGACGAGAAGATCTTTGGTTCGCTGGGCCGTATAAGCGGCAAGGATAAAGAGGGTTGTCCGGTGGTGTACGTATCCTCTGCACATCTTCTTCACGTATCTATGATCTCTTCCGCACGGCAGATACAACCTGTATGGGGCCAATAAGGACTTGAACGCCGTGTTTGGGGATGTCGATAGGTTCCTCCGGTACGTTCACCCGTCCTATGCCGGCATCGAGCGACCAAGCTCCAGCTCTCCATGCTTATTCGCTGCTACAGGTGGCGTGTCGCCTTCATGGAGAAGAGCATCGAGCTGTTGGACTTCGAGCACATCGACCAAATGGTTCAGGTACACGGTGCGTCCCGAGTGCCGGAAATGATGCGGGCTTGCTTCGGTGCTCATTCGCGGGACTGTTTTCAGACTATGAGGGCGTCTCGATGATGTCGAGAACCACGAACCAGAAGGCTGCTGCGTCGCGGGCGAGTGCGCTGTTCCAGGACTACTACCCCGAGTTCTTGGTAGGTCACGCGCGACTCGGGTTCTTGGGTCGGTTGCTGACACAGTACGGCTGCACAGTCACGCAAATTCTTTGTCAACGTGCCTAGCGTCATGGCCTGGGTCTTCTGGCTATTCAAGCCCTTCCTTTCGGCGAAGACTATGGAGAAGTTCAGTATGGTTGGCCCTGGACCTAAGACGATAGGCGCGGTACTCTTACCTATCATCGACGCGCAGGAACTGCCCAAGCGCTATGGCGGGGAAGCAGACGATTTGGCTTAATTCTCTTACCTCACGCTCATTGCTATCCCTCATTCTCATTCTCACCCCTCACTTTGGGTTTTGGTTGACAACTATCCATCTGCTCTCCTACGTTCTTTTCTCACATCCTAATGTATTTGTAGTATATACTTCATTCTCTGGAATACTCACGGATCATATTAGCAATATTGCTCATAACACAGTTCTTCAAGCTTCGCGGGAGCATATGTTCTCAACGGAATGGTCATTACGAGGTATCGCGACAAGAGTAACAGAAGACAATAATAAATACACGGCAAGCGACTAGAGCCACGTCTATGTTCGCTCTCCTCGCAAACGACGAGCCAATGCCTGCACTTATATTAGCTCCAAGACAAGCTGACACTGGACACCAACTTACCAAGTCCTTTGGCTGGATGGTGACACGCTTTGCATGAATGGCTGCAAGGTTGGTGTCTTCGAATAGCGATACGAGGTAGGCTTCGGACGCCTCCTGCAGCGCCATCACGGCGGACGACTGGAAACGAAGGTCCGTCTGCGCAAATGCCAGCGTGAGCACATCCGCGGCACTCCGAGCGCCGACAACTGACCTTGAAATCCTGCGCGATTTCACGAACCAAGCGTTGGAAAGGAAGCTTGCGGATGAGAAGCTCGGTTGACTTCTGATACCGCCGAATTTCACGCAAAGCGACAGTCCCTGGCCGGAAGCGATGAGGCTTCTTCACACCACCTGTTGCCGACTGGGTGCGGATTACGTCGCAGTCAGATCGCAGGAACGCTGTCGGAGATAACAGCAATGGAAACTTACGACAGCGGCAGTCTTGCGTGCTTGCTTCGAGGCGAGCTGCTTGCGGGGCGCCTTACCTGAGATTGAATGTCAACGGCGGAGCAAGTCTAAAGTGGCTAAACTGCATACCACCGGTGGACTTGCGAGCGGTTTGCTTGGTACGAGCCATTGAAGTGTATTTATGCGATAAGGGGAATTTGTTTGATGGACTTGCGGAATGGGTGGTGAGATAAGGTTGCAGAGAAGTGGGCGGCCAGCGCTCTTATATACAGTCGCGTCGCGGCGCCCACAAACGCGTTGGCATCACGTGCACGGACGCGGTTACGCCGATTCAACAAAATAGAGTTTGGCCACGTGCCAAGCGCCCGCCCGTGACCGCGCCTTTGCCTGCGCCCATATATAAGCACAGTCCAGCCATGGCTTGTTGCCAACTGCATCTCCGCTCGCCCAAGACTATCGTCTTTGCCATCCTCATCTCAAACCGTTAACAAACACTTCGAACTTGCAAACATGTCTGGCCGTGGAAAAGGTGGCAAGGTACGTCTCGCTCGTTCTCGAGCACACTCCGGAGCGCTCACCGTGGTCTCTGGCTTTCCCTTCGGACAGGGTCTCGGCAAGGGTGGTGCTAAGCGTCACCGTAAGATTCTCCGTGATAACATCCAGGGTGAGTCTTCCTTAGTCCGAGTTCTCCCGCGATTGTGTCGAACGTATCTGCAGGTATCACGAAGCCTGCTATCCGACGTCTTGCCCGTCGAGGTGGTGTCAAGCGTATCTCCGGCCTCATTTACGAGGAGACGAGAGGTGTGCTGAAGATCTTCCTCGAGAACGTAAGTGGCTTGCCCTTGGCGCTCAGAGACGTTCTCTAACGCTTGGCTTGCAGGTCATCCGGGACTCTGTGACGTACACGGAGCACGCAAAACGGAAAACAGTGACCGCGCTGGATGTGGTGTACGCACTGAAGCGGTCGGGGCGCACGCTGTACGGATTTGGCGCATAGATTGCTTGTAGCTGTCGGATTCGGGCATTGTTCGGTGTATTTCTATCTATCTACTGTACAACATTATTGTCAATTTCCATTTCGTTCTCCTGATCGTTGTCGAGGCTTCGGTTCGCATGATGGGAGCGCGGTGTTTGAGACGAGCTTCGTTCATATTGCCATGTGTGGTGAAGATGCGTAGTTCACCGAGGTGGGTGCCACGGACCCTCATGCTCCTCTGGTGCAGCCACCACTCTGCCCGGTAGCGTATGTCTTGACCCGCGTTCTCGCCGTCTATACACGGCCTTGTCCTCCCAGTGGCCTGGTGCAGTTTCATTCGAAATGTCGCCAAAAGGCAACGTTCCTTCTGCTTTTCCGAACATCACCCTCATCTTGCCCGGCTCTTGCTTCGCATAGTCTGTTAATTCGGCTGGGAAGCTGCAATACCCTTATCCGCCATTTCTCCGCTTCTCGAGTATGTCGCGATAAATACACCCCTGCGTCGCGTTTTGATCGCCTCCAGATCCAGCGTGTGTGGTGGTCGCCGCTATATCATCATTTCTCAATCAAAACGGCCACGCTCGGCCGCTACAAAACACATCTGATCCTCCGACGCAAAGTGCCCATCGTTTATTACCTTCGATGCCCAGCTCTCTTCCTACCGAAACACTCTGCACCATTTTCGAGTACCTACCCCCAGGTGCCCTCAGCCAACTGACCCTGGTCTCCTACAGATTCCGAGCGATTGCAGAGCGTGTTCTGTACACGAATATCGCGATTTTAGAGCCGATACCGCATTCCAACCCGGTGCCCAGCAGGACCTGCCGATGCTGCGAAACAATTCTGCAGAACCCGCGCCTCACTGCGCTGGTAAAGCGGCTGAGCGTACGGTGGCAGACAGACCCCGGCCCGCATGACCAGTACATGCCCTACGTCGCGCCCGCCCTGTGGCGGCTTAACCGGATGCTGCGTGTCCTCACACAGCTCGAGATCCTCGATATCTCAATTGGCCTCGTCGGCGCGCCCATCACCGCGCAGACGATCCTCGACGGCTGCCGCTTCCCCGCCCTGCGCCTGTTCGCTCTCTGCGGAGTCGGCCGCGGGGGCCTGCGGCATCCGGCCCACCACACCTGCAGCACGCCGTCGATCGACCGCTTTCTCGCTGCGACACCCTCGATCCGACACCTGCGGCTGTCCGACCACTTCGAGCCGCTTGCGCTCCTCGCGTCCGACCTCCCTGCGCTCAGCGCGTTCCGCGGCACCGCAATCGCAGCGGCGAGCCTCATCCCCGGCCGGCCCATCTGCTGCCTCACGCTCACGGGACCGGAGAATGTCACAGACGAGGAACTTGTCCACATCGCGCGCGGGAGCGTGCGCATTCGTTGGCTCGATCTCAGCAACATCTCCGCGACGCCGATCCTCCTGCGGGACGTCTCAAGGCGCCTGCCTGAGGTGCAGCTGCTCAAGTTCAAACTCGCGCTGCGCCACACACTGCACCACTCGTTTACAGGTATCGTGAGTGTCTCTCGTACCGCGTTCCTCGCTTCGCGCCGCTGACCCACGCGCTGGCGCTTTGCCTATTCTCAGAGTATCCTGGCAGGTCTGACGCCCGTCCTGGGTGCGTTCCCGCGACTGTCCACACTCGACCTCTCCTCAACACCAGTATCCAACATGGGGCTCGGCAGTTCGCTCGAAGAGTTCCAGCTGTGCACGACGTGGGCACGCAGCTGCCCCTCGCTGCGCAACGTCATCTTCCCGTCCAAGACGGAGTGGACGCGTTCGCCCGAGCACACCTGGGTGTCCTCCACAACCCCGTACTACACGCGTCACTAGGGCGAGGCGGCGCGAGCCGGGCCCGCGGATGCGCTGAGTACCCTTGTGCGATCGTTCTTTGGAAGGTGTCCCCGCACTTACGAAGTTTCGTGGGTACAGGTTCTCACCGGCCTCGGCATTCGCGTCAGCACGTTAAGGAACAGCCTCAAACATGAGGGAAGAAGGCTGATAACCCGAAAGATGGGGTCGCAATATGTATAGCAGCGCACGCCCCCATGGACGGGATTCTCCGTTCATATACATACTGCTTCTATCGACCGGGTCGTGACTGATCTAGCGGTATTATGGCCCTTCTGGCTGCGCAGTCGTGTCGGAACTGTCAACCAAAAGCCTGCACTTGACTACATTGGTGGTTCTGCTTCCATTCATGCTACCTAGAGGATCAGAGGCATTGATGCAATAAGATAAATTTTCCAGTTACAGTGTGGTCCATATATAATGGTCCAATTGCAGCGATCGCAGCTCGATTGCAAACCCGCGAAAAGGAAACGCGACAACCTGAAACCATTGAGAGTAGGGATACAGTGCAAATAAAGGGTATCAAGTAGTGCCATGTAGAAGTTAAACACACCAGCCACAAATACGAATAGTTAGGCTCTAGGCCTCGTTCTCATCCACGAATATATCGGTGTAGTGTTCCAGTATAGTTTCGATTGCCTGGAGACTCACGTGAGTGGCTAATAGTTCCTCAGCTCAAGGGCACGTACTCGGTTCTGGAGAGACGCATCTGCCATGCCGTTCAATTGCAGGCCCTGGCCGAATAAAGTCGGTCCGAAAACGATGGCGAGGTTCTGGACCGACATAGCGTTCTGAGTTTCGTGCTCCACGATCCTAGAACAGTACTGTCAACGCCAAAGTCAGAGTAATGGACACCAGCGCACTTATGTAAATGTCCCATAAAGTACTTGAGGGTAGAATAATTGGGATCCGGAAGGTCGTTCACGCGTTCATGCAGGCGTATGTGTCGCAATCGCTCATTTTCGTTCACTGAAAAATTCGCGTCAGGCCTGAGACATGCGCCAAGGAGCACGGGCTTACCCGCCGCATCTAGAAATGCATTATGCAAGCTGGATGTAAGCAGAGGGTCCGGGAGCTCGCGGAGCCACAACTTGAGCACGCTCGTGACATTGCTGACATCAGAAGACCACTCGTCCTTGTCGAGATCGACGGAGTCGAGATCTAGGCCGGCGTCCGAGCGCATGAGCACATAACGCCTACAGTCGCATACACGGCTAGACTCTCCGCGCACCTCGGTCTAGTTTCTCCTTCAGCTTGGCGACCTTGCTCATCGTGCCGCCGATCCGGTATATGCCTTGGGAGTCCAATCCATACTTCTCAATCGCTTCGCAGCACTTCACCATGATCGGAGGAACGTCGACGTCGTCCCGCGCCATTTGCTCGGCAAGGTCTACCCCGAAAGTTGGACGACCTTTGTCCAGAGGCTGAGTATTTGAGGTGCCCGGTGATCCCCCTGCATAGAGGGCGGGTATAGGCGGCAGCTAGCATTACCAAGCGGCTTAGAATAGCTTGCGCGCAACTCTTGGGGCCTGGGACTTACGAAGCCTTCCGACTCCGGTCCGCGACGGCGGGGTCCTGTATAGTTAGCACCGCCGTGTGCGAATGCATAATGTTGCATGTACGTTTTGAAGTCGCTTCTGTTGTCGATTGTCTCGAGCGACGCTCTCAGACCCATCGCTGGCGGAAGAATCGCACCGTCAGTTCAAGCCTACGACTACCTGACAGAGACGTACCGTTCTCTTCAGTTGGGGTAAGTGTCGTGCCCTCCTGTAGGACGACGTGCTCGCACAGAAAAGCGTATCGGGAAAGGTGATACTGCATGCCCAGGTCGATCTCATCGACGCATTCTTTGAGGGCCTGAACAACAATAGATTGAGTTGGGCGAATCGTGATCGCAGCAGCAAGAGGATCTTACACGCAGGAGCCGTGGGTATTGGAAGTTGAAGTACTCTTGCCGAACAGTCTGAGTCTCCAGTAGAGCCTTGCGGTAGGCATCCGACTCCTTTGACATCCGAGCGCGAACGTCTTCCTCTTGGCGCTGAAGCTGTACGGTCGGCTCAATATGGGTAAAATTCATCAGTCTGGGAACAGATACCCACGTTCCCCGGGTTCCGTCCCTTGAGAAGCATCCCGCCCTTCGCCACCGCCTTACCGATCGCCCTCTTGCCTCCGGGGGTCCGGCCTTGAACCGGGGTGTCTCGGTACGGTTCACCTTCCTTGTGCAGCAAAATTCGCTCCAGCTCTTCTGCCGTAGCGTCACACCGTGCCTTGCATTTATCTGTCGCTGATTCTGACTCTTGCAGCGCTTTTTCGTATCGAGTGGCAAGATCCTTGGTCTGGATGCATGTATTGGCCAGGGCGCTCGTTACATCTCTTGAGCCGACTCACTTGTTTCCTACTCCTGTCTACCTCTTTTGCGAGCGTCGACAACTCCTCGCTCATCTCGATAAGACGTGAAGCAAATTGTGTCCTATGCTGAGCCATCTGCTCGTGCGTCTTAAGAGTAGATTGCCAGGCTACCACGAAAGAGCTAGTTAATGCGTCAGTCTCCGGGGTGAACACCTACCGCGAACATAACAGTACCCTGCTCGTCCCTCGCTCATAGAGTACGCTTCGCCCGTTAACTTCGATAGCCTTTGCAGATTGCGTCCGTATTCGTCTTCTAATGCTGCTCGTTTGCGGAAAAACAAAGCCGCTTCCTACGCGAACCATCAGCATTAGACAGAATCAATACAGAATTCGATCGGAATGCGCATAAGACCAGCCATGATGCGGCAGCTCGACGGTGACAATTAGAGTATTCAGTGGAATGCGGATGTATGTACGTCTCCGTTCCCAGCATGCCTAGTCTTCTAAGAACAAAGCGCATATTTGAATGGAACTGAAGAAACAAAGCTCACCCTGCAAGACACCATACTCTGCTTTATTCGGTCGAGAAGCAAGGGTATACCGCACTGCTCACCCAACAAAGACCGGTCAAAAAGGAATGATGGACATACGCGACATAGATCCTCACGTCCATATCACATAGCGCCCTCAGCACATTCTCGTCGAAGCCTGAATCTACGAGCGTCGAGCTATCAACTGTCGCGGTGTCCTGAATTTCCGCAGCCGCCGGAAGCTGCGTACTGTCCCGCCATCGCAGGCCCTGCGGCCTACTCTGCGATTCCGCGCTCGAGCGGGGTGGCGAGCTTGACTTGGTAGGTGTCTGAGGGGCAGCGCCGTTCAAGCGAAGAGATTCGCCAGAAGTGACATGGTGCACTTGGGAGGGGGGCATGCGACCGTAGCCGTTGTGCGCTTGGGAGGAATGGTGGGTATCAGAGTCGGCATGGTCCCACGAGGACGGCGAGTAGCGCTCCTCGCTCATGGTAGACGTCGCGTCGTGGTCGTTGTGGCAGACGGCGGGCTCGCCGATGAGGGCAGCGGGCAGAAAGTGCGGGACTTCAGGGCGAGGGCGCGACCGGCGCGTAGATCTTAACTTACGTAACAACATGTGTCAAATCTAATCTGTCTGTTTCTGTCATTCAGTCATCCTGAGGCGAATAAGTTCGAGCGACGTTAACGTTGGGAACCCGATTTTATTGTACCGTCCCTATCCATATTTCGATAGGTTCGCCTCCTGCCCCGCGTCGCTCTCCAACCTGTTCAAACCGGATACCAATGTTCTGCGCCACATCCCACAGAGAGCGTTCGCTAGGATCACGTTCCTTGTATCCGAGAAGGATCAGCGGATGGTGCGGTCTAGGATCTGACCCGGCGGTCGACGACCCAAGGTGAATGATTTTATCAAGGGTACGAATCAACGATGGGAACGAAGATGTGTTGTATGTGACATCAGCCATACTGTAGGGTCATCAGCATCAGCCGGAATGAGATCACGCAGAGTGCTCGTTCGGGACTTACATTATTACATCGAAGCCGTGTTGGACGCCCGATACCTCTTCTGGGAACCGCTCCTCGTCCCAGTCAAGCACTACTGCTCTGGGGCGTGTTGAAGAACATGTGAAGGAGCTGTCATTGGAGGCTATATTGTGTTTTAAAAGAGGCATTGCAGAGGCTATATCCCAGATGTGAGGACTAGAGATACTGTATCACTGTTGAAAATGATCGCACCTAAGTCGGTGGTAAGAATACATCCAGATTCAGAGCGGGCCTTTGCAGAGCGCAGAGCACCCAGGACCAGCGATACAATGCCGGTACCAGCGCCTGCCCACAGTTTATCTCAACAACGAGGGAAGGCGCGGCGCAGGCTCACCTAGTTCGAGAATTTGTCGGGCCTCGGAGGAGAATAGGGCTCTTCTCATGGCGTCGACAATTGGTGGTGCACTAGCGGACTGTTCATTTGCAAGATCCACGATCCAGGAACTCAGCCCAATGCCGCTATCCCAGACTTTCTAGCGCGTCTTAGGCGACGTCACAAAGAGAATGGCAGGGCCTGTGCGCAGCTGACACACCTTGTCGAGGTCGAACGATGTCTGTTCGCGCACGGTTATGAAGACTTGTTGGTCGACGTCTACAGGAACGCGATAAACACGCTCGACCTGCTCTTGCTTGCCCAGTGCTGCCTTGCCCTTCGCATTGCGTGCGCTGAACAGAATGGGCATAGACATGACGGGAAAGGGTCTGTCCCCAAGAGAAGGGGATACTAGATTGATGATATGAGGATTTCCCTGCGCATGCGCGGTGAGAACCAGACGACGCGTCTCCCCATCCCTAATTGCAGGCGGAAATGGGACAGGGATCTCCTTATAAGTACTGTCTTCTCTCCAGGTCGTGAGCTTTTGGGGTTTGGTAATGGCGGGGAAGGCATTGTGCTTTCCCGCCGTAAGCGAGGTCGGTGACCACGCGTAAAATATATCTTGCGAGCCGGTGAAGAGCTCTGTACGCAGATCGTTTGCGACCTGGGGCGTGATCGAGATAGACCCAGATGGGGATACCTGAGAAGGTGGCGGCCGGAGGAAAGACAAATAGTAAAACATCCGCGGACAAAATATGCGATACTTTCGCGATGAAGTCGGGTGCAGCAGGCTGGACTGATTTTACGATCGTAGCCGCAATTTGACGAGTGGAAGAGGACGAAAGCAATAGCGCCGAGAACCTCGAGGCGCGAAAAATGAGATCACGTGCACATACACGCGACGCGTCCCGCCGGGATCAGTCGTAACTTCGGCTAAGGGAATCATTTCGTGAGTGGTTCAGAAGACAAGGCAAGGGACGACATACAGGGCGTCCTGTTCTCGAGTTCAACACAAGCATCTAGTACTCTTTAATCACAGGTTGCTATTGAGGTAGAGTAGGCGACTGGTTGTCAGCCTTCGCCGATAGCTGGCCATTCTCACTGACATGTTTGTCAAGAAGTTCCTACAGGAGCCGACAGCTAGCGTCCATTATCTAAGACAAGTCTGGAAAAAACTGTAATGCTTTGGATCGTCCGCACCTGCCGGCACGTCCCCCGACAGCCATCTCGTTCGTTCTCTCTCACTCCAAATTACCGACTGCCTCGGATAGTTCCGCGCCGCGATACGAGGCATGCGCACCACACGCACAAGCCCGAAAGTACCGCCGATGAGAGGCCACAGCAGGGGCCATCCACTGAGTCGCCCCCTGGCGGGGAGACGAAACCCCCAACGGCAACGAACCAAGTGCTGGTGAGCAGAAATTACCACATGCCATACTGTTGCTTAACATGGCTGCCGCCGCAGTTCGTCGTCGCTGGGTCCCTCATCGCGTTTGGCGTAGCGGCAAGACTGACCAATGTCGACACATACGACTGGACGAACAAGGTCGTCGAGTCGGACATCGCCTGGCTATCCAGGACTCCGAACAACGGCGAGCTCAGAAGGGCGCGATACTACGAGCTCGGCAAGGTGGTCGTCGCCAGTATCCCTTCCTTTACATATCGCTCACCCACCACCCTTGGCACAGAGACTCCAAGCCAGTTTGAACAGGCTGGCAGAAGCAGCGTCCGGGCTGCCGCAAGACATCCGCGCGATGGTCGTGTACGCCTACACACAGCTCGCTCAGTCGGCGCTGAACACCACCGAGGGCGCGCGCGTGTGCTATGGCCTCGCGGCGACCCACGGACTCGTCTGGCTCGCCTGGCAGATCCCGCGCCTCGACCCCTTCATGACGCGGCACTTCACGCACCACCCGCTCTCCGGCCTGTCCTACACCCTGCTGACGAGCGTGTTCAGGCAAGTCCGCTTTCCGCGCCGCTCTGAGTGACGGGGCCTGATGATGCCCGGGGAACAGCCACTCGTCCTTCCTCCACATGCTGTTCAACACGATGGCGCTCATGAGTTTCGGTGCGTGCGCCTCCTGCGGTGAATACCACCGCGAGCCGGCATTCACGCTGCCTTGTCTTCCAGGCCCCATAGCGTCGCTCTACCTTACGCGCGAACAGCAAAACGACTCGACATATCTGCGCGAGTCCACAAGCCAGTGGCATTTCCTCGCCCTCTACGTCAGCGGTGCGTGCGCCTGCATATCTATCCATCGCAAAGCCACTGATGCACAGCGCCTTGCACACACAGCCGGGCTGTCCGCCTCGGTCGCCTCTCACCTCTACGCAACCCGCATCATGTATCCCCGCCTCGCCGCCAAGCTTGCCGCCGCACCAGCGAGCGCCGCGGCGCCGATCGCCAACGCCGCGACGTCAGCAGTGTCGGCAACAACGGCTGAGACCGCCGCCTCCGCCGCCGAGGCGATAACGTCGGTTATCAAGCCCTCCCTCGGCGCGTCCGGCGCGATCTACGCCACCGTCACGATGACGGCGATGGCGTTCCCCGACCAGCACATAACGCTGCTGTTCCCGCCGACGCCTCCCATACCCATACAGTATGGCGTGTTTGGGCTCATGGCAGTTGACGTGCTCGGCTTGCTACGAGGCTGGCGGTATGTATATTCTCTCAAGATATTTATTTGTCAAATGGCACGGCTGACTGCCATTGACGCAGGCTGTTCGACCACACCGCTCATCTGGGCGGGGCGTTGTTTGGCTTGTGGTACTACCGCTATGGCGTAGAGTATTGGCAGACGTTTAGGGAGAGGACCCTCGGCTCCTTGCCCCGTTCGCTGCGGGGGCAGTAGGGCGCGCCGTGTTGTGTACCATGTCACTCGCTATCTTACGACCCCGCATACAACCACCGCTCAATGCTATCATTCTACATAGGACTCAATTAAGTGTTCATGCGATTCCGCCTGAAGATAGCGACGCCATGGCATCTGCCGCGTCGAATGAATTGTAGCCGACCCATGACTGGCGCACCGCCAGTTGCCCACAGCCGTTTAACGCAGATCGGATAGCGTTTGCGGCGGCATCTTCCCAGAGTCAGGAGCGGTGGCCCTTCCTACCGGAAGTTGTGCGAAATCGGCGGCCGAAGCAGGCCGGGCAGAAACATTTGCCGCAGCGAGCTACGCGACGGTTATAGGCCACCGTTCTGCATGCTCTGACCATCTATGGCATGCATCGCGGGGTAAATGGTCGCACTGCGCCGAGCGTCATCGGAAGGAGGGAAGCCAGGCACGCCAGGCGATGTTCTGGTGCGATCAAGGCACGCTCACACGCAGAGCAGCTTAATTCGCGTGCGTGCGCTGGGGCGGGTGTAATTATAACACCCTGGGTCGCGCGGCACATATAGCTACAGGGTGCGCGGCAGCGCCAGGCACACGAGAGGGCTTCCTCGGGATCTCCAGTGGGGCTCGAGGCGCAGAACAGCGTCCGCGGCGTTCTGGCAATGCAGAGCCGTCAGCACGCGCCCCGAGGGCATAATGAAGTGTACCAACACGGTCAGACGGGTGCCACAGAGGTGATCGGGGCGGGTGGGACGGAAAGCCCTACAGAGCAGCTGCGCCAATCTGGTGGTGTACAGATACAGGATGGCGGGAACGCGCTCCCGCGGTAGTGGCGCGAGTTGACAAAGACGTATAATAGGTTCGCAGGGAGGTCATCTGCGCTAGGAGCGGCGCTGACCGCAGACTGGCCTAGGTTAGTGCAACAAGGAGGCCCGGACGAAATTGCGTCCGCAGGCGTCGTACCACACATGAATAACAGGATCAAGGGTCTAGGCGGCGTATTGCATTCGTGCAGGATGATATCCCCTGGTGGCAAAGGGCGTAGTATGAAGTATCCAGGAGACCAGCATGCCATCCGCATTTGCACAAGAACCTGATGAAATGATTATTTATTGGTCCGACTGTATGCAGAGAAGAAGAGAAGCCTGAGCTGTGAGCAGAAACCGCCCATCCAGAAATGGGTGTCGCTGTCCATTCGCTGTGGCTCGAGCGTGTTCGCGGTGGTGATCTGCGGCGGGATCCTGAAAGGATGTGCACTCCAGCGTTCGCGGCGCATCACCGAGCTGCCATTACTGCTCTTCTTGCCATACAGCTAGTTTGACAGGCGCCACCGCTACATCCCGTGCAAGGCGCCGTGCCCGCATTGGGGGAGGCTGTCCTCGCCTCTGTCCTTCTGGCCGACCCACTTATCCTCGAGGCCTGCGATGCACGTCTATCTGTGCGTGACGGTAACTGAGCCAGGCCAGCGGTGCGCCCGTCGTCTCCTGCAGCGACCGTCTGTTCATCACAGGCGAGCTGCTTCGTTCGTGTTCGTTGCACTCGTATACCTATACCCATCGCCCGGTGCACCAAGAAGGCAGCGTAGGTCTTGACGCCGTCCATAATAGGACACTACGAATTCGAAGACGCCCAGCGCGGGGGCTAGACCGTGTTCAACAACGTAGATCACATCATGGAGCACTTTGACATGGATCTGAAGCCAGCATGGGGTAGTCAACTCGCGCCACCATCAATGTCTTGCAAACCACGAAGCACTCACCGGCCCATAGGCGCTGCCTCCAGTCGGGCCTCACAGTCACCGATGGCAACAGGCGCGCATCGTCCGCCGCTAATGCGGCGCTCCATTTGCATGTTGAATGGTCGAGCGCGCGGCGCAGGCCAGGCGCGCCATTCACCTTGGCGAACGTTTTGCTTGTTTGCATATTATTTGCAAGCATGGCAGTAAACAATCACATTTACATCGACTTGGCCGGAAACCAGCCGTCTGAGACCGCACGCATGCCAGCAAAAGACACAGCAGCGGCGTAGAGGTCAGCCTTGATTTTGCGTGTCAGTTCCTGTATGAAAGTCTATCGTAGTCGGGGGTGCTGCCAAAGCCTTGACCCACGTCCACAGCGTCCGTCGCCTGAATGGAGACGTTCAACCTTTCCCACCAGCATTGCAGAGAAGGGCATAGCGCGGCTCCTCTTGCGTCCGTGGTGACCACTGCCAGACGCAGACCACCGAGCGCAAAGTCGTCTAAGCCCATTCAGGCCCGGCGCACGGCGACATCCACATGGTGATCAGCGCCGGCCCTCAGTACTCAGTCCTGGGGTGGCAGCCAGCGCATGATACACGCAGTTGCTCGCGCTGACGCCAGCGCCGAGCGCGGATGGTCGATCGCAGCAGGCCCGCGAGAGCCACGATGCATCTGGACGGTCTTCTCGTCCGCAGCTGTGCACCGTGAGCCCTAGCCCGGTGTGTGCGTGCTTGTTCGTGCTCGAGAGGCGGCTCGTTCTGCCCGACGTGTAAGGGCCAGTGCAGAGGGCGCGGTGGCTTTTTTGCGTGTCGCGTCTGGACTGGTGACATAGAGAGGGCACAGCGAGGAACAATTGCTGCACAGGCCAGAGGCAAAAGCACACATTGAATGCAGCACGACGTAGACCAGCACAGATAGACCGTCGGCGTCCGTGCACTTCGCAGCAACTGCCGCGGCGCAGCAGGGCCGCACGTCCGTCGTCCGTACTGCAGCATGACCATCATGCCGCAGAGCATATGCACGTCCGAGTTCACGCACCGAGTCAAACACACCCACTCGAGCAGGCGCGGATCCGCCACAGTCTCCATGCCAGCAGCGAGGTCACGCACACCCGCCTACAAAGTTGCTGTACGTACACCCGCGCGTGCGGGGGCTCGTCGCGCGCATCTGGACGTCCTGACTCCCTGTGTGATAGTAAAACCGTGCCGACGCGCGATGATCGTATCGGGGCCGACGGTGTGCAACAGTACTGCGTATGGTCGACGCTCACGCTGGTCGACGCGGCGGATGCGGGTGCGGATGCGGATGGCGGATGCGCTATCCGTCTGGCTACGCGAACGACCGCGATTAAACGGCTGGCTGAACAGCACTGGCACCCGGCAGAACCGCGCCGCACGCGACGCGGGCGATAGCTGCAGTGCGCTGGGCCCTGGCGAATTCTCGGAGGAATCCACCGACGCAAAATGCAGGCACCAGGGATGGCGACGGGGTGCGCTGCAGTGCAAAATGCAGGAACGCTCGCGTCGACAAAGGACCACTGACAAATGGGAAACCGCGCGGGGCCGGATCAGCTGAAACCCGTCCGATATCGTCGCTGCTGCCCGCATGGGTATACCGAATATTGTTGTTCGCCTGTCCAGGAGAGCCGTGTTCTCCTTTCGTCGCCGCCGTGTCAGTTCTTTTGTTATTCATTGTTTTCCGTTCTTTTTGTCCTGCGTCGCCGTGCGCTTGGAGGGGTGCGTTTCAGCTCGACATCCCGCCTGCGCACGCTGTATCGGCTGCTTCGATTTGGTCGCCAGGGTCCTCCGTCATGTGTGACGATGCGCCCGCCCATCCCCAGAGCATTTGCGGCAGAAATGCAGCCGCCATCAGTCCAGGACCGGCCGCATCAGTCAATGTCACGCTCGAGGACGTCACGCAGGGGGGTGTTTCCTGATATAGCAGGAGCCCAGCCTTTTATGGTAGCTGTTGTAGTCCGCGCGCTGGCAGGGACGTGATGGTGGCGCAGACGCATTTGTTGTGCGAGCGGCCCAAGGGCGCGCTAGCGTGATAGCGCTCGCGCAGTAAGAACGTGTTTATCTCGCCGAGGGGAAGAAAGGCAAATCACGCAGAGAAGAGGCGCGCTGTGGCGCGAGCAGAACAGCATGGCGTGTGGGATGACAGGTGGCATGGATGGTTTTACGGAGGGAAAGTGGACGATGAAATGCGTCAACTCAACGAAGGCGCCACCGCATCAAACGGTGCGCAATACACCAGCTTCTGTTTGTACCGGTGGTGTGCGGGGAAATCTACACACGCGGAATCATATTGAGATGACGCCTCTAGTAGACGTCGGGGCGCACTAGTCTGCCTTTAATGCAGGCACGGGTGGATACAGTGTCACGATGATTCTGATTCCGAAGGGTACGGGGACAAGAAATGGACGAGCTGCCCGCGCCGGACCCCCGACGTCAGTCATTTTGCCGTTCCTGTGGCGTTTGGAAGGAGGAGCACCAGGTGGATCAGCTGCTGTTCGCCAACGGGGAGCTGAGAAGAGAACGCGAGAACTAGACCGCCGTACGGCCTGAGTCTGGGCGCAGAGAGGATCCGTCCGAGCGACCGACGCCGCCTGACGCGACGCTGTGCGCAAATAGGGCGGCGCCGCACACCGCCATGGGTGTTGGCGCTGGAAGGTTGGTTCCGGTTCGACGTCAACACGAGTATGGCCAAATGCGGCTACATGCACGATTCGCGTCGGCGCGCTGATGGGGCATCAAATTCGACCCTGAGCGCTGTGCGGCGGTGGCCCGCCTGGAGGCGCAGGTGATGTCTGCGTTGTTCGCGGCGGGATGCTGCAGGACGATCTGCGGCGACAAAGGGGGGCTAATTCAGCGACGGATGACTGGTAGTGAGGGTGGGCAGTGATAAATGGGATATCGGAAAGCGAGGAGAAGAGAAGCCGGCGGTGTTGTTCTTCTCAAGGTCGTCTGGCGACGCGGCTTGTCACGCCCAGAACGGCAGTGGCGTGACTCGAGGCCTGTGACGCCCGTGGATCGATCTTGTCTGCGGGCGTCTGCGGCACAGACGTGGAAAAAATCCAGGGCCGTCGGAGGCGCCCTCCAGCGCGACGCCATGCACAATATATAATAATGCCCTCCCCGCCCCTCCTCGCTCTCCCCCACACCCTCCTCCTCACCGACGACGACAGCGACAGCGACGCCGGCAATGGACTCCGCCTTTGCACAGTATTCTCCCCTCTTCACCTCGGGCCTCCTCTCGGGGCGCAACACCCCCGAGCTCGATGCTCCTGCCTCGCGTGCGCCCTCTCCTAAGCGCCGCAGACATCGTAAAGAGTTTCACGACAGCCTCCCGCTCACCGTCGACACTGCGACCGTCAGCTTCCATGCTGCAGTTCGCTCGTCTACCGACACTGCTAGCGACAGTGCTATGTTCCTCACCCTAGTCCCGCGGCGCCACCAGTCCGACGAGGGCCGTTCTTTCCTCTCCCTCGACCTGGCTGAGAGCCAGTCCATGCGCTCCATGAGTCTCCGCCGCAAGGATACCGTAACTACCCGCGCGACAATGTCCTTTGGCCTCGGCCGTTCCGAGCCCAGCTCGCCTGCCCAGCGCAGTCCCACGCCGTACGTTCTCTTCTTCGCCCATTTGTCTGATCGGTGCCGCTCACCCATTATGTCTTCGCTTGTGCGCATATAGGCGGCTCCCAGAGCTTACATTCTCCCAGTTCGCCGTGCCATCGGTTCCCAAGTTCCGCCGACCCTCGCGCGAGACACTCAGCTTACCTTCGGCCAAGCCCGCCCCCTCCGCGAACCTTCCAGAGCCCCCTGTGCCATTGTCCTCGCGTCGTCGGCGCGCGTCCAACCTCACGCTCACCCTGTCTGCTTGCCTCACCACCGCGATGTCCATTGTCTCCCCTACGTCGCCGATGCACCGCCCCTCACGCTCCGAGCCCTCCCTCATGTCTCCGCCTCTGCACTCTTCGCCGATTCTCTCGCCGGGCGCGGGCCAGTCGTACTTCCTCTTTTCGCCCGTATCGCCTACTGCGTCGACGTCGAGCCCGCCGCTCACTGCCGCGAGCACCTTGGCGGACCTTCCTCTTCCGCTTACGCCCGCGTCGGCACCAGCCGTGGTGCCCCTGCGCGCGAGCCCGTCTTTTCGCTCGGTCGTGTCTGTAAGGACGCGCCAGCGCAACCGTTCCGCAGCGCTCGCGATGCTTGAGGGACGCGTCCAGCCTGTGCGCCCGCGAAATTTCATGAGCATGAGCGACGACGAGGACGACGAGGAAGAAGATCGCCCCACGGGCAACGGCCGCCTGCTGCAGGTGCTGCAGGAAGAGGAGGATGTCGTTGTACCTTCACGGTGCCCTCCTGCGCGGCCGGAATCCTCTGCGCTGGGTATGACCATGGCGCCGCCGCCGCCACCGTCATCCGCACGTGATTGCGCCTCGTGGTGGTCAGGATCTGGATCTGGGTCGGGCACGAGCTCGACGCCGTCGAAGCGCAGCCGCCGGAGCACGATCGAGTCGTTCCTCTCGCCGCTCGCGAACTTCATCGACCTCGGCCTCGACGATGAGCGTGCATCGCGCGGCTGGCGGAGCTTCGTCGAGATTTCGTCGTAGGCGTTGCCCATACCTGGTCCCGGTGTCTCGCTTTCCTTGAGCTATGCTGCTGTCCTCTATCCGCCATGCTCTCCGTCATCCACCCATTGCTTGTCGCTGTCGCCCTCTGCACTCTCGCAGAGGTGTACTATATCGGTTCTCGTTTGCCAGCCGCTGTTGTTGCCCTCCGAGTCCTGCGAGGACGAAGAACGCGTTTACCACCGGGGTATGCACACATCGTCAGCGCCCTATGTATCGCGCGGCCGGTCCTCTCGCCTGTATGTACATTTGGGGTCCCGCCGTTCGCGCACGTACCTTCTCCACGCCTAATTGCACGGGTGCGCGTCGCGGCGCACGGTGCTGTCGCATACGCCTCCATGCCGCTCCAGCATATGCGCTCTCTTCCCGCTCCATCTGCGTCTGTATCCCACATTAATGGTTCCCTGCTCCTGCCTCCCGTTCGGACGTTGTTGCATATATACGTCATAACATATTGCGCGCGTGCTTCTTGCTCCCCCCTCTACGCTTAACCTTCACTTTCCATTGCATCCCCATCGCGCGCCGAAGTTCAGGTCTACCCTACATCGTTACTGCTTCCACATTCTTAATCACACTCGCATGGTCGCTTCATCTTCCCTTGTGCCATCGTTCACGCGTTACCCATTCTTCGCCCACTATCATCTGTTTGGTCCCCTTCATTATGTCCCCCCATGCCATCACGACCACTCGAGCTCCGCCCTCGCATCTCATCCGCGTTCCAACTCCTCGCCGCCCATATCGTACTGTGCACTATCTCCCATCCCGAGTCTCCCCTTTCCCCAGTTTTCTCGGCCCGTATGGCGTATGGACCATGGTCGTGTATGTACGTGCGGCCGGCTGCCTAGACTGTACGTGCTACAAATGAAAAAGTTGAATGCATTTGCTATGAACAGTGGTTTGTGCATACGCGGTGTGCATTTGATGATCCTGAGTGCTTAGATCGTTGGGGCGGTGGGATGTATGCTATGTTCGACCTGAATCCTTCACGCAGTGTCACAGTAAGGGTCTTGATGAACCTTCGAAAATGGGCAGTACCCGCCACCAATTCATTCACAATTATTCTATTCATAATTCCTTGTGACAAGGCCTTGTGCGCTGGACAGTGACACCTGGCTGCTGAAAGCTTGCATGGGATGGCAACGCGGATGCTACCATCTTGACAAGCGCCCGACTTCATCGCGAACGCACAGCTGTGCTACAAGCAAACCTTGAGGCTCGAAGCATCGACTCTTCTGCATCTGTCACAAGTAATGCATCTGACCCGGTTGCCACTCGATGGAGTCTCACCGCCGCGCAACAAGCACCTGGAGCAGGGCCTGCGATGGGAGCGAGGCGACGCGGTCGTCGTCGGGTGTTTTGGCACGCAGCAATAACGATACGATCAGATACTGGCGACTGCTGTAATCTTGCAGTGAGAACGAGGGGCGTGCCATCATGACGTGGTCAGATTGGATTAATATTGCTGACGGCCGTGGGCCCGTGTACAGCAGCTGTTGTCGCGGGAGCGCCGGGCGTGAAGGCGATGCACAGCGTGAGGATCGAGCATACTGTGTAAACTTAAGATACTTGTGAGCTTAGAAAGCCTGGTCGGGGCCTTGTCGCCGCTGGGCCGTTGCGGTGCTCAAACGGAGCTTGCATGCTCCCCAGCGGGCCACGTCGCCATCGTCGGCGCGCGTCTTCCAGCTTTCGGCGCTGAGCACTACCGCTGTCGGATCATGAGCGTTGGTCATTTGCAGTTGTTTGTGACGGTGGACAAGCATCCAATACCGCACGCGCTCTGGGGCGACGTTCGCCCACCACGGCTGACTCTACAGCTGCCGCGACGGCGTCCACTGATCCTTGTCCAGGCACAAGTCTTGGAGCACCGCCTCCATAGTTCGCGCGATGCCGCCTTCGCTGTCGCTGAACAGAGCGACGTGTTTGATACCAGCTCGGCCTCCGTCTAGCGGGCGGTCGCAGCCTGCAGCATGTACAACTGACCGTGATCACGGACACCTGCGGTCGACCCTGCAGTGCCACATATCCGAGATCGAGAGCTGGTTGCCAGCTCCTTATTGTTTGTGCTCGCCAGAATATGAGACGCCGGATGACCTTGACTTCCGTTCGTCGGATCAAGCAGTGTTGAATTGTAGATATGCACTCATGGCAAGTTGAGCTGGGATACGTAGGCGGTATTGCTGCTTCTATAGCGTCTATATTGTTACAGCTGTGCAACCTGCTTCGTTCTGCCTGAGACTGTCCATGAGTCAGGCAGACAACAGTATACACTAGACCAGCCACCTGCATACCTCTCTCATGTAGCAGCACTCCTTGCTATGACCCTTGCACACCGCCGTCCGCCGCGCCTGCACGTCGTCTGCACTCCCTGAGCATCTCCACGCTGATCATCTTCAGCCCCCAGCGGTCCGCAAAGCGGCGGCACCCGTCGCGCCGCATCATGCTGCCCGCCTCGTCGTCCTCGACGAGCTCGCACAGCACGCCGGCGCGCGGCAGCCCCGCGAGCGTGCACAGATCCACCGCGGACTCGGTGTGCCCCGGCCGCGCGAGCACACCGCCGGGGCGCGCGCGCAGGGGCACCATGTGTCCCGGGCGAGAGAAGGAGTCGGGCCGTGCGGAGGGCGACGCGAGCGCACGGGCGGTGAGCGCGCGGTCGTGTGCGGAGATGCCGGTGGTCGTGCCTGCGCGGGATAAAACGGGGGAGGGGGATGCAAAGTAGGGAGACGTTGGCCGTCAGTATACAAGGAGAGGAGACGGACGGCGCGGGGGACGCACCGTGCCTGTAGTCGACCGTCACGGTGTACGCCGTGCGGTGCGGGTCCTGGTTCTCCGCGACCATCATGGGGATAGCGAGCTCCTCGAGGCGCTCTGGCGTGAGCGCGATGCAGATGTAGCCGCTGGCGACGTGTCAGCGGGACGGGCGGCGCACGACCCGGAGCGAGTCCGTGTTCGCGGGCGGGGTCTGGGAGGACGGGCGGCGCACCTGGTGTGTCTGATCATCCAGGCCATCTTCTCGGTCGAGACCTCGCTCGCGGCGGCGATGAGGTCGCCCTCGTTTTCGCGGCCCTCGTCGTCCATCACTACTAGGAACTCGCCCCGGGCAAAGGCCGCTATGGCGTCCTCCAGGGGGTCGAAGGCGAAGGACGTGCGGGCGGGTGCGTCTTTGACCTGGACTGGTCGGGCGGGGTTGGCTGGCTCGTGCGGTCGCGGGGGAGCTTCTTCGACCAGGAGCGCAGAGGGTACGTCGACAGAAGGAGGCTTGAGAGTGCCCAAGCTGGGCGAAGCCTCAGATGAGGAGGCTGCCACAGGTGCCATACCAGAGGATTGTCAAGTTATGGATCCACTCGCTACGACGTCCTGTTAGATGTCACGACGAACAGGTTAATGCAACAGCGATGCTTCAGCTGAGATTTGGTTGAGGTGAAGGGATAGGAGCAAAGGAGAGCTACGGACTAGAGTAAAGTCCTGCCGGCGGCAAAATGAGCGTAAGCACATGAGTCAACTCGATGACCCCGGTTGTCTTTCTCCATTTCGCAGCTGACTACACACTGGGAGGTAAGAGGGTGACTATTACATTGCGAAAGATGAAGAATGGCCCGGGGGCGAACTGATCAGCGCGTCAATGTCTGAGTTTGGGTCTCGTTCCCGGCTCAAGTGCTCGAAGGATACTCAGCAATGTCGCCAAAATGAACATCACCCATGTCGTCTTATGCTCAATTCACCAGAACAATCTCATAAGGCCATCTCAATGCAATACCGCAAACCACCTTGGCTTTGTCTGACTGCATAGGTTCCCTGATGACGGGGCCACAAAATCCACTGTGCAATGAAGAAATATCATGGCTGTTCTTGCCGCCACAATCTTCGCGTCAAGCCAGACAATGAAGACATCTAATAGCTTAGCGAACATGCATTAGTGGTAGACAAAAACACAGCGGGATGCAGTCTTACACCAGGAGCAAGTCTAACAGAACCTACCCAATAACATCGACAACAACACAACGGCTCTTCCATTCGCGACATCACCTCCGTAGGAGTAGCTCCTGACGTCCAGCCCGAGAGAGACGGCGCACTAGTAAGCCCCAGTAACACTGAGCTCATTTCGCTTCTCTGTACGTGTCCGGTGGTGGCTGTATTAGGCCGCTCTGCGCGAGGGTGTTGTGTCGGTGAAGAGTATAATATATTGCCTATCAACTCGGGCGACAAGCCAGCGAGTGAGAAAGCCGGAAGCGGAGAGATGAGAGGAACGGCTACGGAGTGGATGTGGGAGAGTGGGAGGACTCGGCAACCGTGTTTACAGCTTTCGGTCAACTTCGGAGCAAGCCGAGCAAAAACCGTGCCGGTCCCTGTCGCCAGCGCATCTTTACCTCTTTCCTCCGTCCTCCACCTCGTCGGGGCTCGAGCTCTTCTAGACACTACCCTACCCTCACGACCTAGATAATTCCCCATGGCACACCTCGTACCGTCTGGAAAGTGGGATGCCCGGTGAGCTGCGAAGACACCACGGTGGAAAACGAACGCGTTCTTACAATCTCATCACAGCCACCTCGGCCCTGTCCCCCACGACAGCTCGTACTACACCAAGTGCTTGTTCGGTGGTGTCCTTGCATGCGGTACCACCCATGCAGGTATCACCCCGCTCGATGTCACAAAATGTAACATGCAGGTATGTCGCGATTCAGTCATATGATGTGTGGCATCCTTGTGGCAGTTGGTCCCGTACCTCTCGCCAATTGGCCGCCACCACCACCTTGGTGCTATCCGTCGCTGCAGTGCACTTACTCACCCTTGCGCGCAGGTTAACCCGGGGAAATTCAACGGCTTGATTTCCGGCATCAAGACGATCGCTGCGGAGGAGGGCAGCAAGGGTCTGTGGAAGGGTGTCGGGCCGACGTTCATCGGCTATTCGCTTCAGGGTGCGTTCAAGTACGGTCTGTACGAGATCTTCAAGGACACGTACATGAACCTGGCTGGTGAGGAGGCGTCGGCCAAGTACAAGGGCGCCATCTGGCTTGCGGGTTCCGCATCCGCAGAATTCTTTGCGGACATTGCGCTCTGCCCGCTGGAGATGACCAAGGTCAAGATCCAGACGAGCCCCGCGGGCACATTCCCCATCCCGACGTTCACCGCGCTCGCCGAGATGAACAAGCTCAAGGCCGACACGCGGTTCCCCTTCGGCTCGCTCGTGCCCCTCTGGTCGCGTCAAATCCCGTACACGATGGCGAAGTTCTTCTTCTTCGAGTACATCGTCCAGCTCTTCTACAGCCACGTCTTCACCGCGCCCAAGGACTCGTACAGCAAGCCGACACAACTCGGTGTCACGTTCGCGTCTGGTTACCTCGCCGGTGTCGTTTGCGCCGTCGTCTCGCATCCCGCCGACTCGCTCGTGTCGCAAATGGGCAAGCCGTCGAACAAGGGTAAGGGCCTTGGCCAGATCGCGTCGGAGGTTGGCTTTGCTTCGCTCGCCACGAAGGGTCTTGGTACGCGTGTGCTCATGATCGGTACCCTCACTGGTATGTCATTATGGTTATGCAATCACGCCTTCCGAGCGCTTACCATGTTAACTAGGCTTCCAATGGTGGATCTACGACTCGTTCAAGGCCGCGATGGGTCTTGGTACGACTGGTGGCAAGTAAATACCGCGTTAAAGTCAGTAGAGTTTGGTTTTGTCAATGACATTCGGCGCCGTGCTAATCGGCGCTCTTCAGCAGAATTGGTAATAATGCCATAGGAGCTCCGCATCCGTGCTGTGACAGTTATTGTTGTCTTTTGTGTTACCCTCTGTTCAGTACTCTATTCGTTTCCAATAGAATAGTGCGGACATCCCACATCATGTTGTCATTGCACGACCAATTCGTCCTGTCCCACGCTTGTCTGAACGGCCCAACTTGCATGACCTGGCGACTTAGTGAAGGCCGCAGGTATTGTATTTGGACCCTTTGATGGGATGGCCTCGCAAAACAGAAAAAGTAAATATTTATTCACGTCAAATTGATATAGGAGACTAGACGGAGATGCGCAGGTGGTTGGAAAGCGAGTACGGTGCGTCCTCAGTCTGTTATTACCACAAACCCCATCACTTAGTCAAGGCGCCGGCAGTCGGCTTGTAGCTGATCCTTGCAGTTCACGCCCTAGGCCACATATTGCCCGTATACGCTCCCAGCACGTCTTCCGAGTAGTATGGAACGCGGCACCCCAGCTGTGTTACTTCTTCTAATCTATCATCCGCATGCGGCACCTGCCTGCCCACTGTAGTTGTGGACTTTCTGGCGACGGCACCGCCGTATAAGTATGTGTCGCCGCAGCGTCTCGTACTCTACTCTACTGTCGTTGCCTACCCTCTCAATCTCGTCATTGTACACCTCGCGACATGTCATCCGCTTATTGCTCAATTAATGCGAACGTCGTGTACGTTTTGTAGCTCTCCGAGCGCGACCGCCTTGTGACTAATTTGCATTTCGTAGCGATCAGAGCAACTACTGTCGAGTTGCTGTCTGCGGTCAGTTCGGATGCATGCTTTTCGTCTTCTGTTTGGCTGACTCGGAGCCGAATGACGTCGTTGCTAGCTCTGATAGCATTTGAATACATCGCCACCATTCCTCAAGAAATATCGGCATTTTGGTGCTCAAGGTTCAGATTGGGGACATTGTGGTTCATTGCAAACCGATATCTTCTCCTTCTGTTTGCGCTGGGGATTCTTCTACAAAATTTGCCTTGCCTTGATCTTCAGGTATGTGGGTCGAAATACTGAAATAGGGATTATCATATTCTAATGTTGGTTTTGTTATGCTGTGCAGAGGTAGTGTGTCATCCCGGGCATGTTCCAAGTCTGAAACTCACACCTTACATTATGGCAGCTGCAAGACCACTGGCCTTTTTATGGAGATCATAGAAGTGATGCTGAATGTAACAGTTAAATGTCAGTTTTATTCTCCATAAGAAATGTTATGCTGTTTTGCTGTATACTCAGATAAATTTATAGGCATCGGTGCTTTGCAGATTCATGCAGTCACTGGGGGAAATCAGAGAATCACTGTACTCGTGCTACTCCTCGGTTTGATATCAAGTGGAATCAATGTGGTATGTACTGAGTGAAGCTCACCTACTGGTATTAGGTTCATTGGAACTGATATTTACTTCAGTATGCAATCATCAAGCAAACATATGTCTCCTTGAACTGTCTAGAGGAAACCATTGCAGGATGTGTGTATGTGGATATTCCTGTTGCAGTGGATCATCAGTAAGTTAACCATGATTAGTTAACGCTCGATGAATGACTGACTGATATGAGATTAGATGTAAGGTGTTGCTTTTTGTACAATATATAACATTAACATGGATTATACATGTGTTCACAGTGATCATAGCAACAGGAGTAACATTGATTGCGTCTGACCTTGTTGTCATCAGTGTCATATGGTTCAAAACATATGGCATTTACAGAACAGCTAGAGAACTTGGAATACTACATAGCCTTGTAGCCATACTGCTACGATTTGGTATGTAATGCTATAGCTATATATGAAAGCCCAAATTTTAGCTGATATACCACACAGCAGCAATCCATTTTGTGTATGTAATCCCAAAGGTTTCAAGAAATTTGTGGTCAGCTGAAAGTTACCCCATGCAGTTTGCTTTTTCTTCTCAATGTGCTACAAACAAGCATCAAAGTCACCAAGATGTGCTCAGTGTCATGGCTCAGTGATTACTGTCACTCAGTGGGCTATGTAATGTACTTCATCACCCCGTGAGTGCATTTCTATCGGAACCACCAGCTGCAATATAATAATGAAGTTCAGGATGTCTTCGATATTGGCAAGCAGACTTGTATTGACTTTGCGGCAATATACGGAATGCCGTTGGTCGCAATGGGCTACTAGCCAGTCAAGTCACCCATCAAAAATTACATGGCCAAGTATTGCAATACAAGTCACTCAAGAAACCATAAAAGATGGTAGCATGGGTAGGAGGGAAACAATTACTTCGGCTGAAACTGCCATGTCACCTTCCTTGAAGATTGAGAATGTTGATTTGGACCTCGTAGAGGCTCTCAGGATGAGCCCCACAGATACATGCTTCCATGATTCTCATGGGAACTACAGGATTGATGAAAACAGCTCCATTGTAGAAATTTGGAAAGTAGATGACGAAATGTAATAATACGTACTTGTCCTTCGCTGAGACACTTCCTCCACGACTCACAGTTAGTTCAATGCATTCTTCCATCTAGTTCCTCCTAGGTCCCCCAATACTCTCTCAACTTCCCCATGTTCCAATGTCAGAGCAACCCGCCTAGCCGATTCTGCTTTACGTTCCGCAGACACGCCATCCTCATATATCATAGCCCGTGAGGCAAGCAATGAATCGAGCACTACACAGAGCTCAGCAGTGGTTGGCTTGTACGGAGGGTTACTTTCGTCATGTAGAAGATTCACGTAAACCAAGTGTTGATGCTCAAGCTATAGGAATCATCAGCCTGTAACCACCTGGTCATGGACAGCGACTCACGTCAGCCCATTTGATCTCTTCTACACCTTGTTTCTTCACACACTTTACCAAGGCAGCGAGCATGACACGCTCGTGGAAGCTCAGCTCGCGCAAATATCCCGCCGTCGGACTATTCTGCATGTCCTTGATTACATCCCGTACATCTTCGGTCTTCGCCGTGCGCGAGAGAGGTTGTACGAGCTCGACACTTCGCCTAGGAAATGAGCGAAGAGTTCATTGAACAGCATTTTTTCAAAGTCGTTGTTCAGACACACCTGCAAATGTCGAGTACGCGTCTTGCGTCGCCGCTGATCGAAGATACCTTCATTGCTGCAAATTTGATACCGTCGGGCGCAATCACAACGGGGGTGTTGGCAAGCAGGCCTTCCCTCGCGCTTTGCAAACGTGCATGGACGATCTTCTCAAGCTGTGGCGTTGTGTATGGCTGAAAGTTGATTCGCACCATCCCTGGCATAGTATGTCAGTCAAAGAGGTCAAATGTAGAGTATACGCGAACGAAAGCGTCCGCATCCTGATCGGTCACTTACCGAGTCGACTCCTCACGCGGCCAGTCATAACTCGTTCCGGCAGATCCATAGTATTTGCGACAGCAAGGACAACCAGTTTCGAGCCGACCAAAGTGGGCCAGTTGAAAAAATTATAAACCACATCTTGTTTAGTTGTCATGAGCTGGTCGAGCTCGTCCATTAGCACTACGCTGGTCGAGAGACCGCCAAGGCACAAATGGCTACTATCAGCCTGCGAAACTGTCCTCACAAGGTAGATGCACTGACCATGCGTGTCCGCCTGGTCCGGCTCGTTCACCAGCACTGAAATGCTTCGACAGCATTCTCAATGCTTGGTTTGAGCTGATTTTCATGTGTCCTTCCCGAGCTGCATCATGGCCGCACACCGCCTCCCAGAGTAGACCGTACGCAGCCGTAGGTTCAGGTATACGCAAGCCGTTGATTTCGACGTACGTAAAGGGGTTAGCTTCCTGCCATGATTATGAGAATCAAATACATCGCAAATCCGGATTCGCTTACATTCTCCTGTGCCATGCGTTTGAGCTCTCGGACTACTGCATGTACAGTGGCGGTTTTTCCTGTCCCTGGGACACCTGATATATCTGATGGGCACATACAATGAGCGACCTTTTGCCAATGGTACGTTGTACTTACATATACACCCGCCGCTGCCTTCTTCCAGCAGCTCTTCAACGGCTCGCAAAATTCGCCCGTATTCTTCCTCTCGACATGGGAGGGCTTCTGGGCGTGCAGCGACATGCAGCACATGCATCGCACGAAGCCACGGATTCTTGCTCGCCTTCGGACCCAGCTGAGCGTCGAGCTGTAAATGCAGATTGGCGCCAGATTCGGTCTGTGGTGGAGGTCGAACGGCGAGTGCAGTGCGCCTACGTTTGCGTAAAGCAGCCTTTGAGTGTGGCGTAGGCTGTGCGAGCGCGGAGGTGTCCACGCGTTGCGTACGAGATTTCCGAGGTGTAGCAGCCGATCGGCGAGGCGTACGAGGCGTGCGGGGTGTGCGGGGTGTTTGAGGAGTCGCAATTGCCTGTTTGCGCTTGCGTGGTGTGCGCGGTACGGCGACTACTTCTTCCTCGGCATCGCCCTCGCCTTCGTCTATTTCGTCATCTTCCTCATCGTCCGGCGCAGGACGGAAGTCATCTGCATCTGAGCTGCCATCGTCGGACTCGGCGACCATCGCCCGTACCTCTGCGGCCTCAATGGCACTTTGGCTCTCCGGGATCGACAGAAGTCGTGCGTCGGCTGCGCCTGGACGTGCAGGACCTCGCCCTGGGGTCTCACGAGCCTTCTTCCGCGGTGTCTCGGATCCAATGTATTCGTCCTCTGCGACTAAAACGTCCCATACATCCTCGACCTTCGCGTCGGCCTCGTTAACGACAGCGCTGAGTGCCCCTTCGTGAAATTCCTCCCAATTGAGCGCGTAGAACAGCCCTCTGCGTGGGTTGACAGCGAGATTGCAGTAGAATGTAGGTATGATCTCGTCGCTTTGGCGAGGCCGACTTGCTCGTTTCCGTTTACCCAGAACTGGAGAGCTTGGCACCGTGGAGGAGACAAGACAGTGTGAAATGATACTAGAAGGGGGAAGTGTGGCGGTCGATCTAAGGGTGTAGTAAATCTCATTCTGGTTCAAGTGTGAGCGGTAGGGGACAGACTCAACATCATGCCTTTCGACACATACACAACATCCTTAGATGCCACATGCAAGGCAACCCAGGACATCACGTACTGTCGGAAGGCATTACAACGCGAAGAACACGACATACCTCTAGGTGCTCTCGGCGCGCCCTAATAGCAGGGAGCTCCGAAGGTCGACTGAACCAATGTACCATAACCCTTAGGCCCTTATCGTCTGGCTCGCCCTCTTGCACGATCTCCCAGATAGCGGCAATGATCGCAATACTTGGCTCCTTCGAGAGGGTCTTCACGACCACTGGATCGCCAATCTTAAATTCCTCGACCCGCAAGCGATCGCTGTCATCAGCAGATGCGGCACCGCCTCGTGCCTTTCCATCGCTTCTAGAGGCTCGCCTATTCGCTGTAGGTTCTCTCCTGACAAACTTCGCATAGAAGCGTGTTTCCAGGTTTTTGAGAGCCAAGTCCTCCACCTCCCGCTCTTCCTCGTAGAGGTCATTTGGTTGAGTTGTCCGAGTATACACAGGTTGAGCGGACGCAGCATCGGCAAGATTTGGTACCTGCAGCAAGGTAGGCTCAGAGACAAGAGGCTGGCCACGCTTAGAGCGACGCAGAGGAGTCTGAGAAGCCGCCTCTCTAGACATTGCAACCAATATTCGACGAGGAGAATGTGTAAGGTCCGTCGTGGAATTGGGGACTAGGCAGTCAGTAACGACGTACGTAGACAAGAAACAGGTGAGCCGGAAAGACAGTGGCGACGCGTACAGCGTCCAAACCGCGTCTCGGAACGAGCTACGACGACGCGGTCACATGACGCGGAGTCGCGAGTTCTTCCCGTACCCGTTGCAGTGTTTTATGCCCAGCATTAGGCCAAGAATGGACCGTCTGTAGGTGTGGACATGCTGGTAATATTCCAGCATGGCGAATAAGTGGATCAGGACGTCGCTCATCACTTCCAGACCGAGGCCCTCATGCAGTTGTGACGGTGACAGAAAGTGCAGCACGCGTCGTAGATACTCCTTATTACATGTCTACGACCAATAAGTGATTTTGAGTATATATACTTGTACAATGTATGCCCATCCATTCCATACTGCACTAATATCACAGGGGTGGAAGCGGCCTCCGGCACTGTGGACATATGTTCTAGGAATCATCATCGTGTCAGTCTCCCGACGATAGTATGCCGAGAGTTCCATACCTTTATTGCCAGCCACTAATGACCAAAGAAGAACGATCAGCTTCACACGCGGAAATGGTTAAAGAGGACAAACCTGCTCGAGACATGATGTATGCTGCAAAGAGAACAAGAAATAAGATTGGCAGAGAACAAGCCGGCTTTCAGGATACTCACGAAGAGATGATGACACGGCGCAAGACTGTAATTCTTCCTCGCATTTCCTCCTCCGACAGCACTTACCGCCCCGAAGATTCCGCCCGGCCGTCGGGACCTCGAAGGCAAGCCGAGCATGTCGCCCCGCTCCTTGCCATCGCTCGACTTGGATCGCCGGCGAAGCGACGGATCTACCTCAATGACGTCCATGCATATCGCACAGTCGCCCAACGTCTGTTGGGGATCCTCGGTATCTGGCAGCGGTAACGACGGATGATAATCATATGTCTTAACCGCTATCACCTGGAGTTACCGTTGGACGTCAGTTGAGCGTGACGGGCGGTAGGAACGATGCACGTACGCGATTGCCCATGAAAAACGTGGGGCCAAGACGGTCTTGTAGCACAATCATGAATATTTGCGCGAACATGAGGACGGCCACGGCATAGATCCATCCTACCGAGAGTAGTTCAAACCTCAAACACAATCTGCGAGTAAATAAAAACATACGTCGCGGCTCAACATCCAGAATGTTTTTCGGGCAAGCGAGGAAGTCTGCGGCACGTTAGCCGGACAAGCTACGTAAACCTGACGGAAGACGTACATAGGGCAAAATACAGTCGACACAGTGTCGTGCCAACCATATACTCCACCGACAATGGGCTGCTCCGCCCGCGCCGCACTGACCGGTATATCTGGCACATCCAGATAAAGGAGTACATAGAACCGATGAAGAAAAGCGGCAGCGACAGCCTGATGATAATTCGGACCACGACTAGGAAGAATATCGAGACGGTCATCCCTGGGTATCCGATGATTAACGACGCGCGTAAATTAATATGAAGTGATATTACTTACACATCCTGGTTGATAGATCTGACCTCAGGTGATGCCATAGCACGGACAGGAAGGACGGCTGACCAGGCAGGGCAGTGGTCGGGGTAGGCGACGTCACTGTTGCCTGCGGTATCTGGACTTGCGGCGCTTGCTGAGCTGGAGGATATGTGGTTTCCGGTGCTTGATTTCTTTGCGCATCCTGTTCAGGCGTTGAGGGTGTTGGTGGAGCAGGGGCTGGCGTGGGGGCTGGCGTTACAAGAGGTTGCGGAGGAGGTGGAGATATATCTTCTGAAATCTGGCTTTGTCCGACTCCAACGGAAAATCGCTAGTCAAAATGAAACAAATGAAGAATGAGTGCCATCAAGAATACGGATACTACTGACTGCTTCCGCGACGAAGAGCAAACAAGAAAGACCCGCTGGTGCAAGGACAGCAAGCGACGGCCGGCCGTCTGACAAGATTCCCAAGGTGATATGCTAAAGCGACTACTGAGCTTCATGCTAGCAAGACAATACGATAATTAACTTACGCCGACAGACGCAATTGCATCTATGAGACTCTGTGAGAAGAAGACGTAGCGCGACAAGCGGGACAATGTGGCCGTCGAGCTTGTCCTTGCCATTTCGCGACAAAGCAGCTTGTACATTACTAGATAGACGATGGTCGCGATTCCAGCATCTAGTAAAGCGTGCAATTGGGTCAGTCATGGAACCAATGAAAGTCCGTCTGCAAGTCTTACACGTCGTGATCTTTCTATACAGCTGCGGAGACCTATGGCAGCGTCAGTCGGGGGAGGTTGCTAGGGTCAGAATACGTACTTCAGCCCAATGACCTCATTCACTTCGATCAGAATGCCACAGTTTTGGCTTACGAGCACGCCGTTCAGCTTTAACTCAGGCGCCTTGACGGTCGCGATGCCAGTCGGCTTTTCGATCTCCCTTTCGAGCTCTTGCATGGAGTCTTGCGAAACATCGGTAGGTACCAGCTGTCCGTAGAGCTCGAAAGAGCAATGGACCTTTGGAGGGTCTTCTGCATAGGCACGCTGTGAATCGAGTCAAATCCATAAAAAGAGGGAGATGTACGAACCGTCGTTGAAGGCGTCTTGGTCTATTGTCCCCGCATCGATCTTTTCTTTCAACTTTGTCGCTCTCGACGTCATCTCTGCCAATATTGCATATGCAGTCTCGTTCGAATGCGCGTGTGGTACGAGCGAGATAACGCGTCTCAAGTCAATGTGCTTTCTGCCATCGACACGTGAGCGTGTATACGACCATTGGCACTGCGGAGTGAGACGCACCCAGACGGTTCGCTTAGCGCATAGATTGACCCATTTGAGATGAAATGTACGCCGTCGAAGTCAAACTTGAGTTCCTCCGACGCATGCGGCTCAGACAGCTCTACTTTGCCCTGTATTGATGTTATCGTCAGGTCACAGCTGGAGTGAAAGGCGCGCATACATGGATTATTGCAATGTCTTGCGACGCGTTCTGGACAGCAGACAGAGCCTTGTCTCCTACACTGAGTGCAACTTTGTTTGTGGCCGCCCACTTCCATGGGCCGAGAAGCTGAAGGAGTGCAGTCATATTGGTCGCGTTGGTATAGCTTTCGGCCAACGGAAGCCATGATGCTGCCGTTCCATTGACCATGTCGGGAGATGTCAAATTGTGGAGGTTCACCTCGCCATGCCAAAACCCAGTCAGGTTCGTGTAGTAGGAGCCTCTCTCTGGGTCAAGGCGGGACTCAAACGTCATAAATGTATTCACAAGAGGAGCTGTGGCATTGTCGTGATCTGGCTGCACGTCACATTAGATGACCTTTCTACATGAAAGCACACGACTGACGAGAGTGAAGTTGGAGGCAGTGCCGTTCAGCCACGCAGAGTAGTCCGACACCCTCTGGTTCAACGAGTCCAGAGCTTTCATATATTGAAAGCGTGTGTCAAGCTGCTCCCCTCTGTTGTTTGTGAGCATAAAGAGCACGAAGCTGATAAACAGGAACGTCGGGACGGAACTACGGCGACGATGGGGAGGGAAGTCGCGTGCATCTGTGCCAGCTTCTCGGCCCTCTTCGGCGGCCTCAGGTGTATTGGGCGGCGGCATGTATAGGAAGTGCTGGAGAGCTATAGAGGAGTGTTAATGAGGGCAGCTCATAGGCGTCGTTACATGAAGGAAGGTGAGACGTCCGGTCATCTCAAGCGCCCATACATACACATGGTTCTCTTTTGGGAAGTCCGAGCTGCCGCGAGACGCCTATGATCGGGTCTCCATTCATCGTTACTTTCACTTTCAAGTTTACTTACAAGAATGCAACTTGATGACCGCGACTGCACGATGCCTCTTTTTCTACCGCAGCTACGCATCGTACGTCCAAATGAAATCTGCACCATAACGTTTCCTTTGTCGGTCTCGAACACAATAATTCCCTTTGTGCAGTCTTTTGGGAGAATGTGTGCGAAATGGGAACAGCAATGACATGAGTGCCAATTAATGCAGCCTCTCCTCGCCTGACGTTGCAACCGTGAGGGTTCATCAATTCTTATCATCACAGAATATGTATATAACGACTCCAGTAATGATCAAACACGAATGTTAGGTGCTCCGTCGACACATGCAACAAGCTTCGTAAGTATCATTCACGCTACAAGGTGATACAAATATCAGATTCCATCAGAGGATGCGGGAAAGTCTATACAATTGTAAGAGGGTGCATGTTGAACGGTCGGTCACACCGGTGCTGGGGAAGACATCAGGTGTTCGTTTCATCTTCGTTACGAGGCCATGATTGTTGTTATGTTGACTGATTGTCAAGAACGGTTGCGCAATGGACATGACCGTGTTCTATGACCGGCAACATTGTTTGTAACGAAGGTCAGCTTGCACAGATGCTGTGTAGCTGTCCTGCGTGGAGTGGCAATGTTGCATTTGTCTTCTCGAGGAGTATGGTCAAAGCATTTACTGTCACGGGTCATAATCAGCAGGTCCACGCGATCACAACGACCGCAGCATTGGCTGAGCTACATTGTTCATCCAGTGACCGCCAGCCGTTGCAGATTCCCTTGCAAGCTGCGCAATATAAAGTAGGTCGTCAGAATCTCTTTTCTCGGTCACAAACCTCCCCGCATCTCTTCGAGCAAGAATCTCCTGCGCTGAGGCTACACATACTGCAGCCTGGGACATGATATTATTTTCACTGAGGAACACCGTTGTTAGAATTTCCCCTTTGTTCGGAGGACATCTCAGCAACACGTATAGGAATGGCAGAGATGCTCCGATGCTTTTCTGTCCTCTTTCTCCATTAATTCATCGAAGCGGAAGTTCTCAACGTGCGGTGCGTACCAACAAACTCTTTCAGAATCTTGTTGCTGATACATGAGAACAGACTCGTTACCCTCACGCTCTCTCGGTCTCCGAGAATTGAACATATACACTCAGTCGCGAAGGTGCTAGGCACGCTAGCGAGCCTGCCTTGCCTCTAGGTCCTCAAAATTCACAATTTGCCCCTGAACACTGTCGTAGGCCTGCTCGCCAACTCCATCGCATTGCCATGCCTCCGCGACATTGAGTTCGTGGGAAGCACGAGGGCCATCGGGTTACTCTTAACGCACCGTAGTCTCAGTCGCCATATGCACATGGCGGTGAACATCGCTATCCACTGGCCAAGACTCGCCAAGGAGGCAGAGCGGCGCATGATCTCTTGCATGGCAGACTGGTTGCAGCTATGTGCGAAACCAGGGCGCACGGTCTATTCGCGGTATGATTCCTCATTCGTCGGCCATGTCACAGGTTCGGTCCAGGATGGGGCGGAGCATATGTTTCACCTGGTACTTGCTGCTGATTGTGAGCGACTGCGGCGCATCTCTCTTACCATGCTCTGCGACGTCCTACAGCTTTCGGAAGTACGGACCTCGTGCGTTTCAGGCCGCCTCCTAAGGAATCCGTCGCATGAGACCATGACGCGTCACCCATTCGAGATGATGCAGAATGTCAAAACTCTCTGCCTGCATAGCGTCCCGTCTCAACGCGTGACGGAGCTCTTGGGAGCAACACGCACTGAGCCATATTGGGCCTCGGGCGAATGGATTCCACAAGCTGCGCCATATCGAGCTGTGCGAGATTGACCTCGCCGACTGTGGTTCTTTCGGGCGAGAGGTCTTGCATGAGCTCTGCGATGCATTAGCACAATATTATGAGGCTATTATAGGCAGTGTACAGATATCTGTGCGTGACTGCATGCGTTAATGTGCATGGTCCATTCGGATCAATGGAAAGAACCTCACCTTCAGCTACATGACACCGGCATGTACGCCCTGGCCAGGAGATAGATGCTGCGACAATTAATACTACTGGCGGCATGACTCTGTGCTGTACACAAGTATAGATTGAGATTTAACACACAATTCGTAGCATCTTGCTGCTAAGTCTGTGCTCAAGCGCGCGATCTACTAGTATCTCATTCGCTAGTGTCTTAGACACAGTCGAAATGCGCGTTTTCTCATCTTATTTGGCGCAAGGGTGAGTTGTCAGCGTGTGTATCGCATAAGCGGCAGTAATAGGTGTTGCTGTTCGGTAGCGCATCACTCAGTGGAATTTATGGACAGCGACAGTAGAAGTAGTGAAGTTGAATCCGGCTGTCCGGCAGTAGACGCTCAAAGTAGAAGCGTTAAGGCGCTTTCTCAACTTCTATGCCGTTGGGTCTACCTTGTTGATTGTCCTTTCTCTGCTCTTCTCTAGATACCTCAAGGCTTGGCTTTCGACATCATACTCTTGGGCTCAGGCTAGTGAGCCTTTATTTGCATGACACGGGATCATTACAACTGACTACAAGTAATTATAGGACGAGGAGACGTCGATTTATCGGGGTGATGACCGCCGCTCTCATATAGCAATCACAGCCTTAATAGGTTGTACTCATTGTGATTGAACACGGCGGAATCTCCTGATGCGCCGGGCTTATAATTCTCCTCACGTGTTTCCGATCAAGCTACGCTGTTCTCGCTGCTTCCGTCTCAACGAGACGATGCTACGAGCTCCCCAATTGCAAAATGATCTCGAGCCACAGTGTTTCATCACAAGGCGATCGATGTGCTTGCTAGACCGACAACGAAGGTTACTACAAATCAGCTATATGACGCTATGAGTCTATATATGTTAACCTGCTTGAAACGGATCTCACATATTCATGTTTAGCAAGCGATGTCCCGCATTCATCGCGCTATAGCACTTTCAGGTGAGTCATTAACCTTTCCTGTCAATATGGCATTGCTATACCGGAGGTTAAATCTATAGAGCATTAGATTTCAGTTCTCACCCATGCATTTGTAAGTTGCATCTCACCGCTACTATCAACTGCCCAGTAGTCGGCTATGAGTCCTATGTTGTTTACTTCGCTGTCTGCACACAGGTTTCAGTCAGTTTATATGAGCGGTTCACAGTACTCACCAGCGGTGATGTCTAGGAGAGGTGTACCGAAATCATCAGTATCGCTCGGCAATGAATGCGGATTCATATCCAGAGGGGCTTACCACTGTCCGGAGATGGCATCGCTGTCGCGGCGAAGACCGCCAAAGAGAGGATGATGGTGAAGCGAGTAACGTGGTAAAACTGCATGATGGTACGCAGAGGATCGAATACTGAAGTTGACGCTGTGAGAAATGCGGCACACCTTATATATGATGTGCATCGAGGTCCTTTGGATATCTTTCGAGCCTCGAGAGCGTGGATGCTCTGGGATAGTAGTAAGCCATTCGCTCACCCCAGTTCCTTCTGACGTTTTCTGATTGTGTGCCATCAGTCCTAGTCAGAACCTCGCTGCAAACAATGATGTTGCCATGTTTCCATCTGAACGTTTACTACAGAGCTGTCAATATCGTTCTGATTCATCTCCAGACTGGTGAAAATGACTACTTTTGGATTGATTCCGAATTTGTAGCGTCATAGGATTTCATATGTAGGTCGTAACAGTGCCTGCGGACGCAACTGATGATGCGTTCTTGACATGTTCTTTCTATGATTCTGATAGGGACTCTAATCTGACATTCAGTCATATGACCAGATATCCGCTCGGCAGCCTAAAAATACTCAGGTGGCTTGCAAATAGCATAGTGCATATGATCCGGCAAGAGGATCAAGGACATCCTGAATTCATCAGTGAGCGCCGTACATGTCATTTTACAATACAGCTCATCAAAGTCGGCGACAGGTGTCCGCTTGGCCTCAATGACAGCTTTACAAATACACGCAGTTCGCCTTCTGGGTAAAGGTATCCATGAGAGTGAGTCGGGCGACTTAGATAGGGCTGTCCGACAGAGCACGTACTAGTACCGCTTTGTACTTCTCCCACTTCGAGACCATGACAGACACTACCCGGGGAGCATACAGACAACTCAAGAATGACGACGGCTTGATGGAAGGTCTCCTTGGGAGTGAGCAGCACGATCATGAATCCCACTTTGCGAACGAACCGCATAGAAGACAGCGATGGCACACTATATTTTCCTCCCTAGAGCACGTAGTCGTTGTGATCTGTTTGGTTTCAATTGGCTTCCTGCTTCTCCGGCCTCCAAGTGAACAGCAGTGTGCGCGAAGGCTATCAGCATATTGTACGTAGTCCTATACGGTACTTAAGAGATCCAAAGGCTCATGATATCTACAGCGACCGCTATAGATGCAGTAGAATATCGTGATATCAAATTTAATAGTTCTGTCAAGCACCAGTCGGTCTACAAGGGAGAGCCCAACCCCGAGCTCGACCGTGCATGGGCTGGATTAGTCCTCGGCAGTGAGTGAACCAGACATCGTAACGCCACCTGCATGCTCACTAGTAACGCAGCGGGCCTGACGTCAATCTCGGATGCAATATTGCAAAAGCTAGGAAAATCAGGGCAGCCTTCACTTGTGAAGTTTCTGGATGAAGATGGTGGCGGGTATATGGCTACCATGGAAGTATCACATCAACTTCACTGCCTGGTGAGTGTTTTCCGGGCGACATTTGATAGGACACCGCGATTTGCTAACTCGCTTCGAGAATCTGCTACGCAAGTCTACCTACTTTGACTACTACAGTTCCAAAGACGCCTTGTTCGGAAATGGACCGATGTATCGCCAACATCTAGGTACTACGTGAAAAACCCGTATGTTCAATGTAGCTTCGCTGACAGATGGCGTATAGATCATTGTACAGAAATCCTGCGGCAACAACTCATGTGCACAGCCGATGTTGGGCTCATCACATATAACTGGGTCAAAGGCTACAAGCAGCCATTTCCGGACTTCAATACTTGGCATAAATGCAGAGACCTCGACAAGGTATGGGCATGGAATGATGAACACGCAGTTCATGTTCCGTGGAGTCGCCTCACAAAACTTGGCAATGAGGTCGAGTTGGAGGAAGTCCCATAGCAATCACCTGCAGAGCGACCTCATATAATATTCCTCGTATTAAGTTCATCGTGCTCTCTCATTTAGTGGTTCAATTCTTACATCTTGGGCTCGATTTATTCGGTACCGTGCAATTCTGTCGCATGAATCTTACGACAGCCGGTGCTATTTGTGTCAACAATGCATTCCAGTTGATTACATTAACTGTGGCCGCCATATTGAGGGCGATACACCCTACCGCAGATGCTGTATTCAAACTTGAGTACGGCTCCGAGTCACGGTTTCTGGCGCTTCCGCTTTTGAGACCTGCCGCGTCTCCAATGGCCGGCATGTTCCGGTCCCTACTAGCTAGACAATCAGTGCTTTCTGCTCGAGGCAACACAGCACGTCCCTCGGGTAGACTTTGCTCAAGACTGGAATCCGAAGCCGACCGGATTCAGCCCGATAAGCTAACTTGGGGCCAACCCGTCCTTCGAGCCTCACTGAGAAGTCGGTACCTCATCTCGTCTCCTGTAAACGATGCTTATCTCGATGCTCATGCGCACATGTACGTAGCATGAAATCGCGAAGCTTGAACGAGGACATATGGTTTCAAATCGTATCTCTCATCACTCCAGCGGATGCGCTTAGCCTGTCTACAGTTTGCAAGGAAGCGCGGCCATTCGCCAGACGCCGTTCTCTATCGGAGATCCATCTGCACTCTAGGAATTTCGATAAAATCTGCGACTTCCTACTTGCCGACATCTCTGATCGTCTCCACTGGGTACGCGACCTCACACTTGCGAGAGATATATTTGGGTCGGGATTCAAGTCACGGTGGTACAATCTCGAAGATGGTGAGAACGTAAATCTTAATTGGGTACCTGTCTTCCTTGAGGTCCTACAACTTGCCAACAATCTCCGTCGACTGTCAATATCTGGTACTGAGGTGCTGCTCAAGACGGAGCCTGCGATCGGGGATGCATTCGTCGCCCTTCCGGAGCTCACGTCGTTAGAGCTCAATCACGCTGGCTCACACACAATAAGAATGCTAGCCAGGCTACAGAGCACGGTGCGGCATCTCATCGTCCACCACGATACAGCAAGCGATACAGGACGGACCTTCTACGAGTACTTGACTCATGGGGTGACATTTCCCGGTGTCGAGACCATTGAGTTCGGAGACCTCGACAGTGAACTTTACCCGCTCACTACAAAACTCTACCTCGACAGACAGTGGCCTAACGTGCGCCATCTGACCCTATCTCAAGGGTGTTTCATCTCGCTGTCGACGTGCACGCGACTGTTCCCCGGCATTCGTTCGCTCCACCTGAAGTCCGCCCCTGGATATGATCCTCACGGCGTACTCTTATGGCCAAACCTCGACCTCGTACGCGTTCAGGGTGGGAATCCAAATAGCCTCACGGTGATCAGTTGTCCAGTCCATTATCTGAAACTCCGCGACGACAGCGGCGAATGGTATAAGTCCCCCCGCATCCTCAAAGTCATTCAAGCGCCCTCGCCTGTTGTACTATCAATAAGGGCACGTGCCCCTCTCAACGACTTGAGTTTCTGGATAGCACTCCTTCAGTGTGCTCCACGACTGCGGTGTCTCGATATCATTATGATCTATGATGATACCGTGAAAGATCGTCTCTGCAAGTGGATCGTGAGCGTGATCATCGTATATTCCAGTCAGTATCGTGCTCAATGATCTTCGTACATCCAGGAAGACATATCGGATGCTTTCGCGTCCTCACGCCTCCTTTGCATCAGGATCCGCATCCACGACCGGTTCTGTGAGCTGTCGGATATACACTTCCTGCTTCCTTCCTTGGAACACTTCGCCCGGGTCGTGCATCCACTACAATATCTTGCCTTCGGTCTCGGAAATCTGGACTATCTGTCCAAAGCCAGACTCGGTCGCTTTCGTGGGAAGACATGGTGGTGGCGTGTCTCCATATGTGAGGAGGGCAGATCTATTGAGGCCATATTGCGCGAATCGGGGAAGCATATACTCGCGGCGATTCGCTCCGCAGACTTTGGTGACGGGAAGAACCTGGACGGTTTGTTGCGCTTTGTCTTCTTACGTCTGTTGCTGCTGGCTGACCCATTTTGAAGGTCTAGTATCAGCTCGGAGGGGGAAAGAGGTTGAGGCCATCTCAGAAGACTATTACGCACATGAGCATGATATGTATGGGGTTATACACACCCGCCCAGTAGTCTGATGAGTTCGCTTTCGATAGGAAGTCGTAGTCTAGCGCATGTAGCCGCATCGAAGGTTCCGCTATAAACGTCGGGTGTTCTCGTGATATATTTCTCAGGGCCTACATTGGTCCCAGTATAGACACCTGTTCCAGTTGAATAGACATGCTATGACTATCCCCTTGGTAATAGGTATGAACTTTGTGCGGCCGTCAGAACGCAGGTTAGATCGTTGTGAGATCCGAAGTGGCTGCGACACAACTGCTACTTGAATGTGATATTAGAGATATCGTCATATACGGAATGTAATGCGCAACGCTCATGCGTTCAAAGCAAGACATTTCAGTGATAATCACGACTTCAAACATACACACCTTCCATATACAGATGTCTCACCGATCGCAGTGGCGGTGATGGCTGCATCATGGTGTCTGCCGCCGGAGCGCCCTCTGCTAGTCCGCGTGCAGGCCAGCTCCTGCTTGTTCCCTCTCATCTGAGCCTGCTGAGGCCGAATTCCGTCGACAACTCAAGTTGCCTGGTGCGACACAGACGGATGATACTGCTTTATTGTGCTTGCCTTCGTTCCATTCACAACCTGCTTCAGTGCCATGATTGCTCTCAGACACAGACCTGTGGCTCGTCTGCTTCCGTTCGGACTCGGTGCCGGTGTCTTCCTTTGGGCACTTCTATATTTTGCCTGGCCTGCCTTTGAACATGGGCCGCCGCGTCCGCTACCTGACGGACCTCAGTTACGCCCACCCTTCCGCGGAAGCAAGAAGTGGAATGCCCGTACAGACGCGGTCCGTCAAGCCTATTTGCACGCTTACGCAGGATACAAGAAGTTTGCTGGAACCAGCGACGAGCTCCTGCCTCTGTCGGATGGCTCCGTAAACAAGTGAGTAGTCACTGAGATGCGGTATTTCAAATGATCTAGGTGGCTCAGGTGCTATCCGAAATGGCTTCCGTATTGATCGGAAGCTACTATGGTGCACTGGTTTGGCTGCAGTCGATATAAATGGCACTAGAACCTCCTTCTCAGCCCTTACAATCACGTCTGACACTAAGGATCATCACTTTTACCACTGCCCGTGTTCCGAGCTAAGCAACTTCTGTCACTGTTGTCTGACAATTGTGGTCTCTGATTTTGACCACTCTGAAGCATACCTCAGTGGAATATGGTACTAACTACCTCGATAGTTTCAACGGCTGGGGAGTAACGCTAATTGATGGTCTCGACACTATGTGGATCATGGGCTTGCACGAGGAGTTTTACGAAGCTATTCCCATAGTCGCAAACATGACATTTGCTCAAGACACGGTGAGTAATCACATGATTCGTAGTAGCTGTTCATATCCTGAGTGCACGATGATAGAAATCATACGCTCCCTTCTTCGAGACTGTCATTCGCTATCTAGGAGGGCTGCTGTCCGCATACGCGCTCTCCGGGGAGCCGATATTGCTTACTCGTGCGGACGATCTTGGACGAATGCTCCTGCCTGCTTTGAACACGACGTCGGGATTGCCTATGTATGCGGTGAATACGGTGACGTATGCATGCGAGCTTCTGAAGCAGTGATAGTGGTTGACGTAGTCTGTAGCGGGGAGACGAGGGAAGGATGGACCCACGGGACGGTGTTGTGGGCTGAAGCGCTCAGCTGCCAACTGGAATATAAATATCTCGCGCATTTGACAGGTAGGAGGGAGTACTTCGAAGATGTACGTCGGTCGCTTCATCCCGCACAGCACTGTTGACTGATGGTGGGAGTCATAGGTCGAGCGAATCATGGACATCATGCGCGATGCACAAGTGACTAACGGCATGTTCCCGACGAGATGGAACCTTTCTAAAGGCACGCCGATGAATTGTACGTGCTTAGCGCAACAATTGCTTTGAATTTCATTGATGAGCGTTGCAGCGCATTTCTCCGTGGGAGCCTTCGCTGATAGCGCCCACGAATACCTGCTCAAACAATGGCTGCTGACGTCAAAGTCGGAACCCAAGGCGCGAGACCTCTGTAAGCACATCTCCGTTCGCATGGTGTACTACTTGATTTATGTATTTCTTACTAGATCTGCGTGCTGCGACCAGTATTATCGAGAGCCTGCTCTACATCACACCGAACCGCAACCTGCTCTACGTCACTGACACCACCGGCGGCTCGCCAAGCCATACCTTCGAGCACCTCTCATGCTTCCTCCCCGGTCTGCTCGCGCTCGGGGCACACACACTTGGCCTCCCGCCACACGAACGCGAGGTGCACGCGTGGGCCGCGCGCGGGCTTGCGTACACGTGCTGGATCACGTATGCGGACCAAGCGTCGGGACTCGGCCCAGATGAGGTCCGCATGGAGGCGATCCGCAAGTCAGAGGAGAACCCGCACGGCGGGCTCTGGGTTCACCACCTCGATCGATGGATTCTCGCGGGACGCCAGGGGGGCGTGCCTCCAGGGCTGGTGGAGGTGCCGACGCAGCCACGGGGGCATCGGGACTATAGCTCGCGCAAGGCGGGATATTACCTACGTCCTGAGGTGCGCGAGTAATTTGAAACCATGTTTCAGGCGCTGACGAGGCACTCTTAGGCGGTAGAGAGTTTCTACATCATGTGGAGGACAACGGGCGATGAGGTGTGGAGGGAACGAGGCTGGGCGGTATTTCAAGCAATAGAACGGGAGGCCAAGACAGATAGCGGATACGCCAGTCTGCTCAGCGTCGATGAGTCGCCTGCATCACTGAAGAACGAGATGCCAAGGTGCGTTACCTACACTTTCACTGCTATTGGCCTTGTTGACAGGGCTCGTGGTGTGTTCAGCTTCTTCATGGCAGAAACGTAAGCAGTATCTCGGGAATCCATACACCTCGTACTGACATACATCAACCGCTAGGTTGAAATACCTATACCTACTCTTCATCGACGAAGAGATTATACCTCTGGACGAATGGGTGTTCAACACTGAAGCCCATCCACTGCCTATCTTCCATTGGTCAAATTGGGAGAAGGCGGCTTACGGAATACCATAATCTATATCAACATACTTTATGATGGACTTGGACGTCATAATACGACGCTTGACGGACATCTTGCATTCCCCTTAACTGGGCCATATGGGATCACGACTCATCCATTGCGTTACTATCATGCGTAACATCAGAAAGATCTGCTTGAGTCTCGGACTTTGCCCTTTTAAACTCTCTCTCACCGCCCTCGTCTATCGGACCAGCGCCTTCCTCCTTTTCTTGGCCCACAGCCTGACTTTGCTTTTGCACCGTCGCAGCCACCGCGCGCTTTTTCTTGAGCCGTGCCAATTCTCTCTGCGTAAGCTCTTTCTTCTGCCTAGCCTTGCCTGCGCTGTCAGAGGCGGGCTCGGGCGTCCCGTCTGCCTCAGCAAGGAGGTCGCGTCGTAGAGGATCGTGCTCGGGATCGACGTTCTTTGGCATGGAAGACAGCACCGAATAGAGGTCGAGCGTTTTGAGATCCGCTGCCGTCGCTGAGGCAAACATGAGCGAATATACACTAAAGATGTCTAGATTACTGACCAGAGACCGCGCAAGTGTTTTGGAGGGCGGAAAGAAGGGGAGGTGCGTCCTTCGTCGGTACTATAGTGGGCTGTATTATGTCAGGCGGGCTGCTCTCAGTGTCCGACAAATTGGGGTTGCTCACCGTTCCCGACGACCAAGACACGAACACAGCAAGCTGGGACTTGTCAGCGTAACCATCCTCCTTGCCGTGTAATGGGTTTAGCAGGACCCAGGTATCATTTTCTGGGCCAATAACAAAGTCGATGACTGGTTGTCCGAGATCGAGTGCGTGCACGGCAGGCGGGGTCAATGTGCCAGGTTCGGGGAATGCGCAATAGAAAAGCGCGCTCGCTCTGCCAGAATCGTGTCAGTAACGCGAGGCGAGAAATCCGTGCTTAGAGACGCACCCCACTGCGCTAAACACGAGGACATGACCGTACTGGCTCAGGTCGACTGACGCAATTTTGTGTATAACGAGCACTAGCTTGTCTGGTTCCTCGCTTGTTCTGCTCTCGCGTTGCCTCTCGTCATGACTTTCGTCGTTCTGCTTGGTAGCTTTCGGCTCTCGTTGTGTCTGCATGGATTGCTCATCTGCACCCTCCGGCTCCCCTTCACCGTCGCCTTCCTCCACATCTGGAGTTCCCTCGACCGAGTCCGTCTCCTTTACTCCCTTGCCCTTCCCTCTACCTCTGCGTCCTCTCTTCTTCCGTCGTGCCGTGGTATTCCCCGAACCCTCTGCAATACCCTCCTCCTCGCCACCCTCGCCCTCGTCCCACCCATGCTTCCCCTTCGGAACCCTCACCTTGATGAACGGCTCCACCGTCTCCATGATCGGGACATCTAGCAACATTCTGCCCGTCATCCAGTCCCACACCTTCAACATTGGATCGCCGCCACCCGACACGAGGGTGTCCGGCGCGAACGGCGGGACATGTAGCGCAGAAACGTACTTTCCGTGCCCAAGACAGTAGCGCTCGATCACGTAGCCTTGCGGGAACCAGCTTACACGGATGTGCTCATCGCGATCGGCAGTGAGGATGTACTTGTCGTCGGTGGAAAGGAGGAAACAAGTGAGTAGTGAGACGTGCCCGAGGATGAGCTCCCCGTCAGAGGGGTTTTCATGTGAAGTGAGCGCGGTGCGCTTGGAGGTCTCGGAGGGCTCGCTAGGAGCAGGGGCTGATTTTGGATGGAGAGTGTAGCTATGCGGGGAGTATGAGCGGGGATCCTACGACGACAGTACAAGCTCACCTAAAGACATCACCGAACTTGTCAGAGACAAGGATTGCTTGTCCATCCCGTGTGAGATGAACCGCGGTTGGCTTCTTCGGAAGCTCTCTGCGTGGTATAAGTGAACTTTGGTCTTAGGTGATATTCATGTACGTACCTTTCACTGAGCAGCTTCAACCCATCGAGTTGCCAGACCTTTAGCTTCTTGTCATCTCCTGCAGTAATTACATGCGTGGAAGCCTCGTCTACGGCAGAGCAGCGTATTGGGCCGGACTTTAACAAAGCATCCTTCTCCGCGCCATTCAAATTCAGCGTCGAATGCAAGATGGTCCCAGTTCTGCGTCAGTTAGTCCGCAAAAGAGCTAGTGAGTAGACAACTAAGCATACTGAGAGTCGAGGACTTGTATATGTGGACCTGTAATAAGGACCGAGCGCGTTGAACCTCGCACTAGACGCGAATAAGGAAAAATAGACATGAGAGCCCTGCCCAAGCGTATAAGCGCCCAATCTTAGAAGCGCTCATTTAGCGCTAGTATCTAGCGTCGCGGGCTTTTGGCGCCTCATACATACTTACACCCATCTCAGCGCCGCGACTTGTGCAACCATCGCCCGCCCGCAGTCCTTTATAGTCTATAGAATCCGGAAAATCTAGCGATAGGATGATTCGAAGGACACTCACATCGCGTCCCCTGGACTTTGTGTACTTTGTGTACTTTTCGGTGAGTCCCTAAGCCAGTTGTGTACCAACGCTTCCTGATGTGAAGTCCTGCGTTGTAGATGCACACCTTTGCCACCGTTTTGGTAGATCTGCAAGTTGTCTACCCGCCAACTATGGTCCCGGCCTTCATGAAAGCTATCACAACATATTACATGTCAGAATACAATGACCCCTTAATCGGTGGTGTCTCGGGATATTTTGGCGAAACAAATAACTTCATCTGGTTTAAAACATTCATTTTACTAGAGGCGTGAGTGTTCACAATTGTGGTTGGAAGAGACTCGGGACTCAACTCTTGGATGTTACAAGGGTTTTCCAGCTTCCAGTGTTCTTGTTGGGCATGCGCGGCTTATGGAAAGGTACCTAAATCCGTTATGATATGGCTTTCGCAATTGATCCTTGATTTCTAGACTCCCGCGCTATTTACGTACTGTTGCTTGTCTATGCTGCGTCCACCACTACGACGACACTTCCCTGCCTTACCGTCATTCTCTCAACACCGCTGACATCCGCGGAAACTATTGCAGCGGGTGTTGTATCGATTACCTCGATACAGCGCGCAGTACTCCTCGCGAGCTATGTCCCATTCTTTGCAATACCCCTTCTCATGACTGTAGACATGGGCTTTCGCGTCCTCAAGCTCATAGAGGCCGGAGTCGCTGCTCAAAGAGCAGCGAAAAGTCAATGATTTACTCTTCAATTCCGCGTCCCCATTGCCCCGATTTCGGCTCTTCCCTGTTTACTCGTCTCTATTCGGTAGCATTCGCAATCATACTCGGTATCCTAGTGTGTTCTATTCGGCTGAGCTATCCGGCACAATAGTCCACAGTATTTGCTTTTCGCTCTATTGCATCAAGCACGCCCCGTTCTTAATTTCACAAAGTGTCCGAGCCGTCAGCGCGGAGGTATGAAGCATGAACGGAGAGAACTGGTAGGCAATGCTATTGCATATATGTACAAGCCCGCCTCTAGTTAGTACACATTTCAAGCGGACTCGATCTCACAGACTGAAAGTGTTCAGCTCACTGTATCTTTCGATTGCTCTTCGCTAGCCGTCTCGTCATCCGAAGCAAACCATGCGTTAGAGCTGCCATCAGATGCACATGCCTTTGATGCAACCCGGCGTTGGCATCCTAGTACTCCTCGTCATTTGTAAATCATTCGATCGTGTCGCATTCAGTGCACGTTGCATTTGATCTCCCGATAAGATCAGAATCGCAGTCTGTGTTGAGCGCTGTGGTGGATTTTAATATAGTAAGACAACGTGGAGAGTGTTGAAACGCGTGGTCAGGAACGAGCTCGCAAGCTCGGGCGCGCGAGTAGCCGGGGGCCGGAGGCCTCGTTCGTAGTATAAAACGACCGCTCACGATGTACGTACCGCACGCGATTGTCCCTTACGGGCATCGCTAAGCTCGTGAACAGACGCGCTCGCCGCGCCGTCGCAGCGTTGTTCCAACAGAGGTATGACTATTGCACAGTTATACCCCTTAGGGCATTTTAAGCATGTTAACGACCATATAAAAGCCATGAATGAGTATAGAGGATCCACTATAAGGAGCGCACCATAAGTGCTAGTGAGAGCGTTCGAACTCCCACAGGGACCCACAGGAATTCGTGGCACGTGCCGAACCACCGGAAAGTTGCCACCGACTCGGACCTGTCAGGACTCTTGCTTGCTTTGATCGTATACACGCTCTCATGCAGAGCTCTCTTCCATGCAAAATTCGTACGGCATTTGGTGCGCAGTCTGTGCTCGACCAATAGTTTTCATCTAACTTCAAATCGGCAGTCAGGCTTGCTTCGCAGTATGGGTGACGGCGCTTGTTGAAATCTATGGATGTATTGCTTTGAAAATGGCTGCGAAGCACCAACGATCTTCCAGCTGCCACTCGGACGTGATTTACAGGACGTACTGAGGCCATCATCATCTAACATCATGATCCAACCCCTGATTTTCCGTTGCCGTGCCTTCGTATCATTTCACCGAGAAGCCCGCTCGCATAAGTTTGTGCCTAGCGCGTTTTCACGCAGACGATGATACCTGTCCTCTGGCCATAGAACCGTCTCAATGACCCATCGTCGCCCATGACGTCCTTCCAGCCTCTCAATGTCACCTTCTACGATTACGAACCGTTCTTTCAGTATACTCCTCAGCGCGCCTCCAGCACTGGGAGCTCGAGTAGTTATTGGTACCTCTCCAGCGTGATCAATGGCGCAGAGACCGGAGTAAGCAACAATTTCTGCACGGCCACTGTCTTTCTACTCATCACGATTTCCAGTCTCCCCATTACACATCATTCGCAGCCAATAACGCTGTGTTGTTCGAATGGATAGGCACTGCTGTTTGGCTATATGGCATCGCGGAGCCCTCTGCTTACACAATCAGCAACGAAAACAATGTCAATCTGACTGTTCCCGCACAGCCTCTTGGTGCAAACGGCGTTCGTTTGCTCTACGGCGAGACTGGCATGGACTACGGACCTCACAAGATTCAGCTAAGTGTGTTGGGCAAGTCAACTGTTACTATTGTCTCTGCCACGGTCACAGTGGGTGTGGGTCCTGAAAAGTACGTCCATCATGCATAATGTCTGGATTGTAGTGCTTACAGCTACAATCCAGCGCCGTGCTCCAGAATCGTACCATACAGACAGTCACTAATACGACGCAATCCGGCACGCAGTCCATTAACCCCATGTTCAGCCAAATACCTAGCAATTCATGGAGCGTCGTAATCCCAACCAACGCGGAAGTCTCAGTACCATACATCATCACAACACTCCCAGAGGGGGCGCTCACTTTCCAGGTCCAATCTGCGGCCGCCTTCCAGTTGTACGGGATCCTGGTCCCCGACTACTCTTCCATGATCGTCAGTGTGACTCTTGCGCCCCCTCAGTCTGGATTCACGGGGACCAGCATTGGCGGAGCCAACCTCACATATCCTGACATTCGCCCGAACACGTTGATCTGGATGCAGACGGGCCTTAATCAGTCGCAGACATACACCGTTATGGTGAACAGCTCAAATCCGCTCTCCTTCCAGAGCATGGTCCTCCTGGACGCTGTCCCTACGTAAGCCGTCTTGGCCACGCAGCGGCACTTCTCATTAACTAGACGATTTGACACTTTTCAATAGCGCGACCTCTTCCACGCTGCCTGCGTCCCATACCGCGTCTAGCAGCGCATCTCCGTCTGGAGCGAGGGACGCTGTAAAGTCCCATTCCCTCAGCGCCGGTGCCATTGCCGGAGTGACGGTAACTACCCAACGCCTTCCCGCCCACCCATGCTGATGCGATGCAGGTCGCTGTGGTGGTGCTGTGCACCATCCTCGTATCCTACGTCCTATTCCGCCGCAAACACCGGACGCCCCTCGACATCATCCAGCAGCGCCACAGCGCGGTAAGCATCGAGCCCAAGCCCGAGTCTAATCTGGAGCTCCTCCACCGCCCGCCTGCATACTCCGACTGCACCGACCGCCCGGGGCCCGACTCGTCTGCGGACCCCGCGAGCAGCAGCGGCCGCTACACGCAGACATACTCCACCGCGTCGCTGCTCCCCCCCGGGGAGGGTGGGCCGGCTCTCTGTAAGCCGTTTCAGTCATCCCCGCTCGCACGCCACGCCGATGATTGGCTTGTATGCTCCATAGACACCAAGGGGCAAGCGGACGCGTCGAGGCCCCTCCCGAGCCTCCCCGGCACTGCGTCCGGGCAAGCATCCTCCTCGTACAGCGGCGACAACCCCTGGACCACCGCAGGCTCCAGTCAGGTCGGCGGCGCAACGTCCGTGGTGGACGGCTCACAGCTCGACGACGCGCTGATGTACGAGGAAGACGCGGGCCCGCTGCCCATGACACAGCCGCCGCGGTACGATCCTGCGTGGAGCCCGAGCCCGCCCCACCTGCCCGCCGCGGACAATGGGGAGCCATGATGTCCAGCGGAAGAGTATTTGCTGGCCTTCGTGGACGACCCGCCCCGCCCCGGCCTGTATGCGACTTTGCTCGGTAGGACCGGTTCATCCACTGTAACGCAGCGTGTTACTGAATAGAATGAATGTCGACGAGCAGTACCTAACATTGAATAATGCTTGCATATACGCCAGGGCCGTGCAGGCACACGGCATGGCGCCCAACTTCTACTCTCACCTTGGTACCTGCACATCTCTAATGCAGAGCGTAATCCTCTTGTCCCGCATGTTGGCGCGTTTGCGTTCTGAAGAATTAGCAGCGGCGCGACCGCTGTGTCCCTTCCTTAGATCAATATACTTTTTGCTAGTCATATTACTTACTGTGCGCGGCTTGCGCAAAAATAGTCCCTTTGCCTGACGGTCATTCGCGCTCACGCACCCACGCATCGATGTCATTATTCTATGCATTGATACACGCAACGCCGATCGTACACGCCGCAAAACTAGTCATGCACACAACAACAGCAGGTCTAGGGTGTTTAATGCAACAGCGCTCTTCGCGCGATATCGTGTCCGGGGGGGTGGGTCGTCACAGTTCGTAGGGGCTTGCATGCATGCGGGCATGAGCGGACGTGACGGTATAGAATGGACGTGGGGTGTCCGGTGTAATAGTGGAGTATGCTGTAGGCGCTCTCTGCGAATGCGCCCTCGGCAAATCGCGGGCGGCCTAGCGCTGTGCGAAGGCGCCCAGGGCAGGAGACTGAGAGGAGGCGCCCCGAGGAGAAGCATCCGCTACGCCCACTTGCCAAGGAGCGCCATGAGCCCCGCGCCGAGCATCATGCAGATGAGCGCGAACGCGAGATGGCGATTCGAGCCCTCGATCATCTGCTTGTTGAACACAAACTCGTGCGCCATCAGCTGTCCACCGCCGGCGTCAGCCATCCTCTCGCCCTCGTCGCGAAACGAAAAGCGCAGATGCACGCACCTCGACGAGCCCGGTGTAGATCAGGATGCCGCTGCTGAACGCGTCCATGACGCCGCTGACGATGCTCGCGGTGGGCGTGTTCGGGTTGTACGTCGCGCGCACGCCGAGCCCCGCCGCGATCCCGATCGGCGTCGTGCACCCGTAGAGCAGCGCGCCGACGACGGGCACGAAGTTGTACTGCGGCGGGAGCTGCATGTACGCGAGCCGCGAGCCGACACCGAGGCCCTCGAACATCTCTGCGGGGCGCGTGCGCGGTCAGCGACGTGCGGGAACAGCGGGGCGGGGACAGCGGGGAGGGGACGTACGGTGGAAGATGATGACGACGAAGAGGACCTTGAAGTCCGGGTCGACTGCGAGCGTCAGGCCGATGAGAACGCTGTAAGCGCACGCTTAGCACGCTCTAGCACAAGGAAACGGGACGGGGTGCACACCTGTGGAGGAGCACGCCAAACTCGAGGATGGCGACGCCGAGGATCTGCGCGATGGCCGAGTCGGAGAAGTTACCGGAGGGGTCGTGCTTCTCGGAGAGGGACTCGATGTCCTTGAGCGAGTCTGCGTCGGGGTAGGCGGGCGCGTGTGGGCCATTGGGAGCAATCTCGGGCCCGTGCGCGGCATGTGTACCTCCGGGAATGCCGTGTCCATGCGCATCTGATCAGGCACGAGGTGGGACGAGGTATGTCAGCAATTGAATCCTTCCGAGCGGGGAAGAAACGGGAGGCATACCGTGCCCGATGCCGAGCTTGGCAAGGACGGATGTGCCCCAGCGGAAGGCGACCAGCTCGACGATGAAGATCATGAAGATGCTACAGAGACAGATGGCAAGCGCGTAGGGCTGTGGGCAAAGGGTGAGGGTGAGGCGTGAAGAGTGAACGAGGCACTGACGTATTCGCCCCACGCGGGGGAAAGGCAGTCATTCTGGAGCTCGGTAAGTGCTGGTGAGAGCAGGTGGATGAAAGCGGTTGCGATCTGGCGACGCGCTGGTGAGCTAGTGCCCCTCTGCGCGACCTGTGTAGAAAGGAGCACGCACGATGACGCCGCTGCCAAAATACTTTGCGAACTGAAAGACGATGGAGGGGACGTGCGTGCGCATCCATGCGACTCTGCGGGAGACGACGGGGAACATGGCGCCGAACATGGAGGTGGCCATGATGATGAAGATGGACGCGATGCGGAGGCCGGTGTAGGTGTGTGCGCCGGCGCCGGGGGCGCACGAGTCGATGTCGCGGGCGGCGAGGTCGTTGTAGCGTCTCATGGCGGATGAGAAGCGGGCTCTGCTACCCAAAGAGGTATGTTGTAGGGGGACGGGTGGCTCGAGCAGAAGGGTGGGGAGATTATATACCGCAAATGGGATGATGGTGGAAACGCGCCCAGTGCGAGAGACGACGCAGCGATTTTCGGGGGGAAACACGGGCGCATGGCCAACATCATCGCGACTGGGCGGGTACCCCTCCACCCCTCCAGCCAATCACCACGCGCCATTCACTACTTTTCGTCGACACCACCGGTCACGTGCAATACAAGTACCCTCGCGGTCGCAGGGCATCCGCCGTATCCTGGCTACTGTCCTTGACTGAACTCTCTGCAAATGACCACAGCGGTGCGCGTCTCAGGCCATCATTCTCTTGGCCAAGTGCCTGCCCGAAGGCACACATTCAAATGAATATGTCTTCGTTGATCCGCGCCACAGTCAAGGCGGACGGCCCATCTACGCACACGACTCAAAGGAAATAACTTTGGGTCGATGGTTGCACACAAAGAAGCCAAATTCTGTGCGAACAGCAGCCCCCCATATGCCTCATAGCGGTACGTCTACCCGAGTGCCTGATCATTCGTCTCGCACGGATTCATTCGTGACATATCTCCAATCGACATCGCCCTTGAGGTTTGATCCATTTCCTGCAGCACACAGAACCAAACGAGCTACCGCACTCCGTCCTCTGGATCACCCGCGCGGAGCTTTCGAGTTCGGTAACAGCCCACTTCGTGCTGAGGGCGACACATTGCACCTCCTTTCAGATGAGGAGACCTCCTCTTCACACCCGGCTGTTAGCTCAATGCACCGATTGCCCCACGATGCACTGCGTAGCCTACTTGCTTCTCTTCGACGTCAACGCGGGCCCCGCCGATGCTCTTGGCATCGTCCTTTCCGGTCCGCAGATCCAGATCTACGACGCCGCATGCGGCTCGACTCGACGACCCTCCCGGTCAACGGGGTCGACCGAGTCCCACTGCGCGGAGCCTGTAACCTCGCGGGTACTCGGCGCTCAACAACTTCGCGCGGTTCAGCCACGCGCGCTCGAGTCTCGTGCGTTCATCTTATCCACGGAATCGATGTCCATATCCTGTATCATTGGGCGCTGCCTAAGGCTTTGGCGCGCGTCGCGTGAGCTTCTCCCGCTGCGACAGTGTAATGAACTTCGTCATGCGCGAGTGGATCGTGTGGAACTACGAGTGTGTCGCTGGATGAATCATTGTTACCTCCCTCTACTCTCCTAGATCATCACGTGTGCCTCAGGGCGACGACCTGGCGAAACGCGCTTGCAATCAATGTACCGCTGTATCGCTCGCGCATGCCCAGGCACCCATCTGCACCTACGGCACTCGATTCGCAAACCGTCCCGTTGTCCCGCGTCGTGATCAATGAGCCTCTGTCGCGGCTCCCGCAGATTATCAGGCAGCAGCCCGGCTGGACGGCATTGGCATGATGCGCAATGGCTGCTGTGCAACGAGATGTGCCGTTCTCAAGGCGAACGGAGTCGAGGTCCCGCTCACGCGCGGGAGGGGGGGGGGCGCACTAACGCTGGTTATCCGCGATCTACTATTGAAATCAGCTCTTGGCCACCACATGCCAGCGCACAACGAGGAGCGATGCGGCCCGCGTTTCTGTGGCCTCGCGACCTGCACCCACTGGAGCACTGATGTCTATGTACAGGTATCCTACAGCGGGGAGGGGGGTTAATCCCTTAGCTCTCGTGTGCGGTTGTTATCCACGTTTGGAGGCGCGCTCGGAACAATCGGGCTGTGGGATGCTTCGATGTGCATGTGTGCTGGCGCCACCGCCACCGTTGTAACGCACTCGCGCCACCAAACGACGCTATCGATGTCTGCTATCTCTTGCAAAGGCCTGCGTCGGGTTAGCCCAAGATGCCCCCGCAGTATTGCTGTTTTTCAAGATTGCGAAAGTGGATAAGGAGGCGTCATGACGTCCTGACGTCCTTCGCGAACAAGGTGATTTCCAACTACTGCTGCTGGGCGGACCAGTATGATGTGCGCGGGACGGGAAGGGGCCTCGCAGCACCTCCTTCATACCCCGTCTCCTGCCGCCCGTCCCGCGAGCTTGCTCCTAATTGTTCTTCCTTTTCTTCCCTTTTTCATCTTGACGCGTCGGCTTGCATGAGCCAGCAGCGGCTGACTAGCGCGGTCCTCCTCGCACTTACGCATTTTGACAGGACTGTCGCCACAGAGCACTATGGTTGAGCCGAGGGGTGGGGCTGGCCGCGGCCGCACGCGTCGGTACCATACTTGTTTCATTTGCAATGATTGAACAGACTGATCAAGGTGGCGTTGCGGCCATGGCAGGGAGCATAGAGGTGCGGGTGACACGCCGGCCGAAGCATGTCTCCGAGCCGTTTCCTACGCGGGTAATTTACAGATGCCCTGGAACAATCCTAATGACCTGTGCAGGATGAGATGTGTTGTAACTTGCGGCGAGAATGTCTCCTCATGGGCGTCGGCTTGCCGCCTGTCCACTCAGTCACCTTTGGGCAAGCGTCGCCGCCGGCCCGACTGACATGGTAGGTGCGCTGGTGAGAGAGATGTCCGTACGTAGGCGTTTCACGCCGTAGGTAACCTCATTCTTTTGTACAAGTCGACATAATGAGAACATGCTTTGCCGGCAGCTTTCGCAGCATCGTCCTCAGTCTCGCGGGAAATGACAATCTACTCACCCCAGCTCCGATAGGCCTAGAGGCGTCTACAGGAGTGCATACACGAGGCATATACTAAGTAATAGCCGAGTAGAAGGTGCGAATCGCTACCTATCCCATCTTAATCATCTGTCTTCGTTGAGTGGGCATTACAGTACACCACGAGACTATGGGGCTTCTTCTAGATCCACCGCGTCTCCAGACCTTACCAAGTGGCTCCAAGGAATATGAACTGCATGCTCATCATTCCAGGCCCAGATCTTGTCGACATTCCTACATCTGTGCCACGTGTTGAAGTCGGGATACGGGAGCTTATGTCCTTTCACCCAATGTGAGGTGATGAGCCCCACATCTCCTGTACACATTATCCGCTGACGTAGCATTTCTATACAGTGATCTATATTGCACGTGTCAGCACGATCATGGTCAATGTTTGTGAGTAAGGCGATTCCAATACCCAAGTGAAGTCGGTAGTATACAGGTCCCTCCTGGATAGCAGGATCTGTCGCTTCGTAGTACTCATAGTAAGTGGCCTTTCGCAACATGTTCTGCGAGAATAATGAATCTTGCCCATCAAGACGGGTCTGTGACAAGGACATACCAGACAGTGGATCTCATGAGTAAGTTCTAACGTCGTATGATACCCTCCGCCATCTTCATCTAGAAACTTGACAAGTGAAGGAGAATCCGACTTCTTTAATTTGTGCAGTATCTCGCTTGAGATCGGTGTTGGCTTTGCTATAGTATATTCCATGAGAATTTGAGCTGCCTTGCGACGTCTGACTGACTCACTTCGAAAGACCAATTTGTCCCAAGCAGCGTCCAACTCCGGGTTCGGCTGCCCTTTATATATGGATTGGTGGTAAACTGAACCGTTGAATTTGATATCAAGGTATTCCACTGCTTCCAAGGCGGGCGCTGAAAGCAGAGTGAGTGTACTTCTTGGCTGATTCTGGTCTCCGTACAATATGCTGAAACAGCTGTTGCGCATTGCTGGCCACTTGTAGCTCGAAGTAAGAGGAGAAACACCGCGGTCAGGCACACTAGGAGCGATATGTGCTCCACCCATGCTAGAGATGCTGTCCACTTCTGTCGTTGATGTCGGCGTTGATCGAGGAGATGAGAGCCGTCACCACAGCCATCTTGCTGGACAAGACTGTCTACAGATCTATCCGCACTTTTGAGAAGCGAATATGCGGGAGCAGGTTCCATCACGCGTTCGAGGGGCGAGCTTCTGCTAGCTGGACGCATAAGCCTATATCGGTTTGTCTGAGGATTTTCTCATGCGTTGACCTGAAAATAGAACTTGTCATCACAGTCGGAAGCAGTTACATCCCATACCGACGTGGTCGGGGCGCTCGCAAGTTTGAACGCCCTCATTCTGTTCGAGCTGCTTTAGGAAACATACATGCTTCTGAGTACTAAAGCGCTCATACAGGCTGAACGTGTGACATTTGGGTGAACGTTGCGGTTTATATTTGACACATTCTGTTGGTCACTCATCCACACGATCACACGATCGGATTGTGTTAGAGCAGAGCAAGATGCAAACCGTGCTCATCACTTCCAGTCAATCGCAGTGGAAAGTGAGTCTACTGCAATCTCTCGGCTCTGGAAATTGTAGTTATGCAGCCTCATGATGCATCGCACGTGCACATATTGATCCATAAACTTGTAGGACACTATCGCAAAGTATTCTATTTAAAATTGACGTCAAGAACATGAATGGAAATGTGTCCGCGTCGACGTTAAGACACTGTATCCGCCACCAAAGTAGGAGCATTATAAGTTAATATCAATGGCGCAATGTGCCCCATTTGATCATACGTCAAGAAACATGAATGGAGAAGTGTCATCGTCGGCGTTAAGGCACTGTATTCGCCGCCAAAGTATAAGCATTACAAGTTGACATCAACGGGTTTTGTTGTAGCTGACATTCGCGGTTGAATCAGTAACCCCTTGGTGTAAAGTACCAGAGGATCTGTTACACTGTGCTCGTTCACTAGATAGGGTATGTGGAGCCGTAGCCTGTGCATTATACCAACTGGAGTATTCCGCTGGTGACCCATGGACAGGATGTGCAGTGTTGCAGTGCCACGAGGACTACACATGACACCTGCAGGGGATCGGGGTAACCTCGGCTCTCAGTCGACAACATGACCTACACAGTATGAAATCGGTGTCGGGGAAATATGTTCTTACATGATACGACATGAAGAATTTCGAGACGGCGGAGACATGAAATTTTATTTACTTGAAGCAAACAATGTAACTATATAATATGCAGACCGTTCACGGATGCTGAACACCAGGCCCAACGGTAGCACCCCACTTCAGCTCAACGAGAGAACTACCATGCAGTTGTATCGTCTTTCTTGCTTCATCGCTCTTCTCCCTGCAGCTTTGATGGCTGTTGCGGCTTTACCGTCTGTAGAGACCGGTGAGCTCTGCTCCTACAAGCGTTTGACCAACAATACTTACCGCTATCTATTACTTCGCTTTGAGTAGATGTTTCTGTCTGTCCGTCATCATATATCATGTATGCATGGTGCCACCGAAGCTCACCTGTTGACATATAGTCGATGAAGTCACCGATGTAGGCGACAAGATCAAGTACATCGAAGCCGGTACGCATGCCTTATACTTTGAGACGCTCTAGGTCCATGATGTTGGGTATATAGACGAAGTCACCGATGTAGGAGACAAAATCAAGTATATCGGCAGTGTCGAGGAGTGAGCGCGCTGTCATTCATTCAAAGTTTGTCACCGCTAAGGAGTTCATACGCAGATAACTTAGCCACTACTGGCGCAGCAAGTTCATCCTATCGGTAATTCCGAGGCTTAAGACCTGCATGTTCAGCCAAGTTAATTAGACCTTGAATGACCCCTGTAGAGTGATCGATGACGCCACACCTGCGTCATCGACAATCTCTGAATGCCAGTGCGTTATTCACGCTATCAAATGTCACAATATAATGTATAATGAACTCACTGGTATCAATTTTAGCAGCGATAGCAGGAACCGTTGGGAGAGCTTGAGGATTGGGAACCCGGACTGTAAAAAATAAATATTCATAAATGAATGTAACTCCAAGATCTCAAAGTGATTATCTCCATTTTAAATAAGGATGCGTGTCCAGAAAGTCAATCCGCAAATGTCATTCGTATAGCACTTCAAATACGTTACTGCACGGGTATCATAAGGGAACATGTATCAGAATGTTCTATCGAAAATCGCATAATAGGATATGCTCAGGCTGTGGCCGTTTAAGTTTCCGCGGCAGGGCTTTGAGTTACAGAGTTACGGAAACAGTCGGATAATGTGTTTGTCCACGGGCCACAGGTCTGTGTCTGAGAGCAATCGTGGCACTGAAGCAGGTTGTGAATGGAACGAAGGCAAGCTCAATCAAGCAGTATCATCCGTATGTGTCGCCCCAGGCAACTTGATTTGTCGACGGAATTCGGCCTCAGCAGGCTCAGATGAGAGGGAATGAGCAGGAGCAGGAGCTGGCCTGCACGCGACTAGCAGAGGGCGCTCCGGCAGACACAGACACCATGATGGTGCAGCCATCACCGCCACTGCGATCGGTGAGACATCTGTATATGGAAGGTGTGTATGTTTGAAGTCGTGATCATCACTAAAATGTTTTGCTTTGAACGCATGAGCGTTGTGCACTGGATTCTGCATGATATCAGGAGTACCGGACTCACGCTCAAGTAGCAGCTGTGTCGCGTGTGAGAACGACGCCGGAAAGACCGCCGGCAGACAACGTCTTCGATGGACAGGGATCAATGGTGGATAAGCTTACAAACCGATGGGGCGACGCCTACATAAGTCCTACTCTCACACCGACCACGTGACCTGGGCCGGCAGCGACGCTTGCCCGGTCTACCCAAAAGTCAACATCGCGGCCATTTCGGATCTCGGAACTATCTCATCTGCTTTCCGACGCAGACTGACGGCGGCACAAACAAACGGGATTTTCATAGCATTTCTGGTCCACTTGAATGTATTTGTATACTGAAAACAGTGCGGAGACTGGAAGTTATATCACGAGAGTATTCGGCATTCATGGCGGAACCTTCGATGCGGCTACATGCGCTAGACTACGACCTCCTATCGAAAGCAGACTTGTTAGACTATCAGACTATTGAGCGAGTGTGTATAACCCCAGACATATCATGCTCATTTGCGTAATAGTTATCTGAGACGGCCTCAACCTCCTTTCCCCTGCGAGCCGATACTAGACCTTCAAAATGGGTCAGCCAGCAGCAACACACGTAAGAAGACAAAGCGCAACAAACCATCCAGGTTCTTCCCGTCACCAAAGTCCGCAGAACGAATGGCCGCGAGTATATGCTTTCCCGACTCGCGCGATATGGCCTCAATCGATCTGCTCTCCTCACATGTGGTGACCCACCACCACCATGTCTTCCCACAAAAGCGACCGGGTCTGGCTTTGGACAGAGTGTCTATATTGCCGAGACCGAAGGCAAGATATTGTAGTGAACGCACGCCACGCGCGAAGTGTTCCAAGGAAGGAAGCAGGAAGTGTATATCCGACAGCTTACAGAACCGGTCATGGATGCGGATCCTGATGCAAAAGAGGCGTGAGGACGCGAAAACATCCGATATGTCTTCCTGAATGTATGACGGTCATTGAGCACAATATTGGAATATACGATGATCACACTCACGATCCACTTGCAGAGACGGTCTTTTTCGGTGTCATCATAGATCACAATGAAATCGAGACACCGCAGTCGTGGAGCACTTTGAAGAAGCGCTATCCAAAAAAGCATGGTATTGAGAGGGATATGGACCATTATTGATAGAACAACAGGCGATGGCGTTTTGATGATTTTGAGGATGCGGGGTGGAAACTCATACCGTAGGCCGGTGTCGTCGCGGAGTTTCAGAAAATGGACTGGACAATTGATCTCCGTTATATAATGAAGATCTCGACATTGGATCCATACAAAGTCGAGGTTTGGCCATAAAGGTAAACCGTGAGGATCATATCCAGGGGCGGACTTCAGGTGGAGCGAACGAATGCCGGGCAACAGTCGCGCGCACGTCGACAGTGAGATGAGACACCCTTGAGATAGGGTTAGATGGCGCACGTTAGGCCACTGTCTGTCTAGATAGACGTTTTTGGTGTGCGGGTAAGATTCACTGACGAGGTCACCGAACTCAATGGTCTCGACACCGGAAAATGTCACCCCATGAGTCATGTACTCATGATAGTTCCGTACAGTATTCCCCGCTTTAACGTGGTGGACAATGAGATGCCGCACCGTGCTCTGTAGCCTGGCTAGTGTTCTTATTGTGTGTGACCCAGCGTAATTGAGCTCCAATGACATGAGCCCCGTGAGGGCAACAAGCGCATCCCCGATCGCGGGCTCCATTCTGAGCAGCAGCTCAGTACCATATATTGATAGTCGACGGAGATTGTCGGAAAGCTGTAGGATCTTCAGAAAAACAGGTACCCATTCAAACTTTACGTTCCCGCCAGCTTCGAGATCGAATTGGTATAGACTCAGACTGGCTTCTGGCTCGAATATATCCACTGCAAGCGTGAGATCGCGCACCCAGTGGAGGCGATCGGAGATGTCTGCTAGTAGAAAGTTGCAAATTTTGTCGAAATTTCTGGAGTGCAAATGGATCTCCGACAGTGAGCGGCGTCTGGCGAATGGCCTCGCTTCCTTGCAAACTGCGGATAGGCTAAGCGCATCTGCTGGAGTGACGAGATATATGATGTGAAACCATATGTCCTCGTTCAAGCTTTGCGATTTCATGCTATGTGCATGTGTGCATGAGCAGCGAGATGAGGATCGTCAAAGAGACAAGGTATGAAGTACTGACTTTCCAATGACGCTCGAAGGACGGGTTGGCCCCAAGTTAGCAAATCGGACTGAATCCGGTGGTATCAGAAGCCCCACGGTTCGGTTTCAGATGCCAGTCTTTCGCAAAGTCTTCCCGGGGGCTGTGTTGTCTCGAGCAGGAAGCATTGACCGTCTAGCTAGTATGGACCGGAACGACCTGGACATTAGAGACGCGGAAGAGCTCATGACCTTCCAAAAGCGGGAGCGCCCGAAGTTAGAGCACCCTCTAAGATGCTTGCCGTCACTCGGAGTCGTAAGTCTGAATCAGCATCTGCGGCAGGGCGGATCGCCCTCAATATAATTTCACCAATTGGAATGCATTGTTTACACAAACAGCCCCGGCTGGCGTAAGATTCATGCGACAGAATTGTACAGCACTGAACAACCTAATTAGCTCAAGTGTAAGAAGTGAGCTTTGAATGAGACATGCTGCGCTGCTGCAAGTCGCGGGAGTCCGTCAAGCATTGTATTGTGAGCCTGTCGCGTGACATGCTGGAGTAAATCGCGAGGATAATATCTGAATCCACGTTCTCTTGTCACGTATGCAAAACAAGAGCATTTTATGCCAGGTTGTCCCTGACCCGCTTATCCGTAAGACAATAGTAATGTAATCGTGTTGCATGCAGCTTGTAGGCAGCAAACGTGTAAGGAGTCGCGTACAGGACGAACAGTACATACGCGATCATGTGACCTCTTACTTCAAGTATTGACTGTACTTCCAACGGTTTACAAGCTGACTATTATCATACTGCGCTCAGCATACATATAATCGCTTGGCTTCCTGCCTTCTCACACAATAGAATTACCTGAGAATGTATAACCAGGTGGCGGTGTTATTGGAATAGAATCTGCAGCCTCCTCCTCCTGTATCGAGTCGTGGCGGGTCCGCCGGCCCCGCTGCATTAGGGGTGGATAGCTCCTGTCACTGGGATCTTGAACGCTCGACGAGGAGCCTTCGGCAGCCAACGGGCGCGTTCGTGAGACAGACGAGCCTATAGACGGGGAAGAGGCCGGTGGTTGTGAACCCCCTAGAGGTTCATAAGCCTTCATGTCTGGGAAAAGGGGTCATGACAAAGCCATCAGGTAAGAAAGTGGAGACATGAGTATGGGACAACTAACAGGGATCAGCGAGGGGCGGAAATGCCCCATCATACACCGTAGTGGCCGTAGGTGGAGGGGTACCGAGATCGACATGAGCCCGGGACTGAGTTCCGCTGCGGCGTATCCGGTAATAGCAATAGCATGCAACGGCTCCGATTAGAAGTAGGCCGCCAACCTGCACAATTCGTTAATCTCGCGCGGAGCAGACACATTCTTGGACGCACCGTGGAAGCTACAATCGCCAGAGTCTTGTGATTTGAATGCTCCACGGAAGATGAGCTCGTACTATTCTGGGAGGCATGAGCGGTAAATTGAGCAGAAGCTATACTTGACGATGTCGATGTGCTATAGGAGCCAAGTGGTCAGACGAGCCATAGGAAGCATGTCGAGTTGCTCACACGCTGGAGTCATAGATAACAACACTTTCCAACGAACGTTTCGCGGCGTCGAGATTAGTGATAGTGACGTTGTATGTCTGTAACCGATTCAATCCTGTCGCAATGTACAGCACGCTCCCAGTAGTAGTCACAGGGTATGAAGCATTGTATTCGATTACGACACCGATGCCTGTGTTGGGAGCGGGAGGGTCCAGTGCGACGCTGTACGCGCCATGTTCGCTGCCGATGACACCGTAGAGTTCAAAAGCTACTGAGGAGTTGACCTGGAAGAATATTGATGCGTAACGAGCAGATGTCTCGAGGTACACGGCAGTGATAGCACTCGAGCTAACAGGAATTGACCATTGGTTGTCATCAGATGGCGAGAACATCGGGTTCAGCGCGGTTTCGCCAGAAGACGACGAAATTACCGCAGCGATGGTGCGATTCCCAAGATGTGTGCTGGATTATGCACTCTTATAAGTCCCGAGAGATGGCGTAAATAGCCGGACTCACTTCGGATCACCCATGCCGACTGTAGTCGTCGCTGAGATGATAGTTACGGAACCTCCGGTGACATCGATGTTCACCCGGTGTTTCCCATAAAGCAGCCCTCCCTGGCTGTATAGAATAGTATCATCAGCGGCTTTAAGGACGCGCGTTGGGGTTGGGTCGGAATCGCTCCGGACTTCGTAGTCTGAAGTGTTACCGATACCATAAATCCAGACTGCAGTACCTGTCCAAATCAATTGGACAGAGGCACCCGGAGAGGAGGCTGTGTAGTGCTGCGTTCACCGAATCAGTCGTGTAGACGAAAGGGTTGCAAGAAGGAGAGAACGAACCTGTATCGCTCCGCTATATAAGGGGACGTTCCACGAAGAATCACTCGGCCCATCGCGCGAGGGTGAGTACTGGAAGAGGGGCTCGCAGTCAGCAATAGTGATGTTGTACGGTCGGTACGAAGTCATGCGCGCCGCAGTGGTAGCCAGCAAAGGTTCTGGCCAATGTCAGTCATGTCCAACCCATGCTTATATGGTTCGAGGCCCCGGCACTTATCAATCGATGCGCCCGAGGCAATGCGGTGTGGAATATTCACAGCGAACTTTCCGTACACGTGCAGTCTTTCAAGCAACATCGAAGCCATGAGTAGGATAGCCTCCGAGAGCCCTTCTACTTCTTAGATTGGGCGAAGGCATACTTGGGTGAATCATAGCCAATCAAAAATGAGCCTGCACAGCATTGTCCATAGTGACTTGAGTACTTCTGCGGCTTGCAAAGCTAAAAAGAGGCTTCTGGAGAGCGACACATTCAATTAAATAGCGACTGTACCAGATAATCATTCAAGGAGTGCTACTGAGTGGTTTTTCCAGGGCGTCTGGTATAATTCGGTGAACTTCAGTAGCGACTTGGCTTCAACACGGAGGAAGATCATTTGTTCATGCTGAAATGAAGGAGGCGCTGAACAAAGGTCATGGGGCGAGGATCCGTCATCCCGACTGTCATTTACTGCAGTTGGGACACACATACCTCTCTACACGTGCCGATAAGCGGAGGGGATGAACACGATGTTCAAGCCATTCGAAATCATGAGTGCAATCAGTTCCTGGATACGGCGAGTCCTGCGTGCATCACAGCACACTGCATGATGAAGCCACACTGCAGTCATCCTTGTAGCTGATACGTTTCGCACTGCCTGTAGTATATAACTGGGATGCAGCACGAGTGGTAGATCCCGACCGTCCGAGATGAGATCGATACGTATAAGAGTGGAGAACGAATACAGCAAATGGTAAAGCCAGAGGGTGCCTGTCATTGCACCTACGTCGTGATCGAATGGCCGAGGTCGTGGGAGATTCCTGCAAGCGAAGTGTCTATCGGAATATCTGATCGAGCTCCTTCGAGCCAGATGTGCGTAATTTTGTCCTGCAAGCTCTCGAACTGAGAGATGGGCCTCCCCATCCCCCGAGGCCGGCCACGCGCCTCGCAACGCACGAGACATTCAGAAATCCGCCAAAACACTCTGGGACAGTGGCCCCATGACGAGCAGGATGTCAAGAGGACGTCCCTCTTGCTAGCGCTGCGAAAAATAACGTCTTAAGGTTAGCTGAAGACTGAATGAGCCATTCGAAGGTCTGATATTGGGCCATGCTCCTTGCCAGTTGGAGAAGAATACGAACTCGCCGGGAAGTGCCCGAGATCCAGAGGATACGAAGTAAGCAGTATTCTGATCATAGTGTACCATGAAGAGCGGCCGGCATGATGAACGCGCGCTTCGATCCGGAGTTTGAAGGCGCTCAAGATGGCACTACAATGAGCGCCTCCGATGACCACCCCAATACTTTGATCCTGCTCGCAGCCTTCTGCAGACCGCGGACCGCATGGCAATATATCTTCTCCCACGATTCCAGGCTGCTCATGCGGCGGACAAATGGCGTTGTTGTATCTGCAAAATCAATCGAAACAGACAATTAAGTCCTGCGGTCTGTAATTTTTCGAGTTCTCTCTCGACCGCTCATCTCTAGTGCAATTTCTGACTAGATTTTTGAAGAAGTACGTTCGCCTGATCCATCATAATATTCATATACTCCTTCTCTCGATTACAAGGCGGCCTTTTCTTGCAGTAACAGTAGCGAGCACTGTTGGACTTCCGGGTTGTGACCTCGGACGCGTGTCGATAAGACGAGTTAGCCACACGGAGGAGATTGTCATACCTTATATGTGTGTATATATATGAGAAGACACTATGATTTTAGGTGAATAGACCACCAAGTCAAAGTGGGCCGTCAAATCGCATCAAAACTGAAAAGACACGAATAAGCACCGGGTGCAATGTCCCATGCCAGTGGATAGACGTGGATAGTCAAGATTAAGGGCACATCACGGAGAAATCCATCGTCTCATCACTTTTCAAGATCAATGGGCTTGCCGGTACGTGACCTGAGTCGGTGCTAGCTGAATATCGTCATATTATGCTCATCATCCACATCACATCATCGTCTGCCCTCCTACGCAATGACATTCCCTGCAAGCGTGACACCCGATGTCGGTGTTCCGGGACAGAATTTGCGGCCTCCTGTGTCGAGACGCGGCTATTCTGCTGCACTAGCGGTAGACAAATCCCGTGACTGGAGTTCTGAGCGGTCTATGAGGAGCCTTCAGCGGCCAATGAGCGCGTCCGTGAGCCAGACGAGCCTATTGGAAGTGGGAAAAGACCAATGGTTGTGGAACCTCCTCTGGAGTTACATCGTTCTTGATATATGCGCTTATTGGAGCAGAGGTCGTATGTCAAAGCTATTAGGTATAGATGTGGAGATGAGAGTATAGGACAACTAACAGGGAACAGGGGCGGGCGGGGATCAGAGCATAACATAATCACCGTGGGCGTAAGCCGTCTGAACGTGTCCGTGTGAGATCTATCTCATCGACCAAGCCATGTTATCAACAAGCACGCCGGTTTCTTCAGTTTCGAGATATATGTGTCATACATTTTGTTTACATAAAATCGGCTCAAACATTCATAAAGCATATGAGCGCTCCCAGTTGCGCAGAAATCCACGGTCTCCAAGAAGGTTTGCCTGGTGAGTATTCTCGAGCCTCCCAGAGCGAGTTGTAATGCCACGGCCTTCACCCATACGAAAGACTATGGAGCCTCCTCCAAGTCCATCCCTTGTTCGACCCTCTTGATGCGGCTCCAAGGAACGTGGACCGCATGCTCCTCGTTCCATTCCCAGAGCTTATCGATAGCTCTGCATTTGTGCCAAGTACTGAAGTCCGGATAGGGCCGTTCGTAGCCTTTGACCCATTGATAGGTGATTAGCCCAGCATCCGCTGTGCACATGAGCTGCTGTCGCAGTATGTCTATGCAATGGTCTAGGAGGTACCCGTTAGCATGACCAGGAACTGCAAATGGGGTTGCATAATGTCATACTCAAATGCAAGCGGTACTGATCTGGTGAACTGCGGAGTAAGGGGTCTGCCATCGACTTGTAATAGTCGTAGTAGGTTGACTTGCGTAGCAAGTTCTGGAGGCTAGTTAGGTGCATCACCGCACGGGAAAGAACACGAACAAGACTTACCAGACAATGGAGCTGATGCGTGACTTCCATCGTGGTCATGTACCCGCCGCCATCTTCATCCATAAACTTGACGAGAGAAGGCTGCACGGATTTTCCCAGTTTCTCCACTGCCTCTGCGGAAACTGCCGTCAGTTTCGCTGTGTAGCACTTCGTAAGGATACGTCTATGTCCATGCGATGTATATATCACCCACTTCCAAAGACTAGTGCATCCCAAGCGTTGTCAAGGTCCGGATTAGGCTCTCCTTTGTAAATCGATTGATGTTCATTCGTTCCGTTAAACTTGACATCCTGATACTCTACGATATCCATCGCTGTCGCTGGAAGCATGTAAGTCCTGCTCACGATTATTCGAAAAGGGGACCACGCACAATATGCCGACAGCCTCTTCGCACAAAGTCGATCGCTGGGAAGTTGAGAAACAACAACCGCTACTGTGATCAAAGACACGGCGACGACGAGGTGCTCCAGCCAAATGACTAATCTGAACCATGGCTGTTTCCCGTGCGTCTCCTTCACGAGGTGAGCTTCATCATCGCTTTCGTACTTTGATATGAGACTGTCTGTTGAACCGTCCCTACCCTCGATAGGTCTGTATGCGCGAAGGATATCTGCCATGGATATGAAGTGGGCGGGATGGTAGCATTAGTGATTGGGCGAGGATGTTATCTAAGCTTCCAGAGTATCGATCATATGGCAAATGCGTCAAAGACTGGGAATACGCCCCGAGGTTGGAAACTGATGCCTGTCAGAATATCTATTGCTGACTCTTATCAGAAGCATCACAAGGATATCCACGAGACTCACTGCTAGAGGTCATTAAGGCTGTTTGCTAGCTCATTTGCAAAGTGGTCTTTGCAGTATGTGAGGTCAGCCGAGCAGCAGGACAGATTAACAGTTCAGCTGACTATGACATTGTGTGAAGATACACCTCGAGTAGCAAGATAATTGCGGGTGGGATACGCCCCCATGCGTTTGCGAAGATTCATGTTGCCATAATGCAAAACAGCTGTCGTTGAGAATTTCAAACAGAATCCGAGAAGGTGTGATTCTGACCACACAAGGAAAGACCACTATGCCACTTTGGTCTCGCAATTCCCTAAGCTATACACTTGCGACTGTATTCATCTGTTCATGATTGCATATTCCAAGATAAGCTGGATCACATGTAGTATACATACATACATACTCTCATAGCGGCCCTGGTAGTCGTGCTTGAGTTCACAATATATAAGATGAGCTGCATCGTTTCTGGTTTCCTCCTCAGCACCAGTTACAACGATTCGCTTCGATAAATTCTGTACACACCATCATGCAGTTCTCTCGTCTTTCTGTCCTTGTAGCCTTTCTCTCACTGGTCGTGCTTGCTGCGACCGGCTCGCCAATCTCTGACACAGGTATGTCACATAGCTGTATGTATTGCCAGCAACGAGTACTGACAGCTTTGTTGTACTTCTCTAGACACTGCTGCGGGTTAGTGCATGAATTCTGTTTTGCGCTGAGGCTTAAGACTATGGTTAATATACAGACACTGAGGCGGATGGTCAAGATCTCATCGTCGCCTACTATGACCGCCGCCGCAGCGCCAACTGAGTCAAGATGCAATTATATAGAGTAACGTTTACGTCGCTGTTCGATAGTGAGTTGTATTCAACGCAATCTATGCAACCTGACCTCATATTACCGACCCCACTGCTCGTTGAGTAGGCAATGTTGAAAGAAAGATTGTCGATGTCGATGTCGATGTCGATTTCGCTGTTGGCGGATGATCGCATTTGGGTTTCGCAGTGATATGCTAGTGATGCATTCAATATAACATGTCTTGATGTGTTGCATCAATCCGCAGGGAAGGGGTACGCAGGAATGAGGAACATACTAGTGGCCTATGAAGCATTGTGTCAATGTAGAATGAGTCGCGATGGCAACAAGCTGTACAGCCTCATAAGGCATAAACGTACTGCTTAAAAATAAGGCTAGCAATACCTCCATATATCTGACGTGTCGAAACCAGGGTGCAAAGGGGAAGTTTAAGATCCTTAGGGTGAAGGGAAGGTGCCTTGTTCGGCCATGCAAATTACTGCACTCAACCACTCGGAAATTGCTCAACGTAAATCGTGTTGAAGCCCCAACGGAAATCATCGGCACCCAGTCCGAATTGAATGGAAGCAAACGGGCCACAGGTCTGTGTCTGAGAGCAATCATCATGGCACTGAAGCAGGTTGTGAATGGAACGAAAGCAAGCTAAATAAAGCAGTATAATCCGTCTGTGTCGCACCAGGCAACTTGAGCTGTCGACGGAGCTCGGCCTCAGCCGGCTCAGGTGAGAGGGAATGAGCAGGAATGGCTCGCACGCGGACCAGCAAAGGGCGCTCCTGCGCACACCACGATGATGCAGCCATCACCGCCACTGCGATCGGTGAGACATCCAAATATGGAAGGTGAGTACGTTTGAAGTCGTGATTATCACTGAAATGTCTTGACGCATGAGCGTTGCGCACTAGATTCCGTATATGATGATATCAGGATATTAGACTCACATTCAAGTAACAGTTGTGTCGCAGCCATTTCGGATCTCGGAGAGATCTAATCTGCGTTCTGACGGCCGCACAAAGTTCATACCTATTACCAAGGGGATGGTCATAGCATGTCTGTTCAACTGGAACAGGTGTCTATACTGGGACCAATGTAGTGAAAACAAAATCATGAGAACACTCGACGTTCATAGCGGAATCTTCGATGCGGCTACATGCGCTAGACTACGATTTCCTATTGAAAGCGGACCTATCAGACTACTGGGCGGGTGTGTATGACCCCAGACATATCATGCTCATGTGCGTAATAGCCATCTGACATTGCCTCAACCTCCTTTCCCCTCCGAACTGATACAAGACCTTCACAATGGTTCAGCCGGCAGCAACAGACGTAATATGACAAGGCGCGACAAACCGTCCAGGTTCTTCCCGTCACCGAAATCCGCGGAGCGAATGGCCGCGAGTATATGCTTTCCTGATTCGTGCGATATTGCCTCAATCGACCTGCCATCCTCACATGTGGAGACACGTCTTCCCACGAAAGCGGCCGGGCCGGGCTTCGGAGAGATAGTCCAGATTTCCGAGACCAAAGGCAAGATATTGCAATGAACGCACGCCACGCGCGAAGTGTTCCAAGGAAGGAAGCAGGAAGTGTATATCCGACAGCTTACAGAACCGGTCGTGGATGCGGATCCTGATGCAAAGGAGGCGTGAGGATGCGAAAACATCCGATATGTCTTCCTGAATGTATGACGGTCATTGAGCACAATATTGGAATATAAGATGATCACACTCACGATCCACTTGCAGAGACGGTCTTTTCCGGTGTCATCATAGATCACAATGAAATCGAGACACCGCAGTCGTGGAGCACACTCCAGGAGCGCTATCCAGAAATTCATGTTGTTGAGAGGGACACGTGCCCTTATTGATAGTACAACAGGCGAGGGCTTTCTGATGGCTTTGAGGATGCGGGGGGGATGCTCGTACTCGCTGCTTTCTTCACGGAGTTTGAGATGATAGACTGGACAACTTATTACCGTCAAGTAATCAAGCGCTCGACACTGACCCCGTACGAAGTCGAGGCTGGGCCATAAGGGTGGGGTGCGAGGATCATATCCAATAGCATACTTCAGGTAGAGTGAACGAATGCCGGAAAATAGTCGCGCGCACGTCGACATTGGGGTGAGGCTCGTCTGGGATAGAGTCAGATGGCGCACGTCAGGCCACTGTCTGTCGAGGTAGAGTTTTGTGGTGAGCGGGTAAGGTTCACTGTCGAGGTCACCGAACTCAATGGTCTCGACACCGGGAAATGTCACCCCATGAGTCAAGTACTCATAGAAGGTTCGTCCTGTATCGCTTGCTGTATCGTGGTGGACGATGAGATGCCGCACCGTGCTCTGTAGCCTGGATAGCATTCTTATTGTGTGTGAGCCAGCGTGGTTGAGCTCTAACGACGTGAGCTCCGGAAGGGCGACGAATGCATCCCCGATCGCAGGCTCCATCTTGAGCAGCACCTCAGTACCAGATAATGACAGTCGACGGAGATTGTGGGCAAGTTGTAGGATCTCAAGGAAGACAGGTACCCACTCAAACTTTATGTTATCGCCATCTTTGAGGTCGTACTGGTACAGGCTGGTTTCCGACCCGAATATATCCCCCGCAAGCGTAAGGTCGCGTACCCAGTGGAGACGATCAGAGGTGTCTGCTAGTAGAAAGTCACAGATTTTGTCGAAATTCCTGGAGTGCAGATGGATCTCCGATAGAGAGCGGCGTCTAGCGAATGGCCTCGCTTCCTTGCAAACTGCAGACAGGCTAAGCGCATCCGCTGGAGTGACGAGAGATATGATGTGAAACCACATGTCCTCGTTCAGGCTTTGCGATTTCATGCGACGTACATGTGCGCATGAGCATCGAGATAAGCATCGTTTGCAAGAGACGAGATGAGGTACCGACTTCGCAGTGAGCTTGTCGGGCTGATCCTGAGTCCTGATGCTATCAGAAATTCCACGGTTCGGCTTCAGATGCCAGCCTTTAGTAACGCTTTCTCAGGGGATGCACTGCGTTACCTCGAGCGGGAAGCACTGACCTAGCTCGTAGTGATACTGCCGTACGCATGGCAAGCACCGCACACTCAAAGGAAGTACTGACTGAAGACCTCCAGCGCTTCCATTTATGGGAACTTATCGGCAACCCCACGGCTCCGAGGTCCGGGTTGCTCCGGTCCCTATTTCAGAAAGAATCATACGGGTCGCTCTGCTTCCATTTCGGCGACCTGAGTAAACCAATTGACATTCATTATGTTCGCATATATAGGACTGCCGCGCAGGGGATTTATGATATCCACCTGGAGACCAACGGCTTCAATGAACCCTTCTTCTAACATTTCACCCTGGCCCGGTATACGCTGTATCTAGTCTACAAGAGTGCACACGTCATCCTGCTGGAGGGCGCATCCCAGTGTCTCAGGAGACCGCATACTATCCGCATTGCGCTGCAGCACCATCTGTGGACTGTGGAGTTGTCGTATATGTTGTAGTCAAGCTGAAGGCTGGCGCAAGAGCATGACTTGAGTAGCTGCTCATGCCAGTGTCATCAGCGTCGAGTTGTCTACCACTCAGTTATAGGCTTTTGAATCACGATCAAAGTGCCTTGCCTGCAAATCCTCACGATACGGTCCCTTCGAGTTGGCCCTGGAAAGCTTCGCAACTTTTGCTCAATTGCTGCTACAGCTTCTCGTGAGTTCTTTGGACACTCATCTTTGCATTATGAATCAAATGGTCTCCACGGTCGGGCAAACGGGTTTCACGTAGTCTGATCTCTATGGCGACTTACTGCTCTGCTGCACTGTGCAGGCACTGATGATCTGTCTCGTTCCGGAGCTTCCAATGATAGTTCCGCCTCTATGACTTACACCGAATCGTCGCAAGTCTTCTCTTCACACCTCCACATCATAGTGAGTCTGAGACGCCGCTCATCTTTTCGACGATCACATTCTAAAGGATGTTTCTGTCAGTGTCCGTCAAACGTTACCTTGTCGATAAGATGCGAAGAGAGGTCCTGCGATTTCATGCTTCTGCAGTCATTCCCTTTACGTCTGCTCCTCCAGGCGCACGTATATGCCGTCAGTGTGAGCATCAAAATTAATCCATCGATGGTAAGTGTAGACGGGTACATGATCTCACTAGCTGTTTGATCCTTGTACAGACCAAGATCGGGTATAGCTGCCGGTGATTAATTGACACTTTGGCACGTTTGCCTTGATCGCTGATCTTCTCGTAAGATGATGTGTTGTATCACCGAAGCCACAGCAGTCGCAATATCGTAAATAAGTAATTGGCTATTTGCGCCTGGCGAATGAATTTCGTATAGGTGAGTTAAAGTTTATCCGCCAATATTTCGGTCACGTACCACTAATTTCGCTTCAAAAGAGCTTTTAGATGTCATGATAAAGTAGGAGCATGACACTAGCCTTCCTCAGCAGCATATAGGCTGGATGTACTGACTTTGTCCTTGCAAGAGTCTCCCCACTATGCACAATTTCCCAATCACCGAAGCCCGACTTATCGCGTTATTCTTGCAGAGCGTCACATACGGTATACACATGCTCACCTTCACGATCTGCATATGGACGCTCTTCAAGCGGACCGGCGTACGTCGCAATCTCTGCAGCTGGTCTTGGTTCTATGTCGCAACGGCATTGTTTATCGTCGGCACGGTTGACGTTCTATTCAATCTGTGCCACAACGTCTCCGCGTTTGTCAACAACAACCACAGCGAGGGCGACGCAAAAGCGGTGTTCCTGCAGATCTCGTCAAGAGTGAATATCATGAGGGTAAACAACTTATGGTTGCTCGCCGTTAGTTCGTTCGTCGCTGACGGCCGCCCTACCCAGAGTGCCTGGTACGATATTGTGACAGTCATCTCGGACGCGGCTTTGGTATGCGAGCTTCAAACTGACTGACGCCGCTAAGTCCCATGAATGACTCATCTGGGACTAGATATACCGCTGCTGGATTCTATGGAACAGGCGGTGGTGGGTCATTGCCATGCCATTGTTGCTAGTGATGGTAACTAGCGCGACCGCTGTGGCGAACCTATCCTACATGCACACACTCGGAGAACTGTCTATTACGGACGGAAACAATAAGCTCTATCCGCTTCTGACGTCCGTCTTCGCTAGTACCCTGGTTCATAACGTATACTGTACAGGTGCGCGCTCCAAAATTGCTTCCTCTAGGTGCAATCAATCAATTCTTGTGGCTGCTATTAGGCATGATCGTGTATAGGATCTGGAGGGTCGACAGGTGGACGTCTTCTCTCTTTCCTTCCAGCACTTCCACTCGTCGCCGCTCGAAACTTGCAGCTGTGAACACGGCAATCGTCGAGTCTGCGGTCATATACACTGCTTCGGTTCTAGCGACATTCATATCCACATACAGCGGTACCAACGCCTGTTATGGTCTATCAGACATGGTGAGCAGTAGTAGCTGCGCATACCGTTCCATCTTGTAACGCCTTGAGCTCCCAGACTTTGGAGATCGTTGGCATCTCCTTCGACCTCATCATCATCCGGATCAGTGGTGACGCCTCTTCGCAAGCGTTCAGAGAAGGCTCCTATCCTATCCAAGTCCGTGTCTCCACGACCACGGTTAAGGGGGATACAGAGCCTTCGGGATGCAGAGGCATACTTGGGGACATGGGTACCAGTCTGCCTGAGCTCCGATCCTCTGTCTCTCCGGAGCTCAGCTTGGAGTTCGACAAGGCAATGGACTTCGTTGGTGGATCAATCCGTCAAGTATAACTAGCGCGATGGATACTCTCAACGCTTCGGGTCGGGCATTGTACGCATTGTGATGTCTCATTTCTTGAATATGCTGACGGGATGTCGTGTGTCCTCTGTAGAAGATGATGAACACTTTTCTTCAGGCTCAGCCCATCCTCCTTTCCCCCCCTTGTCACTTACTAGTGCCTTTGCCTTTGATTATAGTATTCTGGTATTCTTGTAAAGTGACGATCCATTCCTTACCCCACTCATTTATACCAATCTCCAGATGTGTGTATCTTACCTTCGTTGAGTCGCTTCAGGTGTGGAGCTATAATTAGGCTTCACTTGGTTAAAATTCGAGAGGCACGAATTTCTTCCAACAACGGCCATTTGATGACGACACTTTGTGACCTGCACCCCACGTGCATCTGGGTTGCACAGGACAGCAGTGAGAATAAGGTCCGGAAGAGCTTCGCCTCGCATTAGTCTTTATGAACCTAGAGCGTGCGTAGAAGATTCTGTCGTGTCTACTCATTTCTGCTTCCGTTTCTCATGGCCTTGCTCCTCTGCCTCGATATGAACCATTTTTTCCAAAGCTAGCAAAAACAAGGTTCATGTGAGCTCACCTGACGATTTAGAATGAGCGCTGATCACTGGTCATAGACTATGAGTTCATTTCCCAAGTGGGAGATACTCAGTACGCATCGAGCCTCTGACCTGCACTCCAATCCCGTCGCGGTTGCACCCTTCGAGAAAGGACGGGGGCCGGCATACACAGCTCTATGGTCATACTTATACCAATATCTCCCATTCTCCAATAATACACTGTCATCTTACGCATTTTCTAGGTCGACTTGAATTCATGTATATTTCTCCCCCCTCCCCTCCCCCCCGCGCATTATCGTATGTCCCCGCGGCAAGAGAATCGTTCGCGATGGGAAGTTCATGAGGTACTTGCTGACAATGTCAGGCATCGGGTGTCTCAGATATTCGATGCGCAGCTCACTCCACGGACACCTGATCCGCGTCTATACGAGCTCGAGCTCGTCGTTGAGTAGCTGAAAAGGTGAGCAGCCGACCTTGACATGTCTGTCGAACCCTCGAATTTCGTCCGACGCGACCAAACAAGCAGCCCAGTATTGTTGGAGCAGATAATCCATACGTACGCTCTCGCGCCGGCTCTCCGGCTACTATACCGTTCCGTATCGCCCTGTTTTACCTTACGCTATTTACGCGCTGATGCGCTGCCCCTTCTTGGCACTCATCCCGCCATGCGCATGCATGCGCAGCATCAGTGCGCACCGATAGTACCTGTCACGTACCTTGTGCCTGTCGTTTCTGCTCGCCGTCTTATACGCTCGCATTTGCGACCGCACCCTCAGTCTTGCATCGTATCCGAGCACGCACTGAGGGTGAGTACTTAGCTTGTTCTGTTCTCGTTTACACATACTCACGTACATTGTAGTCCTCGTCCTATTTGTTATAGGTATGCATAAATACAAGTCTTGCATCGTATCCGAGCACGCACTGAGGTCCTCGTCCTATTTGTTATAGTCCGACGACGCGTGCTCTAGCCCTGCCGTTGCGTCAGGTTATGAGCCCCGAGCCGTAACTGAAGCAGACTCACACATTTCTTTTCGCCTCCGCCAATAGCCCATCGCCGTCGCTATGACAAGTTCGTCCCTTGCCGACTTCAGCTCAGCTTTTGAGAAGCTTGATGCTACTGGGAGGAACTGGACCACTTTCCGCCAACGCTTCCAGATTGCCGTGCGCCAGAAGGAAGCATGGGGCCATCTCGATGGGACATCGACACGCCCGGTACCTGCTGATGAAGTGAACGTGGAGCCAGCGGAACAGGTAGCCATTGCAGCCTGGGATAAGAAGGAATCGTTAGCGATGTACCTCCTCACTCAGAAGCTGCCGGACATCACCTTCACGAAACACGCCCGGAAGGAGACCGCTGCCGCGATTTGGGCCGCAATCGTCCAGGAATTCGCACAGAAGTCCATGCTGTTGCGTGCGAACCTGCGCACGCAGTTCCTGACTATGCGCGCAATGTCCGGTGCAAACCTCCACACCGAACTTGATCGCCTGCGCGTGAAGTACGAGGAGCTGCTGACCAACGATATCAAGGTCAGCGATGCCGAGTATGCCTCATTAGTCATCAATTTCCTACCTGAGGAGCTTTCAACCTTCGTTTCGCAAGTCTCTGCCACTACGAAGCTTGCCCGTCGCTTCCAGGTTGTGCCACCTACTCCACTCCCGCCAAATGTGCCAACCGAGGAAGTGCCGGCTCTTGATGCGGAAGCGCTCATGGAGATCGCTCTCGAAGAGTGGGACCGTCGGCACAGTGGCAAGCCCAAGCCTAAGCCGAAGGACGCAGGAGTCGCAGTGAGTGTGATCTCGTCCGAGAAGCCGAAGGTGAAGGGTCGCCGTGGTCCGCAGAAACCTGTTGGTGTATGCTGGAACTGTGGTGGCAAAGGTCATCGTAAGGATCAATGCCCCAGCCCGGCGCAGGATGACGACGCCAAAGGAAAGGACTCATCGAACACGTCTAAGCCTGCTGTGGCGAAGCCAAAGAGCGGCAACGCCAACGCTGCGACTGCTGCTGTCGCCTCGCTCGACGAAGTTGCCGGTGCATGGTCCGCTTACCTCTCGCTGCCGAAGGAGTTCCTGCACTCCAAATCATCGGATGAGGAGGTGTTCCCGGATCTGTTCGATGCCGATGTGACGTCAGACATCACTGGTCTTACGGAACAGTCAGATGCTCACTCATTGCCGTCACTACGGACCGAGTCAAGCTCAATGGATTCCCACGTTGGTCATGCGGGCCCGCACATCAATGCAGACACTGTTCCTACACCCACGCCCGTTCCAGTCGCCACGCGCCTTACCGCTGTTGCCATCTGGCTGGATGACATTATGGTAAACAAGCCTGCTGACGAGGAGTTAGCACCGCTCCAAGAGCTTGTCCCGGACAACAGTCCTGTCATGTACAATAGCTCTACCGCCGCAGCTGTCACTGCTCTTGTTGCAGCTGAATCTACTCCCGTTGACTTGTACGATTCCGGTGCGAGTCATCATATGTCACCTTACCGCCAGGACTCCCTCTCCTTTCGTGAGACCAAGCCGCAGACGTTGAATGCCGCAAACCAGCAGCATTTCGAGGCACTTGAGGTTGGGGACATTATTGTCTCCATACCAAACGACTCTGCGCCAAGCTCACAGATGCGCTTGACACAGGTGCTTTACACGCCTGCACTCGGTTTTAACCTCGTCTCGATCGGCCATATTGATGATGCGGGATACTCTGCAATGTTCTCTGGTGGGAAGTGCATCCTTGCTGATAAGGATGGGCGAACTGTTGGCACCATCCCGAAGTCCCGTGGCCTGTATCTGGTTACCCGTCCCCGCTCGACTGGGTCAGCTAATGCCGCGGCTAAAGTCGAGAAGCTTACCGTTATGGACCTCCACCGCCGTTTGGGTCACATCGCACCGCGTACGATACGGGAGCTTGTGTCACGGGGGCACTGTTGCGACTTGAGGTCTAGCGACAGGGGAAAACCTAAAAGGAGCTAGGGGCGTTCGACTGATTCTCACCGAAGCGATGGTGAGCGATGCTCAAACCTAAGGCTAGGGACAAGTAAGTGTATTAGTTAGTATGAGTAAGTAAGCAGATACATGAGTGCTTACTGACCTAGGGACAAGAGGTCGAAACTGAGGTCCCTAGGGCAGCAGAGGCCGGCTTATATACAGGGGAGGTTAAGGGCAGGCTGTGCGCGCTGGTCCGTGCGCAGCTGGTCCGTGCACAGCATGCCGACGCGGCCCCGGGGGCCGGTGAGTCAGAGTGGCTGTGTCAGCGGAGCCCGAGCTGTGCCGCGCGTTGCCGCCCCATCTAATCTAATCGTACAGTAGATAACTGTCACGAGTTGGCACGGCGCCTAGCCGTTTTTTAATTTTTTCCTTTTCGCGGGCTCGAACCCGCGACCTCTGTACTACCTACCTGATATGGACACGTCGTTATCTACTGTACGATCTGATTAGATAGGACGGCAGTGCACGGCACAGCTCGGGCTCCGCTGACACAGCCGCTCTGACTCACCGGCCCCCGGGGCCGCGTCGGCATGCTGCGCAGGGACCAGCTGCGCACGGACCAACGCGCACAGCCTGCCCTTATCTTCCCCTGTATATAAGCCGGCCTCTGCTGCCCTAGGGACCTCAGTTTCGACCTCTTGTCCCTAGGTCAGTAAGCCCTCCATTGTATTCTTTCCTTACCCTACTAACTAATGCATTTACTTGTCCCTAGCCTTAGGTTTGAGCATAGCTCACCATTGCTTCGGTGAGACTTAGTCGGACGCCCCCAGCATTCAAGTTTTCCTCAGTCGCTTGACCTCAAGTCGCGACATTAGGTCGAAACTCCCCAAGCTGCCGGCGTCCCCTCGGGACACCCTATATTCACTTTCCTTTCCCACAGGTCGGGTGGTGCGCACCCTTACGATACTCTACGATACATACGATACGTAGATAGCCCTACATACATCGCCAACACTAAGGGAACGAACTCTTCAGTACCTGCACTTCAGTGGGCGGTACTTGTCCTCACGGACGCGTGGACTAGGTTCCTGCTGCATAATAGTCAAAAGCAGTACTGGGCCCCACGTGAACTGCGAACCCTAGTGTCTTCTCGGGCGCCGTAGCGTAGGCTAGCATAGCACGGCCATTGTAGTACGCGCACCTCCCCGTCCTTCCCCCATCCAACGTGGCTGCCTGCCAAGGCCAGATCCATGCATTCGACTCCCAGGACCTCATCGACGTCTACATCCCAGACGGCCCTGAGACAGTCCTCTATCGTTGCGAGCAGCAACCGTGCCCAAATCGGACACCCCGATCGATCGAGGAGGATTACCCTCGCTACAAAGCGATCCGACGAGCACAACACCCGCTCGGACCCCAAAGCACCCTTGCATCTCGATCTGCCTCGCGGCACTCTCGCCCTGTCTCCCCTACCTCCCGCCTCCCCCAAACTGTCGCCGAGTCCAGTCAAGCTTGAGGAGATCTCCCTCCAGACCCTGCGCCAGAGCCTGAGCCTGAGGAGGGTACAGGTGAAGAAGGAATCTCGGAGTCCGAGTCCGAGGATTCTACTGGGTCCGCCTCGCCGACAGCGCTCGCCCCCGCGTCAGCAGTCCCTGACGTACGTGACCCCCCCACCGAACTTCCTTCGGCGTCTTCACCGCCGACTCCGCCGAGAGGCCGCTCGAGCACTCGCTCCTCTCGAAGTTCGACCAGCGGAGGGCCACCACAGCCGCCTCTGCCCCCGCAGCGTCCTCCGTCCCCCCCGACGCCGATAATGTCGTCCCCCGCAGCCGCCCTTGACAAGGAGACATTAAAACTCCTCCTCCCACTCCGATACGATGGCAAAACCGTCATCGATTGCGATAGGTTCTTGTTGCAGCTGCGCATCTACTGGATGGTCAACACGTCGTTGACCACCATCGAGCTCAAAGTACAGGTTGCACTGAGCCTGCTCGACGGTGACGCCCGCGCCTGGGCCACTCCCTACTTTGCCCAGCTCGCATCGGTGCAGGTGGGTGTGCAAGGGGCCACGACCCCGTTCGCAAACGAAGCAGCCTTTGCCGCCACCTTCAGGGCCCGCTTCGGAAATCTCGACGACGAGGCGGCAGCACAAGTAGAGCTGGCGAAGCTCTGCGCGGACAAGTCGGTCCGTGAAAAACACACTGCTGCGGAGTTCTCCGCGCTGTTCAAGGGTCCGGCGGATCGCTCTGGGTATGGGGACCTGGAGCTACGCGACAAGTACCTGAGCGGCATCCCCTCCCGCGTCTACCGGAAGATCGAGCTCGAAACCTTCACCACGTGGCAAGCAGCTGACAAGCGCGCCACTGAGGTCGAGCAGATCCTCGACATCAGCCGGGCCCGTCGGCCTGAGCTAAACAATTTCTTCTCGGCCCGAGGTCGAGGACGCGGAGGGGCACGTGGTGGTGCACCTCAGTCGCACGCAGCTTCGGCCAGCATCAATGCGGCCGTCGGAAAAGGAAACTTCCCCGGCACATGCTTCGGCTGTGGGAAGCAAGGGTACCGACGATTCGAGTGCCCCAATTGTAAGGACAAGCCTTACACAAAACGCGCCGACACGCGGGCTACGGTTGCCTTGGGCTCCACCCAGGCTGCGACAAGCACCCCCGTCACGACAACACCCTCGGCAAGTATAAGTGCCGCTTCAGCGAAATCCGAACAATCGGAGCTGGCGGACTTAATGGCACAGGTGAAGTCGATGCGCGAGGAGCTCGAGCACTATCGGGCGATGAAGGAGGAGGGTTTTTGATCCGGTCCGCGCTTCGTGCCGCACGCGTCGGACCTCGTAATAACAATTTGTACAATGTATTGGCGACCGCGAATGTTTACGAGTTGGACCACGGGTCCCAGCACTTCCACATCCCGGTGCGCCTCAAAGGAGAAAGACGGCACAAGGATATAGTTGCAATGGTGGACAGCAGAGCCACCACGAAGTTCATCAACAAGCGTTTCATCACAGAGAATCGAGTACGAACGCGGAAATTGAAAGAGCCAATCTATCACAAAACCTATAAACCCACCTTATAGCTTGATGGTAAGGGGGGGAGATAAAGCACTTAAGTGTGGGGGAGGTAATGCTGTTAAGCGCAACAACGAAGTGAATAGAACTGGGGGACAGGGTGCCCCAGGATGCTGCCTTATATACATGAGGGAAAACCCCCCAGGGACCGGTAATGGACCCCTGGTACCTAGCTGGGTAAGGATTACTAAGTATCATGTGCTCTATGATGTCATATATGATGTCATAGTCTGGCCCTGCCCTGCCCTGGGCCTAGGGTCCAGAATTGACCGGCCTATGGCCTAGTGCCTGAGCCTAGCTCCTACCTATGATGTCAGAATGATGTCATGGTCCAGAAGGAGTCTGGTTTCTATCTAGAAAGGTCCGGCATCAGAGTCTAGCCTGATGTGTCCAGAACAAGATCATGTGTCGCTTATTTAAGCGGATAACCCCTTAGAT